AGACGTCTCGCCTGACCTTCTCGCGCACCGTGCAGGGCTACGGCTTCATCATCGACGACCTGCACGACGAGCTCCAGGCAGACGGTGCGTCCCGCTCTCTCTTTCGGCGTCCTCGTCGGCCCTGACTCGCTCGGACCTCCAGTGTTCGCCCACTACACCGGCATCGACCTGCAGCAGGGGTTCCGCTGCCTCGCCAAGGACGAGCGAGTGCGTCCCTGTTCCTCTGCCCTCCTCGTTCGAGCCGCCACTCACGCTCCGACTAATCGCGCAGGTCGAGTACATCCTGACGACGCACTCGAAGGGAGGGTACCAGGCGCTCTGCATCACGGGCGAGCACGGTGCGTCTCTCCTTCTCTCTCGTCTCTCGTCTCTCTCTCTCCCTCGAACGTCTTCCTGACTCTTTCGCTCGTCGTCGCTCGCAGGTGCCGCGCTCAAGGGCCTCTCTGACCCGCACAACGCCGCCATCGTGCGCGAGATGGCTGCCGAGACGAACGCCAAGCGCGCCTCGATGCACCCGGGCGCCCAGGAGCTCCTCGCCATCGCCGGCGTGCGCTCGAACGGCGACGGTGGCGCGGCGAGCGCCGTCAGGGTCAAAATGTCGCTCGGCGGCGGCAGGGTCAAGGGCTGAGGGGCGCGTGCGAGGAGAGTCGGCGGTCGAGCCAGGGTGGACGTGAGGGGCAGTGAGATCTCTGCTATACTATCTATTGCGAGCGGTGCTCAGGGTGCGTCGTCGAGTCGACCAGGGAGAACGAGAGTGAGAGATTGTTGCCCGAGTCATCGACCTTGCGCTCGTCCGGGCCAAGCTCCACCTGGCCAGATCGGCAACGGCTACGCGCCCGTGCTCGACTGCCACACGGCGCACATTGCGTGCAAGTTTGACACGCTCCTCGAGAAGATCGACCGCCGCTCGGGCAAGTCGGTCGAGGACCTCCCCAAGTTCATCAAGTCGGGCGACGCCGCGATTGTCAAGATGATCCCGTCGAAGCCGATGTGCGTCGAGTCGTTCGCCGAGTACCCGCATCTCGGCCGTTTCGCCGTCCGCGACATGCGCCAGACGGTTGCCGTCGGTGTCATCAAGGCCGTCGAGAAGACGGACGGCAAGGGTGGCAAGGGTGCGTCCCACTCTCTCTCTCTCTGTCTCTCGTCGTCGTCGTCGTCGAGGAGGAGCTGGTCGAGCGGCGGGACGACTTGGGCAGAGTCCGAGCGAACCGTCCTCCTCGTCCCTCCTCGTCCTTCTCCCTCGTCGTCGACGGCCTCTCCTTCTGTCCGACCATGTCCTGACTCTCTCTCTCCCTCTCGCAGTCACCAAGGCGGCCGTCAAGGCTGGTGGCAAGAAGTAAACAGCTCTCACGAGCTGCTTCTTCCTGTCCTCGTCTTTTTGTCGTTCACGCTTGATCCTTCTCGCAAGGTGTGCTGTAACCCCCCCGCTTCCCCAACCCCGCCCGTCTCGAGAGACCGCGAGAGCAAAGAGAAAGCACGAGAGCGAGAGAGAGAGTCAGTCGCCCCACGTCGAGGTCCTCGCTCCACTCTTCCTCCTCCTCCTTCCCCTCTGCCTCGTGTGCTCTTGCGTCGGCCTCTGTCTCGTCCGCACGTCCATGGAGAGCTGCTCGTCAGTCTCTTCCATCTGTCGAGGCTGCCGTCAAGGTGGCCGCACTCGCCCGAGAAGAGCTTGCTCGCCTCGCCGTGCACGGTCCTCTCTCTCGCGAAGCGGGCGTCCTCGTCGATTCTCCCTCCTTCTGCTGTCGCTCGATTGCGTCGTACTGCTCCTCTCGACACGCAGTGTCGCCTCACGAACGCTGTGGACCGGCGCGCCGGAAAGAGAAGAGGGAACGAAGCTTTACGTGCTCGACTCTCGAGCTGGCAACGACGTCTCTCCTTTCGTCACGGCTCGCTGCTCTGCGCACTCTCGTCGGTCGCACAGGCTCGATGCACTGAGAGCGACTTGCGCGTCGTCGTTGGAACGACGACGCGCGAGGTCCAGCTCGACCTTCTCAAGCCGCAAAGCCCCGTGCTCTCGTCCAGGCTCGCTTTCTTTTCGGCCCTCTGCACTGCGTCTCGACGGTCGCACACCTCTGTACTCGCGCGACGTCCTCGGCTCGATGCGAGCGAGAGTCAAGCAGGAGCTGCGGCGAGGTTCGTGTCGCTCGCAGGCGCGCTCTCGATAGCGGGCCTCGACGAGTCGCAGGGCTCAGCGCCGAGTGAGAGCGTTCACCCAGCTCTGCCTGGAGCGAGCGAGCGTGCAAGCTTGAATCCGCGAGACGAGAGAGAGAGAGAGAGGGCGGCCGGCGTGCGCACGAGCCCTCAGTTTCTGAGAAGGTCGACCTCGACTCTCTCGAGGGCGGCTGTAGCAGCGGCGAGGGCGGCAGGACGTCCACTCTGAGTAGCACTCTCCTTCTGCTTCTCTCGAGGTAGACCGAGTGTGAGCGAGAAGCGTCTCTCGAAGCGGGCGTGACCGAGAAGAATGCGAGGGATGCAAAGTGCTCGACTGGGCGAGAAAGGGGAAAGAGGAGAGGTGGGAGCAAGGTCGCCAAGACGGGAGGAAGACAAGTGCGAGAAGAAGAGGAGACGAGGGGAGCTATCGAGAGAGGGGGCGAGGGGCGCCGAGGAGGGGAGGAAGAGCCCGCTCACGCCTGCACGTCCCTCTTGTAGAAGCCGCCGCCGTACCCGCCGCCGTACCCACCGCCGTAGCCGTCGCCGCGGAAGCCGTCGTCGTACCCGCCGTAGCCTGCGAGCGTGCGGGTGCGAGTCAGGGCGTGCGTCAAAGTGGGCGAGAGAGGGAGAGGGTGGACGCACCGCCCTTGCCGTAGCCGCCCTTGCCGTAGCCGTAGTCGTTGTCGTAGCCTGCGCGCGATGTGGACGAGGGTCAGTCGAGGGGCGGGATGCGAGAGAGAGAGAGAGGTGGGACGCACCCTTGCCGCCAAAGCCGCCGCCAAAGCCGCCGCGACCGCCGAACGAGCCGTAGTTGTCGCGGCCGCCGTAGCCGCCGTAGCCTGTGCGACGAGAGAGTCAGTGCGAGGAGGGACGACGAGGCGAGGAGAGCGCGAGGGACGCACCGCCGCGGCCGAACTTGCCGTCGTCGCGCCCGAAGCCGTCGCGGCCGTAGTCGTCGTTGCCGTACCCGCCGCCGTAGCCTGTTCCGCGAGGCGAGACGAGTGAGTTCGAGGAGAGGCGAATGAGAGAGAGAGCGAGAGGGAGCGCACCGCCGATGCCGCCGTCAAAGCCGTGGCCAAAGTCGTCGAGCGAGAAGAGGCCGTCCTTGTCGTTGAAGCCGCGCTTGTAGTGGCCGCCCTTGCCGCCGTCGATGACGGCCGTGTTCTGCTTCTTGACTGCGAGGGCGGGCGAGGGCAAAGGTCAGGGACGCTCGTCGACGAGGACGAGGACGAGAGAGAGAGGTGGGCGCACCGTCCGAGTCGTGCTGCTTGAGGTTGAACTGCTTGTAGCAGAACTCCTCGTAGTAGTACTCCTTGTCGTTCGAGTCCTTCTTGATGCCGTCGAACAGGAACACGTCCTTGCCGTTCGCTGGTGGGTGAAGGAGAAGAGGTCAGGTCCTCGTTCGACTCGCCGCGCCTCGGGAGAGAAGAGAAAGATGAACGCACCGTCCTGAACGAGCGTCTCCCGGTTGTACTTGAGCTTGTGCTTCTCGACGTCGGCGTAGAGGTTGCGGTAGCAGAGCTCGCGAAGCGAGACCTTGAGCGCCTTCTCATTCTTCTTGAGGTCCGAGTCCTTGACGACGTCCGTGCCGCCGCCGCCGTAGCCTGCGAGGGCGCGTGCGAGGGCGAGGAAAGTGGAGGAGGAAGTGGGAGGGGGAGGTGGGAGGGAAAGGAGAGAGTCAGTGACGGTGCGCCTGTGCGACGACGACGACGACGAGAGGAAAAGAGAGAGAGAGGAGACGCACCGCCGTCGGGAGCAGCGATCGCGAGCGCGGCGCCGGCGAGAGCGAGGAGGGTCGAGGCGAGCATGGTCGAGGTCGAGGTGGGCGAGAGGGTCGAGGGTCGAGGGTCGAGGGTCGAGGGTCGAGGGTCGAGGAGAGGGCGAGTGTGAGGAAGGGAAGAGAGAGAGGTGGCCGTGCCAGCGAGCAAGGTCGACGACCGGCGGCGAGTCCTCGCACTGGCGCTGCGAGCCGAGATGGCCGGCGAGCCTTGGCGCGAGCTGCGACTGGCCTCGAGCCACCGACGACGGCGCGAACGAGCGAGGTCGGACCGCGTCGGAGCACAGCTGGCGACCCGCACGAGCTGCTGCACCAGGGAGATGGGGGAACCTCGAGGAGCCTCACCGACTCTGAACGGTTCCTTCAGAGCCACCTGGACCGCTCTATGCGAGCTGAACACGCGGTGGCCGAGTGTGCGGTCGAATCGCGACGAGCGAGATGGCGACGAGGAGGAGGAATGCAGCAACGTCGCGCGACCGCAGCGCTCAGGCGCAGCGGGTCTCGAGCTAGCCCGACAGGGTCGTAGAGCACCCGCGGCAGTGCGCTGGCTCGAAGTAGCGTGTGTGCGGAGGAGGAGGAGCCGCGACTCTGGCAGCACGCCGCTCACGGCCCTCCAACCTCTCGAGCAGCACGGCGCTTGCTGCGAGACTGTTTCCTGCTGTTTGCCTGCTGCCCTCTGGCCAAGCGGCTGGCGCTGGAGGCTTCAGAGGCCACCGAGAGGTCGAGGTTCGTCCTCCTCTCCCTCCTCATCAGTTTTCGAGCATGGCTCGACGGCACGGACTCGCAGGGACCCTGACGTTACACTCTGCCGAACTACAGATCCCTGTCACTCGAGCATGTCCGCCGCGCCTCTCCCCGACGACCGCCTCGCCCCTCCTTACCCACCCTCGCCCTCGCCCTCCGCCGGCTGCTCCAGCCACTCGAGACGAGCGTCCCACCCCGAGGCGCGCCTCCTACAGCTCTCACGCCTGTCACGGTACCGTCCAGACCGGCCAGCCGAGCGGCGGTGGCGGCGATTCGCGGGTCACGAGATGCGTTCGCCGACGACGCCGACTCGCAGCGCTCGAGGCTTCACCTCGTCGGCTTCTGCGCTTTGGGCGTCGCCGGACTCGCTCAGGTGCACCTGGGCGACTAGCTGCCAACCTCCAGAGCCGGTCCGCACTCGCTTCGAGCGGTCCGGCGGGATCGACCCTGCGCCGCTCTGCTCGTCTCGCCGCTTCGCCTCCCTCTCGCTCGCTGCGCGTCGCTGCAGGCTCGGGCCATGCAGGCGCACTGGAGCGCTCGTGCAGCAGCTCGTGCGGGTCGCCAGCTGTGCTCCGACGCGGTCCGACCTCGCTCGTTCGCGCCGTCGTCGGTGGCTCGAGGCCAGTCGCAGCTCGCGCCAAGGCTCGCCGGCCATCTCGGCTCGCAGCGCCAGTGCGAGGACTCGCCGCCGGTCGTCGACCTTGCTCGCTGGCACGGCCACCTCTCTCTCTTCCCTTCCTCACACTCGCCCTCTCCTCGACCCTCGACCCTCGACCCTCGACCCTCGACCCTCTCGCCCACCTCGACCTCGACCATGCTCGCCTCGACCCTCCTCGCTCTCGCCGGCGCCGCGCTCGCGATCGCTGCTCCCGACGGCGGTGCGTCTCCTCTCTCTCTCTTTTCCTCTCGTCGTCGTCGTCGTCGCACAGGCGCACCGTCACTGACTCTCTCCTTTCCCTCCCACCTCCCCCTCCCACTTCCTCCTCCACTTTCCTCGCCCTCGCACGCGCCCTCGCAGGCTACGGCGGCGGCGGCACGGACGTCGTCAAGGACTCGGACCTCAAGAAGAATGAGAAGGCGCTCAAGGTCTCGCTTCGCGAGCTCTGCTACCGCAACCTCTACGCCGACGTCGAGAAGCACAAGCTCAAGTACAACCGGGAGACGCTCGTTCAGGACGGTGCGTTCATCTTTCTCTTCTCTCCCAGAGGCGCGGCGAGTCGAACGAGGACCTGACCTCTTCTCCTTCACCCACCAGCGAACGGCAAGGACGTGTTCCTGTTCGACGGCATCAAGAAGGACTCGAACGACAAGGAGTACTACTACGAGGAGTTCTGCTACAAGCAGTTCAACCTCAAGCAGCACGACTCGGACGGTGCGCCCACCTCTCTCTCTCGTCCTCGTCCTCGTCCTCGTCGACGACCGTCCCTGACCTTTGCCCTCGCCCGCCCTCACAGTCAAGAAGCAGAACACGGCCGTCATCGACGGCGGCAAGGGCGGCCACTACAAGCGCGGCTTCAACGACAAGGACGGCCTCTTCTCGCTCGACGACTTTGGCTACGGCTTTGACGGCGGCATCGGCGGTGCGCTCCCTCTCGCTCTCTCTCTCATTCGCCTCTCCTCGAACTCACTCGTCTCGCCTCGCGGAACAGGCTACGGCGGCGGGTACGGCAACGACGACTACGGCCGCGACGGCTTCGGGCGCGACGACGGCAAGTTCGGCCGCGGCGGTGCGTCCCTCGCGCTCTCCTCGCCTCGTCGTCCCTCCTCGCACTGACTCTCTCGTCGCACAGGCTACGGCGGCTACGGCGGCCGCGACAACTACGGCTCGTTCGGCGGTCGCGGCGGCTTTGGCGGCGGCTTTGGCGGCAAGGGTGCGTCCCACCTCTCTCTCTCTCTCGCATCCCGCCCCTCGACTGACCCTCGTCCACATCGCGCGCAGGCTACGACAACGACTACGGCTACGGCAAGGGCGGCTACGGCAAGGGCGGTGCGTCCACCCTCTCCCTCTCTCGCCCACTTTGACGCACGCCCTGACTCGCACCCGCACGCTCGCAGGCTACGGCGGGTACGACGACGGCTTCCGCGGCGACGGCTACGGCGGTGGGTACGGCGGCGGGTACGGCGGCGGCTTCTACAAGAGGGACGTGCAGGCGTGAGCGGGCTCTTCCTCCCCTCCTCGGCGCCCCTCGCCCCCTCTCTCGATAGCTCCCCTCGTCTCCTCTTCTTCTCGCACTTGTCTTCCTCCCGTCTTGGCGACCTTGCTCCCACCTCTCCTCTTTCCCCTTTCTCGCCCAGTCGAGCACTTTGCATCCCTCGCATTCTTCTCGGTCACGCCCGCTTCGAGAGACGCTTCTCGCTCACACTCGGTCTACCTCGAGAGAAGCAGAAGGAGAGTGCTACTCAGAGTGGACGTCCTGCCGCCCTCGCCGCTGCTACAGCCGCCCTCGAGAGAGTCGAGGTCGACCTTCTCAGAAACTGAGGGCTCGTGCGCACGCCGGCCGCCCTCTCTCTCTCTCTCTCGTCTCGCGGATTCAAGCTTGCACGCTCGCTCGCTCCAGGCAGAGCTGGGTGAACGCTCTCACTCGGCGCTGAGCCCTGCGACTCGTCGAGGCCCGCTATCGAGAGCGCGCCTGCGAGCGACACGAACCTCGCCGCAGCTCCTGCTTGACTCTCGCTCGCATCGAGCCGAGGACGTCGCGCGAGTACAGAGGTGTGCGACCGTCGAGACGCAGTGCAGAGGGCCGAAAAGAAAGCGAGCCTGGACGAGAGCACGGGGCTTTGCGGCTTGAGAAGGTCGAGCTGGACCTCGCGCGTCGTCGTTCCAACGACGACGCGCAAGTCGCTCTCAGTGCATCGAGCCTGTGCGACCGACGAGAGTGCGCAGAGCAGCGAGCCGTGACGAAAGGAGAGACGTCGTTGCCAGCTCGAGAGTCGAGCACGTAAAGCTTCGTTCCCTCTTCTCTTTCCGGCGCGCCGGTCCACAGCGTTCGTGAGGCGACACTGCGTGTCGAGAGGAGCAGTACGACGCAATCGAGCGACAGCAGAAGGAAAGAGAATCGACGAGGACGCCCGCTTCGCGAGAGAGAGGACCGTGCACGGCGAGGCGAGCAAGCTCTTCTCGGGCGAGTGCGGCCACCTTGACGGCAGCCTCGACAGATGGAAGAGACTGACGAGCAGCTCTCCATGGACGTGCGGACGAGACAGAGGCCGACGCAAGAGCACACGAGGCAGAGGGGAAGGAGGAGGAGGAAGAGTGGAGCGAGGACCTCGACGTGGGGCGACTGACTCTCTCTCTCGCTCTCGTTCTTTCTCTTTGCTCTCGCGGTCTCTCGAGACGGGCGGGGTTGGGGAAGCGGGGGGGTTACAGCACACCTTGCGAGAAGGATCAAGCGTGAACGACAAAAAGACGAGGACAGGAAGAAGCAGCTCGTGAGAGCTGTTTACTTCTTGCCACCAGCCTTGACGGCCGCCTTGGTGACTGCGAGAGGGAGAGAGAGAGTCAGGACATGGTCGGACAGAAGGAGAGGCCGTCGACGACGAGGGAGAAGGACGAGGAGGGACGAGGAGGACGGTTCGCTCGGACTCTGCCCAAGTCGTCCCGCCGCTCGACCAGCTCCTCCTCGACGACGACGACGACGAGAGACAGAGAGAGAGAGAGTGGGACGCACCCTTGCCACCCTTGCCGTCCGTCTTCTCGACGGCCTTGATGACACCGACGGCAACCGTCTGGCGCATGTCGCGGACGGCGAAGCGACCGAGAGGCGGGTACTCGGCGAACGACTCGACGCACATCGGCTTCGACGGGATCATCTTGACGATGGCGGCGTCGCCCGACTTGATGAACTTGGGGAGGTCCTCGACCGACTTGCCCGAGCGGCGGTCGATCTTCTCGAGGAGCGTGTCAAACTTGCACGCAATGTGCGCCGTGTGGCAGTCGAGCACGGGCGCGTAGCCGTTGCCGATCTGGCCAGGGTGGTTCATGACGATGACCTGGGCCTTGAACGACGCGGCCTCCTTGGGCGGGTCGTTCTTCGAGTCACCGCAGACGTTGCCGCGGCGGATGTCCTTGACCGAGACGTTCTTGACGTTGAAGCCTGTTCGAAGGGAGCAGAGAGTGAGCAAGGGCGCGCAAGTAGTGGACGGCGAGAGAAAGAGAGGCGGACGCACCGACGTTGTCGCCGGGGAGACCGGCCTCGAGCTGCTCGTGGTGCATCTCGACCGACTTGACCTCGGTGGTGACGTTGGCCGGGGCGAAGACGACGACCATGCCGGCCTTGATCGTGCCGGTCTCGACACGGCCGACGGGCACAGTTCCGATACCGCCGATCTTGTAGACGTCCTGTGAGAGGGAGAAAAGAGTCAGGGACCGTGCGAGGACGACGAGGACGAGGAGAGGGAGGAGGGACGCACCTGGAGGGGAAGACGGAGCGGCTTGTCGGTCGGGCGCGAAGGCGGCTCGATGGCGTCGATGGCGTCAAGGAGCGTCTTGCCGGTAACCTCGCCCGACTTGGTCTCCTTCTTCCAGCCCTTGTACCAGCCCATGTTGGTGGTCGGCTCGATCATGTTGTCGCCGTGCCATCCCGAGATGGGGACGAAGGGGACGTTCTTCGGGTTGAAGCCGACCTTCTTGATGAAGTTGGACGTCTCCTTGATGATCTCCTCGAAACGGGCCTCCGAGTACTTGGTCGTGTCCATCTTGTTGATGGCGACGATGAGCTGGCGGACACCGAGGGTGAAGGCGAGGAGGGCGTGCTCGCGGGTCTGGCCGTCCTTCGAGATACCGGCCTCGAACTCACCAGTGCCGGCGGCGATGATGAGGATGGCGCAGTCGGCCTGCGAGGTACCGGTGATCATGTTCTTGATGAAGTCGCGGTGACCCGGGGCGTCGATGACGGTGATCATGTACTGCACGAGAGGGGCCAGAGCGTCAGGACCCTGTCGTCGGCGACGGCGACGAGAGAGGGACGGTCGGGACGCACCTTGGGGGTCTCGAACTTCCAGAGGGCGATGTCGATGGTGATACCGCGCTCGCGCTCGGCCTTCAACTTGTCGAGGACCCACGCGTACTTGAACGAACCTGCAGGCGGCACAAAAGCTCGTCAGGACGCTGCACCGCCGTCGAAAGACGAGGCGCACGACCCGCTCGTCTCGCCCGACGTCACCCGCAAAGGGGATGGATCGCCCGGGTCGACGAGCGGGGCTGCGAAGAAAATTCGGGCAGATGGGACGAGGACGCACCCTTGCCGAGCTCAGCAGCCTCCTTCTCGCTGTAGAGGGGGACGAGAGCGAGGTCAGGACGAGGACTCGAGGAACAGGCCGAGGGAGCGAGAGCGAGACGCACAACTTCTCGATGGTACGCTTGTCGATACCACCGCACTTGTAGATGAGGTGGCCGGTGGTGGTCGACTTGCCGGAGTCGACGTGGCCTGTAGAGAGCGAGCGCCGAGAGCGAGGGGGGGGGGCGGGGCGGAGGTCAGAGACGAGCTCGCGACGGCGCGGGACGAGGCGAAGAGAGAGTGGACGCACCGATAACGACGACGTTAACGTGTCCCTGGTGGTGAGAACCATGGACAGAGTGCAGGTGAAGCGAGAGAGGGAGGAGCAAAGGCGGGGGAGGTGGTTGGCGGGAGGGGGGGAGGCGAGAGGCGACGGCGGGAGGGGGGAAAAGGACGGGTCAGTAACCGTGCCCGTCGACTGTCGAGTGGTCGTCGTTCCAGGTAGGGCGCACCTTTTCCTTGCTGCAGGGCGGCGAGGACGAGTGGCGAGGCAAAAGTCAGTGCTCGGTTCTCAAGAGTGACGAGGGTGGTCGACCCGCGAGCTGCGCAGCCGCCGGTGGGCGACCGCGGTGCACAGCTGGGTCGAGTAGAGGGAGCAGTGGACGCACCCCATGATGGATGAAGTGAGATTCGAGTGGTGAGACGCGAAGGTGGAGGAAAGAGAGCAAGAGCGGCGGCCAGGGCGAGCCTTGGGTTGCGAGGCGGCCGCCACGCGCGGGCTCGCCCTGCCCTCGTCTCGCTCGCGCGCCCCCAGCTCCCTCAAGCTCGGGCCCGTGCTCAGCCAGGTGGCACGCGCGCGCGGCGCCTCCGCACGCAGGTTTCCTCGTCCTTCCTTCCACTCTCGGGGCTCGCCTCTCGCCTCGATCCCTCTCGCGCGCGCGCAAGCCAACCGCTCGCCTCGTCTCCACCTCGCCACCCCCTCACTCTCTCTCTCTCCCTCTCTCGCTTCCCCAGCTTGCTCTACCCCGCGCCCGCTTCAGCTCGCGACTCTCGCGCTCTCGCCTGGCCAGCTTGCGCGGCCTGCCGTCGCTTTGGCCCTCGCCGAAGCCGTAGTTCGCCGAGAATCGAGATCCAACCCGGTTGCGACGCCTCACCTCGACCTTCTCAAGCGCGCGGACCGTCTCTCGTCCTGCTCGAGCACAGCTTTCTCTCGCCGGCTCCTTGCTACCGCAGCCACAGCCTATGCTCGTCTTCGCACGGCAGTATCTGCGAGCTCAAACGGAGGAGCGCATGCCTTGCGTCGAGCGGTCAAAGCGCCACTCGAGCCTCTCTCGACCGCGCTCTGCAGCGTCCAGTCCCTCGCAGAACCCCGCTTTCGACGCTCTCGCCTAGCGTACTTGTACCTGCGCATCGCTGCGAGCGATCGAGTGACCTCGAAGAGGTGAACCTGCTGCAAGAGGAGGTGAGGCGAGGCGGGCAAGGAGACCGGCCGGCGGTCGGACCTCGCGCTCCTTTGCGGAACCGTGAGCCCGCCTCGCTCTTGCACTCTCGGGACTGTGAAAGCTGTCCAGACTCGTCGGACGTGGACGAGAGGACCTTTGAGGGGCAGCAGCAGCATGACCGATTCCCTCGAGCGGTCGTCGCCAGCTTTCTCTGCGTCTCTCTGTCGCCGCGACGCTCGCTGCTGCGCCAACTCTCTCGTCGTCTCTCGAGAGGCCGAGTCAATGTGACTGAGGGTACTGTAATTCTCAGGCAACGACGGGTGGCGCCGGCTAGCCCTGAATGCCCGTCACGACGACCTTCTTGGCGCTCACGCCCTCCTTCTGCCGGTCGAGGCCCTTCTGCACGTTCTCGAGTCCGCTGCCGACGACGAGCGGATCCGGCTTGGCCTGGAGCGAGTGCGCCTTGAGCGCGGCGGGGACAAAGTCGTGGTAGACGGCGCGAGCGACGGCGGCGTCCTCCTTCAGGGCGATGTCGATCGCAAAGACTGTGTGAGCGGCGGCGTCAGGGCCTGCGACGAGCGCAAAGAGACTCGGAAAGAGAGAGAAAGAGAGAGGCGGACGCACCCCACTCGGACGAGATGCCCTCGGGCAGGTCTTGAGGAGGCGGCAAGGTCGCGGCGATGTACTTCTTGCCCGAGCCACCGAACGCCTTGAGAGCGACCTGCGCGCAGAGCTCGACGCTGCCGTGCTCCGAGATGGCGTCGAACGCGCCGGCAAACTCGCTGCCCTCCTTCTCGACGGCGGCGACGAGCGACGAGACGAGGTCGTCCTTGGGCGTGCGGTAGTCGAACGCGGCGGCGGCGCCGAGGCTCTTGACGAGGTCAAAGTTGGCCGGCGAGCACGTCGTCACGACGCGGACGCCCGAGGCGGCGGCGAGCTGGATGGCGCTCGCGCCGACCGACGACGAGCCGCCGTAGACGAGGACGACCTTGCCCTTGCCTTGCGGGTTGGGCGAGTCGGCGTGCGGGTACGGCAGGGCGAGCTTGTCCTTCGGGTACAGGCCCGACGCGGCGGTCGAGAGGCCGAGGGGAAGCACCGTCGCCTCGTCGAAGGAGAGCGAATCGGGGATGGACGAGGCGAGGTAGGCGTCGATGACGGCGAAGCGCTGGAACGCCGAATGCTTGGGCTCGCCGGTACCGAGGCCCTTGCAGTGTCTGTACCGGAGAAAGTCAGCTTCTGCTGCAGGAGCGAGAGCGAGAGGAGAGAGAGTGGACGCACCCGAGGACGCGGTCACCCTTCTTGACGTTCGAGACGCCCTCGCCGACCTCGACGACCTCGCCGGCGACGTCGGTGCCGAGGATGAACGGGTACTGCTTGACCATCTGGTCGAAGCCGTACGTCTGGATCTGCGGGCGCGGCGAGAGGTGGGTCAGCTCACGCGCGAGGGCTCGGCGGCGAACGTCGAGCGGACGGGGCTCACCTTCCAGTCGACGGGCTGAATCGAGACCGAGTGGACCTGTGTAAGGGAGGACCGTGAGCAGCGTGTCGGCTTGAAGGAAGGGAGAGCGGGCGCACCGTGACGAGAACCTCGCCCTTCTCGGCCGTCCACATGGGCGCGTCGTCCACCTCGAGCTGCGCGAGGCGCTCCTTGTACCATGCAGCAGAGTTTGAGGACATGACGATAGCGAGAGCGAGAGGTGGAAGTGGAGGAGAGAGAGACGAGAAGAGCGGCGTCGCCGACGGTCCGAGGTGGAGGCAGCCGTGTGGGGCTGACACAGCTGACGAGATCGCTGCTTGAGCAGCTCCAGCGAGTTGCTCAGCGACATTGACCGTCTGGTAAGCCGACCCGCAAGCGAGCGGCTTTCGGGCTCTCGGTCGGACGGGCGGACTCGCTTTCTCGCTCTGCGCGAACGGGAGAAGGCCAGTCTTGCGATGCACAGATCCGACGAGACGCTACGAGGTGCACAGAAGGAGACCCGGGAGAGCGCGAAAGGCGAATGCGAAAGAGGGAGGCAAGCAAAGTGAGGCGAGGTCCGAGCGACGTCGACTCGACAATCTACGCGCCGCCGCCCATGAGGTCGCGCCCCTTGATGTTGAGGTTGCGGATCATGAGCGCGCACAACGAGGTGCAGCCACCTGCGCGAGAAAGAGAGTGAGCGAGGCGAGCGGGACGACGACAAGGGGAAGCGAGAAGGGGACGCACCGGCGGCGACGCCGATGATGAACACGTCGCGCAGCGCGAGCGTGTAGGCGTGCACGACGCCGGGCTGCAGCTCGACCGGGAGCGTCGGAATGGCCTGCGTAAAGGCGAGCGTCAGTGCGGGGCGACCTTGGAAAGGGCGTGAGAGAGGGAGCGCACCTCGACCGAGTTGCGCACGAGCTGGAAGGGTGCCTCGGGAGCGAACTCGCGCAGCGCCGAACCGAGGCGCGTGCCAAATATGCTCGAGCCGATCGCGATGCCGATGGTGCCGCCGACTGTGTGCGTCAAAGAGGGAGAGGGTCAGTCGATGTTCCCAAGCCGTCTAGGGAGAGGACGGGGGCGCACCGAGCTGGCCGAACGTGACGATGGCGGTGCGCTGAGGAACCTCGGACTCGTCCTTGCAGTCGGCCTGGACGGCGATGAGCGTGTTCTGGAGGACGCAGCCGACGCCGACGCCGACGAGCTGCCCGAGAAAGAAAGGAGGTGAGCGAGGCTCGAGCGCTCGCTCGAGGTGAGGCAAGGGGACGCACAATCTGGTACCCGATGAGCTTGGCCATCGACGAGTGCTCGTCGACCGTGTAGAGCAGGCCCGAGCCGATGCACGAGAAGACGGGACCAAAGACGACGAACGGCCAGTAGTACCCGGTCCACGAGATGAGCCCGCCGGCCGCGCCCGACGCAAAGACGACGCTGAGCATGAAGGGAAGGATGTCGATGCCCGACTTGGTCGCCGAGTGGAAGCGCGTAGCTTGCTGTAGACGGGCGACGGTGCGGCGCGAGAGGATGGGGCGGGAAGGGAGGTTAGCCCTCGGCTCATGCTCGTCGACACGACCCTGGAGAGAGCGAGAGGGACGTACGAAGAAGGTCGGCAGGTAGTACGTTGCGACGAGGAGGACGAACATGGTGAAGAAGGCGGCGAGGGTGGCGCCGACCTGCGCGAGGAACGTGCGGGTGAGCCGGACACTCTCGAGAGGCGAGAAAGGGGGCGTGCGACGCACCTGCGTGCGACCGTTGAAGTACTCGAGCGGCATGATGCGACTGGGACCGGCGAGCTTCCACTCGAAGCCGACGAACGCCGGGATCAGGACGGCAAAGACGACGAAGCACGCGACGACGGGGCCGGCCGACCAGGCGTACTTGACGCCGCCCCACTGCAGGGCGAGGACGAGGCAGGTGATGATGCCGAGCATGAGGATGGTGCCGATCCAGTCGAGGGCGAACGCGCGGAATGCGAGGGACGAGCGCGATGGCGACCAGCGACCGAACGTCCAACGCGTGAACTTGCGCTCCGTCCAGAGAGCGACATCCTCGCGCATGGGAGGTGGAGGTTGAGGGCCGAGCTGGGCGCAGAACAAGATGAGTCAGTCTCGCTCAGGGCAACTTGAGAAGGCGAGGTGCGGCGGCGGACGCACGATAAAGACGATCGCGGCGACCGTCACGGCACCGACTGGAAGGTTGATGTAGAAGCAGAGGCGCCACGAGACGTGGTCGGTAAAGGCGCCGCCGAGCTGCAAGAGGAGGAGAAGGTGAGCGAGGTCGGAGGAGGAGGAGCGACTCGAGCAGACGCACGAGCGGACCGACGACCGAGGACACGCCAAAGACGGCGCCAAACAGGCCTGCGCGCAACCGAAGCAGAGTGAGTCTTGTGTGGCTCGAGAAGAGGCGAGAGCGGCAGGGACGCACCGAGCAACTTGGGCCGGTCCTCGAGACGGGTCACCTCGGCGATGATGGACAGGACCGAGACGAAGATGCCGGCGGCGCCGACACCGGCAAACGCTCGACCAAAGATGAGGACCTCGACCGAGTGCGCGACGGCGCAGATGAGCGAGCCGAGCTCGAAAATGACGATGGCGGCCAGGTAGGTCCACTTGCGGTCGGCGAGCGTGAGGATCTGCCCGTACAGCAGGAGAAAGGCGGTCTGGGTGAGGAAGTATGCCGACACGATCCATCCCTGCACGTGACGAGATGGTCGGAGGACGTGGTCGAGAGGGAGGAAGGGAGGAAAGGGAGGAGGGCGAGAAGCTCGAGTCAGCGAGTTGCTCGGCCGCCCGCAGATGCCGGCGTACTGAAGGACGCGATTAGAGAAGAAGGAGAGACCCACAATCTGGTCGAGAGCCTGTCGAGGGTGCAAGACTGAGTCAGCTCGAATTCGCTCGAGAGGCCGAAAAGTGGACGGCCGCGCACGTCAAACTTGCTCGCGATGACCGGGATGGCCGGCGCAAGGATCGTCTGGTCGAGAGCGACTGTGGATGTGCACGACGCGAGGAACGAAATGGCGATGCGGGAGGACGGGAGGGGGAATCGAGGAGGGTCGAGAGGAGGAGGATCGTGCGGCGACGACAGGGTCAGCGGCCCGGCTCCGCACAACCTCGATGGCGAGAGAGACAGAGAGCGTCCGACGCACTGAGGAAAACCGACAGGAGCATGCCGGTGAAGACGAGGGCGAGCTTGGCTGCGAATTGGGGGGGGGCGAGCGTCAGTTCTCGAGGCTGCCGCTCAGCCGACCGGAAAGAGGGACGAGGGTCGACTCACAGCCTCTCAGGTACTTGCTGTCGCGCTCGATCTGCGCCTGCGTCCTGCTGTCGGCCGGCAAGGCCGCTGCGCCGTCCTCGTCGCTCGACCTGCGGCCCGTCTTGGAGTAGGTCGACTCTTGCGACAGGACCTTCTCGACATTGTGCGTGCTGGTGCGGTCGTCGAGCTCGTGGGCCTCGATGGCGGTGGCTTGCGAGGCGATGGTCGAGTCGAGGGGTGCGCTCATCGCGGCGGACGCGGGACAGGAGGGAGGAAGGGAGGGAGGAGGCGAAGACGTCGAGGTTCGCTCGAGGCAGCTGACGAGGCGCTGAGCTCAGCGAGTGAGTCGGCGGCGGGCGGCAGAGCGTGCGCAAGCTCTCTCGGCAGGGGAAAAGGAGGCGAGAGGGGACGCGCAAGGTCCGCCGAACGAGGCGCGTGTTCCCTCGATCGGGCCGGACCCGACGCCGGATTCATCGGTCGCGCTCTGGGCCCGCCCGTCCCACGGGTCGTACGTATGACGGCCGCGTGCAGAGGGCAAAGAAGCGCACCAGCGCAGGACGCGGAAGCAGCTCCGAGCGCGCGCAGAGGTGGACCAGCTCCGAGTCGAACGCGAGCGAGGAGGTCCGCTCGGCCGCAGAGACAGCTTCGGGCTGGCTGCACCGCACTCGAGCGGATCTGTGCAGAGTCGGCAGTCGAGCTGGACCGACGACGAGAGCGAGTTGGGTGCATGCGAGCGACGAGAGGAGGAGCAGGCGGCCGGCGGCGCACCTCTCTTTCTCTTCTTCACACAAACGCAAATTTACCCCGGCCCCTTCAAAAAGCACGTACGACACTAGGCGACCCGGCTTGGTTGCTGCGCTCCTCGGAGCGTGGCGGCAGGCTCGCGTTGTCGCCCATGAGCACCAGTACGCCGTCTGTGGGCCGGAGAGCGAGGACAGGCGGGACTTGGGTGCGGCGCGTCCACACGGCCGGGCGCCACTTTCACGAGTGTCTGCGCCTGTGAGCGGGGGCTGGGCCGCAATGTCTCGTCGGACATGTCTCTCTCTGTCGTCGAGCGGCGCGGGCGAGGGAGGGCGCGAGGAGGAGGAGGAGGGCGGGGGAGGAACGGGACGAGGGCGGGGGAGGGCTTGTCGAGCTGATCATGCACTGTACTCCCGTCCCACACACGCCCTGTCCTTTCGAGAGACGCCGCGAGATTCGAGAGAACACGACGGCGAGCGAACGAGCCTCTCGGCTCATGCTCTCAGGAAGCTCGCGAGGGACGTGGTACGATCGTGTTGCAGTTCTCGGTCGCTGCTTTTGCGGATGGTGGTACTCAGAGGGGGGAGGAGGAACAGAGAGAGGCGAGGAGTGGGGAGGAGGGATAGAGAGAGGGAGACCTGCGAGGCGATGCGAGCGAGCGGGTCCGGGACAAGGGAGAAAATGAGGGGTGCAAGGGCGACAGGAAGGTCGTGTCGAGGGTGCTGGTGGTACAGGTGAGAGAGATACGAATGACGAAAGGTGGGAGAGGAGGGGAGGGAAGCGAGGGAAGGAGCGGCGCTAAGGCGACGGCTTGCGCTTGCGCTGCTGCTTGGACGACGACGACGACGACGACGAGCCCTGGATGTAGTCGACGAGCGCATCGACGCTCAGGTCGGCCTTCTCGCCGTGCGTGCGCTTGGGCGCAGCCTCGGCGCCGCCGTTGACAGCGGGCTGCTTGCCGAGCTGGACCGACGACAGGCGCGAGCCGTTGACGGCGGCGCGAGCGCCGACAGGGCGAGAGGTCGGCGGCGCCGTCGCGAAGCGCTGCTTGAGGCGCTCCTCGCGAGCGGCCTGCTCCTGCGCGTCGCGAGCGCGAGTCGCCTCGATGATCTGGACGAACTGCTTGGCCTCGAGGACCTCGCGAGCGTCGTCGCCGAGGTGCTTCTGGAGGACGGTCTGGGCGATGGCGAGGTGCTTCTGGGCCAACTCGAGGTCGGACGCGACGGCGTAGCCCTGCCCGAGCGTGAACTCGTTGTGGCCGGCGACGACCGAGTCCTCGCCGTAGATGCGCTTGGCGAGCTCGACGCACTGCTGCTGGAGCGGGATGGCGGCCTCGATGCCCGAGCGGGCCTGGACCATGGCGGCGGCGTTGCTCTGTGAGGGAGAACGAGAGCGAGTCAGGGAGAGGGCGAGAGAAAAAGGCGACCGGCAGGAGGGACCGAGGGACGTACGAGGAGGTTGACGAGCTGCGGGTGCGACGGCCCGTACGCGGCGACGACGAGGTCGATGGCGTGCTTGGTGAGCTTGAGGGCGACGTTGTGGTTGCCCGCCGCCTGCTCGAGAAGGCCGAGGTCGGTGTACTGCGTGATGGCGTCGTGCGAGTCGATGCCGTTGGTGCGCTCGGCGACGACGATCGACTGGCGGACCATGCGGACGGCGAGCTGAAGGTAGCTGTCGACCTCCTGGCGCGCCGCGTCGGCGTTCGGGAGGAGAAGCTCCTGCAGGCTCTTCTCGTGCTGCTCGCGGCCCTCGACGGGGAGCTCCTTGAGCGCCTGCTCGGCCATGTCGTGCGTGCGGAGCGTGCTCGCGATGCGCTGCGCGAGGCTGTGCCACACGATGCCGAGCTGGTGGTACTTCTGCGCCGCGTCCGGGTGCACGGCGCCGTAGATCTGCTCCGACAGGTGGAGCGCGTCGTTGACGAGCGCCTCGCCGAGGTCGAGCTGGCCCTCCATGATGGCGCGCGTGCCCTGGGCGAACGCGTCCTCGACGAGCGCGCTGCGGTGCGCGGTCGACTTGACGATCGGGCCGAGGTTGAGGACGTCGTCGGGGCGGAAAGTCGTCGGCGGGCCCTGGACCTTGGGCTGCTCCTCGACGGCCGCCTTGGCCTTCTTGCTCTTCTTCGACTTCTTGGCAGAGGTCGACGCGGTGGTGGTGGCCTCGGACGACGACGTCTCGACGGCGGCGGCGGCGGACGAGAGGTCGGCGGCGCCCGAGCCAAAGTCGTACCGGCGAGCGACGAGCTGCGCGCCGATGCGGACCGAGAGCTCGCGCGCGACCTTGCTCTTGAGCATCGACTCGTCGAACCACGACGCCGGGAGCTCGTACCGGAAGCGCGCGGCGACCTGCTTGACGAGGTCGGCCCGGACGCTTGCCGGCGTGGCCGTGGCCCACGAGCGCTCGCCGCCAGGGAGGGACGAGACGTCGGCGACGGGCGAGCTGTTGAGCGACGCGCCGAGGAGGCAGTTGTAGAAGTGGGCGACGATGGACGCGTGGTCGTACTCGGCGTTGGCGCGCAGGAGGTCGTTGACGAGGTGCTTGGCGGCGCGGACGACCATCTCGTGCTGGAGCGTGCTCTTGAAGAGGGCGAGCGTGTGGGCCGCCTCGTCCTTGCTGACCTTGGCCTTGGCGTAGTCGACGTTCTTGTCGCCGTCGGCCTCGATCTTGCGCACGAGCAGGCCGAGGTACCGCATGTTGATGCCCTTGCGGTGCAGCACGGTCGAGACCTGCGGGCCGTCGGTCACGAGGAACGTGCTCGCGACGGCCTCGGAGATGAACTCGCCGAGGACGACCTCGCGCAGGTACTGGCTCGCGAGGCGGACGTTGTTTGTCGACTCGGCGTCCGGGTCGTAGATGACGAGCTCGTCGCCCGACTCGGTCGGCTTGCGCTCGACGAACGCGTCCGGGTTGAAGTTGAGGACAAAGTCGTCGGCGTTGATGACCGACTTGGTCGGCGGCTCGGACGGGACGAGGGCCGACTTGTCGGCGTCGGCGGCGCCGTCGGTCGCGGCCTCCTTGAGCTCTGCCTCGACCGACTGCTCCTTGTCCTTCTGCTCCTTCTCGACCTTGGCGCGCGCCTCGGTCACCTTGCCCTCGAGCCACTTGTGCAACTTGACCTCGCGGTACGCCTCGAGGAGCTCGGGGCGGAGGAGGACGAGGCGGTGCGGGTAGTCGACCGACGCGTCACCCTTGGCGTTCTGCTCGCGGAACTCGACGTCGACGCACTGCATGCGGACTGAGGGAGGGGGCGAGGAGGGGTCAGATCCGGTACGGCCGAAAGAGGAGAGAGTGAGAGAGGGCGACGACGCACAGCAGTCGATGAAGTAGCTGCGGCCGTCGGTCGCCGCGATGCCGTGCATGTCGCTCGCGGTCCACAGCTTGGTGACGGCGCCGTCCTGGTCCTTGACATCGTGCTCGGCGAAGCGCATCTGGCGCGCGACCTTGCTCGCGAGCTGCTCGTGGAAGTACTTGCTCGCGCGCACCTGCTCGTCGGGCTTCTCGGGCTCGGCGGCGCCGTACACGATGCGGAACGCGGCCGTCGGCGGGTAGTCGTCCTTGTTGGGCGTCTCGGCGTTGGGCACGATCGGCGGCGCGTCGGCGCCCTTGTCGGCGGTCGCGGCGGCGTCGGCCTCGTCGCGAGCGGCCTTGAACAAGCCCGGGATGAGGCTCTGCGCGATCCACCGCTCGCCGAGGTAGTCGACGAGCACGGTCTGCATGACGCTCAGGCCGTCGACGTCGAGGCGCTCGAGGATCTCGACGCCGCGCAGGTCCTTGCCCGCGACGTACCGCGCCGCGTCGTCGCCGCCGAGCTGGGCGTAGATGCCCGTGCCGTCCTCGGCCTTGGTGAAGAGGAGGTTGTTGTGGATGTAGGTGTAGGCCGAGGCGGGCTCGTTCGGGTTGATGGGCGGGATGTCGCCGCGCGCGATCGAGACGGCGCCGCGAGTGGCGGCCGCGACAAAGTCGGCCTGGGTGCGCGTGAGGAAGCGCTCGCGGAGGAGGCGCTGGTTCATGTCGTCGCGAGGGAGGTCGAGGAACTGGCCAAACTCGTCGTTCCAGTCGCGCGCGGTCGGGAGCTGGTCGGCCGTCGTCGCCGACGTGAGGAGGTACGCCGCCTGGGTGCGGAACGGGTCGGCGACGTGTTGAGGGGCACGCACGAGCCAGGGCGCGGCCGGGATCGTGTGGGTGACGGCGAGCGAGGCGACGAGGTCCGACTGGCTCAGGTCGCCGCGCGACGCCTTGGCGACGAGGGTGGACAGGCCTCGGCGGAACGAGGGCGAGATGTCGGCGAGGAGCTCGAACAGCGACTGGTACGGGCCGGTGTGCACGCCCTTGGGCAGGACGGCGCGCGGCGACGGGTCGCAGTTCGAGTTGGTCGACTTGGAGATCCAGAACCCGCTCGCGGCGCCCGTGATCGTGTACTGCTCCGACTCGAGGGTCGAGACGGTGAGGTAGACGAGGTCGCCTCGAAGGCGGCGAGGGTGCGGCGGCGGGCTCCAGGGCGAGACGCCGAGGGCCTTGAGGCAGGGCGAGGCGAGGGCTGGCGAGGCCGAACGGGACGCGAGGTGCTTGAGGTACGCGTCGGCGCTCAAGTCGTCGGCCGACCAGCCGGTAAAGGCGTGCGGCTCGTCGCGGGCAGGTGCCGGTGTCGGCGCCTCGTCCTGCTCGGGCGCAGGAGCCGCCGCCTTCTTGCCGCTCTTGCCCTTCTTGCCCTTGGTCGACTCGGCGCCTGCAAGAACGAGAGTCAGTTGCGCTCGTGCGGCGAGGAGTGAGGCGAGGCGAGACAGGGACGCACCCTTGTCCTCGACGACCTTGTCCGAGTGCGCGACCTGCTGCTCCTCCTCCTCGGGCTTGTCCGTCTCGCCGCACACCGACGCATACAGGGTCGATCCCGACGAGATGGCGAAGGCGGTCGGGTCGTAGGCGGACGAGGTCGACGCGAAAGGAGGGAGGCTCGAGAAGAGCGTGTCGCGGACCTTGAGAAGGTGCGTGTGCATGGTCGCGGCGGCGAACGGCGCTGTTCGAGGGATCGCTCATGAGTGTCGTTTTTCGACGGAGTGTGAGAGAGGAGGGGACGCACTGAAGATGACCTTGAGGCCGCGACGCTTGCCCTCCCAGAACTCGGGCTCGCCGCCAAAGACGCCCGTCAGGTCGGCGTAGTCGCCGAGGACGCCGTCCTTGGTGAGGGCCCACTGCTTCGGGTCGGGCTGCGCTCCGAGAACGGGCGTCTGCGGCGCCGGCGGCGAGAGGGCGGTCCACTCGCCGTGCGACGGTGCCGAGTCGTCGCCGTCGACAGGCGCGAGCTCGTCGGCGTAGACCGGGGCGAGCGAAAAGGCGCCGAGCCAAAAGCCCTCGGGTGCGTCGGTAATAATGTTCTTGAGGTCGTGGACGACGTCGGAGAGGGCGATCGGGAGGGGCAGCTCGAGGAAGGCGCTGTCGGTGGTCGACTTGGCGGACGAGGGCGCGGGCGACGACGACAGGAGCGACTGGGCCGGGACGAGGAGCGTCACGTCGACGGTGGCGCTCATGGGGTCTGTCGAGTCGATCGTGCGGCAGGATGGGCGAGAGATGATGAGCGAGTCGACCGGGGAGGCGAGGAAGAGGGAGAGAGGAGGGAGGTGCGACGACGGGCACGGGGAGGGCAGGGGGCAAGTCGAGTCAGTTGGTGCGCTCTGTGCGAGAGCTGTCGAGCTGCAAGGACGCACCTTGGTCCTGGTGGTCGAGAGGAGCGTCGCCGTTGGCCTGCTGCTGCTCGGCATCGCTGCTCATGCTTGTCGCTGCACACGCGAGAGGGTCAGTCGCACGCTTGGCCGCAGATCTGCAGGGCAGAGGGACGCACAGGTCGGCTTGCTGTCTGCGCTGAGCGAGAGACGAGTGACGAGGTGAGCGCTCTCCTCGCTCGTCTCTGCGCCGTGCTCCGGCTCGACGACGAAGACTTTCAGTTCCCGGCTCCCCCCGAACTCCAGCACCGACATGACAGCCACGACGCTCAAGCTCTCGTCGATCCAGCTCGCACATGCCGGCGCAAAGCGCGTGCGACGCGAGCCAGGTCGCTTTTCCTCGCGCATCTCTCTCGAGCTCCCCGAGTCAACCTGCAACGAGCGCACGCACGGCAATGCAGCACCTCGCTCTACGCCCTCCCTTGCCGCTTGAGCTCGCGCAGCTGAGCCCGCGACAGGTACTGCAGCACCTCGTCCGGCACCTCGACCCCGTCGCCGACCTTGCTCGCCTCGGCCGCGTCGACGCCCGCTCGCAGCGACGGGCTGCGCGCGCGCCGCCGCTCGTCGGCCGCCTGCGCCTGCCGCTCGTCGCGCGCCTCCTCCTGGTCGGCGAAAAAGTCGTCGACGGGCACGAGCACGTCCGGGTCGCAGGTGCGCGCGCGGTGCGCGAGCTGGAACGCGACCGACTGGTCGTGCTGGGCGAGCCGAGACGTGAGGGTCGTGCCGAGGGCGTCAAAGTGCTGCACGCGACGGTCCTGCAGGCGCGAGAGAGAGAGTCAGGTCGTGGTCGGGCCGAGGAGGGAAAGGAAAATGGGGGATCGAGCGCGAGCACCCGCTCGACTTGGCGGCACGCCCGAGAGAAAGAGAGAGAGCGTGGGACGCACCAGGACAGCCTCCTCGAGCTTGAAGTCGAGGTCCCGCAGCTTCTGCCACCCAGCGTGGCGGTCGCACCGCTTCCTCGTCTCGAGACACACGCCCTCGAGGTTGTCGAGCGCGCGCGCCGTCGCACCCTCCGTGTCGCCCCTCTGCTCGACGTCGAGCATGTCGCGCCCCTCGCCCTCGACCCACGCGCGCCACGCCGCCTCGTCGAGCACGAGGCGGACGTCGAGCCCGCACTGCGCCGTCGGGAGGCTCGTCGGCGCCTGCGGGCCCTTCTTCTTGGCGCCGCCCTTGCCCTTGCGCCGCCCGCCGCTCTTGCGCTCGCTGACGACCTCCTCCTCGTCGACGCCGCCGACGTCGATGCCCTCGCGCTTGAGCTCGGCGGCCGTCGCGACGCACAGGGCCTCCCACCGACGCACGGCGATCCCGAGGTACGTCTTGCGCAGCTGCACGAGGCGGCGCTTGTCGCGTAGGCTCGCACGCCGAGCGTCGTTGGCGTGCAGCTGCTTGACGAGCTCGGCGCGCAGCGTCGCCGCGGCGGCGTCTTGCCGCGCCCAGGCTCGCGCACGGGCCTCGGCCTCGCGAGCGGCGCGCTCGGGCGCAGGAAGGTCCTCGACGGCCGGCACGTCGACCTCATCGGCCGCACCGCTCATCTCGACGACCTCGGCCTCGCGGCGCTGCGCGCCGGCGACTCGGTCCCAGAAGGTGGACGGGTCGATGCCGCGCTCGGTCTCGAGGAGCGACAGGCGAGCGGCGGCGACGGCGATTCCGCAATAGTCGGTGCAGTACTTCGACAGGGGTGCGGCGGGCGAGCGACAGGTTGGGCGAGCGCAGGCTCGTTTCCAGGTCGTGCGGTTCGTGTGCGACACTGCGGGCGACGCTAAGGGTGAGCACGGGTCGTACGCGCGAGGGAGACGTGCGCCACCAAGCTCGAGGGGCGAGATAGAGAGGACGGGGCGTAGGACACACCTGCAGAGCATCTCGGGCAGAAGAACAGGTCGACGAGCGAGACGGCCTCGTCGTCGATGTTGACGCAGTCGATGTGGTACCACTCCTCGCAGCTGCACAGGTAAGGGAGTCAGGTAACGCTCGAGTTGTCGACGTCGAGAGCGAGGGAGAGGCGGACCTGTCGCAGGCGATCATCATGCGCTGCAGGCGGCGGCAAGAGCGGGTCAGTCGATCGGTCCACGCACTAGCGACGGACGAGAGGAATTTGGGACGCACCTCTGGGTCGTACAGTTCTTTGCAGATGCAGTAGAGGCGGTCGTCGACCTCCTCGTCGTCGTCCTTGGCCCGGTTGGCCCGGTTCTTGCCCTTCCTCGCCGCCTCCTGAGCCCTCCTCGACCTCGCCTGGCGCCGCGCGTCCTCGTCCTCCTCCGAGTCGGTGTCGTCGGGATCGGCCGCGAACGTGGCGCGTCGTGGCGGGCGGTACGCCTCGAAGGCGGGCGGGAGAGAAGGGCGAGGGTGGGAGGGGTTCAGGCGCGGGTGGACGTAGGAGGAGGGCGACATTGGCGGGGCAGTCGGGACGGCGGACGACTCGGTGAGGGTGCCGAGGGTCGAGTCGTCGTACAGGAGCTCGTGCGAGAGACCGGACGGGCCAGGGGATGGGGCGGGTGAGGTGACGGTGGAAGAGAGGTGAAGAGGGCGAGGCCTCGGCTTGGTCGACGACGGCTTTGAACGAGGTTTGGGCGTGACTGACGGGGGGCGTTGAGCCTGCGCAGCGGGATGCAGGGCAGAAAGGTGAGCAGGCTGTCGCGGTCTACACGCAGGCTCGTCGAGCCGACCGCGGAGAGCTGGAGAGTGAGAGGGGGCGCACCTTGAGCGCCGCGACAGTCATGGTCTCGTCCCCCTCGCCCATGCCCATGATGTCGACGTCTCCGTCCTCGTCCACCTGGACCGCCTGCTGCGCGCCCTGCTCGCCTGCTCCCTTGCGCCGCGAGTCGTCGTCCGAGTCGGCGACGAGCGACGTCGTCGAGACCGGCGATGCACCTCGTGCGGCGGCCGGCGCGTTGCCCATGGCGTCGCGCACCTGGGCGGCGAGCAGCGCGGGGTCGAGGAAGGCGTACGGGTCGAAGGCGGGGGGAGGTGGAGGAGGGACGGCGGGCGAGAGCTCGAACGCAGAGGGGGCGAACCCGCCTGCATGAGGGGAGGCCGTGTACATGTTGTTGGCGAAGGCTGGCACGGGGGCGCTGGCCTCGGGGCCCGACAGGAGCGAGTCGAGGCGCATCGCCGCCGAGGTTCGAGGAGGCAGCGACGTGTCGAACGTCACGCGCTGCGGGTCGCCGCTCGGGTTGAGCAGCTGGCGAAAGTCCATCGCAGGTGTGCGGGACGCGACCCTGCCGCTCAGGGTGAGGGTGAGGGAGCGTGGCGAGTGGGGGAGAGCGAGGAGGAGGAGAGGCGAGGCGCGAACAGCTCTCGTCGCAAGGGAGGCGCTCGCGAGGACCAGGAAGCTCTCGGACAGGCACTGGCTGGAACTGTAGAAGCGCGCATTGCAACACAGGCCCTCCCCCGCCCTCGCCCCGCTCGCCAACGACCCTGCTCCTCCCCCTCCTCGCGCCCTCCCTCGCCCACCGCTCGACGACAGAGAAGGATATGTCCGACGAGACATTGCGGCCCAGTCCCCGCTCACAGGCGCAGACACTCGTGAAAGTGGCGCCCGGCCGTGTGGACGCGCCGCACCCAAGTCCCGCCTGTCCTCGCTCTCCGGCCCACAGACGGCGTACTGGTGCTCATGGGCGACAACGCGAGCCTGCCGCCACGCTCCGAGGAGCGCAGCAACCAAGCCGGGTCGCCTAGTGTCGTACGTGCTTTTTGAAGGGGCCGGGGTAAATTTGCGTTTGTGTGAAGAAGAGAAAGAGAGGTGCGCCGCCGGCCGCCTGCTCCTCCTCTCGTCGCTCGCATGCACCCAACTCGCGCTCGTCGTCGCTCTAGCTCTCGATGCAGAACGCAGTCGAGGTCATGCTCTGTATCATTGCGTCGCTGCTCTACTCGAGACGGGCCGGCTCTAAGTCGCGCTCGCCGTGCTTTTTGGCGTCCGTGCGCTCCTCGACCGCTCGGTCCTCGCGACGGCCGAGCGAGGCGGATAAACAGGCTCGAGAGGCGACACTTGAGCTCGATGTACTGCGGTAGTCAAGGCGAGGGAGGAAGGGGCGGAAGGAGGGAGAGGGAGAGACGAGCGTTAGTGAAGGTCCGCCTGCTCGGACCCGCTCTCCTCGAGTCCTCGCCGTGCACGGCTCGAAAATAGAAAGATGAGAGGGAGCTCACCTTCTGCTTGGCGACCGCGACAGAGTCGCTGAAGCCGAACAAAGGCAGGGTGAGGCTATCGAACGCGCTCGGGAACTTCTCGAGGTTCTTCTTGCCGTCGACGACCTGCTCGAGGGGAAGGAAAGGCGGCAACGACGACGACGGCGCAAGATGGTCAGTGTGAACGCTCTTTCACTTCGAGGAAGACGAGAGAGCGCCGGAAAGGGCGCGAGAAGAGTGCGGAATCGGGTTTTGGGGACGCACAGCTCGTTTTGCCGATCGCTCTCGAGCAAGCTCGCGCCGTCCTCCTCAGGCGCCAGTCGACTGCTCGACAAACTTGATGACCTCGAGCAGGTTGGCGACCGTGTCGGCCTTGGCGATGGCGCTCTCGTCGTCCGAGTAGCTCGCGCGCGCGTGCTCGCCGACGGGCATGCGGCGCAGAAGCAGACTCTGCATGCCGACGCGCCGAGGAGCCTCGTAGTCTCTGAGCGCAAGACGAGGGTGAGCGCTCGAGCGACCTGAGAAAGAGAGAGGGGACGCACGAGACCGCCTCGTCCCCGACAACAAGCACCTCGTCCGCCCTGAGCTCGTCTTCTCCTCGCTCCCTCGCCGTCGCCCTCAGCCGCACGAGGACCTCCTCCCAGAATGCTGTACTGCCCTTCTCCTGCTCGAGCTCCCACGTCGTCCACACCTCGCGCTCGCGGATTCCGGCGTCGAGCGGGTCCGTCTGACCCTCGAGAATGCCGAGAGCGCGCAAGATGCGCGATACCGACGGGTCGGTGTTGCTGACGATGACGGGCGGAGGAAGGCCGAGAGCGTGGAGCGACTGAAGCAGAGGGTGGACGTCGTCGTGCAGGGCGTAGCCGTCCTTGCCCCAGAAGCGGTGCACGAGCGCGTCGCAGAGGGATGCGCTGACCGGCTTAAAGTCTGCGGGCAAGAGTTTGAGTCAGTTCCTCGCTGTAGAAGTGAGGCAGAGACGGTTGGGCGCACCTGAATCGGGGACGCCAGCTCGGCGGAACGTCTCGTCGATGACGCCGGTCCACCATTGCGCGGCATCCAGCGGCGGCGTGCTGCGCTTGCCGTACAGCGGATGCAACTTGGCCCAGTTCTTGAAGGCTGCAGGGTGTACACTGAGTCAGGCGCGGCGCTCGATGAGGCGGGAGGGAGCTGGTCGACGCACCATGCTTGAAACCGTCCTTGACGCGGCCCTCGTCCACCTGCAAGCCGAACGAGCGCGCGACCGATGTCTGTGGAGCAAGCGTGTCAGCTCTCGCTGAAAGGAGAGGTCGAGGAATGCAGCGCGACGCACATATTGTTGGAAGACCGGCTCGCGAGGAGAGAAGACGGTGCCGAACGCGTCGAGCAGGACGCGGCGGATGACCATGACGATACTGTGGCCTCGAATGAGAGAATAGGTCAGCTCTGGCTTTGCAGCGACGGGCTCAGAGAGGCGGGCCGGGGTGCAGGCGAGGCGGAGACGTGGGGCGGGGAGGAGGCGACGAGTGGACTCACGAGCACGCTTCGAAGTCGAGCACACGCTAGACGAGCAGATAGAAGGAGCTCGAGAGACTAGGCAGAGCGGTCTGCAGCTGGCTCGGCTGTGTAGAGGCGGTAGAGGGAGACTGACGAGCGTCAACGAGGTGATGAAGACGAGGCGAGGCCGGCCAGTCGCGCGAGCGCTTCTCTGGCGCTTTCTGCGAGAGCGGCGCACTCAGTAGGCTCGCACGCAGCTCCCCGAGGCAAGAGTGACGCCCAAAGAGCGAACCTTGCGCGCTCTCTCGGACTCGGTCCGCTCGCAGACTTGGCAAAGCTCTTTGCAGATCAGGGCAGGCGCGTGCTGGTCCGCAGCGCGGGGTATACAACGACGGCGAAGCGGAGTGGGGCACGGGAGAAGACGAGTGCGGACGTCTACCGGACGCGGACCTTGAGGTACGGCACCTCGACGTCGTCGCCCGAGTCGATGTCGTTGACCATCATCTCGAACACGATGTCGCGCACGTGGTCGGGGATAGGCTTCTTGCTGACCGTCTCGACGAGCGTCGACAACCTGTGGCACAGGTGAGGCCGGTCAGGGTCTGAGGGCGAGGAGGCGAGGGTCGAGACAGAGGAACGGGCGACGCACGGCATCTTGAGACGCTCCTCGAGCTTCTTCTTCGGCATGAAGCCCGAGTACAGCATACTGCGAGGGGCGAGAACGGTCAGGCGCCGACTCGAGACTGAGGCTTCGACAAAGTCGAGCCAACGCTCGCTGGATCGGGTCGCGACGAAAAGAAAGAGGGGCTGGACGTACGAGACACCGGACGACAGCATAGAGATCTCAAAGTTGTACTTCTGCATAGAGTGAGAGGGACGGGCAGGGTCAGTGACGGGCGGCCGGTGGACGATGGGCGAGGCGAGGAGGACGCACCTCCTCAAAGTGCTTGACGAGCTCCTCGAGCGTGATGTCGCCCTCGATCTTGAAGCAGTCCTGTAGACGGCGAGTGATTGGCGTCACGAGGGAGGAGAGCGCGGCAGAAGGAGGAAGGCGGAGGGAGTGGGGGAAGAAGTGAGGGTCAGTACGCTCGCTCGCCCCTGATTATCGAGAGAGACAGTTGGGACGCACCCAGATGGTCCACTCGGTCTCGCCGTACTGCGCAAAGGCAAAGAAGGAAGGGGAAAGGGAGAAGGTGCGTCAGGGACGAGTGCGCTCCGCGGGTCCTCCTCGTGCTCGGCTCGAGTCGAAGAAGGAGGGGGCTCACCTTCTGCTTGGCGGCCGCAATAGGGTCACTGAAGCCGAAGAAGGGCAGGGCGAGGTTGATGAACGCGTTCGAGAACTTCTCGAGGTCCTTCTTGCCGTCGACGATCTGCTCGGACGAGAGGAAAGGCGGCGACGACGATGACGATGCAGAAGGGTCAGTATGCGGCTCTTGGCGGTTTGGAGGCGACGAGAGAGGGATCGGGAGGACGCTCAGAGAGCTGCGGAATTGGTCGCGAGGACGCACCTTGTACAACTCGCCGCACACGAGACCTGCAGCGACGGCCGTAGTCGTGGCGATGGCCGGGATGATCTTGCCTGTGGACGTCGAGAGAGAGTCAGTAAAGATGTCCTGCAGGCCTCGAGGAGGTGGGCGGCACGGCAACGGAGGAAGAGAGAGCGAGAGGAGGGAGGGACGGGGAGGTCGAGGTGCGGCGGACTGGCTACAGCGTGCGCAGGCCTCGACGCACATGCCGTGTAGGTATCGCAGGGGAGGGTAGGTGATGGCGGGAAGAGGCGGGAGGTGAGAAGGGGCAGGAGAAGGAAGAGGGGGCGCACCTGCGACCTGCTTGGTGTGGTGGCGCGAGCTCGGCTGAATGCCGTAGTTGAGCGCACGCAGGTTGGACGCCGCCGTGATGAAGTCCATGTGGTGGTTCGAGTCGTCGTCCTTCTCGAACTTGGCCGGGTTGAGGCGGTACCCGGCGAGGGTGGACGGCTGCGGGAGCGACGCCGCCAACGACCCGAGGTCCTCGTCCTCGTCGGCCTTGGGCGCGTCCTTGTCGTTCGCGACGGGCTCGTCGTCCTTGACCTGGACCTGGACGCCGGCCTTGGGCTTGAACTCGGGCAGGTGGACCGAGTCGAGGACCTTCTTGAAGCGCGCCGGGTCCGTGTCGCCCTTGAGGCCGTAGTTGAACGCATGCAGGTTGGCGGCGGCGACGATGAACTCCATGTGGGCCGACTGTGGAACAAGGGCGAGTCAGTCGTGCTCGAGGAGGAGCGAGAAGGTCCGCCTCTGAGGCCCTCTCGAGCCGGCTGGGTGCGGCCTCGTCGAGAGACGATGATGGGCTCGCCTCGTTGTAGTCGAACTTGAGGGGCTCCGGCGCACGCTTGGGGCCCGACCAGAAAGGCGTGCCCTCTTTAGTCATCTGCGCGAGGCAAAGAGGGGATTTGAGAAGGTCAGTTCCGGCCGGCGACGACGACGACGCGAAAGGGGCTTGAGGAAGCAGGGCGCACCAGGTCCTTCGGGAGAGAGTACAAGAGCTGCTTGATCTCGTTGCCGTACTCGGTCTCGAACTGCTCGCGCGCCCAGACGATGCACTCGTCGAACCCGAGCGGCTTGTTGTCGACGAGGAAGCTCTTGATCTTGACGAGCTGCGACGTCTCGCCCGACTGCTTGGCCGCCTCGATGAAGTTGGGCTGCGACAGGTACGAGTTGACGACCTCGGCCGGCTTCTCGAAGTACTCCTCGAAGCGCTCCTTGGCCCACTGCGTGCGACGAGGCAAGGTGAGTTCCACGCGCGACGAGTGTGAGGACGAGAGAGAAGGCGACGTACAGCAATCGTGTGCTCGATCTGGTTGGGGAAGTTCTTGATCGTGCAGCTCGGGTGGCTCTTCTCAGGCGGGTCCTGGCTCGACGAGTACGACTCGGTCAAGTGCGGGAGGACGACCTGGACGTTGCCCTTGGTGCCGAGCGTGCCCGACTCGAGCAGCGGCTTGGCGTAGTAGACGCAGCGCTGGTCCATGTACTGGCCTGTGCGTCGGGAAGAGGACGAGGTCAGTCGAGGGACGAGGGGCGAGGCAGAAAGAGGACGACGGCGACGCACGGGCAGCGACGTTGTCGAGCGCGTTCGTAACGCCGTCGAGCGCGTCGAAAAACGAGTCGCCAAAGACGTCTGCGCGAGGAGGGGAGGAGAACAAGGGAGCGTGAGCATGCTGCCGCTCGGCGGTCGTCAAGGTCCGAGCGAGAGGGGGACGCACTCTCCGTGTCGGGACCGACGGCGAGCTTGTACACGTCGATCTTGCCCTCGAGCGCCGGGTTCATCTCCATGGCCGCACGACGCGCCGCCTCGGACTTGAACGAGCCGACGTCCTTGGGCCGGAACAGGAACTGGCGGTTCAGGTTGCTCTTCTCGATCGTGTCGAGGTCGGTGACGTGGATGTGGCCCTCGGGCCCGGTCGCGACGCCCATCATGGCCCAGTTCTTGAGCATCTCGCAGCCGATGGCGCCCGCGCCGACGAGGAACTGGCGGTTGTTCTCGAGCTTGTGCTGGAACGCGCGGCCGAACACGGCGATCTGGCCGTCGTGACGCGCAGGCGGCGACGACGGCGCGCAGTCGTCCTCGGTCGGGAGCGTGTCGGGGAGGGCCTCGAGCGCGTCGAAGTACAGGTGCTGGAACAGGGGCGTGAACTTGCCCGAGCACGCCTTGAGGACCTCCTGCGCGATGAAGCCGCCGATGACGGCGCAGATCGGGGCCACGTCGCCCGACGCCTGGTACGCGAGCTCGCTCAGGACCTTCTCGTCGAGGTCGCCCTCGAACTTGGCCTGCGACGCTACGTCCTTGGCGAGCTGGACAAGCTCGGCGGCGTCGGCGGCGTTGCGGGGCTTGGGCAGGCGCTCGTTCTTGGAGCGGAACGCCGACAGGGCCTGGAAGCCGATGTGGAGCGTAGGTGGGCGGTCGAACTTGGCAAAGTCGGAGATGAGGAACTCGGGCGCCGTGATCGACTCGCGAAGAGGTTTCTGCGCGAGCGGACGACGGTCAGTGCCTTTCCTTTCGTCCGACATGCGCCGAGCTGAATGAGGGAGACGCACAAAGTCAAAGAGCTTGGGCATCTTGACCTGGTGGAACCAGCCGCCCTTCTTGTATTGCCCGAGGCCGCGCGTGTCGCCGACCTTGAACGTGTACGGGCCTGTTGGAGGGGCTTGTCAGCAACTCGTACGTGGCGCTCGTCGCCCAGGAAGAGAGATGTGGGCGCACCGACGACCGTGACCTTCCTCGCGCCCTCGACGCTGTCCGAGTTGATGTTCATGCCCTCGACCTCGGTGAAGCGCACGTAGTCGCCGTCCTCGAGCCCGTGCCTCGTCTCGTCGAGGCACGTCACGAGCGCGTCCTCGCCCTCCTCGATCTCGACGACCATGCCCGACAGCGGCGTCTCGCCCGTCTGGTCGACGACCGGGAACTGCTCGCCGAAGTCGCAGAACGCCGACGCGAAGAGGCCGGCCGTCTCGGCGGCGATGAACTTGATGCCGTTGGCGTGCGTAAAGTCGTTGAGCTTGAGCTGCTCCTCGGTCGAGCCCTGGACGAGGACGACGACCGTGAAGCGCTTGACGGCGTCGTCGGTCAGGTTGGCGAGGACCGAGACGGGCGTGTAGGCGTTGAGCTCGGCGAGGCGCGGGCGGGTCGCCTCGTCACGACGTTGGCCGACGTCCGACTCGCGCAGGAAGAACTGGGTGCCGAGGTCGGGCACGGTAACGAGGGTCGGGTCCGAGATGGTGACCGACTTGACGCCGGCGAGGCAGATGTTCTTGGCGATCTCGACACCAAGGCCCGACATGCCGATGATGAGGACGTCGGACGCGGCCATGCGCTTCATGGCTGTGGGAGGGAGGGTCGGTCAGCGAGAGGAAGACGGGGAGGAGGAGAGGGGGAGAGAAGGAGGTGCTCACCCTCGTGGCCGAGGACATAGCTGCGCGGTGGTGGAGCAAAGAGGTCAGTACAGATGCCGCTAGACCCTTCCCCAATGCTGCTCCTGCGAGCTGTCGCCCAGGTGGACCAAGTCTCCGCCGGCTCGCTCATGACGCAGGGTGCCCGTCCTCGCTCAGCGCCGGCTCTGCCGCTGCCGCCATTTGCCCAGAGAGGTCCGAGGCACGCTTGAGCTGGCCCATGCTGGCTGCGCGCGGCCCCGAGCGGGCGTGCGACCGGTTGCTGACGAGGATCGGGTGGGAAGGCGGTGGAGGGGCACAAGGACGAGGAGAGAGAGGGACGCACAGCTGCCGCGAGTAGAGGCTCTCGTCGAGCGTTGCCGCCTGGTCGAGGTTCATCGCTTCAGTCATGGTGGAAGCGGGCTGGTGAAGTGGGTGAGGGAGACGAGGCCAGCGAAGCGGAGCTGACAAGGTCAAGGTCGCTCGCCGCGTGAAATAGCTTGGGCACCCTCGACCTGTCTACGAAAGACTCAGAAGACGGTAGCGCTCACGAGTAAGCTAGTCTGAGTCGCGAGAGACGAGCGAGCTGGCGGTCGGCCCTCTTCTTCATCTCTCGCAAGCGGTCACGGCAACGGCGCGGCGAGGGACACAGAGGAAAGAGTATGACAGAGTCCGCGCGAGCCTGCGCGGACGGAGTACGAAGGGAAGAAGTACACCCGCCCTCGGACCTCGCCTCGTCGCCAACCGCCACCAGCTCAGGCGCGTCCGAACACCCTCGTCGGGTCCGCCCTGCGCTCCCCGCACCCGACGAGCTCCTCCATGCCCTCGCACTCGTCCTCGCTGCCCGAGCCAAAGTCGACCCGGACGACGCCGTCGCCGTCCTCCTCGAGCATCTCGTCGTCCTCGGCGTCGACGAGCACTTGCGCCTTCTCGGCGCTCGCCCGCTCGCGCTGCTCCCGCGCCCGACGTCGCGCAGGCGTGACAGGCCTGCTGCGCCCGAACTCGAGCCCGGGCAGCTTGTCGCGCGGGCTGCCCGACGTCGACATTGACGCTGGCCCGCCGGCCCTCGTGGATGCGGCTGCGGGCGCGGCCGGCTCGGGCGGCGCAGACGGGAGCGATGCGCTGCTGAGCGACGGGCTCATGCCGGTGCTCGTCGGCACGTGAGGGCGAGGCCGGCTCGCCGCCGGGTCGTCGTGGTCGAGGGCGAGGTCCGAGCCGCTGGGCCGGTCGGCAGCGCGCACTGCGGCGGGCCCGTGCAGCGCAGGTCCCGACGATGAGGCGTGGATAGACGAGGTGCCGAAGTCGCGCTCAGGGCGGCGCAAGGACCGCGAGCGCGGCAGCGCGAGGGCCGACAGGTCGCCCGGGACCGACTGCGACGCCGACAAGGTGCTGTCCCCGGCCGAGGAACGCGACGCCGACAGCACAAGCGGCGACCACTCGGGGGCAGTGGCCACGCGCAGGGCGGACCCGCTCGCCACGCGCGGCGTTGTCGGCGACGGCGCGCCGGCCGTGTTCGCGAACTTGCGCTGGAACGCCCTGCTGAGCACATCGCCGAGCTCGCCGCTCGTCGACGTCCCGCCCGACGCCGCCCGACGCAAGTCGTCTTGGGTCCTCGACGACGGGAGGCCGACCTTGCGCAGCTTGTCGCGCTTGGCGCCGAGCTCGCTCAGGCATGCGCTCATGTCGATGCTCGGCCCTGCGCCGATGCCGCCGAGGGTCGAGTGAAGACGCTTTGCGCGCTCCGGCGTAGCTCGAAGGGATGCACGGGCGTTGGCGAGGAGAGGGTGGGGCTTGCCGACGGGCGGAGGAGGGGGAGCAGGAGGGGGAGGCGGCGGCAGGGGCGCCGAGACGCGCGGCATGCGGGCGAATGCGGGCGCTTTCTGCGCCGAGAGCTGAGGAGGAAGAAGAGGAGGGTCAGGCCATGGGCGCCAGGAGAGGAAAAGAGAAAGCTTGCGCACCTGACCCTTGAGACGCTGGACCTCCTCCTCGAGCTCCTCGATCCGCCTGTTGCTCCGCTCCTTCTCCTTCTCCGTCCTCCACACGCGCTCAAACTGGTCGCCCGCTTCGGCAAGGAGCGTCGCGCCTGCTCGCCCGCCCTCGCGCATCTTGTCCTTGCCCTTGCGCTGCGTCTGCGGGCTCGACGCGCCCGACGCCGCGAGGTTGGGCAGCGACGCCGAGGCCGACAGCGTCGCCAGCTGCGGAAGAGTCGGCCCGGGATGGAAGTCGTGCTGCAGGCCGGCCTGGGCGTACGAGCGCTCGCGCCGATGCAGGCGGTGCGCTGCGAGCGCCGAGGTCGACGACGCTGCCGACGAGCCCGGCGCCGCCGGCGCCTGCAGACCCGCCGGGGCAATGCGACGCTTGCCGCTGAGCGACCTCAGGCCGCTGCCGTCGCCGCTGCGGCGAGACGCCTCGAGCGATGCGCGCGGCGCGAACGACGAGGACAAGCCCTCGTCGGTCGTGGCGGCGTGGACGAGCTCGTCGGCGTAGGACGAGTCGACGTAGGGACGAAGGGGATGGCGGGGCGAAGAAGGGGAGGTCGACAGGTTGCGGTTCTGGCGAGGCGAGGACGAGAGCGAGTCGTAGGAATGGGACGACGGGAAGGCGCTCGACTGCGAGATGGGCGGCATGAGGGGTGGAACTGCGGGAGCGAGAGGGTCAGTTCTTCAGGTCGCTCTGAGGCCGGTAGGCTCGAGTAGACGCACCGCCGTCAAACAACAAGTCGTCGCCTCGAGACTCGACGACCCGACGCCGCTTGCCCCGGCGCTCGCCGTCCCTGCTCCTGCCCGACCCCGAGCCCTCGCCTGCCCTCTCACGCTTCTCGCCGACGCGCGCCTCGTCGCCCCTGCTGCCGACGTCGCCGCCCGCACGAGCTGCACCGCCCCCGGTGCCGCTCAGCCCGCGCACGAAGCCGGCAATCTCGACCGTCGCGGCGGCCTTGAGACTGGACCACACGCCGGCGAGACTGCTGAAGGCGAACGAGCTGCTGTGCGGCGCAGCCTGGCTCGGGCGTGGCGGGCTGAGGAGGATCGTGTGGAGCGATGAGGTTGACCGACTCCTCGGCGGCGTGGGCGGCGAGGCGGGCGAGCTGGCGGAGGGTGGGGGCGGCATGGCGCCTTGAAGGGCACTGGTAGTGCCCTCGAGCAACTCGTGGCTGTCGCAGAGGGGAGACGAGCGAGTCGTGGCGGACAACCTCGCTCGCCGCCGGTCGCGAGGAAGCAGCCAACGTTGCACCCTCTCTCGGGCACGATGTGGCTGCGCGAAGCCGCGAGTGCAGTGCGAGTCTCTGTGTGCACTCTTTCGGCCACTCAGGCGAGGCCTCTGCGACGAGAGAGCGTCCACTTCTTCCTCCTCGCCCGGCGCGTCCCTCTTCGGTGGCTCGTCCTCTCCCAGCAACGCGTCTTTCGGTCTAGTTGCGAGCGCGAGATCTCGCAGGTGCTCTGCAGAGTCGATCGCCCAGGTCTCGGCCATCAAGCTGCGCGCGAGAACTGTGAGCGCTTCCACCGCTTGCTCGCTCTCGACCGTGAGAGGCTCTCGCGCGAACGAGAACGGGTCGACGTTGCCCTGACACGACAACAAGAGAGAGAAAGAGTCGCAGAATAGCCCGATCGCAGTGTCCGTCCTGTAGCTCGTTGAGGTAGGGGTATCAAAAGGTGAGGTCGAGCCTCGAGTGTCCGTTCCGCCCGCCCGCCCAGCTCCTCGTCCAGTCCCTCCTCCAAGTCACCACGCGACGACCTCCTCCTCCTCCCAGACGCGCTGATCCGAGGCGCGCGCCTTTTTGGCGATGGCGTAGGCGCGGTGGAGCAGGGTGAGGACGACGGGCTGGATCGAGGGGAGGATGAGCGCCGAGAGGATGAGCTGCGTCCTGTGGCGGCGGGGCAGAGACGTCAGTACAACGACATCGAGAGAGGAAAGAGAGAGGGAGAGTGAAGGGAAGGAGGGAGGGAGGCGGAAGGGAGAGGGAGGGGGGAAGAGGGAGGCGAGGAAAGTGGGGAAAAGGGACGCACGGTTTGCCAACCTGCTCGCGAACGCTGACGACGACCTCGCGCGTCTTGTCGTCGACGAGCTGGAAGCAGCTCGGGTCCTTGAGCTTGACCCACCGGTACTTGCCGCCGCCGACGCCCTTCCACAGGGGCTCGGCGTTGCCAAAGATGGCGCGGCGGTAGAACTTGCTCCACCGGATCTTGCGCCCCTGCTGGAGGAACAGCGTCTGCTCGGTGACGAGCCCGACCTTCTTGAGCTGGTCCGACCCGCGCTCGCGCTGCTGGGCGGTCGGCACCTCGAGGAGGAGCCACTCGACGCCCTCGGCCTCGTTGCGCGCCTGGCCGGCCTCGGCGCCCTCGGACGGCCCGAGCCCGTCGTGCCACTCGGGCCACAGGATGCCGTCCTCGGCCAACGCGCCGCCGGCCGACTCGCGCCTCAGGACGCCGTCCTCGCCTCGCCGGTACTCGCGCGCGACAAAGACGACGCGCCGCGCCTGCGCGTCGACAAAGACCGTCTCGAACCCGCGCTGCTTCTCGAGCGGCGACTCTTGCCACGACAGGTACATCGACGGCGAGACGACCGACGGGAGCGACGGCGAGGTCCAGTCGGCGACGTCGAACGGCGGGCCGAGAGAGAGGGCGGTAGGCGCAGGTACAGGGGGAGGAGGTGATGGACGAGGTGCCGACGAGCGGGCTGGCGACGCCGACGAGGCGCGCGAACGAGGAGGAGGCCCCTGCATGCCGTGCGGGAAGGTCGACGAGGAAGGCGACGACGTCGAGTCGCGAGGACGGGGAGGAGGGGCGTGCATGCCGCGAGGAAAAGACGGCGAGGAAGGCGTAGGAGGAAGGGAGAGAGATTGCGCTGCTGGAAAAGTGAAGGTGGTCGAGGCGGAGGTGCCGGAAAGTCCGGACCTGTTGGACCATGTTGGCGAGGTCGGCGGCTCGGGCGCGCGCTGGACCTGGGCGCCATACGACAGGTGCGGCGGCGGGCCGGGCGCACGTGCGTAGTGCTGCCCTGGGAGGACGCGCGACGACGGGCGCGCCGGCCCGATAGTTGACCTCGGGCGAACTTGGTCGTCGTCGCCGCGGCGGTAGAGCTTGTGCGGCTGCTGCAGCTGGGACGGCGGGCGAGGCTGACGCCCCTGGTGGGCGTGCTGGGCGCGCGCATCGTGGGCGGGCGAGTAGCCACGCGGCGGAGGAGGTTGGGCAAAGATCGCCGTCGGGGGTCCGGGAGGTGGCGCGGTGCGCGAGCTGATGCGGGGCTGCTGGGCGAAGGTCGAGCCTGGTGGGGCGTGCGTGTAGTACTGGCCAGGCTGCGCGTACTGGCTCGCGCCCGAGTGTGGCCGCATGCCGTCGGTCGCCGCCTCGAGCTGCTGATCAAAGTAGTCGCGCGGCGGGGCGGCGGCGGCGGCGTCGCTCTTGGCGAGGTCGTGCGGGCGTGGCGAGGGGAAGGGGGACGAGGTCGAGCTCGAGGTGGCGAGCGAGTTGGTCGAGGCGTAGCGGCGGAACCCAAAGTGGGACGACGCCGCGGACGAGGTCGACGAGAGCGCGGGCGAGGCGGACGGGCTCGAGTTGGGGCCGGCGGTTGGGTGCAGGTACTGGTGCGGCCTGGCCATGCGTCGGTGCTGGCTGTAGCGTACTCGAGAGAGCTCACGGGCGAGAGGGAGAGGGAGAGCCAAGGCCCGACAAACACGGACGAGGCGGAACCGGGTCGGGAACCCTCTCTCCGCTCGACCACGAGACCAGCTTGCGGGGTGCTAACTAGTTAGACCGCCTCGCGACGCGTGCTCCAGGCTCCACACTTATGTAAGGCGAGAAGCGAGGCCGACCCGGGAAAGCGAGCGCGCTGGTGCACAACAGCAACACGAGCGGAGGTCGACCACGACGACGACGTCCACCTTCAGCTGACGGGCCGCAGCTCCTGCAATCTATTTGATGTCAAGCTGCCCGTACCGAGCTGGGCGCGCACGCACGCACGCACCTCTGAGTGCGCCCCGCCTCGTGCGCCTGCCCGCGTCGACGCGTCCTTTGTCCGAGTCGCTAGATCTCTCTCTCTCTTCCCATCTTCTCGCTCGCTCGCTTTTCCCGACCTCCCCCTCTCTGGCAGAGGGTCGATCCACCTCACTCGTTACCGCCTCGACTCGCTCTCCCACCATGCGCGCCTCCGTCCTCGTCGCCGCCCTCGCCTCCGCCGGGTTCGCGAGCGCACACTCCGCCTCGGCTCAGCACCGCCGCAGCCACGCCAAGCGCGCTGCCGGCTACACGCTCACGGGCCACCACGCCGGTCAAGACTTCCTCGACCTGTTCAACTACGACACGCGTGCGTCGCCGTCCGCCTCCCTCGCCCCTCCCCCTCTCGCGACCGCCCTCTGACCCGGCTCCTTCCCGCGCAGACTCGAGCAACGACGGCCTCGCCCTGTACGCCACGACCAAGACAGCGTCGAGCAACGACCTCGTCGAGGTCAAGGACGGCAAGGTCCACCTGCGCGTCCACCCGAAAGCCGAGGACGGCAAGCTCCAGTCGATCAAGCTCAGCTCCAAGCAGCAGTACGGCGAGGGCCTCTACATCTGGGACATCGAGCGCATGCCGCAAGTGTGCGTCCAACCTTCCTCGCTACTTCTCGGCGACGTCGCGACAGAGCCCGCTCTGACCCCCCTTCTTTCCTCGCCCTTTTCCTTCTCTGCGCCCGACCCTCCTCGTCTAACTTCCTTCGACTCGGCTCTTCCACCTCTTCCATCTCTTGCAGTTGCGGCGCGTGGCCCGCCATCTGGTCGACCGGCGACAACTGGCCTGCAGGCGGCGAGATGGACCTCGGTGCGTCTCGCCTTTCCCTCCTCCTTCTCTCGCACCCGGACTGACCAAGATCCTCCCCCCAGTGGAGTACGTGTCACACCACACTATGAACTCGATGTCGGTCCACACGGCGCCCGGCTGCTGGTGCGTCTCCTTGCCTCGGCATCGTCCTTGTCTCCCTCGGCGCGGAAGCTCACTTCCCCATCTCGCGCGCAGGGCCGGATCGACCGGGTACACGGGCACGCCTATGCTCGCTGGCTCGAACGGGCTCAACTGCGACGCCGAGGCCACCAGCTCGCAGGTGCGTCTCCCCTTCCCTCCTCTTGGCGACCTTCTCAGAGCGAGGAGGCCCTCTCGCGCCTCTGTGGCCGACGCCGCAAACTGCCAAGTCGCCTCAGGACACCTCACTGACGTCTCTTCTCTCACAGGGCTGCGGCTTCCGCACCAAGTCGAACAACACGGCCGGTATCGGCGCCAACTACGGCGGCGCCGGCGTCTACGCCCTCGACTGGTCGTCCTCGGGCATCTCGATGTGGTTTTTCCCGCGTCACGAGATCCCGGGCGACATCCTCAGCAAGAACCCGAACCCGTCGAGCTGGAAGACGCCGACGCTGCACATCGCCGAGGCCAACTGTTCGCCCATCTCGGACTACTTCAGCCCGCAGCAGTTCGTCATCAACACCGACCTGTGCGGCACCTGGGCGTCGGGTACCTGGAACGCCGACAACTCGTACGCCGGTCAGTCCGAGGGCTCGTGCGCCTCGAGGACTGGCTACTCGACTTGTGCCGAGTACGTCCAGAACGAGGCCAAGGACTTTATGCACGGTGCGTCCCTCGCTCTCTCTTTCCGGTCCTCGCCTCTTTCTCGACGGGCTCGACGGCGAGCGCGCCGTCGCGACGGTTGTCTGCGTCGTCAAGGCGTCGGGCGAGGGTCGTCGCTCGTCGTCGTCCGAGCCTCGTCGCTCGTCACCAGGACTGACCCTGCTTTGCGCCCCACTTTCGCAGCGTACTGGCGCATCGCGTCGCTCAGCATTTACAACAAGTAGCCGTCGAGCATCTCAGCCGCCGCCCTCGCCGCGCGACCTTCTCTCCTTCACCTTCCTCGTTTCGCCCTTTCTCGTCCCGTCCCTTTTCCCAATCCTTCGCCTCTCTCCTATACCCCGTCGCCTTCTACTCTTGTCGCGTCGTCGCTACGACCCTCGGCGTTTCCTGCCCGTAGCGTTCTCCTCTGCAACGAGCACCCGCCGACCCGCTCCAGCTGGCCTGGCTCTCCCTTTCGAATTCTCTCCTGTCGCGGTCGTTGAGTCGAGCTCCCGAGACTGTGTTCTCGGACGTCGCAGAGCGCTCAAAGGCGAGCTCGAGCGGCGGGCGCAAGCTTTGGGCTTGGGCCGCGGACCGGTCCTTCTCGGCCGCGGTTCGTTCGGCTCTCCCCACATTGCTCGCTCTCGCTCTCTCTCTCGCTCTCACCCGCGAGCCAGCAAGCTCGACTCTCGAGACCATGCCTCTCGCACCAGGCGCCGAGCCCTTGCTCCCGACCAACTCGAGCTCGCTCAACGGACCGGACGCGCTCGTCCTCGAGCGGATGCGCATCCGCGAGCTCATGGAGGGCTTCCCGGCGCACCGCGACGCGTGCGAGTGGAGCAAGCTGCGCGCCCTGTTCGCCGACGACGAGGCGTTCGTCTTCACGACGTGGTCGGGCGGCGTGCCGGTCGACGAGTTCGTGCGCATCTCCGAGTCGGGCTTTGCCAAGGGCGTCAAGATCGCTGTGCGTCCTCGTCCTCCTTCTTCCACCTCTCGTGCAGAAACTGACGACGACGAGCGACCGCAGCACCGAGTGAACGGCGGGACGGTCGACGTCGCGACGTCGGGTCCGGCGGCGGGCAGGCGAGGGTTGGGCAAGCTTAAAGCGTGCGTCCTGCTTCTCTTTCTCGTCGTGCGCCTCGTGAGCCAACCCTGACGATACTCTGCACCCGCAGGACGATCACGCAGCGCTTCACGATGCCGACGGCGGTCGAGGGAGAGACGTGCGAGGTCGACGTCGACGCCGATTGTCGGTGAGCCCTCGCTCTCCCTGCCCGTGACGATCCGGTCTCGACGAGCAGTGTACTGAATCGAGATCGTCGGGACGCAGGCTGTGCTTCTTCGTCGAGAAGAAGGCGGACGGCGCGTGGAAGAACCACTTCTTCAAGTGCGTCGCACGGTCCCTCTCCTCTCCTCTCGAGGCAAGGCACGCTGTCCCTCCAGGGGCCCGCCACTGACAAAGAAGCACCCACTGTCTCGCAGAGGGTTCTACGAGAAGGACAAGGCGACGCCCGTCGACCCTCGCAAGATTCCCGTGTACGACGACGAGAAACTGGCGTCGTTCCCCGAGGGCTACCGCTTCCTCGCGTACGGGCAGTCGAGCGCGTACAAGATCAAGATGGACCTGCCGCAGAGCCGAGGTGCGCTCGCCTTTCGCTGCACCGTCCCGTCGACGAGCGCTCGCTAACGAAGCAGCCTCTCGTTCGCAGGCGAGGAGCACGACCACTTCTACTCGTGCTTCGTCGACTGGCTCGAGGGAGCGAGCCTCGACGACATGAAGCTCAAGCTGGGCGTGTAGCAGGACAGCACGCGCGAGCGCAAGAGCGACTCCCGCTCGACCGCGCGAGAGAGGAGAATGCGAGAGAGCGACGGCGCAGAGCACGCGACAGCTGGGCCGGTCCGCGTTGAGAGCTGTCGACTGAGCTGCAGCAAAGGCGGACTCGGCGAGAGCGAGTAAAGGTGCGGAACGGAGCCTCCCCGCTCGACGACCACGACGACGAGGAGGAGCAGAGGCTTGGCTCCCTCAACTCGCCCCTCGCGTGCAAGCGCGACGCTGCAGGCCTGCTCTCCCGACTGAGCCGACCTCGCCACCGCCCTGCCGCCCCAGTGCTTCGCCAGCTCGACCCGCTCCATCGCCCCACGCGCCTCGACCTGCCGGCGACCGCGACCACCAGAGCCTCGCACCGGGTCCAGCCGCCTGACGCACACTCGACTACGCCCGACACAACACCTCCTCGACCGTGCGAGCAAGCCTGGGCTGCGAGAGCGCGATGAACCCGGTCCGTCCCTCATCCTCATCTCTCGACCTCGCAGTACCCTCGGCGGGGCTCGCTGGGCACCGGCTGACCGGTCGAGCCGACTCGCAGTTCGACTCGGACGACGAGGACATCTCGGTCTTCTCGCCCGGCCACGAGCCTGCTCCGCGCACCAACCCGTACGGCCCCACCGCCTCGACCTCGACCGCCGCACCACCACCCTCGAGCCGCACCGCCACTCGCGACCCGTTCGCCAACGCCAACGGCACGTACGACCCGCGAGACCAGAGCCAGAACCCGGCGAGCTATGGCGGCGGGCAGGCAGCAAATCGGTACGGCACCGCGACCGACGTGAGCACCCAGGGCATGAACCGCTACGACGACGTCGACGAGTACAACCCGTTCTAGTGCGTCCTGCCCTCTCTCTATCTCGCCTGTCTCAAGCGAGTGCTGCTAACCCAGGATGCCTGCCCGCAGCGACGACGACGACGACCTCACCGCCGGCCTCGGCGCGTCCAACCCTTCCCTCCCGACCTACGTCCGCGCCGGCAAGTCGTTCACGGGCGCCGTTCCGCTCACGGCGGACGCCCAAGCGCCTGCCGGGCACGCCCAAGGGCAGATCGGCGAGACGGGCCCGCCGCGCAACATGCTCGACGACGACGACGAGCTGCTCCAGGCCAAGGCGCGCATCGCCGCCCGGCAGGCCAAGGAGCAGCGGGTGCTCGATGCGCGAGGGACGGTGCAGCAGGTGTGGAAGAGCGTCAAGCGGCGGGCGATGGGCGGGCACCGCGTGTACGAGGGCGAGCGCGTGGTCCACCTCAACAACTCGACGCTCAACGCGCCGCAGAAGTGGCCCGGCAACTCGGTGTCGACGAGCAAGTACAACATCGTCACCTTCATCCCCAAATTCCTCGTCGGTGCGCTCCCTTGTCCCTCTCGTCCTCACCCGCATCCGAGCGACCGTCGCTCACTCGACGAGGAGCGTCTTCTTCTCCTGCAGAGCAATTCTCGAAGTACGCCAACGTCTTCTTCCTCTTCACGGCGTGCATCCAGCAGATCCCCAACGTCTCGCCGACCAACCGGTACACGACCATCCTGCCGCTCGGCATCGTCCTCATCGTCGCAGCGCTCAAGGAGATCAAGGAGGACGTCGTACGTCCCCCCTCAGCCTTGCCTCATCTTCTCTTGCGCGCACCTGAGCTCACCTTCTCCCCCTTGGCGCGCAGAAACGGCACCGGTCGGACGCCGACCTGAACGCGCGTCGCACCAAGGTCCTCGAGGGCGCCACCTTTGTCGACAAGCCGTGGCGCAGCGTGCGCGTCGGCGACATTGTCCGCCTCGAGTCGGACGACTCGTTCCCGGCCGACCTCGTCCTGCTCAGCTCGAGTGAGCCCGAGGGCCTGTGCTACATCGAGACGAGCAACCTCGACGGGTGCGTCCCGGTCCCTCCTTCCCTGCCGAGCTTTCTCCTGTCGCACGACTTCCTGACATTCTCCCCATGCGTCGACAGCGAGACCAACCTCAAGATCAAGCAGGCGCACACGTCGACCGCGACGCTCGACTCGCCGCTCGCCCTATCGCAGCTCGCCGGGCAACTGCGGTCCGAGCAGCCCAACAACTCGCTCTACACGTTTGAGGCGACGCTGTCGATGGGTCAAGCCGGGCACGCCGCCACCTCGAGCGAGACGCCGCTCGGGCCCGACCAGATGCTGCTCCGAGGCGCCCAGTTGCGAAACACCGGGTGGCTGTACGGCCTCGTCGTCTTTACGGGCCACGAGACCAAGCTCATGCGCAACGCGACGTGCGTCCACCTCTCTCTCTCTTCCTCTCGGAGCCGTCCTGACGCGCTCGAGGCCCCCGAACAGAGCCGCCCCGATCAAGCGCACGGCAATGGAGCGCATGGTCAACGTCCAGATCCTGTTCCTCCTCGGCATCCTCCTCGTCCTGTCGCTCGCCTGCGCCATCGGCTCGACGGTCCGCACCCACGCGTTCGGCGACGACATGTGGTACCTGCTCCTCGCCGACGACGAGGGTTCCTCGGTCGTCAACAAGTTCGTCAAGGACGTCCTCACCTTCATCCTCACGCTCAACAACCTCATCCCTATATCGTGCGTCTCCTCGTCCCTCTTCTCCTTGACCACGACGACGAGCCGACTCTTGTCCCACCCGCAGGCTCATCGTCACGATGGAGGTCGTCAAGTTTCAGCAGGCCGCGTTCATCAACTCGGACCTCGGTGCGTCCGCTCTCTCTGGTTCTCTGCGGCGGCCCCCGAGAGAGTGCACGTCGAGACTGACTCGAGGGCGCGCGCAGACATGTACCACGCCGCGACCGACACGGCCGCGCTTTGCCGCACCTCGTCGCTCGTCGAGGAGCTCGGCCAGATCGAGTACATCTTCAGCGACAAGACGGGCACCCTCACGTGCAACCAGATGGAGTTCCGCCAGTGCTCGATCGCCGGCATCGCGTACGCCGACGTCGTCGAGGAGTCGAAGCGCGGCGAGGTCTTCTCGTTCCAGCAGCTGCGCGACAACGTCGCGAGCGGGCACGAGACGGGGCACATCATCGAGGAGTTCCTCACCCTGCTCGCGACGTGCCACACCGTCATCCCCGAGAAGAAGGACGACAAGATCACGTACCAGGCCAGCAGTCCTGACGAGGCCGCTCTCGTCCAGGGCGCCGACGTCCTCGGCCACACGTTCACGGTGCGCCCTCGTTCCCCTCCTCTCGAGCGCCGTACGTCTCGATACCGACGCTCACTCGACGTCGGTCCCGCAGACTCGCAAGCCGCAATCGGTCTTCGTCACGGTCGACGGCCGCCAGCGCGAGTACCAGGTGCTCAACATCCTCGAGTTCAACTCGACCCGCAAGCGCATGTCGGCCGTCGTGCGCATGCCCGACGGCAAGATCAAGCTCTACTGCAAAGGCGCCGACACGGTCATCTTTGAGCGCCTCGCGAGCGAGGGTCAGCTCTTCAGCGAGACGACGAGCAACCACCTCGAGGTGCGTCTCGACCGTTCCTCCCATCCTCGACGATGAGGACCTCCCCTGACCCTGTGCGTGTGTGTGCCCGTCGTCGCAGGAGTACGCCACCGAGGGCTTGCGCACACTGTGCATCGCCATGCGCGACATCCCCGAGGACGAGTACCGCAAGTGGGCGACGATCCACGCTCGCGCCGCCGCCACCATCAACGGCCGCACCGAGGCGCTCGACAAGGCGTCCGAGATCATCGAGCGCGACCTGTTCCTCCTCGGCGCGACCGCCATCGAGGACAAGCTCCAAGAGGGCGTGCCCGACACGATCTACACGCTCCAGCAGGCCGGCATCAAGGTGTGGGTCCTCACGGGCGACCGCCAGGAGACGGCCATCAACATCGGCATGTCGTGCCGCTTGATCTCTGAGTCGATGAGCCTCGTGCGTCCTCGCCCTCACTCTCTCCCTCTCTCCCTCTCGAGTCGGCCCCTAACCTCCTCGCCACCGGCCGCAGGTGATCGTCAACGAGGAGAACGCGCTCGACTGCAAGGACTTCTTGACGAAGCGTCTCGAGGCGGTCAAGAGCTCGCGCAGCGCCGGCGACTTTGAGGAGCTCGCCCTCGTCATCGGTCCGTCGCCTCGCCCTCTCTCGAGTCGGTCTCGCCCTCCCTTGCCTGACAGACTCTCCCTCTCTGCAGACGGCAAGAGCCTCTCGTTCGCGCTCGAGAAGGACCTGTCCAAGACGTTCCTCGAGCTCGCCGTCATGTGCAAGGCGGTCGTCTGCTGCCGCGTGTCGCCGCTGCAGAAGGCGCTCGTCGTCAAGCTCGTCAAGAAGAACCTCAAGGCCATCCTGCTCGCCATCGGCGACGGCGCCAACGACGTGTCGATGATCCAGGCGGCGCACGTCGGCGTCGGCATCTCGGGCCACGAGGGCCTCCAGGCGGCGCGCTCGGCCGACGTCGCCATCAGCCAGTTCCGCTTCCTCAAGAAGCTCCTTCTCGTTCACGGCACCTGGTCGTACCAGCGCCTCAGCAAGCTCATCCTGTACTCGTGCGTCGACTGTTTCTCCCCCTGTCGCGCTCGCACGGCCATCCTCGCCCGGGTCGCTCACGCGCGCGCCGCGCACTCTCCCTCCTCGCCCTGCAGCTTCTACAAGAACATCGCCCTGTACATGACGGGCTTCTGGGTGAGCGCGTCGTCCCTCATCGTCGTCGTCGTCGTCGCGCACGAGCCTGACCCTGCCCTCGTCGCCCAGTTCGCCTTCCAAAACTCGTTCTCGGGCCAAGTCCTCGAGGAGGGCTGGACCCTCACCTTCTACAACGTCGTCTTCACGGTCCTTCCGCCCATCGTCCTCGGCGTGTTCGACCAGTTCGTCGGTGCGCGCATGCTCGACCGGTACCCAGAGCTGTACAAGCTCGGCCAGCAGAACAAGTTTGTGCGTCGCCTTCCCTCGCCCTTCCCTCTCCCTCTCCCTTTCGAGCGTGTACTGACGAATTGTCCTTCTCTCGTCGGCAGTTCTCGGTCCGCATCTTCTGGCAGTGGATCGCCAACGCGCTCCTCCACTCGTTCGTGCGTCGTCCATTCTCCTCGCCGTTCATCCAGAGTCGGCGTCACTGACCCTCGAGCTCTCGGCGCAGGTCATCTATGTCTGTACGGCGACGGTATTCAGCCAGGGCCTCATCCTCGTTCAGGGCTGGGTCGGCGGGCAATGGGTCTGGGGCACGACACTGTACCTCACGGCGCTCGTCACGGTCCTCGGCAAGGCGGCGCTCATCTCCGAGTGCGTCTGTCTCTCTCTGGCTCTCTTTCTCTCTCGTCCTCGCTAGGACCTGCGGCGTCCTGACTCGGTCACGCCCGTCTCGCAGCATCTGGACCAAGTACACGTTGGCGGCCATCCCCGGCTCGTTTGCGTTCACGATGGTCTTCCTCCCCCTCTACGCCTGGGTCGCGCCAATGCTCGGGTTCTCGCTCGAGTACGACGACATCGTCGGCCGCCTGTGGACGTCCCTCATGTTCTGGCTCACCATGATCGGCATCCCGGTCCTCCTCCTCACGCGCGACTTTGCGTGGAAGAGCTACAAGCGCCTCTTTCAGCCCGAGCCGTACCACATCGTTCAAGAGATCCAGAAGTACAACCTGCCCGACTATCGACCGAGGATGGAGCAGTTCCAGAAGGTGCGTCGCCGCCATCCTCCTCTCCTCGCGTGAGCCGGTCCGAGCGAGGTTCACTCACCAACCTTTTCGTTCACTCTCGCAGGCTATCAAGAAGGTGCGTGCGGTGCAGAGGATGCGCAGGAACCGCGGCTTTGCCTTTTCCCAGTGCGCCCATCTCTCCTCCTCCCCCCCGCCCCCCCCCCCCCTCGCGCCCTCGCTCACCTCTTTTCCCTCCTTTCTCGCCCGCAGGACGGAGGAAGGCCAGGAGCACCTCATTCGCGCCTACGACACGTCTGTCACGCCTGGCGGCAAGCGGCTCGAGACTCGATGAGGGGCGTGCACGAGCGAGTGGAGGAGGGGGAGGGAGCTGTGCCTGTACAGTCGGCTGTGGAACCGTGCCATGGACACTGTGTTCGAGCCTACTCTCGCGAGCGTGTACGACCCGAGAGAGGCGTGCCTGCGCACTCGTCGGTCCAGGCAAGGCGGACCTCCGCTGCGTGCCGGCGGGCCTTTCCTGATTGGCAGCAGATCGCTCTCTCGCCGCTCTCGACCGTGGACCACGCTCGCCTCGCTCCTGGAGCTTCGCAGGAGCCAGGGGACCCGACAATCGGTCGGCAGCCAGCAGCCTGCAGGCGCGCCGTGCTTCCTCCCTGGAGGAGGGCCGCCCCGCAGCTTGACCTGCTGTCGCTCCTTGCGTCCTCGGTGCGGCTGCTACGACTCGGCTGCTGGTCAGTACGGCGCACAGCCTCGGCGGCCCACATGGCCTCGTCACTGCCGACGACCCTCGACGAGCGCACGGTCGCCAACCTCATCTCGACCCTCGACCGGACGCTCTACCCTGAGCCGACGGCGGGCTTCACGGCAAGGACGGCCATCCTGATCGCCTTGACTGCACTGTGCGTCGCTCGTCTCCTCTCGATCGAGGCGCGCCGAGAACTGACCCTCGTCCTCCCCCTTCTCGCGCAGGTCGATGCTTCTCGTCCTCCTGTACCTGTACCTACACTATCGCAGCTCGTCAGAAGGCGTGCGGTGTCTATGGTTTATGCGCCTCATCGACCGCCCAAGCGGCCGCTTCCTCGTCATCAAGTGAGCCTCGAGCCCTCCCTCCCCTCCCCTTCCTGCCGCCCTCGAGGAGTCGCCGTACTGAGCTGACACGCCTTCATGTGACCGCAGCCCTCGACTCGCATGGGTCGGTACCGTCTTGCTGTACGGCTCGTACGAGCTCGTCATCCTCGGCGTGTTCTGGCAAACCTACTCGCTCGGACGAGGGCAAAAGGCGTGGCTCGCCCTGCGCACGTTCGACGCGATGGTCCTCGCGCTCGGTGGATGGATCATCAGCTGGGCAGGTTTGACGGTACGTCGTTCGCGAGCCGTCGCCGCACGCGCTCAGGCCCTGACGATCCTCGCACCCGCAGGCTTTCCTCGTCGCGGTCGACTCGGAGCGCCACTGCGTATCGGCACGCACCGCAAACTTCCTGTTCATCGGTGGTGGGCTCACGCTCATCGGCGTCCAAACGGTGCGCCTGACCTTTCTCCTTTCCCTGGTGGTCGACGAGCCTGACTCGTCCGCCGTGCGCGCAGGCCCTCGCAACGGCGGTGACCGTCCTCCTCGAGCGCTTCTGGGACCGCTATCTGGAACTACGTGGCGCCCTCGTCAGACTCGACCGGTCCCTCGACGGCAAAGCCCCGACGCTCCTCGACTTTGTCCCGCTTCGAGACCCGGCCGAGGCCTTCGCGGCCGCAGCGGGCCCAGCTCGAACGTGCGTCCACCTCTCGCACCTCTCGCCAAGTGTCCCTCGACCTGACGAGCCTGCGCTCGCAGCGCCAGCCTCGTCCAATTCGCCTTCATCATCGTCTTTCCCCTGTCGATCCTCGCCGTCAACTTTGGCGGCCTCGCTCTCGTACGTCGACTGCGGCATCAGCTCAACGAGAGCGCCGAGTTCGACGCATCGGCCATCGAGATCGACCTCGACCGCAACGCGACTATGGTCAGCTCGGGCGGGCTCGGCCCCCGTCCGGCCCCAGCGCTCGAGGTCGCGTCGCCGTCAAGCAGCGGCTTCGGCGTGCGAGACGCACAGCTCGCCGTCTCGGTCGCACCAGAAGGCGGCAACGACGGCGTGCACGTCAAGGCGCACCATCAGCTGGACGCTCGGGCCGTGCGGATCTTGGACCGGCGAGGCGGCACGTCCGCCGCCAGGGCACAAACGCGTCGACTTCTCGTGCTCCAGAAGGCGATGCGAGACCTCCAGATGGTCCGTCCTGCGTCTCTTTCTCTGTGTCTCGGATACAGTCGTCCCGCCGCTCTCATCGGCACCGGGCGCTGACTCCTCTTCTCGAGCAACAGACGGCGTGGCACATCGGCTTTGTCTCGACCTGCCTCCTCGCGACCACCATCTGGCTCCTCTACTGCGCCGTGACCGACCGCACGACGTCGGGAGAATGGGCCTAGTGCGTCGTCCTCGTCCTCTCGGCCTTGCGGGCGCACGCGCCTCTCATTTCACGAACTCACCCTTGCGCCCTTCTCGCAGCATCGAGGGCACCGCCATGCCGGCTCAGTGGATCTACTCGGTCGCCGTCGTCGTCTCGCTCTTCTTCCTCATCTACAACCAGCTGGCCAGCCGCCGACGCCTGGTCGGCCTCGAGAAGGGCGACGACTCGAACGCTGTCACGCCGCCCAAGCTCCATGTCACCATGCCTGCGTCTGGTCGCTCGACGCCTGGTTCCTCTCCTCTCGACTCGACGCGCTCGGCGACCCGCAGCCGCAGCCAGGGCGAGGTCGAGAACCCGGCAAAGGACGCGTTCGAGAAGCACCTGCTCGGCATCGGCGACGACGACGGCGCTCCAGCCCCAGCCCGTCCTCCGTCAGACGCCGACATGACACGGCGTCCCACCCTGCGCAAGAAGAGCTGGGCGTCGTTCGCGTCGCGGGATTCTGGCGAGGGCGGCGGGCCGGCTTGGAGATTGAGCTGGCCTGCGCGCGCCGTGCCGCCTCGCATGGCGAGTGCGGCGGCGTCGGTCTTTGTGACGGTCGAGACGTCGCAAGTGTGCGACGACGGCGCGGTCGGGCAGTCGCTCGCGGCTCGGGAGGAGAACCTCGGGAGCGGACTTTTCGGCGGCGGCATCGAGAGGGCCTGAGCTCTTCCCTCGTGTTCTCTCTCTCTGCAGTACCTTGTCGTAGCAATACCATGACTCTGTCCGTTTGCTGTGCCCCGACCGACGTGCGCGAGCCCGTCGTGAAAGCACAAAAGATTGACTCGAGCTGTGGGGGAGGGGCAAGCGGCGACGGCGCTCTCGCGTGCTTCCTCTCGTCGTAAGCGAGCGACCAAGGCGATCCTTCTTCGCCCGAGCGGCGGCACCTAGATCTGTGGCTCGGTAACGCCGGAGAGGGCAGGTTCGGTCGGGTGCTCACTGCCTTCATCAGTTCCCGCGCGCTTCCCGGCCTCCTGCGCCTTCCTCGGGCGTGCTGCGGGCAGACGGCTGCTGCCCTCGCGCTCAGGTGAGTTGCTCGAGCGCGCTGTGCCCTGCTCGACCCGGCTAGAGGTCTCGAGCCAGGCGCCAGGGTGGCTCGCCCGCTTCTCGGTACGCTCGGCAAAACCGCTCGTTCTCTCGACCGCTGCCGCGTCGCTTGTGCTCTGCCGTCGTCCAACGTCAAGGGCAAGCTCGCTACGCCATGGCGTCGCTCCTGCCGGCGACCCTCGACGCGCGCACGGTGTCCAACCTCGTCGAGGATCTCGACCGCGCGTTCTACCCTTCGCCCAGCTCTGGCTTCACGGCGAGAATGCTTGTCCTCGAGGCCCTCACGGTACTGTGAGTGTGTCTATACGAGATCGCGAAGCACAAGGGCTCGACTGACGACGGTCCTCGTGCCGTCCGCAGCTGCATGTTCCTCGCTATCTTCTACCTCTGGCTGCACTACCGCCACAGCCCCGAGGTGCCCAAGCGTCGATGCCTGTGGCTCATGCGCTACGTCGACAGGCCGAGTGGCCGGTTCCTCCTCATCAAGTGCGCACGTCCCCTCGTCTTCCTGGCCGTCGAGCAGCGCCGACGACCTGCGCTCACACCCTGCCCTCGCACAGCTCTCGACCCATCTGGTGCTGGACCATCCTCTTCTACACTTCGTACAGCATCGCTTTCCTCGCCGTCTGCTGGGCGGTCTACTCGCGCGGCATCGACCAGCGAGCCTGGATTGCCATGCGGGCGTTCAACGCGCTTTTCCTCTTCGTGTGCGGGTGGTCTTTCACGTTCGCAAACTTGCAGGTCCGTTCCATCTCTCCCTCTCCCTTCCTCTCTGCGCCCGTCTCGAGAACCGAGTCGACGATGAACAGGCATTTTTCGTCGCCATCGAGAGCGAGCGCGTCTACGTCTCTGCGCGAACAGCGAACGCCCTCTTCCTCATCGGCGGCGCCATCATCATCATCCTCGAGCTTGTACGTGAGTCTCTCGAGTCCAGAGAAAGCGAATACTGATAATGCTGCGTTGCAGGCCGTCGCGATCGAGGCGACCGTCTTTGCCGAGATTCTGTGGAACCGGTATCTCGACCTTCGCGGCAACCTCGTCGCTCTCGAGACCGCTCTTGGAGGTCGAGTACCGACCCTGGTCGACTTCATTCCGATCGCCGTGCCCGGCGAGGCGTTCGCCGCCGCCGCCGCAGCAGCTCGCATGTTCGTCGCGCTCGTTCTCCTTCGCCAGATGCGAGTACTGACCCTGACAGCGTGCAGCCACACGATCGTCCAGTTCTCCGTCGTCGCCATCATGCCGACGGCCATCATCGTTACCGACTTGGGCGGGCTCGCTCTCGCTCGTCGACTGAAGCGTCGGATCGAAGAGAGCGACGACTGGGCGCCAGACGCGCTCGAGCCTGTTCAGCCCGGCAGCTCAGCTGTCGAGCGAGACGGGCCCGACGAGCAGCCTCCTACTTCTAGCGAGCAGCTGCAGCTCGGTCGAGGAGCGGCAAACTGCCCCGCACGAGGCCTGAGCGCACTTGAGAAGGTCGACGGCGCGACGGTTCGAGTCGCCCTTGCTCGTGACCACACCAAGGCGGCACCTACTCGAGCACAGACTCGAGCCAGGGTCACCCTGCAAAAAGCGGCGAACGAGCTATTGGCAGTGCGTCCGACGGTCCTCCCCTCTCGCCTCGTGCTCTCGCGCTCGCACTGACTTTTTGCGGCGTCAGACGTCGCTCTCGACCGCGTTCATGGCCGTCAGTCTCCTCGGCGTCGCTATCTGCTTCGCGTGTTCGGCCGCAACGGGTGGGCTGAGCTCGGGCAAGTGGGCGTAGTACGCCATCTTCCCTCTTTTGCTCTCTTTGCCGGCTCGGCACGAGCTGAACAGACCTCTCACACAGCGTCGAGGCCATCGTACTGCCTGCGCAATGGCTCTACACCGTCGCTATCCTCGTCGCCAACGTCTACATGGTCCTGAACGTCCTCCGCAGCACCCGGCGGCTCACGGACCTCTCGACGACGGCGGCGCCGAGCGAGTGTGCGGGCCCCATCGTTATCGCCCACCCACCTATCGACAAGGTCGACGAGCGCGCCGGGCTCGAAAGCCTCGCGTCGTCGAGCCCAGGAATATTGACGCGAGACGAGCCGAACGCGAAGTGTCACGTCGAGCCAGGCGCCGGCGAGTCCGACACCAAGCCTTTCTTCTCTCGCCCGCCTCTGCTTTTCAGCGAGCGTCCAGCTCTCCTGCGGAGGATCAGCAGCCGGTCCGCCTGGTCGGACGCGAGCAGCGACGGCGGCGACGCGAGGAGCCCCGTCTGGAGGACACGGCCGGCGCCGCCTCAGTCGCCAGGCCGCCTTGGCGGGGCGATCATGGTGACGGTCGAGACGGTCGTCGTAGCGTCAGGGCTGGACGACGACGAGGACGAGCTGAGCGGGTGGGCGCACGAGCCCGACGTTTGCGTTTCTCTGCCATCGAACCCTGAGGGACCGCCTGAATAGCTCTGCAACGCGGTATTTGTACAGCTGCGGTCGACGAGAGAGTCGAGGCGTGTGCGGCGAGCAAGAAAGCCGGTCGCTCGAGGCGCAAGAGCGAGGTCGAGCTCGGCGATTCGGTCGAGCCGGGGCAGCCGACGGCGACGAGCCTGCGCCCTTGCAGCTCGGCGAGCAGCGGCGCAATGGCCCAGCAGATCTCGAAGCCCGACGAGCAAGCCGAGAAGGTAAAGCGAGTGGCGCGTGAGGAGACAAGCCACAGCGAGAGCGCAAAGGTCGCTCTCGAAACGAGGCTCGTGCGACGTCTCGCTTCTCTCGCTCCCTCAGCGAAAGGACTGCTCTCGCCTAGCGCTGCACGACCTGAGAGGGAGAGAAGGAAAGACCGGTATCTGGCACGCTGCGCTCGCTGCTACAGCGGCGAGGGCAAAGTCGAGGGCCACAGGGAGAAAGAGGTGGAAAGGGGCGAAAAGGGAGACAGAGAGGAGTGACGAACAAGAGGGGTATCTAGTGCGACGCGCTTATCGCGTCGAGGATGCAGGATAGAGTTTTTGCGGGTAGGGAAGGAGAGGAGAAGGGCGAGGGTCGAAGAGGATCGTGCGCGGCTACTCGGCGTCGCGGTACAGCTGGAGCTCGTGCGTCGCCTTGTCGAGGGCCTGCGTGCGTGTATAAAAGAGTGTCAGTGTCGTGTCGGGAGGATGGCGACCGGCAAAGAGGGAGCGGTAGTAGCGCACCTCGCGCCACTCGGCAATCTCGCCCTGGTGCCTGCTCGTCACCTCGGCGAGCTTACTTTCGTGCGCCGCGTGAAGCGCCTTGACGTCGACGTCCGTGACGGCGCCTGCAGGCGGGCCGTGGCTCGCGCGCCTCGCCTCCTGCCGCGCGTCGGCGAGCTCCTCGACGGCGCGCTGCCGCTCCTCCTCGATCTTGGCCTGGAGCGCGCCGAGCGCCGCCTCGTGCTCGCGCGTGCGCTGCTGCAGCGAGTGTACATGGTCCTCGAGGACCGACTCGAGCTCCGCTTGGTGGAGCTGGTCCATCGAGTCGAGCTGCGCCGCGAGCCCCTCCTGCGTGTCGCGCAGCGCCTGCGTCGCGTCGTCGCGCTCCTGCTCAAGCTCGGCCACGCGCGCGTGCATCTGGTCCATGTCGACGCCGTTCAACTGCGGCTCGGACGCGGCAGCAGTCGCGGCGGCGTCGGCGGCGGCGGCGGCGCGCTCCTCGGCGGCGGCGACAGCCTTGCGCGCCTCGTCGAGCGCCTCGTCGCGCGCCTTGATGCCCTGCTCGAGCGCCTCGGCCTCGCGCTTGGCTTGCGCGAGGTCGGCCTCGGTCGCGGCGAGCAAGAGCTTGGCGCTCTGCACGTCGGCCTCGCGCGCCTGGGTCGCCGACGCCGACGCGCTTTCGGCGGCGAGGCGCAGGGCGTCGAGCTCGGCGGCGTGGGCGGTGCGGAGCTCGGCGACGGCCGACTCGGACGAGGAGCGGAGGTCGGCGAGCGCGTCTTGGTGCGCCGACGAGGCCGAGGCGTGCGCCTCGTCGCGGGCGTTGGTGACGGCCGTCTCGTGCTGCTCCTTCGAGGCCTGCGGGCATGGAACACGCTGTCAGTCTCGCGATCGCGACAAAGGTGGAGGATCAGGGGAAAGAGAAAGCACCGCCAGCTCGGCCTTGACGCGCTCGAGTTCCTGCTCGCCCGCCTTGCGCGCCTCCTCTGCCCGCTCGATTGCCTCGTCCCTCTCCCTCCTGACAGCCTCGAGCTCCTCCCGACTCGCGGCGCCCTCCTTGACCTCGCCGAGCTCGACCTTGACCCGCTCAAGCTCGTCACGCGCCCGGCGCAGCTCGTCGTCGACGTCGGACCGCGCCGCCTCGAGATGCGCGCTGTGCTCGGCCTGCACGCTCTCGAGCTTGGCGGCGTGCTCGCGCTCGAGCGCGTCGACCGCCGCCGCATGCTCGGCCCGGACCCGCTCGGCGTCCTGCGCGCCGTGCTGCGCCTCGTCGAGCTGGGCCCTGAGCTGCTCGAGCTCGGCCTCGAGGCGCTCGACGTCGGCGCGCTGCGCGTCGTGCGCGGCCGAGTCGCCCTCGCGCGCGTCGGCGAGGTCGGCCTCGAGCTGGGCGGCGCGCTCCTGCGCCGCAAAGAGGTCGGCGTCGAGCTGCGCGGCGTGGTCCTCGGCGGCCGACAGGTCGGCTTGGGCCGTCGACAGGGCCGAGGCGTGCTCGTCGCGGGCGGCGGCGAGCGAGGCGGTGTGATCGTCGCGGGCGGCGGCGAGGGAGGAGGCGTGCTCGTCCTTGGCGGCCGCCAGCGACGACGAGTGCTGCTCGTCGCGGTCGACGAGCGCCTTCTCGTGCTCCTCCCTGGCGGTTGAGAGCGCCGAGGCGTGCGAGGCGTGCGCCGAGTCGAGAGAGGTGGCGAGCTGGTCGGCGTGCGAGGTCCTGCAAGGGGGACGAGGTGGTCAGTGCATGTCGCAGGCCATCGACGACGAGAGCGACCTTCTCAAAGGAAAGGCCGCCCGGCGAAGCCAGCATCAAACAGGGCGACGCACCGTTCGTCCTCGAGCGCCTTGGCGAGCTCCTCCACCTCGCCCCTCGCCTTCTCGAGCGCCCCCCTCACCTTGTCCAGCTCGGCCCTCGCCTTCCCGAGCTCCTCGCCATGCTCGGCGCGCAGGTGGTCGAGCTGCTCGGCGTTCTCGCGCGAGAGGGACGCACGCAGGTCGTCGAGGGCGGCGGCGTGCTGCGTGTCGAGGGCGGCGAGCTGTTGCGCGTCGAGGAGCGGATCGGGTACGGGTGCGGGCAGAAGAGGAGGGGAGGGGAGGGAGCACAGGGTCAGTGATTGCTGGCGGGACAAGGGCTGCGCTCGAGGATAAGAAGAGAGAAAGAGAAAGAGAGAGACGCACCTCGGCGGTGAGGGCAGCCTTGTCCTCCTCGAGCTTGACCTTGTCGGCCTCGAGCGCCGCCTTGCCCTCCTCGAGCGCCGAGAGCTGCGCAAGCTGGGTCTTGAGCGCGTCGATCTGCGGCAGTGAGATATGGCGTACAGGTGGGCGAGGAGGGGTTAGTGCCAGGCTCGACGGACGAGGAGAAGGAAAAGGAGAGGGAGCGGCGCACCTCGTTCTCGAGCTCCTTGACGCGCTCCTCGTTCTCCTTGACAGCGGTCCCGTCCTCCTGACCCTCGCCCTCGCCCTCACCCTCGCCCTTGACCGTGCCCGCCGCCTCGCCCGCCCGCGCCTCCTCGAGCTCCCTCACCCGGCCCTCGAGCTCGTCGACCCTGCGGCTCTTGTCGCCGAGCTCGCCCTCAAGCACAGCGACGCGCTCCTTGGCCTCGCGCGCCGCGGCGGCCGCCGTACCGGGCGCCGGGACCGGGCGCGTCAGGCCCGACGAGGACGAGGTCGAGGTCGAGGTTCCCGGTGCGGCGCGGCGGACGACGCGCGGCCTAGTCGCAGACGACGAGGTGCCGTTGATACCCGTGCGCGTCGAAGAAGCACCGGCGAGCGACGACGCCGAGCGCGCGCTCGCTGCGCTGCCCGGGCGAGCGACCGGCGCACGGCCCGCTGCGGCGGTCGACGACGACGACGCGGCGCCGAGCGGGCGGCGGACAGGCGCGGTGCCAGAGGCGGCAGGCGCCTTTGCCGTGCTGACGATGCCGCCTGCGGGACGGCCGACCGACGCCGAGGACGACGAGGCGAGCGACGAGCGCAGGCGGGCCGAGGCGGGAGCTGGGGCGCCCGTGGTCGCGCTCGATGACGAGGGGCGGCGCACGCCGGTAGCAGCGCCGGCGGTCGATGACGCCGTGGCGGACGAGAGCGGGCGACGCGCTCCCGCCGCGGCCGTCGACGAAGCGGTCGTCGCACCGCCTGCGAGGGGCGCACGACGCGCAGCCGAGGCGGCGCCCGTGACCGAGGGCCGGCCCGCCGCGGTCGCGCCGGGGGCGGTCGTGGTCGAGCTCGGGCGGGTGCGCGGGTTGAGGGACGACGCGAGCGGCTTGCGGGTCGTGGTGGTGGTGGGCTTGGCGCCCGGGGCGAGCTTGCGGGTCGGCGCTGGCGCAGACGGGGGTTGGACGGGCTCGACGGGTGCGGTGTCGAGTGCGGGCTCGACGAGGGGCACGGGCGGAGCGAGGGGCTTGTCGTCGTGGTCGTTGTCGGCGGGCGAGGGAGCTGTGAACAAGGGGAGGAGGAGGGGGTGAGCGGACGGTGGGCAGAAGTGCGGGGGCGGCGGGTGCGCACCTTGGTGTGGCTGTTGCGGCTCGTCTTGTGGCTCGACTGGCGCGGGTGCTTGAGGTGGTGGAGCGGGCGACGAGGGGAGCGAGTTGGGTGAATTCGGGGTGGGCCCGTCGTTGGTGACGACGAGAGGTCGCGGGGGCGAGGTGGGTTGAGCAGGCGAGTCCATGGCTCGTGGTGCGACCAGGTGGCAGTGTAGCACGTAGCTCGAGCGGGTGGGAGAAGAGCGAGGGCGAGAGGAGGCGGCACCTCCGCGGGGCGCAACAGGTCCACGTCCTCACCGTGTCTCCTCCTCGTCCTCCTCGTCGCCCACACCCCCGCCGAGCTGGGCAGCACCTACCACCGCACCCGCACCAGTGCCACCGCCACCATGCCCGCGCTCGTGTCGGTCCCGCGCACCGCCGTCCACGCGTGGCTCCCCCAGCGCGACCCTGAACAAGGCCCGCTCCTCGCCACCACCACGGCCGCCCTGGGCCAGCTCGACGACCAGTACAACTCGAGTGACTCGCACCTCGAGCTCTTCGCACCCTTCTCGCACAACCCGCAAGACCCTGTCGCCCGCATCCCCTCGTCGACCCGCTGTCACCGCATCGCCTGGGGCCAGTGGGACCCGTCGCAAGGTCAACATGCCGCCGACGAGACCAACCTCGGCATCCTCGCCACCGGTGCTCACTCGGGCGCAGTCACCCTGTACGACCCGGCAAAGCTCGTCGCCAACCAAGAGTCCGTCCCCGCTCCCTCTCTCTCCTCTCTCTCTCTCGCAATCTCACTCACACCCACTCTTCCGCCGCCCACAGCCCGCTCCTCCACGAGCTCGCAAGCCCGCACCGCACCCCCGTCCGCGGCCTCGACTTTAGCCCCGCGCAGAAGAACCTCCTCGCGACCGGCGCCGCCAACGCAGAGGTGCGCTTCGCACTTCCTCTCAGTCCCGCGCACACTCACACTGACTCGCTCCAACACACCCAAAACAGATCCTCATCTGGGACCTGACGTCGCCCTCGTCGCCCTTCTCGCCCGGGTCCCGCTCGCGCTCGCTCGACAGCATCACGTCGCTCGCGTGGAACCCCTCGGTCGTCCACATCCTCGCCTCGTCGTCCAACTCGGGCATGACGGTCGTCTGGGACCTCAAGTCCAAGCGCGAGATCACGGCCCTGTCGTACACGTCCCAGGGCGCGACCGGCCTCGGCCCGACCGGCTTTGGCGGCGGCGGCGGCGGCGGCGGGTCGGGCCTCGGCAGCGGCGGGTTCGGCGGCATGGGCGGCGGCGCAGGTCTCGGCGGGCACTCGGTCGTGCGGTGGCACCCGGAGAACCCGACAAAGCTCGTCACGGCGAGCGAGGACGACCACGCGCCGTTCCTCCTCGTGTGGGACCTGCGCAACTGGAAAGAGCCCGAGCGGGTACGTCCACTTCTCCCTTTCTCTCTCTGTCTCCACACGTGCGACACTGACTCGATCAACTCGCGCCTGCAGGTCCTGCGCGGGCACGACAAGGGCATCCTCTCGCTCGAGTTCTGCCCCTCGGACCCGGACCTCGTCCTCTCGTCGGGCAAGGACGGCCGCACCCTCACGTGGTCCCTGTCGTCGGCTGCGCTCGGCCACGAGGGCCCCGTCGCCGAGGTGAGCGCCGCAACGGGCGCCAACTGGACGTTCGACGCGTCGTGGTGCCCGCGCAACCCGGGCTTCATCGCCACGTCGTCGCTCGACGGCACGCTCGCCGTTCACTCGCTCCAGGCGACCAACGCGCCCGTCGACGACCCGGCGTCGGCCACCGGGGCCGACGCGGCCGCCCTCGCCGACCCGAGCGCGCTCGGCGCCGACTCGTTCTTTGAGAGCGCCATCGCCGCCAACGCGCGCAACGCGCCCCTCGTCTCGCTCGCCGTCGAGCCCCGCTGGCTGCGCCGTCCGGCGTCGGTCGCGTGGGGCTTTGGCGGCCGCCTCGTCACGGTCGACACCAAGGGCTCGGCCGTCCACATCGAGCGCAGGGTGACGCTGCCCGACGTCGTCGAGCGCGCCGACCGCCTGCGACGCGCCGAGCGTGGCGAGGACGAGGGTGGACTCGCCCGATTCGCCGACGAGCAGGTGGCGCAGCAGCAGCAGGCGTCGTCGTCGACCGAGGACGGCTCGGACGACGGGTGGGGCCTTCTCCGGACCCTGTTCCACGCCGGGGCGGGCCTCGGCGGCGTCCTCGAGGGCCAGCGCGACGCCCTCGTCGAGATGCTCCTCGCCGCCGACGCCGACGCGCACGGTGACGTCGACGCCGACGCGTTCGACCGCGACGAGCTGCGCGCGCGCGTCGAGGCGCTCGCGAGGGAGCTCAAGGGCGACGCGGCGGCGGCGTCGGGCGTCGCTGCCGAGGGCGAGAAGGCGGCCGGCGGCGTCGAGGTCAAGAAGGAGGAGCTCGACGACGCGGGCGCGCTCTTTGGCGGCGCGGCGCAGGGCGGCGACGAGGCGGGCTTCGGCTTTGGCGCCGGGTCCGGCGACGACTTTCTCGCGCAGCTGTCGTCTGGTGCACCTGCGCCCGCGGCGGCCGCCGACGAGGGCAAGCCCGACGCGGCCGCCGCCGCCGCCGCCGAGGAGGCCGACACCCCGTCGCCCTTCTCGCTCTCGACGCCGGCGGCCTCGGAGACCGACACGCTCCTGACGCGCGCCCTCGTCGTCGGCGACTTTGCGTCGGCCGTCACGCTCGCGCTCGCCCTGTCGCGCTGGGCCGACGCTCTCCTGTTCGCGCTCCAGTCGGGCTCGCCCGACCTCGTCGACCAGGCGCGCCGAGCCTACTTTGCCGAGCGCGCAGCCGAGGTGCCGTACCTGCGCGTCCTGCGCGCCGTCGGCTCGTCGTCGTCGTCGGCCGGCGCCGCCTCGGACGAGCTCAAGCTCGCCGCCCTCGTGCGCGACCTCGACCCGTCCAACTGGCGCGAGGCGCTCCTCCTCCTGTCGACCTACGCCTCGCCCGCGTCGTTCCCGGCCCTCGCGGCCCAGCTCGGCGCCCAGCTCGAGCGCGAGTGGCGCTCGTCGGGCGACCGCAAGTGGCGCGAGCGCGCGACGCGGGCCTTTGCCGCCGCGGGCGCCCAGGCGCTCGGCCGCCTCGCCGGCGTGTGGAGCCAGGTCGCCGACGAGGAGCAGCAGCGCGCGCTCGCGCAGGCCGAGAGCAGCGCCGGCGCCGGCGCCGGCGAGCGTTTCGCCGCACGGGCCGCCGCGCTCCAAGGGCTCGTCGAGAAGCTGCGCGCGTTCGAGCACGCGACGGGCGGCGCCCAGGCGCCGTCGAGCGACGTCGCAGGCGAGCTCGACGAGCTGCACGGCGCGTACCTCGAGTACGCCGAGCTCCTCGCCGGCCAAGGGCGCGCCAACCTCGCGCTCGAGTACGTCGCGCGCACGCCCGACGCGTTCGACCCTGTGCGCCGAGAGCGCGTCCTGCGCGCTGCGGGCGCCGGCGTCGGCGCGGGCAGCAGCAGCCGGGCGGCGCCGTCGTCGGCACAGCAGTACCAGCCGTACCAGCGGACGGCGGCGACGCAGCCGCAGCGCAGCGCGTACGGCATGCCGGCGTACGGCGGGTACCAGGCGCAGCAGCCTGCCGCGTCGAACGTGTACAACCCGTACGCCGCACCGGCGCCCGTCCAGCAGCAGCAGCAGCCGAGCGCCTACAACCCGTACGCGCCGCCACCTCCTGCCGCCGCCGCTCAGGCCCCGGCACCTCCTGTCGCCGCCGCTGCCGCGCCTCCTGCCGCGAGGAACCCGTACGCGTCGGCGCCGGCGTTGACCAACCCGATCGACGACCCGTACGCGCCCAACCCTTACGCCGCCAAGCCCGCCGGCCCGCAACCTGCCGCCTCGTCCTTCCAGCCTCAGCAGCAGCCGCAGCAGCAGTCGTCGCAGTACGACCCGTACGCGCCGCAGAACCCGGGCGCCGGCCTCCCCGCGCCGCCCCCCATCCGCACCGAGTCGCCGTCGTTCGCCAAGCCGCCGACGAGCAGCGCCGCGCCGCCTCCTCCTCGCGCAAAGCCCGACGGCGGCTGGAACGACGCGCCGATCCTGCCCCCGAGCGCGCTCAGGCGGCACACGCCTGCGCCGCCGAGTGCGCCCGCTCAGGCCCCCATCGCGAGCCCGTTCCCCAACTCGAGCCCGATCGGTTCGCCTTTCGGTGGCCCGCCCGGCGCCGCTGGCGTCCCGCCGCCGCCGCCGAGTCGAGGCGGCAACCGCACGCCCGCACCGCCCCCGCCTCCCATGGCGAGCGGGCCCAAGTTCGCCCCGCCGCCGCCCAAGGGCGTCAACCGGCCGGCGACGATGCAGCTCCCGCCGCAGGCCCCGACGTCGGCGCCGCAGCGCGCGCTCTCGCCTCCCGCTCAGCAGCAGCAGCAGCAGCAGCAGGCGTTCAACCCGTACGCGCCGCCGCCGCCGTCGCAGCCGCAGTCGCTCGGCGCGAGCTTCGGTCCCGGCGCCGGCGGGCCCAACGGCTTCCCGCAGCCTCCTCCTCCGCCTCAGCAGCAGAGCGCGCCCGCTCCTCCTCCTCCTCGCGCCGCACCCGGGCCCGTGTACGCCGCGCCGCCGCCTCCTCGCGCTCAGCAGCAGCCGGCGCCGCCGCCTCCTCGGCCAACGAGCGCGGGCGGGAACCGTCTGCCGCCTCCCTCGGCACCAGGACCCGCACCGCCCATGCCGTCGATGCCGCCGCCGCCGCCGCCGCAACAGCAGCAGCAGCCGCACGGCATGGGACAGTTCGTCCCGCCGCCGCCTCCTGCCGGCGCACGCCCTCCCCCACCGCCTCAGCAGCAGCAGCAGCCGTCGATCCAGGGCGCGCTCAAGAGCCCGCAGCTCGGCGGGCAGCCGCAGGCGGCGAGGAGCCCGCAGATGGGCAGCTCGAACGGCTTCGCGCCGCCGCCGCCGCCGCCGGGTCAGGGCCAGCCGCCTCGCGCGGCGCCTAACGGCCAGCAGCAGCAGCAGCAGCAGCGTCCTCCTCCGCCGCCGCAGCAGCAGGGCTCGATGCCGCCGCCGCCGCCGCCTCAGGCCAACGGTGGTCCTCGTCCGCCTCCTCCTCGCGCCGAGCCGCCCAAGATGAAGTACCGTGCGTCCCTCTTCCTCGCCTCTCTCTCTCTCTCGCACGTCGTGCAGAACCTGACTCGTCGTTCGTGTCCCTCTGCAGCGCCCGGCGACCGCTCGCACATCGCGTCGACGTACCAGCCCATCGTCGACATCCTCTCGGCCGAGCTCGCGCGCCTGCGCCAGATTGTGCCGCCGCAGCAGGGCAAGCTCGTCGCCGAGACGGACAAGCGGCTCAACATCCTGTACGACATGCTCAACAACGAGGCCTTGAGCAAGTCGAGCGCCGACCGCGTTCTCGACATCTGCCAGGGTGCGTCCTCGCTTTCTCTCTCCCTCTCTCTCTTTCTTTCGTCTCGAGCTTGTCGCCCTCGTCTGCAGGCGACTGACCTCTGTGCGTCCCTCCTCGCTCGCAGCCATCGCCGCCCGGGACCAGGCCAAGGCGCTCGACCTCCACTTTGCGCTCCTGACGCAGGCCCCGCCCGCGCCCGACGTCGCCCCGTTCCAGGCCGCGCTCAAGCTCCTCGTGCAGCGCATGCAGCCGCCGCAGTAGAGCGGCGTCTCGCCCTGTCTCGCCGCGTTGGTCGGGCGGCAGAAAACGCCCCTCGCCGTGCTTCTCTCCTCCCTCTCCTTTTGATACCGTAGTTCCTCCTCTTTCCCTTCTTGCCTCTGTTCCCGCCTTTTCCTCCTCCTTCTAGCTCCGTCCTGCAAAAGAACCCAGTGTCTGCTTCTCCCGGCTCGTGAGAGAGGCTCTCGAGAGAGGCTTCCGACGCCGCGAGGAGGAGGGACTCGATTCTCGCGCTGAGACCTCGCTCTTTCCTGGGCACTCATGGCTCGATCGACCTATCAAGACAAGTACTCGATGATGGGCCCGGTTCTGCAGACAATCACCGGTACCGCTCGCACGACTCTGCGCTCAGGAGGAGGTCGAGGAGGGCGGACTCGATTTCTCGCTGTGCAACCTCGCTCTTCCTCGACGGTGTAAGGCTCGATCGACCGAACGAGACGAGTACTCGATGATGGGCTCGCTTCCGCAGACGTGGATCGGGAACGGCAGCTCGACTTTGCGTAGAAAAGGGAGGTCGAGGAGGCGCCGGTCGCTTGTGCGCTCGCGACACTCGAGTGCTTAAACCAGTACCGCACTCTGCGCACTGTATGACGACAACCGAGCCACAAGTCGAGCCGAGAGAGCAGGACGAGGCGGCCCCTGGAAAGGGTCCGAGCGGACCTTCGCAAGTGGATGGCTGCCGAGGGGAACTCTCTCGTCCTGCTACTGGTTTGCCCCGGGTGCTCAGCAGACCTGTCGAGCAGCACTCTGAGCTCGAATCGAGCAGCTCAGGCGAGAGAACGGAGCCGGGAAAAGAACGAGCGAGTCCACCTGCACCTCGAGCCGAGAGTCCGACTCACTCCCTCATCCCTCGGCCTTTGGCGACGCGCCGGCTCGGCCCAAGGGCACAAGAGCAAAAAATAACAAAAGAGAAGGGAATGCGTAAGCAGCTGCGATGCGTCCGCTCGGGTCCAGAGGGTCAACGTCGGGCGACGCGAAGAGAGGGACGACGAGGTCCGTGCGCGAGCGAGAGGTACAACAAGGACGGCGCTCTACGTTGCAGGCACAACATGCCGTCGACAGTGACTCGTACAAAAGAGAAGGAGAAGGAGAGCTCAAGGTACGGGTACGGCGAGAGGCTGGCAGTGCGGGAAAGGCTGCGAGGGCGAGTCGAGCTTGTCAGTCTCGTGCTCTGCGACAGACGCCGAGACGAGACGAAAAGAGAGAGTGAGACGCACTAGGTGGTCGATGTGGAAGCCCTGGCAGCCGACTGAGCGCTTGAGCGCCCGCACGAGGTCGGCAAGGTCGCCGTCAACGTCGGCCGGGAAGTCCTCGAGCGTCCACTGCCGCGCGTTGCCGTCGCCCCAGCCGTCGAGCACGACGACGTCCTCCTTCGTCGAGCGGACGGCGGCGAGAAGGGCGTGCGGGTCGGAGAAGGAAGGGAGGGAGAGCTGGGTGCGCGAGGAGGACCAAGCGGCGAGGGTGGGCGCAGCGAGGTACTTGGCGGCGTGGGCGAAGAAGGCGGGCTCGAGCAGGTCGAGGTCGTTCTGAAGGTAGGGGCGAGGGTCAGTGTTGGCGCGAGGCATGCGAGAGAGAGAGAGAAAGCGGCTCACGACGGCTGTGTCGATCGCGACGAACCGCGTAAAGGTCCGTGTGAAGCTGTACGGCGTGCCGTCCTGGACGCCATGCACCGTGACGTCGTCGGGCAAGAGGAGCGCTCGTCCACTGACGGCCGACAGGACGTACAGCGTCCGGGCGTAGCGCAAGACCTCGTGCAGCGTGCCGTTCAGCGGGCCCGAGGCGAGGACGGGTCGGCGCCGCGAGTAGAACGAGTCGAGGTCGGTCGCCCAGCCACGCTCCTCTGCGTGACGAGCATGTCAGACCGGTGAAGGCTGAGGGGAAGAGAGAGAAGGGAAAGAGACGCACTCGGGTAGAACTGACGATTGGCTGCAGGGCATTTGAGAAGGTCAGGGCCGGCGACGACGAGGGTGCGAGAGACAGGCAGAGTCGGACGTACGAAAGGTGACAGCAGTGAGGTGGTTCATGATGGGCTCGAGCTCGTCGGCCTCGGGCGTGCTGCTCGTGCGAGAAGGTCAATTCGGGGATTCTGGTGTGCGAGGAAGGAAGACGACGAGGGACGCACTACCAGTTGAGCATCTCGACGTGAGTGGCACGAAACTGTTGCAGAGAGTCATCAGTACGTATACGGAGAGAGAAGGAAGGGTTCGAGGGACGCACGGTGGACAGGGGGAGCATCGAGACGCGCAAGTCGATGTCGTCGAGGAACCACCAGTGCTGGTCGCCGTTCTCGCCGCGAGTCTCGCGCGCTCCTGCCCGAACGATTCCTGACAGCAGTTGTTGCTGCGCGACAGGAGCGGCGTCAGTTTGCGTGCGACAGGGGGGAGAACGAGGTCGGGGAAGGTGGACGAACATCCCACTCGTTCTTCTTGAGGTAAGCGTCGAACGCTCGTTGCCAGAACGCGACCGTGGCGGTCGAGGGTCGAGAGAAGATCCAGCCGAAGTTGACCTGCACACACGAGCGCAAATAGTCAGGGAACGGGCGCAAGGAGGGCAAGAAGAGTGGCGCGAGAGCGGGACGCACGACGTAGCCGATGTCCTCGGTGAACTGGAGGTCCCACGAGTCGTCCGAGAGCGAGAGCATGTGCGGATACGGGTCGGCGGTGAGGAAAGTGTCGCCCTGTACGAGAGGAGGGTCGGCTTAAAGGTGCGAGGAGGAGGTTTGAGAGCGAGGACGCACCTCGAAGAAGAGCGACGGGAACCCGCTCTGCGCCATCTCGAGCATGGCGAGAAACTTGAGGTACGCCATGCGATGCCCTCGCTCCTTGCCACGCTTGGTGCGTCGGCTCGTGGGCGGCGGCAGGTCGACGACGAGGTACCCTCCGAACGCGCGCAGCCCTCCTCGCTCGCACTCGTCGAGACACGCCTCGTCGAGGCACAGGACGACGACGCTGTCGTCCATGCCGAGCTCGGCGCGCTTGGCGTCCCAGTTGCGCGCCTGCGGGACGTAGTTGGGCTCGCCGGTCGCCATCGTGAAGGCGACGACGTGCTTGTCGGGGTCGAACCGCGCGTGGAGGTAGTCGGCGAGCGAGACGCTCAGGTTGCGCTCGACTCGTGCAAGGCTGGTGGAGCTGGACGGGAGGAGCGAGTGGCGGAACGAGGGAAGGACGGCAAGGGCGGTTCCCAGGGCGACGAGGGCGAAGGCGGCGAGGGCGGCGACGAGCACTCGAGGGGACCGCGAGCTCGTGCTGCGGTGAGCTGGTGCATCTTGCGACAGGTAGGCGTGACCCTGCTCGTCCAAGTCGGCGTCGTCGTCGTCGTCGTAGTCGAGGGTCGAGGCGGAGGTACGGTGGTCGGGCGAGTCGATGTAGGGGAGCTGGCCGGCGGCTGGCGGGCCCATCTCGAGGGCCTCGTAGTCGCCCTTCTCTGCCATGGCTGGACAGAGCAGAGATCGAAGCAAGGCGAGCTGGCGACGAGGGAGTACGGAGCTAAGGGCGTGTCGACCGTCCCCGCGTTTTTGTCTCGAGCGCGTCGCGCCAGAAGTTCTCTCTCCTCGCGCGCTGTGAGGGGCGAACACTGCACCGTTGCTCCTAGTACAGTACATGCGAGCAGCTGCAGCCGGGCCGAACGCGTTGGGCTCGAGCTTGCGCCGGCTCCTGCGACCGCCGCTCCAGCGTCTTTGCCGTCGCCGCTCGAGCACGACAGCTAGCTTCCTGAGCGGGAACGGCCCAAACGAGGGTCTCAGAAGGTGGATGCGCTTGCGAGGCCAAAGCGGCGCGACCGTCGAGCGGGTCCGTCAAGTTGCGAAGGTCGATTCGTCGAGTAACGCTCTCGCCGTCGAGTCGCGAGCAAGTGCGAAGCAGGCCTGCGCTCTGGATGACAGGAGAGAGCGAGAGCAGAAGTAACTGAAAGGGAAAGAGTCGAATGCATGACACGAAAGTGCTACAAGTGCCCGGAACTGCCGCTCAGGCCGCTCTGCGAAGCCCGGCACCGACGTCCTCGCAGCTCCCTTCTCGCATGTCAATCGGCCGCATCAGAAGTCTCGGCGACGACCGTGACCGCAAAGGGCACTCGCAAGGCCGGCGCAGGTTCGAGCCAGCTCGAGCTGCGTCTTGTCGCATCCTCCTCGAACGACGACTGCGACGTGCCGAGCGCCGGATTGGGGCTCGGACGCTCGCCGGTGTCGACAGCGGCGAGAGGCGGGAGGCTGATGATGCCCTCCTTCTCGTACGACGACGGCGGTACCGAGTCGCTCGAGTGCGACCGCTTGCGCTCGACGTCGGCCTCGAGCTGCACCACTTCTGCGCTGTCGACGCCAAGTCGAACAGTGCGCGGACCGAGCACAGCGCCCTCGACGTCGTCCGTTGACGTGCCGGTCTTGACGAGGCGTCGTCGAGCCCGCAAAGCGTTAAAGACGAGGTAAAGGAGCGAGGCCGTCATGGCGGTCGTGTAGATCCACTCGGGCGTGAGCATCGCTGCTTCGAAGCTGTATCGAAATCGGCGAGTCAGGAGCACGCTCTGACGAGAAAGAAAGGGTCGAGAGAGAGAGAGAAAGAGGAGGACTGAGCGCACAAGGTGTACTGGCCCGTGCTGAGCCTGTCGCTCGCGGCCGCGTAGGCGATCAGGACCATGATCCCGAACTCGCACGTAGCGACGAATGCGATGACGCCGACCGTCTGCAGACGATGCGGAAGAGTCAGAGAAGGTCGTCTCGTGAGTTTGGGAAGTCGACCCGGACGCACCGTCTCGAGGTCGGTCACGGCCTTCTGCAGTGCGAGGATCTTGCGCGCCTGCATCGAGGTGGCCGTCGGACTCGCGCCAGGCCGCTGCTGGGCCAGAGCGCGCACGTAGCTCTTCTGCTTCTTGCGCTCGTCGCGGAACCCGAGCGCCGCCTTGCTGCTCGAGCCGACCCGATCGGCCGACTGGAGGAGCTCGAGGCTGTCGCGGATCTGACGCCGCATGCGTTGAGCGAGGGCGAGACCGCCATAGTTGACGGCGAGAATCGGAAAGATAAAGACGGGTGCGAGCGCGCCTTGAACGATGTTTGTGCTGCGCGCGCAGCTGGGAGAGTCAGTACCCGCGCTCGCGACGCGACAAGTCTCGGACGTACGTGCGAGCTGAGGATGCGGCGGGCAAGAAGCTGCTGCCGACCGCTTGTAGAGGAAGAAAGTCGAGAAGCGTCGGGACGCGCCCGCCGAGCGACTCGTCGACAGCGACGAGAGCTTCTCGCAGGTTGAGGTACTGCCAGTACATGCGCACGGTGACGACGGTCGTACAGGTGACGATTGCCTGTAGAGGGAGGGACGCGTTAGTATCTCTCTCGGCGGGACCGAGAGCAAAATGGCGACGCACGAGATTGAGGCCGACCAGCGCCGCACCGACGCCGATGAAGAGCCAGTTGGCGGTCCGAGCCGACACGAACTTGCGCTCCGACTCGACGGCGACGAGAAAGGCCTGGTAGGAGAAAGTCGTGAGCAAAAAGGTGGGAAGGAGAAGAGGCTCGAGCTTTGGCTCACCTGCAGCCCGCACCACGACAGGATCCAGCCACCGAGCCAAAGAGGGATCGCGTTGAAGTTCCGAATGCCGATCGCGACGGCTTGACCCTGGCCGAGGCCGTACACAAGGTAGTAGGTCGCGACGTAGGCGAGCTCGTACGCGCCATAAAGGACGACGACGCCGGCCAGGGCGGGCCGAGGACTGCAGGGACGGGAGTGTGAGCGTGTGCGTCACCTCGAGGGCGAGTCTCGGGAGGCAGGACCGGACGAGAAAGGTCCAGGCGAGCGTGCGAGGAGGGGCAAGAGGAAGAGAGGACCGGGCGCAGACGCACTTGACGACGAGGAAGCGCCCGCTCGGCCGCTCGACTCGGCGCACCAGCCATAGACAGCGTCTTTTAGGCCTTTCGAGCGTGTTGTGGTAGTGCAGCCACAGGTAAAGTAGGCCGAGAAGGATGCTCCTGCGGATCCGGCGCCGAGGGTGAGCGGGCTCGTTCGGAATGGCGCGAGGACGCGAGAGTAGAGCGCGCACAAGCCAGTGAGGGCCATGAGGACGGCGACTCGAGCCCGGAGGCCTGGCGATGCCGGCGGGTAGAGAAGGCGGTCGAGCGCGGCGACGAACTCGGGGAGCGTCTCCTCGTCGAGGGTTGGAGGGACGCGCGAAGCCATGGCTCGGCAGACGCCTCGAGAGCTCCTTCGAGTGGTGCAGGCGTGTATGTAGGCGAACCGGAGGAAGAAGCAAAGACGAGCAGAGCGTCTCTTGCCCGACCGCGACGACGGCGAAGGGAGCAGGGACAAGCCAAGGGAGGGCAGGAGAGTCTCGAGAGCATCGCAGGCTGTGCTCGAGGCAATTTGGTGCCCGCGGTAGGAAGGTGCAGCTCGCGGCGGGACCGCCAGCGGTGGCCGGGGAGCGGCCGGGCGACGAGCGCTGAGGCGGCTTGCGAGCCCCAGGGCGCGAGAGAGCACTGAGCACGAAGCGGCGAGATCGGAGACGCTAGCAGAGCGCTCGATGAAAAGTGCCGAGGGCGGAAGAGAGTGTGAGAGGAGAGAAGAGACCGAGACCGCGCCTGCTTGCTCGAGACGGGCTCGCCGCTTTCGGCCCTGCTTGGTACGGGCGGCAAAGTACGACAGCATGATCCATGTGCACTACCGAGTGTACAACAACGAGGTTCGAGGCAGTACAAGTGCGAGAAGAAGAGAAAACGAGCGGGCTCCCTCACCGGCTCGAGGGCACGTCTCGGCCGTCCCAGGGCGCACACATCGTCCGAGAGCCGTCGTCGCACACCTGCGACGTCTCGACCGTGACCATGATGGACGCCGCCGGACTCGCCAACTTGGGCGCCGCACCTCGACCGAGCCAGCTCGACCGCCAACCTCCCGGGCTCGAGTCACTGCCCTCCCGGTTCGACGCGAACGAGGCCCAGCTCCGAGCGGGCGACAGAGGACGACGTCCGGCGTCGCTCGCCGTGGCCGGCGGGAGGAGCCCGGCGGCGCTGTCGCCCTGCTCCCTCGCGAAGGACGGCAACTCACTCGCCGACGGATCCGACTCGGCCATCTCGACCTCGACCTGCTCCTGCTCGTGCGGTAGCGACGTGCTCTTCTCGCCGAGATCCATGCTGCCGGCGCCGGGACCCACGCCGACGAGGACGGGCCGAACGGCACCGGGCGAGGCCGCCTCGAGGTCGGGGATGCGGCGGCGAGCGCGCACGGCGTTGTACAGGAGGTAGAAGAGCGAGGTCGTGATGGCGATGGCGTATATCCACTCGGAGAGCAAGGCCGTCGACTCGACACTGCGGTGCGTGGCTGTGGTCAGGACGGAGCGCTCTGCCGAGCGCGACTTGAGAAGGTCAGGACGCACTAAGGCCAGTTGTTGGACGTGTCGCTCAATTTGTTGGTGACCGAGCACCAGGCGATCCATGCGACGACGAAGAAGAGGCAGAGCGAGACAAAGGCGATGACGGAGGTAGTCTGCATGTGCCGGAACGTCAGTGCCGGCGGCGAGGAGAAAAGGTTGAGGACGAGGGACGCACAGCGAGCAGGTCCTTGGCGGCCTTCTGCAGCGCCATGATCTTGCGGGCGTGCGCCGTCGTCACCGTCGCACGCTCGCCGGGCCGCTGTCGCGCCATGGCGCGCACCTCGCGGGCGTCGATGCGAGCTCGAGTGGTCGAGGGCGCCACAGTCGCGACGCCGTCGGCGAGGACCTTGATGCTCTCGCGGATCTGCCGGCGCATGCGGATGGCCAGGGCGATGCCGCCGATGTTCGAGATGGCGATGGGCAGGAGGAGAAAAGGTCCCGCAGCGCCTTGGACGATGCCGGCCCTGCAACGTGGGTGTTCAGACCACGTACGGCTGCGAGAGAGGCTCTGAGGGTAGAGAGGGGCGCACCTTCGAGCACCGTTTGCGGCAGACACGAAAGCCTCGGCCGGCAACTGGAGCGGGATGAGGTCGAGGAGAGCCGGGACGCGCGAGCCGAGCGAGCGCTCGAGCTCGACCAGGGCGGCCCGCAGCTCGTTGTAGCGATCGAGGATCCGCACGGTCATGATCGTCGTGTAGATGCCGATACCCTGCGCGCAGAACGACAGTTAGCAAACCGGCTCGGCTGAGCGGAAAGGGAGCAAGGCGCGGAGAACGTGCCGACGTACCACGCTCGACAGGACAAGGAGGGTGCCGCCCACGATGAAGAAGGTGTTGGCGGTCCTTGCCGACATGAACTTGCGCTCCGACTCGACGGCGACGAGGAAAGCCTGGCGGGAAAGACTAGGGTCAGTCGAGGGCGAGGGCAGGAGTGGACACGCGCTCGACGACGGCGACGAGACAGGCGCACAGACGAGAGAGACGTCGAGACGCACCTGCAGGCCGCTCCACGACAAGATCCAGCCGCCGATAAAGAGCGGGACCGGGTTGAAGTTGCGCACGCCGATGTACAGGTTCTGCGCACACCGCGTGCTGTACACGTACCAGAACGCGCCCTCGTAGACGAGCGCATAGATGCTGTAGATAATGACGACGCCCGTGAGAGCAGGCCGAGGGCTGTGGGCAACGACAGGAGCGTCAGGAAAGTGTCGCGAAGAGGAGGACGAGAGGGACCGGCGGGCTCACTTGATGACGACGAAGCGGCCGCTCGGCCGGTCAACGAGGCGCACGAGCCACAGAGAACGCCGACGATCGATCGTGTTCTGGTAGTGCAGGTAGAGGTAGAGGACCGCGACGATGATGCTCCTGCAGGCTCGAGAGGTGTCAGCGTCGGGCCGTAGCTCGTCGAGACAGGGGAACAGTCGACGCACAGCCCAGTCAACGTCCACAGGACAGCCATGCGGGCGAGTAGACCAGACGTCGGCGCAGGATACAGCGTCGCGTCGAGTTGAGCGAGGATGTTTGGGACCGTGTGCTCGTCGAGCGTGGTCGGCACGAGCGACGCCATGACGGGTGGTCGAGCGGCTTGGCCCGTTGTCGCACACGACGTGCGAGCTGTGTAGGTGTGGCTCAGTCAGCTCGATGGCGCAGGAGAGGAGGGAGAGGAAGAGGAGACGGACCGGTTTGGCGACGACCCTGCTCGCCGCACCAGGCGCGGCTAACGTGGATGTCCGAGGGCGGAAGGTCGATCGGCGGCCTGTAGCTGATGAGCGCACTAAGTCGGGCGAGCTTCCAAACGATCAGGGCAAAGTGGCCAGCCTGGCCAGGGGAGGACGAGCAGGGAAGGTGGACCGTCGCGCACGCCGGCGCCGTGGCCGACCGCCCGCCCGCACAGCAGGTGCAAGACGTACGCTGGCGAGCAGCCTGGACGCCCTCTTGCGCCCACCGCTCGAGGCCGAGGCGGCGAGGCACGAGAAGGACGCGAGCTGCTCCCTCGAGCTGTGCCCTGGCTCAGACGACGGGCGCTGAGACCAATGTAGCCGCACCCGGCGCAGCGGAGCGAGCGCGAGCAGGCATCTGCCATCGGTAGGCTGCCGTCGTGAGCGAGCGCGAGGATGAGAGAAGCTCTCGCCCGTCGACTGTTGCCGGCGGTCCAGTTCCGAATCTCGCTCTCGGCGGCGACGCTCTCGCGCGTTCGGCGGCGGACAACTGCGTGGAATACAAGCTCGCAAACAAGGGAGAGAGAGAGGTCTAAAGACAAAGGTGCTGCGGCGCGCACAGCTAGATTAGCGCCCTGCGACTCGCTCCTCCTCGGCTCCCTCGTCGTCCTGCTGCGTCTCGTTCTCCTTGACGCCGAGCGCGCACACGAGAAAGACCGGGCGGTGGTCGCTGACGGCACCCATGCGGGCGAGATCGCGCACGCAGTCGTAACGGATGATCTGGACCTCGCCCTCGACGGGCCCGACCTTCTCGACCTCGAGCGGCTCGGCGGCGACGACCTCGACAGCTCGCGTCGGCGACGAGGCGAACTGGCGCAGCGGGAGGAGCGACAGGAACGACTTGAGGCGCGTGTTGAGGCTCGCGCCGGACGCCGACGCCGACTGGCCGTGACCGTGCCCGAGCCGGCCCGTCGGTGCGCGCTCTTGCAGCTTGTTGAGCGCCGCCGAGAACGTGCGCGCACGCGGGAAGCCGCTCGAGACGGGCGAGGTGCTCGACGCGCCGGGCGGGCGCGAGTGACGGCGCGGCTCGTGCGTCGACGGGTCCGAGGCCGAGTGCGGTAGCGGCGGTCGCGAGAGCGACAGGGCCGGGCTCGAGCGACGAGAGAGGTCCTCGTCGGACGAGGAGCCCGAGCCCGAGAGAGTGAACTTCTTGCGAGGTCGAGGGCGACGAGGCGGGGTCGTCGTGGCCGAGGGAGGAGGCGACGTGTCGGACGGCGGGTCGAGCACCATCGACTTGGCTCGGCGCCACAGCGACGTCGGCTCGTCGATGTCGGGCGAGCTGGCGAGCGTGTCGGTCGAGACGGCGCCGAAGCGGATGCGGTGGGGCTGATCGGCCGAGGCGGGACGAGGAGGAAGAGACAGCTCGCTCTGAGGGCTGTCGACGGGCTGCAGGGCGGGTGCGGCGGCGACGGGTGGAGGTGGAGATGCTGGTTGTGGCGGGTGGAAGTGGGTGCGGAAGAGGATGCGGTCTGTGGCGAGGCAGGAGAGGTGAGCGAGGGTCCGAGAGGCTCAAAGAGGCTCGAGGACGGCTCGAGGGGGACGCACCGGTCCAGCTCTGCACGCGCTGCTTCTTCGACGTGTCAAACACAGGCTCGGCCGACCCCGTTTCTTCGTCCACCGCGAACGCGTCCGGCTCGCCCTCGCCGCCGGTCTCCTCCTCGCACGCCGGGATCGTCGTCGTCGGCACGACGACCGCCGACTGGCTCGTGCGCAAGATAGGTCGCGGCGGAAAGAGCGCGCTGAGCGTTCCTCGCCGTGACCGACCACCTGCGCCGGTCGAGCCCTCGCTCGCGTCTCGAGCTCGGCGCGCGTACTCGAGGGCGGCCGAGTTCGAGTTGCGCTTGACGAGCGTGAGGAACCGGACCTGCGCCTTGCGCGCCTCGGTCGGCGGGACGGGCATGCCGAGGGACGACAGGTCGTCTCGCGCGGCGACGGCCTGCGGCGAGTCGAGCGGACAGTCGAGCGTCGTGTCCATGGTCGAGATGGTGCCGGCCGACGAGACGAGCGAGATCGAGTCGTCCTCGGTCGCCGTCGTCGCGCCGTCGGTCGTGCCGCCGAGAGGTGGCGGCGGCGCAAGGCCCGACGGGAGGGCGACAGGGTCGGTCGCCGCTCGCTCTCGCACCTTGTCGGCCGTTCTGCCGGCGCCGGCGAGGCGGAGCAACGTGCTGCGCTTCTTCTTGGCCTTTTTGGTCGGCACGTCGAGCTTGTACGTCGGCGGGAAGACGATGGCGCCCTCGCGGAAGCCGTCGAAGCAGCCGCCAGTCTCGGCGAGCACGTCGCGGAGCTGGTCGAACCGCAGGGCGCTCGAGAAGTCCTTGGCGCGTACGAGCCAGTCGGCATGGAGGCGCGAGATGTTGAGGCGGAAGCTGTGGGGCGAGGAAGAAGATTAGTTTGACGATCGGGAAGGAGGGCCGTCGAGGTCGAGGGGGAAAGAGGAGCATCACGCACTTGAGGTCGCCGGCGAAGAAGACGCCATCGAAGCGGTCGACGAGCTTTTCGGGTCGCGGTCCTTGCTCGCCGTCGCGGTTGTTCCAGAAGTCGTCGACGACGAGCTCGTCCAGGATCTTGAGCGCGTTGGCCTTGCGGAAGTCGAGCCCGCTCGCGTGCGCGGCGAGGTGCGCCGAGATGAACAGGAGCCGAGTCTGATGCAGGTGGAGCGAGATGCCGACGCCTGCGGAGGGAGGAGAGAGGGTCAGTCTCGGACTTGGAGCGGCGGAAGGGAGCCACGCTCGAGGGAGAGAGGGACGCACCGCCCTTGTTGCCCATCCTGCCGCCCATCAAGCCCGCCGTGACCCGGCCCGTACTGACGCCCTTGATGAGGCCCTCGCAGCACTTAGCGACGAACACGGCGCAGTAGATGCCCATGAGGCGCTCCTTCTCGACGAGGACGTACGGGCCTCGTCCCGGCCGCGACGGGATCGACGCCGTGTCGCCGCCACCGCCGCCGTCGTCCTCGTCCGACGACGACTCGGGCGACGAGTGCGAGCACCCGCCGCACAGGTACGACTCGAGCCGCGAGGTCCAGCCCCTGCCGTCAAAGCGCTGGACTTTGCCGGCGAGGACGCCGCTCGCCGTCGGGCACTCTTGGCCGCACACGACAATGACGTGGTACGGGTGGCCCTCGGCGAGCGGGAAGGTCGGCAGGCCGTCGTCGTCGCGCTCGGGGAGCGGGACCGTCATCGTGCTGCCGCGCGAGCTGCGACTGCTGTGGCGGCGCTTGCGCGGCAAGTGCTCCTCGGGGAACTGCGACAGGTCGCCGAGGAACTCGCTCAGGTCGCCCGTCGGCGCCGGGAGCGAGTCGTGCATGTTGAACGTGACGAGGCGCAGCTTGAGGTTCGGGCGAATGTTGGCGACAGGCTCGACACGCTCGATCGGCGAGGGCTCAGCCGTCAAGGGTGTGTGCGCGCCGGAAGGGCGCATGGACGACAGGACCGAGGCGGGTCGAGAGGATGCGGCGGAGGACGGGCGCGAGTGCTTCGAGTGGTGCTGCGAGGACGGGTTGAAGAGCGAGTTGAGGCGCTTGAGCAGCTTGCGGGGTGCCGCCTCGTGGTGCTTGTAGTGTCGAGTGTGCTTGTGCGGCGACGTGTCTGCATGCTCGACGGACGGGTCAGCTCGACCCTGGGGAAGGAGAACGAGAGAGGAAGGACTGGGTGGGACGCACGATCTCGAGACGACTGGGACCGCCCCGGTGTACTGGGCCGGCTCAGGTCATGCGAGCGACGCGACTCTTGCGGCTGAACGGGTGCGCCGAGCGCTGCGCCGGCCGGCTCGACCGCGATGGGCGGCGGAAGGCGAGGATCTGCCGCGACTGCTGCCGCCGCTCGATGGCCGCCGACAGGCGCACCTGGCGACGCGGACGAGGCGAGTGGTGCAGGCGACAGGCCGTCGCTCGACGGCGCTGCGGTCGCCGGCGTCGCCATTCAAGGCGAGCCTCGAGCGTTGAGGGATCGCCGCAGAGGGTCGGCGGCAGGTGGACGAGGGCGACAGGGATGCCGTTGCCGGTTACAGGGTAGAAGGGCGCAGTCGATGGCGCAGCTCGCAGGCTAGCTGGAGTCGATGTGGGCGTGCTGAGGAGGAGGGAGCGATGAGGCGGCAGGGGGGGTGGGGCCGAGCCTGGCGCGGACGGCGACGCAGGGGGCGGTGGGTGCGCCTGGCGGATAGGCGAAAGGCTCGACGCTGCTCAGCCAAGTGCCGGCAACTGGCGAGCCAGCCGAAGCGAGGGGAAGAAGTCGGCTTCGCGGCCACTTTGTCGTTGACGAGGCGAGCTGGTCCTCTCGGCGCTGAAGCTCTGCTCAGCGCCAAGTACGACGTACGACTGCCTCAGTACTGCGCCGGTCCCGACGCCCCCGCACCTGAGCTTGACTGTGATTTCGGTCCACGCCCTCGAGCACCTTCTCAAGCTGCTTCGTCTCGAGCAAGCAGCGGTCCGCCTTTCCAAGCAGCTGTCGAGCCTGTCTCTCTCGGTTCAGATCGCGGGAAGAGAAGCGCTCGTCGAGAGTTGCACAGTCCGGCTGCGCTGCTCGCACGTCCCTCCCTCGTCTTCCGCTCAAGTTGCTCGTGCCAGCGACCTGCTAGCGCATGGGCTGCACTAGGCTTTGGAGTACGAGAGGTGAATCTCCTTGATGAGGGTGTAAGAGTCCTCCTTGGGCGGACCGGCGCTCCAGTTGACGTCCTGCCGACGGGCACGAGGGCGAAAATGTCAGCGGTCGCCCTCGAGGAGAGAGAGAGAGGGGGCGTAGACTCCCGCCGTTGCTCCATCTGCAGGTCGAGGCGAGCAGGTCAGTAAGGAGAGGGACGACAGAATCGAGGGAGGAAGAGAGGGAGGAGGAGGACGCACGCGTTCCAGAGGAAGCTCGCGCCGACGCTCGGCACGTTGTCGCGGAAGGTCGTGCGGAGCTTGCCATCGACGTGGAACTCGCTCTTGCCCTTCATCCAGACGATCGTGTACTGTTGGGGGCCAGAGATTGAGAGCGAGTCAGTTAGAGAAGGTCGAGAAGGTAGAGATGGGCTTTGTCGACGACTGCGAGGAAGACAGGCGACGCACGTTGTGAAAGTCGGCAGTCGGGTCAAAGTCGTAGGCAACGGCCGTGTTAGTCGACTTTCCGCCGGCTTTGAGCGGCTGGTTCGTGAACTCGAGACCTGGAAAGGAAGGGAAGGGTGAGCGCTCGATCCTCGAGGAGGGAGCGAGGGACGGCGGGACGCACCAGGTTGAACCGAGTAGCCGTAGCCCTTGTTGTAGTACGACGAGAGGGCTTCGATGTCGATCCTGTGGCGGCGAGAGCGTCAGGGCCAGCCGGGTGCGGGAAGAGAGGACAGGAGAGAGGGGACGCACTCGTTGTTGTCGTCGGTGTAGGTGAAGAAGCCGGCGCACACGCCCTCGACCGGCGTGAGCTTGGCGATTGTCGTGAAGGTGCCGTAGCGAATGTCGCTGTCGTACGTGCCGACCTCGGCGCTCTTGACGTCGCCGCTGCCGCTCTGGCCGTCGACCTTGAGGCGGAGCGAGCCGGCGACGATGTCGACGTTGCGCTTGACGAAGGTGTGGCTGAGGGGCTCCGAGCCGACGGAGTAGTCGCTCACGTAGAGCTGGTGCCGGTCGAGGAACGAGTTGATGTCGGACCCGTCGACGAAGGTCGAGAAGTCGACGTCGAGCTTGACGGTCTTGGCCTTCTTGCCGGCGACGACCGCAGGGGCGACCAGCACCAGAGAGAATGAGAGGATGGCGGCGGCAGGAAAGTACATTGTGGCTGGCGCGACGTGAAGCAGGGAGGGGGAAGAGGGAGAGTGAGGGAGGGACGGGGGAAGGAGAGGGAGCGAATGAGAGAGACTTGCTGGTCTCGCCGGCGTCGGTCGCACGAGCCGAGCCATCTACAACGCCAGGCGTCCTTGCGAGCGGACACGCGCAGCAGCCGTTGCGTCGTCGCGCAGGCAGCAGCTAACCAGCGAAGAGAGTCCGTCCGCCCCGCTGCGCTCGTCAAACGAGCGACGCCGCGGAGGCAGATCGCAGACACGCCGATCGCCCGCCGACAGTCGTCTGTCGTGCAAGATGCAGCGCGGTCGCCGACCGGACGAGGAGGCGCGCGAGGAGGTGGAAGCGGCGAGGGGCGTGGTGGAGAAGCGGCTGGTCGGGCGAGGGGCGGTGTAGCAGGTCCTAGTTGCCACGGAGTGCAGCTGTGCATCCCTGTGAGCCTCGCCGAGGTGTTGAGAGAGCAGGAGGACGAGGAGCTGATGAGGATGGAGCTGCAGACCTCTGTCAGCGACCTGCACCGCCCAGACCAGCCCTCGCTGCTGGCCTAGCTTGACCACGCGCACTACACCGCCCTTTACGGCCAGCTTGCGAGCCAGCACGAGCTTGCGTCGCCCTTTCGACCTCGCGCTCGTCCAACCTCGCCTTCGACCTCGCCAGCTCGTTGCAGAGCCACCCAAGACTCGGTCCGACCCACTGGTGCGCCCCACTTCCACTATCAAGTGCTCCTGGCCGAGCGCAAGCTGACCTTTGCCCTTGCAGACCCGTCCTCGTCCAGCATGGCCGTCGACCTCTCGATCCCGCTCGACCAGGTCATCGCCGTCAAGCTCGGCAGCCTGTCGCTCAAGGACGACGACGACACGGTCGCCTTCGTCAAGGACCTCGTCCAGGAGGACTCGTTCGAGCCCGAGGACCGCAAGAGCGCCATCCTGGGCCTGCTCGAGGCCGACGAGGATGGCGAGTCCGCCGCCTGAATCCTTCACGGCCGGCCGTCAAACTGACCCTCGGCTGAATTCTGCAGAAGCGGTCTCGGCGGCGGTCGACTCTTTGCTCGACGACACGACGGCGTACCAGGACGCACTCGCCGAGCAGCGACGGGCAGCCGAGGAAGCGGCAGCTTCTCCGCCTCCAGAAGGTGCGCCCGCATCTCGCTCGAGCTTCACGAGACCTCTTACTGACTACTCGCATTCGCCATGCAGAGGAGGAGCCACCGGTCAAGGACTTGACGCCCGAGCAGGAGGCGCGACGAAAGGCCGACTTCCTCAAGGTGCGCTCGCTCTTTCACGTCCTCCTCCTCTCCCAGTCCTGACTCGATCTTCCCTCGCAGAAATACGGCTACCTCGAGGACGAGACGGAGGCGGAGAAGGCGGCACGGATAGAAGCCGAGCAGGCTCAGGTGCCCGCCAAGGCTTTTGTCGACCCGAGGTGCGTCCTGTTTCCTCCTCCGCTCCTCGCCGTCGCAGGTCCTGACGAATTGGATGCCCTCTCGCAGATCGCTCTCGAAGAAGCAGAGGAAGAAGGCCCTTGATGGCGTCGGTGCGTCCCTTCCCTCTTTCCTCCCACAACCGCCCGCCAACCTGACCCTCGTCTTTGCGCTTTACCCGACAGACCTGCTCGCCCTCCCGAACCTCAATAAGCACCACGTCGTCGAGGCTGAGCGCAAGAGACGGACCGAATCGTCCTGTGCGTCCCACTTTCGCCCCGCGCTCGCTCGGACCCCTCCGAAAGACACTGACCATCTCTCACCTTGCAGCCGCCGCACAAGCCAAGCGCGAGCGAGACCTCGCCGACCGCAAGAAGCAGAAGTGCGTCCCTCTCTTCCTCTCTGCCTTTGCGCCGGCCCCGACTCGCTCTCGAGCGCAGGGAGGACGCCGCGAAGAAGCTCGAGGACAAGCGCAAGAAGGCGCAGAAGGTCGAGCGGAAGGGCTAGGTAGACGCCGAGGACGACGTGCAGTGCAGCTCGTTACTCGAGAACGAACGTGCCCGCAGCAAAAGAGAGAGAGCACGAGAGATAGAGAGAGAAAGAGCCTGATCGCCTTTCGTCGCTCGCTCGAGCTCGGCTTCCTGAGCCTCTCTCGCTGGCTGCAGACTCGCCAAGAGAGAGTGACCAAAGGATTATGCACAACGTCCGTCTACACACAGGGAGAGAGATCCAGGGTATCCGTCTAAGCCTTTTGCGCCTTGGCCTGGGCGAGCTGCGCCATGTCGTCGAGGGCGTCGAGGAGCGTGCTCGCCGACCAAGCCTGGGTGCGGCACGAGTCGTGGCAGTAGCCGCCGTTCTCGTTGGTGAGCTCGGGGAGGCCGGCCCACGGGTCGGCCGAGATGTGGGCTCGGTGGCGCGACAGGTGCTCGTAGATGTGGTGGAAGGTCGACGTGAGGTCGTCCTTGCCGGCGCCGACGAGCGTGTCGAAGATGAGGTGCGCGCGCAGGAAGTAGCCTGGTAGGGAGAGAGGTAGAGAAAGGAGAGAGGGTCAGTACGACGGACGAGAGAGGGTGAGAGAGAGAAGGCGACGACGCACCCATGGGCCAGACCCACTCGGGGCCCTGGTGGTAGTTGCGGCCCTTGGCGATCGCGTAGTCGTCCGAGTCGTTCGAGTTGTCGTACACGCCGCGGTAATCCGGGTCGGCAGCGTCGAGCGTCTTGACGCCGAGCGGGCCGACGAGGTTGGCCTCGAGGGTGGCGAGCGCGTCGAGGGCGAACTTGGGCGTGAAGAGCTCGGGCGCGACGGCCATAGCGATCGGGAACTGGCCTCGGAGCTGGTAGTCGGCACGAGCGCGAGGTGCGGGCGTGCCGTGGACGTCCTTGTAGATGCCGCGGCGGGCGACGAGCGACGGGTCGATGTCGTACTTGGCGTCGAGCGACGGGTCGGCCGGCACGTAGTACAGACGCTCGAACGAGTCCTGGAGGAGCTGGTCCCACTCCTGGTACGACACGAAGCGCTCCTTGCCGTCGACTACGGAGCGAGGAGGGGGGAACGTCAGGGGCTCGTTCCCGACGGCGACGACGCGAACGAGAGGGAGGGAGGGAGGGAGGACGTACTCGTTGCCGTGACGCCCTTGTGCGGGAACTTGCCCTCGGACGAGAGCTTGGCGAGCCAGCGAACGGCCGACTTGTGCAGGCCCGTGATCTCGACGGGCGCGCCGTCGCGAGGCGTGCCCGGCTTGCCCTGGTTGCCCGCCTTCTGGCTCTCGCCCTGTGAGACGTCAAGAGAGTCAGGTGGCGGCTCTGTGAAAGGGGAGGAAGGAAGGAGAGAGAGAGAGAGCGAGGCGCACCATCTTGTCCTGCCACGTGCCGCAGTTGTGCTCGTTGCCGCCGTAGATGATGCCCGTCTTCCAGTCGACCTCGATGTCGATGTTGAACCCGAGGTCGCTCATCTGCATGTCGAGGTTCGGGCCGGCGTTGTACTCGCGGAAGTGGATGCCGCTCGCGTGGCGCTGAAGGATCTCCTGGATCACGTCGGCGACCGAGCTCGTCGTCGCGTACGCGCGCTCGTCGTCGTACGGGACCCACGTGTCGTCGAGCGGGAACCGGCGCTGGACCGTGTCCTTGAGGATGTCGAGGCCGCTCGGGACCGTGTTGACGTAGTCCTGGATGTTCTGGAGCATAAACCACGGCGAATCCCGCGAGTTGTACCGAGGCGTGCGGCCCGAGTCCTGCAGAGGAAAGGCGAGTCAGTCGGTGAGAGTGAGGGAGAGAGAGAGAGGACGGCCGACGCACGAGGAGGTTGGGGATGAGGCCGTGCTTGAGGACGGTCGAGAAGGCGAGGATGTGGTCGCGCGCAGCGGCGTACTGGCCCGTGACGAGGAACAGGCCTCGGAGCGAGATGAAGACGTCGCGGCCCCAGGTGCGGGCCCACTGTGGCGGCGAGGGAGCAAGGACGAGTCAGGCTCGGATTCTCGGACTTGGGAAGGTTGAGAGGAGACACAGGGACGCACACCGGTGGTAAAGTGAGGCAGGCCTGCTGCGAGACTCGGCACCGTCTTCTTGGCGTCGAGGCTGGCGCTGCTGACCTGGCCGTACATCTGCACGCTGACGAGCGCGAGCTGGTGGACGAAGCTGGTGCCCTGGCGGACGAGCGGCGAGCACTGGTCGACGGCCTGGTCCCTCGCCGCCTTGAACGCGACGTTGATGACGAACGCAAAGTACTTGGGCCGCAGGAAGGGCGGAACGTGGGCGCGAATGAGGTCAAAGCGCTTGCGGAACCAGGCGGCGGCCGAGGCGAGAGCCGGGAACGTGTCGACCTGCTTCTCGAGGCGGTTGACGACGTAGTCGAGGGCCCAGGTGCCGTTGCGCAGGTTGGCGCACAGCGGGTGGCCGAGGTCGTTGTTCTCCATGATGTGGCGCAAGTGCGGCATCCAGCCCTGCAGGCCGCAGTAGAGGAGCGGGCCCGAGTCGGGCAGGTTGAAGCAGCCGTCGCCGCCAGCTGCACGAGGAGGGAGAGAATGCGAGTCAGTGTCGGCCCGAGGGGGACGAGAGAGCGAGAAGAGAGGGCCGAGGACGCACTCGCGTCGCGCTCCTCGCCGTCGCAGCGGTACATGAGGACGTTGAGCTCGACCATGGTGAGGTCCTTGAACGCCTCCTTGGCGCCCGAGGCGCAGATGTCGTCGAGGTCGGTCGGGAGGTCGTCCATCCAGGTCGAGAAGACGAGGATGCTGCCGCGCGGGAACTCGTCCGGGACGACGATGGTCGAGTAGGTCAGGCCCGACGACGAGTCGGTCTCGAGCTCGGGCTCGACGGCCGTGATGGGCGAGACCGAGGCGTCGAGACCGCGCAGGGTCGAGTCGGTGTCGCGCGAGGCGGTCGAGTTGATCGAGACGCTCGCGCCGGCGATGAACTTGGCGCGGGTGCCGTCGAGGCGCATGGTCGGGGCTGCGGGAACGAACGAGAGCATGTCAGACGTGCGTCGAGAGGCGAGAGGAGGCAGGAGAGCGAGAGGGACGCACCGTCGCCCTTGCTCTTGTCGGAGCTCGACGAGAAGGCCGTCCTCGCGACGAGGAGGTAGCCGCGGTGCGTAACAGGGTTGACCCGGTGCGCCGTGACGTACTGTGTGAGGGACCGAGTCAGGTCGACGCACGACGCAGAGGGAGGGAGAGAGAAAGAGAGAGGACGACGCACCTCGCCCTCCTGGGAAAAGTGGCCCTCGACGCCCTCGTCGAGGACGAGCTCGGTGTGGAGGTGGTTGAGCAGGCGCTTGACCTCGCCGAGCGCGTCGGTCGCCTTGACGACCTCGTACTTGCGCGTCTCGCTCACGACGTCGAGCAACTTGGGGTACAGGTCGTCGAAGCCGCGGTTGCTGCCGACGGCGGCGCGCGCGAACGTGACGAGGGCGCCGGTCGGGAGCGCGTCCTCGGCCGTGCGCTTCGACAGGGGCGACTCGTTGTCGTGCGTGATGTCCATGAGGAACGCGTGCGGGACCGAGCCCGGGTGCGGGATGAGCTTGGCGTCGCGCGTGACGCCCTCGAACGAGACGGCCGTGCGCTCGCTCAGGCAGTCCGTGTCCATCGAGCCTGCAGGAGAGCGACGAGTCAGTCGACGAAAGAGAGGGAGGGTGCGAGAGGAGGAGGAGGAGGAGGGACGCACCGATAGGCTTGCCGAGGCCGAAGCCGTACAGCAGGCCGCTCTCCTCCTTCGGGCTGTTGGCGTCTGCGGCGAGAAGAGGACGACGTCAGGGACCACGTTCTCGAGAGGACGACAGAGAGTGAGAGAGAGAGGACGCACTGTACGCCTCGCGAATGAGGCTGTTGATGCCGAGGCGGCACACCCACAGGAGGTCGAGCTCTTGGCGACCCGTGAACAGCTCGGCGCACACGTACAGGTTCGGGTTGACCTCGCGGGCCTTGTCCATGAGGTACTCGCCGACGTGGATCGGCGTCGAGTGCGAGTTGTCGAGGCGGAAGCCGTCAAACATGGCCGCGAGCTGCTCGACGTAGTGCGCCATGTGGTCCCACAGCCACGGGTTGTCGTCGCGCCCGGTGCCGTACCGCAACTTGACGCAGTCGCCCCACACGATGAGGTCGCGGCGGATGTAGGTGCGCGAAGCGGGCGACGCAAAGTCGAGGAGCGGGTCGGCGTCCCAGATCCAGCCGTTGTTGGCGAGCGCGAGCAGGCTCGGGTCGTGCTTGGCCGTCGTCGAGTTCTTGGGCAGGCGCGTAAAGAGCGACTCGATGAGCGGCGACCTGGTGCGGGAGCGTGAGGGGTCAGTGCGCGCTCTCTCGCTCTGCCTCCTCGAGAGAGGGAGGGGTGGGACGCACTTGTCGGTGATGGGACCCATGCGAGGGCCGTGCTCGTCGATCCGGGTGTACTTGACACGGTTCTTGGTGTTGTCGAGGATCGCCTTGGTGTCGTCGTCAAACTGCTTGTACCGGTCGACGTTGAGCACGTCGAGGAGGCGCGCCACCTCGTCGGCGGCGAGGTCGGTCGCGCTGTCGGACCCGGGCGCGATCGCGAGGTGCTCGGCGATAAAGGCGACGGCGCGCTTGAGGTCGAGCTGGGCGTGGAACCGTTGGCCGAGGTGCGACCAGTTGTCGGGCAGGCACGTCTCGGCAAAGCGGGCCGCACGAGCCTCGATGCTGAGGCTCGTGAGGTCGGTACCGCGGCCTTGCGGCGGGGCCGTCGTCGCGCCCTTGTCGGCGGCCGAGGCGGTCCAAGCGTCGCGGAAGAGGGCCTTCTGGCCGGCGACGTCGAGGGCGTAGAACTCGTACAGCTTGAGCGACGGGAGGACCTTGTGCTCGATGTGCGACATGATGGCGTCGAGGTCGGCGTCCGTGTTGAGCGTCGTCGGGAGGCCGAGCGAGGCGAGGTTGCGCGACAGGTCGAGGAGGGCGTCGTCGAGCTCGAGGGCGCCGGCGAGGTGCGGCGACGAGTGGACCGAGTAACCTGCGGGGCGTACAGGGTCAGGCTCGAGTTGACGCGCTCGCAGGAAGGAGAGGAGGAGGAGGGACGCACCGGCTTCAGGATGCTCCTCGAGCCACTTCGAGTTGTTGGCCGTGTGGTTCAGGACGACGTCCATCATGCCGAGCATGCCCCACTCCTTGCGGATGCGGGCGAGCAGGGTCTTGATCGCGGCGTTCTTGGCCTCCTTGCCCTTGGCGACGGTCGCGGCGTCGAACAGGTCGTCGCTCATCTCGAGCTGGTCAAAGATCGAGTAGGGCGAGTTGCTCTCGCCGCGCTGCTGGAGCGGCGTGTAGTGGATCATGTTGTACCCACGCTGGCTCATGACGTCGAGGTGCGGCTCCCACTCGGGGAGGGTGCCCATCCACTTGGCGATGACGGTCTGGATGACGAGGCCGTCGAGCGGGAGCGCGACCTCGGTCGACGACGACGACGACGACACGACGCCGCCCTTGCCAACGGGGAGGACGGCGTGCGTCTCGGGGTCGAGGATCGGCGAGCGCGACGGGATGCGCAGGACCGGGTCGACGACAAAGTAGCCCGGCTCGGAGCGCGTGCGCCCGTTCGACGCCGAGTCGTACTCGACATAGTACGAGAACGCGCCCGCCGTCGTGATCTGCTCGTGCGCCGCTCGCGAGTCAGCTCGTCGCTCAAGAGAGTGTGTGTGTGGGCAGAGGGACGCACAGGCAGGTCAATCTCGAACGGCTTGGAGAAGTCTTGAGGCAACCTGCGCGCGCCGCGAACCCTCGTGAGCGCTCTCTTCTCGCGGCGAGCCGAGGGAAAGAAGACACGGCGAGACGCACTTGACGCTCGCAAACTGGTCGCGCTTGAACTTGCCGCCGTTGAGTGGAAAGTTGGTCTGGAGGACGCCGTTGCGGCTCGCGGCCGTGCCGGCGTCGACCGTGATGCGGAGCACGTACGGGTTGGTCGGCGGCGGCAGGCGCAGGAGCTGCGGTGGAGAGGGAGGAGGAGGGGCGGGTCCAGAGTCAGCGGGGCCGAGCGCGGGGTCGGCCTGGAGGATAGCAAGCTCGCGGGAGGAGGAGGATGGGGGGACGCACCGTCTTGCCCTTGGCGGGTGAGCCGTCGTTCTCGAGCGTGACGGCGTACACGACGAGGTCCTTCTTGACCTGGTCGACTGGCGGTGCGCTCGAGTCCTTCTTGGACGCGGCGAGCGAGGCGGCCGGAGTCGGCGCCGAGGCGGTCGTCAACGAGCTGGGCGACGCGGCAGAGGACGAGGTGGGGAGCGCGCTCGAGACGGCTTTGGCCGCCTTGTTGAGCGCCGACTTGAGCGCAGGCATGCTTCAGAGAAGCGAGCGTGGGTGGTGGGAGAGGAGGAGGAGGGAGCGAGGAGGGCGAGCGAGAAGGCGAGGCTCGATCAACCGATCCTGACGAGGGGCAAGGCGGCCGAGTCCGGGGCAGAGGGCTCTCACCTTTTTCGTGCGCTCTCGAGAGGACAGATTGACAGAGGTACAACACCCAGAGATGCACGCGCGAGACCCCACGACAACTACGAACACTGCGCGTCGTACTCTGCCCTCGCCTCCTCCTTCCTGAGCTGCTCCCCTCCCGCCGCCGGCGCGAGCTTGTCGACGTAGTTGGGCGGCAGAGACTGGAGGCACGGGGCGGCAAACAGTGTCCCGCGGAAGAAGCCGAGCGTCGTCGGGACAAAGACGACGATCCACAGCGAGAAGACGCTGAAGGTCATGATGGTGGCGCACACTCTGCGTCGCGCAAGGGGTCAGGCGCGTGCTCGTCGGTAGAGGAGAGAGAGAGAAACGCACTTGAAGAACATGGCGTCGAACACGGTGGCGAGCGAGAAGGTGAGGAGCGTCAAGGACCCGAGTGGAACTGCAAGTTGAGAAGGTCAACTCGTCGGCGCTCGATACGCCCGGTGCTCGACAGGGATAGAGAGAGGGACGCACACGTGAACGCCCACCAGCCCATGTTGAAGACGGTCGTCCCTGCGCCCGTCTTGGTCTCGCGGAATTGGGCGGCGATGCTGACGATGGCTAGGAACGCGAACCAGATCCCGAGCCTGCGTCAGGGCAGTACGAGCCAGTCAGCTCGCGCTCGACGAGGGCGTCGAGCAGACAGTGGAACGGACGACGCACCCCCAGAGCAAGAGGCCGAGCATGACGGCCGCGCCGAGCATCGGGTACCCGAGCTGGGCCAAGTGCGGCTTGTCGGCCGCGAGGCGCGGGAACAGGTCGACGGCGACGTGGCCGAGCTCGATCATGGCGTACCCACCTTGACCGATCGGACCAACAGGGAGCTGCGTGCGCGAGAGGGGTCAGTCTCGAGGGCACAAGAGGGAAGGAGGAGGGTCGACGCACCCAGCTCGAGACGACGACCTCGCGCGGCGGGAGGTGATGCAGGATGAGGCGCTGAAGGTACAGGACGATGACGGCCGCCGCGAGGAGCATGCCGATGCCGCCGCACAGGTACGACGCGATGAGGAGCGTGAGGCAGTAGGTCGTGCGGCCCTCGAGGAGTAGGAGCTTGCACAGGGTCGAGCCGACGGCGGCTTCCGTGATGAGGGGCACTGTCGGCGAAAACAGAGTCAGTCGGGGACGGGCGGCTCGAGGAGAAGGAGGAGGGAGGGCGCACCGATAGGGAGGAGCCACGCCGCAGTCATCGTCTCGGCCGCGTGCTGGTGCTGGGTGAACATGATGAAGGGCACGCCGAACGCGGTCAAGATCGACATGGCTGCGATTCAGGAAGACGAGGTCAGGGCCGGCTCGGGAAACAGAGGGAGAGAAGGAGAGGGCGGGCGGCGCACCGACCGAGATCCAGTACAGGACGAGGGCGGCGTCGAGCGTGTTGAGGCCGTACTCGTGCCCGGTTGCGGCAATGCCCGACACGATCGTGACAAAGCCCATGGCTGCGGAGGAGGACAGGAGTGTCAGCTTGTGGTGCTCGAACCGCTTGCGGGCGCTCGACAGGGACGAGACGGTGGACGAACGACGCACGGATGCAGCCGAGGAAGAGCGAGTGCGTCTCGTGGCGGAGCATGGCGAGAAAGATGCGCGGGTACAGGGCGTAGCGGGCGATGGTGAGGGCGGAAAAGGCGGCGAAGAGGAGCATGTCGAGGAGGAGGAAGGCCGAGCCGATGGCGCGGAAGGCGGAGTGGGACGAGCGCCAGGGAAGGAGGAAGAGGAGCGTGTTGACGATGCCGGTGCCCTGTGGGGGCAGTGCGAGGTCGGTAAGGCGTCGCGAGAAGGAGATGCGCGTGAAGGACCGGCCGGTGGTCCTCGAGCCGTAACCTCTCGGGCTAGAAGGGACGGACCATGGTGACCGAGAACCAGCTTGCGGTCTGTTTGAGCGGGACAAGGAGGCGGGCGAGGGGGGTGGCGAGGGGCAACGAGTCAGCCGAGAGGGTCCGAGGCGGGGAGGAGGGAGGGGGGACGCACAAAGCGCAAGGCGCGCAGACGGATCCCCCTGGCCTTGTCGGCGAAGAGTGGGTTGGTGAGTCTGCGAGTCGGTGCCGTGCTTGTGTGCTTGTCGTTGGCGGTAGGCGGTTGCGACTCGGAGCGAGTGTGGACGAGCGTCTGCTCTCCGTGGCCGTCGCTCGCGTGGGTTTGCGGCGGGGTGGGTGGATCTTGTGGCTGCATCGTGGCAGCGGTGCCCGCACGAGCACGGCGAGAGTGCGAGAGCGTGGCGAGCTGTGAGAGCCAGAGAGTCGGCTCCTCCGCGGAGGACGAGGTGACAGCCGCTCGCCATCCCTGTGCGACCAGCTCGCAACTTGCACCGCCCTGTGCACCCTCAGCCATCTAGCCGACTGCCCCGGCCAAGCACCCGCGCGCGTGCACCGCCCGGCACCTCCTCCCCCTCCTCGACGCGCCCGCATCTCCGCCCGCTCCTCTCTCCACCTCGGCGGCACCCTCGAGCACGACCACGAGCGCACCTCTCGCACGCGCCACTTGGCACCACCACCACCCGCGACCCGGCAACAGAGCACACCGCGACGAGCGTGAGCCCCCTTTCCCGCCAGCTCATCAGACGACCACCACACGGCGCAGCGGCCCCTCGCCGCCGTGCGCTCCTCGCGTGCACCCGTGTACTCCCCCACGAGCAAAGCGGGTCCGCACAGCAGCACCACCGCGCTCCACGGCGCAGCGCTGACCTCGCTCCGGCCTCTCCCCCCTCCTCTCGCCCCTCGCAGACTCGCATCACGGCCCCGCAAGACGGTGGCAGCACAGCCGGGCCCAATATCAGTACGCCCACCCTCTCGGCCCACAGTCAGAGCCCCCGTACTGATGCCTCGCCCCCTGCAGCCCTCCCCCTTCCCTCGGCCCCACCACCTCCTCCACCACTCGCCTGATCGTCGAGCACCGGCACCTCTCCGCTGCACGATGCCGCCCGTCGACCCGGCCTCGCTCACCATCTCGTCCCTCCTCGCCGAGCACCACAACGACCCGCACCGCGCCCTCGCGACCCTCGTGTCGCGCTTCAACCGCCTCGCGGCCGACCACACCTCGCTGCGCCAGGACCGCGACGCCGCCCTCCAGGCCTCGGAGCGCGCAGCCCAGGAGAACCACCAGCTGTGGCGCTCGCTCAAGGCCCTCGGCACCGCCGCGAGCCCGAGGCCGTCGGCCCTCCGACAAAACTCGGACCACTCGGCCGGCCAGGGCGTGCGCGGGCTCGGCCTCGAGACGCCGAGCTCGCGAGGGCTGAGGAGGGGCCCGTCGAGCGAGTCCAACTCGGCCAGGCTCGACCTCCCGACCTTGTCGGCCTCGTTCGGCGGCGCCAACGGCGGCGGCGGCGGCGGCGGCGGCAGCAGCAGCAGCGGCGCGACGTCGCAGCACTCGTCGCCGCGCACCGACGCCGACTTTGCCTCGTCGTCGGCCTTCTCGGCGCCGCACGACGGCCCCGCCGGCACGGGCGGCGCGCCTCGCTCAGCCGAGCCGAGCCCGCGCTTTGCGTCGGCGGCCCAGTTCAGCAGCCCGGCCGCCGGGCGCACCAAGGCCGCGACGCCGCCGCCGTCGCACGGCTCGCCGAGGGCGCACGACGCGCTCGCGGCGTCGGGCCTGCGCAAGGCGAGCTCGCTCGACCTCGGGCGCGGCGGCGGCGGGCCGGACGCCGATCCGGCGTCAGCGGCGGCGGGAGCAGCGGGTTTGACGGCGGCGGCGCCGGCGAGCCCGGGCGGCGAGGGGCTGCGGATGCCGCACGACGAGCAGCTGTCGCCGAGGACGCCGCCGCAGGGCGACAAGGCGTTCGACCCGCGCCGCAGGAGATCGAGCCCGAGGATGATGACGGGCAGCTCGAGCATGCCCATGCTGTCGGACCCGGCCATGGACCGCCGCCTCTTGCCGTCGATCCAGCCCGTCAGCCCCTTCTTTGTCGGCGGCGGCGGTGGCGGCGACGACAGCGGGTCCCGCAGCGCCTCGTCACGCGACCCCAACTCGGCCTCGTCGTCTGCCGGCGAGCACCTCCAGCAGCAGCTGCACCACCACCCGGCGTCGAGTCGCACGGCCGAACTCGCGTCGTCGCGCCGCGACCGCACCTTGTCGACCAACTCGTCAAGCTCGCTCGCCAACTCGGCGTTGCCCGACCCGGCCCTGTCGTCGTCGTCGTCGCGCTCGGCGTCGTCGCTCCTGCAGGACTCGGTCTACAGCATGCGCGAGCGGCGACCGTCGGCCCCGAGCAGCCGCCTCGCGCACGCCGCCCTCGGCCCCCACGACACGGACCTGTCGACGACGACGACGGCGAGCGCGAGCGCCCCGTCGAGCCGGCGTCCATCGGCGCTCAACTTTGGCGGCGGCGGCGCACAACTCGCGTCGCAGCACCAGCAGCAGCAGCAGCAGCACCAGCAGGCGCCCTTGCCGTCGCCTCATCCGCCTCGGACGCCGACGGTCCGCCCTGCGGCGCCGCCCGCCCCGCCGAGCCTGATGCCCGCTCAGCTGGCCCACGCGCGGGTGCGCGTCGCGTCGAGCAACATCCGCCTGAGCGAACGCGGCAAGGAGGTCGTCTCGTTTGTCGTCGACGTCGAGCTGCCCGCGTCGTCGCCGTCGTCATCGTCCGCCGAGGCCGCATCGGTCGACGCCTCGCGATGGCGCGTCGAGAAGAAGCACGCCGACGTGCTCGCGCTCGACGCCGCCGTGCGGAGCAAGGCGAGTCGGTCCGAGGCCAAGGGCCTCGCGAGCTTGCCGGACAAGAACCTGTTCAAGGACCATGCGCCGCACAAGAGCGACCAGCGCAAGGTGCGTCCCCTCTGCCTCTTCTGCCTCTTCCCATCTCTCCTTCGTCCGTCACTGACTCGCCCGTCCACCTGCGCAGGCCCTCGTCGAGCGGTACCTCCAGACGCTTGTCGCCATCCCGTTCAAGGACCGCTCGCCCATCTGCGCGTTCCTCACCTCGGACGTCGTCGTCGAGTCGCCGACGACGCCCTCCTCGGCCCACGGGTCCATGGAGGGCTGGTTGACCAAGCGCGGGCGCAACTTTGGTGGGTGGCAGACCCGGTTCTACGTCCTCACGCCGGGCAGCGCGCTCGCCTACTACGACGCTGTACGTCCCCGTCTCTCTCTCTCCCTCGTCTCTCCTCGTCCTCAGCGAGGCTGACTCGGCGTTCTCCTCTTGCAGCCCGGCGGCACCAAGCTCGGCGAGATCCCGCTGCAGTCGGCCGCCATCGGCCGCCAATCCTCCTCACGCGCTCAGCCGTCATCCTCGTCGTCCTCGTCCTCGTCGGCAGCCAACGCCAACGGCTCGGCCGACGCCGACGACGCGTACCTGCACGCGTTCCTGATCCGCACCCAAAGCGACGAGAAGCACGGCCACCACGAGGCCGACCACATCCTGTGCGCCGAGAACGACGAGCAGCGCGACCGGTGGGTCCAGGCCTTGACGACGCTCCAGCCTCGAGGCGTCGGCGCGAGCTCGTCGTCGTCGGCCAAGGCGGGCGACAATGACCGCGAGAGGGCGCTCCCCGACGCTCCCTCGGCGGCGGCCCCGCCCGTCCCGACGGTCGTCTCGACCGAGCCCGACTCGCCTGCGCAGCCGAGCGCGCCCAAGGAGCGACGGCGCTCGGGCTCGGGCCCGCCGTCGAGCACGAGCGCGCTCGTCGAGCACGGCGGCCCGAGCGGCGGCGGGCTCTCGGTCCGGTCGGCGGGCGAGCCGGGCCTCCCGCCGAGCGTGTCGCTCCCGAGCGACCTGCACGCGCTCGCGAGGGGCATGCCGGCGCTCGAGGGCGGCGCGGGCGCCAAGAAGATCGCGACCATCTCGGAGGGCAACGAGGGCGGCGCGCCGGGTTCGAGCTCGTCCGGGTCGGCGACCGCGGCGGCGGCCAGGTCGACGGGCACCAAGCTGCACGCGCCGTCGTCGCGTCGGCCGTCGGGCGACCGCCCGTTGAGCCCGTCGCGCACCGAGTCGCCGAGCTCGTCGGGCGGGCCTCCTCCTCCACCACCACCGGCGCCGCCTCAGCCCTCGGCCTCGTCGGCGACCAAGTACAGCGCGAGCGACGTCTCGGGCCCGATGAACGCCGTGCCGCTCCCGTCCGGCTACGACTTCAAGAAGGCCGAGCGCCAGAAGAAGACCAAGTCGAGCTTCTGGAACTTTGCGTCGCGCGGCAGCAGCAGCCACAACTCGTCGTCGGCGACGGCGTCGGGCGACCGCAACTCGGCGACGAGCCCTGGCGGGCACGCGCCGCCGGCGAGGCCCGTCTTTGGCGTGCCGTTGCCCGAGGCCGTCGCCATCTCGCGGATCCGGCCAGGGCTCGAGCTGCCCGCCATCGTCTACCGCTGCGTCGAGTACCTCGAGGCCAAGGTGCGCCCACCTTCTTCCTTCTCTTCGTCACCTGCAGCCGACCGACACTGACTCTTTGCGGCACCTGCGCGCAGAACGCCGAGCACGAGGAGGGCATTTTCCGCCTGTCGGGCTCCGCCAACGTGATCCGCCTCCTCAAGGAGCGCTTCAACGCCGAGGGCGACGTCAACCTGCTGCAGAGCGCCGAGTACTACGACCCGCACGCCGTCGCCGGCCTCCTCAAGCAGTACCTGCGCGAGCTGCCCGACCACTTGCTCACGCGCGAGCTCCACAACGAGTTCCTGCGCGTCATCGGTGCGTCCCTCGTGCCTCTCGCCCCTCTCAGAGCGAGCCACGGTCCTGACTCACCGCTCGAGCAGATCTGCGCGACCGACGCGACCGCGTCAACGCCCTCGGCAAGCTCGTCGCCCGTCTCCCGATCGAGGAGTACACCCTGTTCCGCTTCTTGTGCGTCCTCGCTCTCTCTCTCTTCTCCTCTCCTCGCCTCGTCTCGCGTGACTGACTCGGCCGTCCACGAGCAGCTTTGCGCACCTGTGCCTCATCGCCCAGAACGCCGACACGTCCAAGATGAACTTGCGCAACCTTGGCATCGTCTTTGCGCCGACGCTCGCCATCCCGCAGCCGCTCTTCTCTCTCTTCCTCGTCGAGTTCGACGTATGTCCCTCTCTCCCTCTCTCTTTGTCCTGCAGACGGCCTTGTGACTGACCTATACGTCCCGCACGCAGCTTATCTTCGCCGTCGAGACCGAGACGGGCGCCGCCAAGCCCATCATGGTGGGCGAGGAGCCCTCGTCGCTCGACGCAGCGGCGTCGTCGCAGGGCTCGGGCACCAACAAGAGCCCGAGGTCGGGCGGCAACCGCAATAGCCAGCTCTACGAGGCGTCGGGCGCGGGCGAGCTTGAGCAGAAGCTCGAGAAGCTGCGAGGTGCGTCTCCCTCCCTCTCTCTCTCTCTCTCTTTCTCGACCTCTTCTTTCGAGCATAGACTGATTAGACACGGATCGCGCTCGCACAGAAAACGACGAGGCGGACGACCTGCCCGCCGACAGCGGTCGACCCGGACCTGACGAGGCCGACCACGCCGGTCCTCCCGCCGGCGAGCAGGGCTCGCTCAACGAGGCGTACGAGCAGCCGCACGGCACTGGTCCGCTCGGCGCACCACTGCGCAGCCCGGGCTTGCCCGTCTCGCCTCGACCAGGCGCGACTTTCTGAGTCCGCCAAACCCGGCCTTTCCCTCCTCGCCGCCCGATCGATACCCTCTCTCTGCCTCCCCCCTCATCGTCGTTGATACCCCTTCCCTACCTCTGTCCTCGTGTGCACCGCCCCTGCCCTCACTGTCCCTTCTCGTGAGCTTCGTCTAGCGAGCAATGCACTCGTAATCCTCTCTCCTCTCTCTCGACGTCTGCGAGAGCGCGAGAGAAACGTGCAGTGCATAAAAGAGAGGAGCGTGGCAGTACCAACAACAAAGACAAGGGCGGGCGAGAGGGGACTGAAGGGATGAGAGGGAGGGGGAAAGGGAGGAGGACCGTGCGCCGCTCAGTCGTCGTCCTGCGTGCCCGCCCACATCTGGTACAGCGCAAAGCTGCTCGGGTCTCGTGCGTGAGAGAGACCGCCGCCGCCGCTGCTGCTGCTCTCCTTGGCGGCCTCCCTCGGCTTGGCCGGGAGCGAAGGCGGCGACGGCGGCGAGCCGTGCACCTTGGCCTGGCTGCTGACGGTCGGCGCGTCAAACCTCGCCGACGGGAGCGGCGTCGTCGCACGCAGCGGCTGCGCATGCAGGTGCGGCGAGCGCGCCTGGGCGTGCGAGTGGTGGTGCGGGTGCGGGACGGGCGTCTCGGCTCGCAGGCGGGCGCCGAACTTGGCCGACGAGGGCTGGGCGAGCGAGGGCGACAGGGACGAGGGGGACGGGGCGCGTTTCGAGTGCTTCGAGGGCGAGAGGAAGGAGCGAGGAGGGGCGAGGAGGGGTTGTGGCGAGTCGGCGTCGTAGCGGAAACTGGATGCGAAGGGAAGAGCTCGTCAGTTCTCCTTCTGCAGATGCCGAGGTAGAGAAACTGTCAGACGCACCTCATGCGACTCTCGACGTCGAAGCCGTCCTCGTCGTCGTCCTCGAGCTCCTCGTCCTCGCTCGCCGCTGCTCGGCCCGACCGACGCCGCTCGTTGAGCTCCTCGAGCTTCTGCGCCGCGAATTCAGGTGGCTCCCAGCGCTCGATGCGGACGAAGCGGTCTGTCGTTGACCCAACGAGTGAGTATCAGGCGCTGTGGACGGGCGAGAGGGACGAGGGGGAGCGGCAGAGAGAGGTTGACGTACACGTGTTCCTCGTCTTGCCGACTTTGCGGGGCGCGCCCTGCTTGCCGCGCTTCTCCTTCTCGCGAGAGAAGCTGCCCGGAATACTGCGCACGGTCGAGAGGTGTGAGACGGGCTGGAAAGGGGAAGAGAGGACGACAGGAGAGGAGAGAGAGGAGGACGCACGACGTCTCGCCCGTCTTGACGGCCCGCACGACCACGTCCGTGAAGCTCACGAGCCACTCGGACCCCTTGCCGCTCGTCCCACCCTTCTTGCCGCCGCCGCCGACAGCACCCGACATGCGGCGAGCGAACTTGGCGCGGGTCGAGCCGCTCGCGGTGGCGGATGGGCCGGCCGACTGCGAGAGCGTGGGCGCCGGGTGCTCCGAGATGAGGATGCGGGCAGCTCGAGGGGCCATGAGCGTCTGCAAGGGCAGAGAGGGAAAGTCAGTGAGGGGGCGTGGCTGAGATAGAGAGGCTCGAGCGGCGCACCTTGTCCTTGACGCCGTCGATGCGGGCGAGCGCGTCCCGAGTCTGTGTGGCAGGTGACGTTCGACGACCTGTCAGTACAGGCCGCACATGCGGCTTTAGCGCGAACAGGAGTGAGAGGCACCGCGACGCACCCTTTCTCGCTCCTCCTCCTCGACCTTCTCGTCCTCGATCGAGCGCACGAGCGCGTCCACCTCGAGCGCCATGGCGCGAGTCTGCGGGCACACGTCATGGCCGTCAGTTCGACGTCGACAGGAGGAAAGGGAAAGAGCTGCGGCGCACCTTCTCCCACTCGTGCGTCGTCGGATCTGCGTGCGCGCGCTCGAGCCTGTTAGTCTCTGCTCGTCCTTTTCCTGACCGGCACCACGGAAAAGAGAAACAGGGGACGCACCCGTGTGGTACAGGAGCGCCTGCATGAGCAACGGCAGCTTGCCGAGCCGCATGAGCGGCTTGCTCAAGCAGATGCCGAGGCCGCTCTCGCCGAGGTCGGCCGCCTCGAGCTCGAGGTCGTGCAGCGCGCGTGCGAGGCGCTTGTCGGCCTGTGAGAGCTTGTGCGACGCGGAGGAGGACGAGGTGGTGGACGAGGCGTGCGAGTGAGGGAGGGAAGAAGGGAGGAGGCGGTCGAGCGAGGCGAGGGCGGGCTCGAGCGAAAGGACGTAGGTCGTGTAGGTGCCGAGGAACCAGGGCTGCAGATATGACGAGTGAGTCATTCAAGGCACACGAGCGCATCCTCCCGGCCGCACAGCTTGCGCAGAGAGAGGAGAGCGGTGTCGCCGGAGGACTCACTTGGTCGCTCCAAATCGCGGCGAGGCCCCTGTTTGCGTGCGACGGTATCAGATCTGCGCTCGTGCGACATGCACAAAGAAAGAGAGAGAGAATTGCGGACGCACCTGACGAGCGGGAACGCCCTCGCCCACTGCTCCTTGAGCCTCGCGCTCAGCTCGTCGTGCCCGCGCAGCATCTCGACGCAGGCCTCGAGCGCGTCGCGCAGCTCGAGCGGGAGCGCGAGTGGCGCCTCCGGTGCGCTCGACATGCCCGGCGGCGCCGAGGGCGACGGCGTGGCCGTCGTCGTGCGCGACGAGTGGCGCGACGAGCGGAAGGCCGACGCGATGCGGCTGCTCACGCTCAGGTTGGGCGACGAGCCCGACGAGGACGACGGCGGCCGAGTGCCACTGACCGTCGACGACGACGAGGCGTGCCGCCGCCCAGAGGCGCTCGCCGGGGCGAGGTGCGGCGCCGAGCCGTTCGTCCCGCCCGACCCGCCGCGCCGCATCGCCGCCGAGTGCCCGCCGTCCATGTCGGGCGCGTCGACGATGCGCACCATGCGCGGGTGCCCGTGGCCGTGCTCGCCGTCGGCCGCGACGGGCTCGGGCGTGGGCGTGCGCGCAAAGCGGGACGCGATGGGCAGCGAGGCGGACGAGGTCGACGCGCTCGCGTGCGGGTGGGCGCCGAGCTCGGGCGAGAAGCCGAAGCGCGGGGAGGGCGTGAGGGAGGGCGAGGGGGCGAGCGTGTGGAGGAGCTTGTTGGCGTACAGGTTGACGAGGGACCGGAGCTCGGCGACGTAGCTGCGCAAGGAGGGGGTCAGTGGCGCGATCGAGGTGAGGGGGGCGCGTGGGACGCACCGTTCCTCGCTTGCGACGACCTCCCACCTGTGGGTACGAGAGGGTTAGCGAGGTTCAAGGAGGAAAGTGAGAGAGGGCGACGACGCACAGGATCTCCTGCCGCGTGCGCTCTCGAGGCGACAAGTTGTTGACGAGTTCTTGATGCGCCATCTCGGACCACGTAGTCGGCGCTGCAAGGCGTAAGGCGTCAAGTCTTGTTGTGAGAGAGAGGGAGATTGAAGAGGAGCGACGGACCGTAGATCTGGGTCGGGTCGCGGTCTGCAAAGTCGATGCTCGCGACGCCGCCGTACTGGCGGGTGCCGAGCGAGTGACCGAGCGAGGGCGACAGGGACGTGGGCGACAGGGAGCGGTCGACGTGGGCGGGCTTGTGCGGTGCGGCGGCGACGGTAGGAGGCGAGGAGGACGAGGTTGAGCCGGCCGAGGCGGTGCGGCTGGGGTTGCCGTTGCGCTCGCGGAGGTTGCCGTTGGCGTGGAGGCGGTCCTGGCTGTTGCAGGCGTCGTTGGCCGTCAGGGCGGCGTGTGTCGAGCGAGGCGAGGTGGACGCGCCCTGAGCGGTGTGCGCCGGCTCCCTCGCGCCGTGCCCGCCGCGCGACTGGCCCGAGACGTGTCCTGCGGTGCTGCCGAGCGCTGGCGGCAAGCCCAGGCCCAGGCCATGCAGGTGGGCGGCGGGCGGGGCAGGATCTGGTCGCGAGGCGGCGGCGGTCGAGCGAGGCTGGGGCGACGGCGAGCGGTCCTTTGTGGGCGCGGGTTTGGGCGACCGCCAGAATTTGAGCATGCTCTGTTGAGAGCGGGCTGCAACTCGAAGCAGCTTGGCTCGAGCGAGCGAGTGGGTCAACAGCGAGCGACGACGACGACGAGGCGGCACCGACACAGGTTGACCGACTGTGGCTCGTGTCGCTCTCCCGTCGAGCCAACGTACACTGCCACGACCTGCACCTGCGTCTCTCTGCGCCTTCGACCCGGCTCGAGCTGCCCCACGAGCTGCGGCCGTCGCCAACCTCGCCTGCGCAGCCGCCGTCATCATCCTGAGTCCCGCCCACAGCTCTTCACCACGCCGTGCACTGCGCCGGCCCTCGGCCTGCGAGCTAGCTCAAGCTGGCGTCGTTGTCGCGCCCCTCGTCGAGGCGGTCCTCGGTCGACACCGGCCTCGCCCTCCATCATCCTCGGCGGCCTCACGCAGGACCACCACCCGCGCCAGCCCACTCGACGCCCCAACCGAGCCCACCCAACGAGTCGCCACCGCCCTACACGGCCCCTCTCGCGCCGCCCCACCGCTCGCGCAGCGTACCCCACCTCGTCAACCTCGCCTTCACCTCGTCCCTCCCTCCGCCCGTCCCGTCCACCGCCGGCCACCCGCCGTACGGCCTCGGCCTCGACTCACGCCCAAACGCCTCGTCGTCGTCGCACCCGGCGACCCGCGACCGCGTGCGCAGCTCGTCGGCCGCCGCGCTCCACCACCTCGGCGCCTTCCCCTCGCCCGCACCGCGCGCAGCCCACTCGTCCTCGTCCGACGACGGCGAGGCCTTTTCGCGCATCCTCGCGCTCCCGCCCTCGGCCTACGTCGCCGTCCCGCACCCGGGCACGACCGACTCGGACGACAACGGCGACGGCGCGCTCGAGATTCGCTCGCGCGTGACCGGGGCGGCGTCGGCGGCGAGGAGAGGAGGAGCGAGTTCGGTGACGCAGCGGCGAGGTGCAGGAGGAGCGAGATTGACGAGGCGAGGAGCGTCTGGTGGCGGTGGGTCGCCGGAGTCGGGAGCGGCGCCTCTTCCTGTGCGTCTCGCCGAGCGCACCTCTTCCTCTCTGCCACCTGTCCTGACGTCTTTCCTCCCCGACAGTCACCTGTACCGCCCTCACGTCCTTCATCGTCCTCCTCGTCCGCCGCGACGCCGAGCCAGTCGCGCATCTGGACGCCGCTCCTTGTCTTCCTCAACTTCCTCGCCATGGTCCCGGGCCTCGTCGGCTTCTTCTACTCGGCCGCCCGGTTCTACAGCACGCGGCACCTCGTCTGGGCCTCGTCGACGTGGGACGCACGCGGCGCACACGGCGGGCAGGCCATCCTCGAGGCGCGCTCGACCCGGCTCGACTGGCTCCTGAGCGCGTGCTGGGCCCTCGCGACGGCCTACTTCACCCTGTCGCTCGCGCGTGGGCTCCTGCGCCGGTGGCTCGTCTTCTACTCGACGGGCCCGACCATCATCCGCGTCGTGAGCCTCCAGGCCATCTGTTGGCCGTTGACGCTCACGACGCACCGGTTCCTGTCGTTCGACCAGCCCGTCGCTGCTTGGGTCATCTGCGCCACGACGGCTGCCTTCTCGGTGCGCCCTCCTTTCCCTCTCTCGCTTTCGTCCTGTCCGAGCGAGCGCTCACGCTCGTCGTCTTGCCGCAGAACGTCATCCAGACGTGGGTCACGAGCAACATCGTCGAGCGCAAGGACCGCCGCTCGCAGCAACGGTGGCGCCTCCTGTCGCTCGCCATCACGACCGTCCTCGGCCCCGGCGTCCGCACCGACAAGTACCGCCGCGGCGAGCGCGTCCTGTCGTGGCGTCACGTCCTGTGGGGCACGGTCCTCCCCTTTGCGTTCCTCGGGTGGCTCTCGATGGGCGCCCTCCTGTGGCAGCAGTTCGTCGCTCGGTACCGCGGCGGCGGCGGCGTCGCGCTCGGCCCGCACCCGCACCCGTACGCGCTCGTCGACCAGGGCGGCGCTCGGGCCCTCGCGACCTTGCCCGACCTCGACCCGTCGGCCGGCGTGCGCGTCGTCGTCCTCGTCACGTCAAGCTGGACCAACCGCTCGGCCGTCAACCGCCACACATTCCGCGAGACGTCGGTCCGCCTCTTTCCTCGGCCCTCGTCGTCGTCATCGTCGTCGGGCAAGCCGCCCGACATCAGCGTCGCGTACCGGTTCCTCCTCGGCGCGCCGCCGTCGCCGCTCACGGCCGCACGAGCCGGGCCGGGTATCGAGGCCGAGGCCGACGAGTGGCGCGACATGCTCGTCGTCGGCGCGCCCGACGGGTACGACCAGTTGAGCCGCAAGGTGCACCGAGGGTGGGCCTGGGCCGCCGGGCTCGACGTCGACTACGTGCTCAAGACGGACGACGACATCCTGTTGCGCATGGACGTACTCGCCAAGGAGCTCGTGCAGCTCGGCCGCAGGACGGAGTACTGGAGGGGGTTCGCCTACTGGTGCGCCCGAGCTCGCTCTCTCTCTCGTCGTGGTGGCCTGACGAGGCCCTCACTGACTCACAATCTCGCTCGCTGCAGGGACATCCCGGCCATCAAGGACGCGTCGAACAAGAACGCCGACTTTGCCTACGAGCTGTCGCCCTTCCCTCCTTACACGGCCGGCGCGCTCCACATCCTGTCGCACGACCTCGTCCAGCTCGTCGCTCCGCCGCACGCCTCGCGCCTGTTCACCAAGAACGAGGACCAAAACCTCGGCCTGTGGCTGTACTCGTCCGGCGTCCGCCCGATCCACGACCACCGCATCCAGCAGGCCCAGGTGTGCGAGGACGACATGCTCGCCAAGCACTTTGGCTCGCAGTACACCGAGCCGACCGGCGCAGGTGCGCGCGACATGTACGCCAACATCGTCGCCGGCCGGCGCCCGTGCGAGGGCCTCCTCCAGAGGTGGTGCGGCGTGTGCTACCCGTCGTGCCGCCGCCGCGAGAACCACTGGCGCCAGTGGGGCTACGCCTGCGACGAGCACCGTGGCGCCACCCTGTCGTCCCGTGCCGCCTCGTCGGCGTCGTCGTCGTCGCTCGAGGCGCCCGTCAAGGTCGCGCCCGATCCTCGGATCCTCGGCTCGGCCGACGACCCGTGGGTCGTGCCCGGCCTCCTGTCGCGCCACGCGTCGACCCTGAGCGCGACCGACGACTGGCACCTGCTGCACATGGTGTGCTGGACGACGGCGCCCGAGACGTTCCAGGAGCGGCACTACGCCGCGCTCGAGACGATCTGGGCGCACGAGCCGCGCGCCGTCGTCCTCGTCCTGTCGACGTCGCTCGACGAGGCGTTCCTCGACGTGTACCGTGAACACGGGTACGCCGTGCACGTCGTCCGCGTCGGGCGGGACGAGATCCTCGAGCGCGGGTGGTACCTCGGGCCCAAGAGCAAGGAGTGGATCGAGCGGTGGGACAAGTGGGCGACCGGGCCAAGCTTGTGCGTCGACTTTCTCCTTCACTCTACAGAGAGCGAGAGCCTGACGTTATCGTCCGCTCGTCGCCGCAGCTTCTCGCACTTGACCGACTACCTGCGGTACCTGTTCCTCTTCAACTTTGGCGGCACCTGTGCGTCCTCCTCTCATCGACGATCGAGGACGACACTGACCGTGGAACGTCCTACAGACCTCGACATGGACGCGCCCTGGGTCCGCTCGCCGCCCGACGCCAAACTCGAGTTCATCGGCGCCGACCACTCGACGCTCGCGAGCGACGTCGACTGGACGCTCGACGAGTCGGGCATGTACCTCGCGCCGGGCGTCATGCGGTTCCGACGCGGCTGGGCCGTCTTCCGCGACATCATGGAGTCGGCCTTCTCGCCGTCGTACTCGCCCGAGTGCTTCAACTGCGTCGGCCCGCGCGCCATCACGTCGGCCGTGCGCGCTCGCCGGTACCAGCTCGAGCTCCACGGGTTCACGATCGTCCCGCCGCACGTCCTGTACCCGCGCAACTGGCTCGCCGCGCACGAGCTCGTCCGGGCGCTCCCTCCCGGCGAGGCGCACGCCCAGCTCGCCCACATCGCCGACCAGTCGTGGTCGATCCACCTCTTCGGCAAGATGACCAACCACCTGCGCATCCAGCCGCGCTCGATCGTCGCCGAGGCGTTCGCCGCCTTCTCGCTCGGCGTCCCCCGACCGACGGGCCCGCTCTCGTCCTCGGCCGGCCTCGACGACGACGCGCTCGACTCGCCGCCTCGCGCCCTTCCAGCGTCGCACTCGGCCCTGTCGCTGCGCCATCCGCCCCGGTACACCTACCGCGCGCGCTCGACGCTCGCGCGAGACGAGGTCCCGCACCTCGACCTCGGCTCGCTCGACGGCCGGTTCGACGGCCTCGACCTCGTCGCCGTTCGAGGTGCGCTGCCCTCGGGCGTCAAGAGCGCACGCGCCGAGGTGCGCCTGAGCACGACGAGCGGCGGCAAGGTGGCGCTCGAGCCGCCTGGGTCGCTCCGCGGGAGGACCGGCAGCGGCGAGGCTGGGCCCGCCGCAGGGGAGGACGTCCGCTTCGTCCTTGACGACGCGAGGCTCAAGGACATCAACGCCGTCCTGCGGAGCGCAGTGTACGTCCCGCCGCAGGCGGGCGACGGCGACGAGGTGCGCCTCGAGGACGAGCTGCGGATCGTCGTCGAGTGGGGCGGCGAGCGGTTAGAAGGCGTCGTCTCGGTGGTTATACCGGGCTTTTGAGCGAGCTGTACAGGTCGCATATGCATTGTAGAGCAGTCCTCGGCTCGGTCTTTGCAGCTGCGAGAGCGAGGAAAGCGAGCTTGCGCCTCGTCGACGCCCGCCTCGCTCAGACCTCGTCCGACCGTCGCCGCCTTGCTCTCCTGTCACATAGCTGTCGCTTTCTGCGGCACGCGGTCTTGCAGCGCAGCGGCACCTCGTCCAGAGACGCACGGTCCTCTCCCGTTTTTGACCTTCTCAAGCCGCCTCTTCCCGCCGGCTCGTTTGACTTCGTCGGGCAAAGCCTCGCTCTGCTGCCGCAAGTTTTGCTCAGCCTGGTGCAAGCGTCGATTCAGAACCGTCGCTCGCCGTGATGTCAACATGTCAACTCGCGGCTCGGTCGCGTCATTCCGCCGGCTCCCCCACCCGGGTCGCCTCGCTCTTCCTCTCCTTCCCACCACCGCCGCCTGTCGACCACCCACGACTCTCACACTCAGCACCACCATGTCGACCTACTCCTCGGACCCGCAGCGCGGTGCGTCCCTGGTCTCTCCCCTCCTCCTCCTCCTCCTCGCGCTCGCGCTCGCGGATCGGGGCCGCTCTCGACGGCGGCGGCCGTCTCTCGTCTTGTCTCAAGGTTGGGGCAGCTACGGAGGTGCACGGCAGTTTGCGGGCATAGACTGGGCAGGGAATGGTGGGCGGGTCTCGAGGCCAACGAGCGTCGACGACACAGAGCCTTGCGCTGACCCTCTCTCTCTCGTCCCTCGCTGCAGTCGACGACAAGTCCAAAACGCAGAAGGACCCGGTCGGGGCCAGCCACGGCGTCGTCGACAGCCAGAACGAGGCCTTCTTCCGCGACCCGCCCAACAACCTCGGCCTCTCGAGGGCCGCCGACCAGGACCGCTCCGCCGACCTCGTCGGCAGCCAGAACACTCAGGTGCGTCGTTCTCCCACTCGTCGACGTTCTTCTCCGTCCCTCCTCGTCAATCGTCGTCGCCGTCCACCGCCGCCGCCGTTCCTCGTCCTCCCGCAACTTCCCTCGTCCGCCCTCGTCTCTCTCGAGCCGAGCTGACTCTCTGCTTTGCCCGCAACAGCCCATCGCCGAGCCGCAGACCGAGGAGGAGCGCAAGCGCGTTCAGGAGCTCGCCGACAAGCTCAACAAGTGAGCGTGACGTCGTCGTCGCCGCCTCGCCGCACCCTTGTCGCCTTGTACAGACCCCCTCGCACGCTTGACGCAGTACCTGCAACGCAGTAGTGAAGTGCCAGTCTCGCTCTCGTGTCCAGAGAGGGCCCAAAGAGCGAGTCTCGAGAGCTCAAAGCCGCGAGCGCAGGTGAAGGCTCGGCTCGCGTGACCTGGAGCTCGGCGGCAGCTCTCCCTCTTCTGTCCATCACTCGCACCCGACAGCCACACACCTGCACGACCCGCCATGCAAGCCCACGACCAGCTCGCTGCCCCCAAGGCCGGCTCTCGCCCCTCGACGCCGAGCGGCGGCCACCGCCTCTCGCGCCCCGGCACGCCCGCTCGTGGCTCGCGCGCAGGGACGCCCAGTCGCATTCAGGCGTGCGTCCCACCTTCTCTCTGTGCGCCTGCAAGGCGCACGAACTGACTTGCCCCGTCGCGCGCCCTCCTCTCGTCCTCGTCGCTCTCCTCCCCGCTCCGCCCCCACCCCCACCCGACGACCTCTGCGTCGACCTCGCAGCGACCCCTCGGCGGGCTACATGACCAAGGCCGGCATGCCCAACAACCTCGGCTACAGCGACCCGCGCATCCAGGACCGCGCGAGCGACATGATCGGCCAACAGGGAACAGAACCCGTGCGTCCGCCCTCCTCCTCTTCTCGCCTCGCACGCCGCCGCATCCGCCGCCGAGTGAAAACCTGACCTCTTCCCTCCCTCGCCGCATGCCCGCAGGTCAAGGACGGCCCGTCCCCCGACGAGGTCAAGAAGGCGCGCGAGCTCGCCGAGCTCCTCGAGAGCAACAAGAGAAAGTGAACCGGCGCTCTCTCGCTCGTCGCAGACCGCTTTCGCTTTCCGTCAGACTCTGAAATGCAGTGCAGTACATCGACGTCGAGCGCCTGAGCGAGAGCGAGAGTGAGAGAAGGGTCCGTGCGCCCTTCTCGACGTAGTCGCCGCCGGCTCGCTCTCTCTTCTCTCCGCCTCTCGCTTCGGCGCCTGCAGCACGCCAGCTTCATTCGTCGCTCCATTGGTCAGGCTGTCGCTCCCCAGCGTGCCGTCGCTCTCGCACAAGCGCCCGCTGCAGCTCAACCTTCCCTCGCTCCCCCGCACTACAAGCGGCGCTAGCGCACTCGCTCCACGTGGAGCTGCTGCAGCAACGTGCGGTGCCGCTCCCGACAGAGCTCCGCTCGAGCCCGAACGTGCGCATCCGTGCGGGCCTCGCACGGCTGCGCCGCTATCCAGGATTAGCCGGACGGCTCCCTCGAGGAGGCGCTCGAGCTGGCTTTTGGCTTCGTTCCTGCTCTGCTACCGTCTCTCTACGTCCTCGTCCGCCATCATGCTCCCTCTCGCGCTCTTCACAGCATGCGCTGCGACCCTTGCCGTCGCCGACCCGTCGCCGAACCTGCGCGACGTCCTCGGCGGCATCGTCGACAAGGTGCAGGCCAAGGCGCAGAACCTCCTCGGCCTCGACGCGTGCCCGGCACCGTTCCTCCTCCCGACGAGCTGCTACAAGGGTCAATCGCCGAGCACGCCGGGCCTGAACGTGAGCCCGTCGTCCCGCCTCGCACTCTCTCCTCCCCGCACGTTCCTCCTCCTCCTCGAGCGCCCACGAGCCCGCCTCGACGCTGCGGCGTTCCGGCGCTCGGGCACGTCGGTGCAGGCCGTTGAGCAAAGCCTCTCTCGACGACAAGAGACCGCCAAGTCGCAAGGAACTGACGACAAGTCCTCGCCCTCCCTTGCTCGCAGGGTTGCTGCACCAACGTGCCCGGCGGCCTGCAGCTGCAGACCCAGTTCTGGAACGCGCAGCCCGACATCGGCCCTGTCGACTCGTGGACGGTGCACGGCCTCTGGCCGGACAACTGTGACGGTTCCTACGCCGCGTACTGCGACCCGAGCCGGGAGTACGAGAGCATTCGCTCGATCCTGCAGGGCAAGGGCAAGACGCAGCTGCTCGAGACGATGGGCACCTACTGGAAGAGCAACACGGGCGACGACGACTCGCTTTGGGTGCACGAGTGGGCCAAGGTGCGTCGGTTACGTTCCTCGAGCGGCAACTTGAGAAGGTCGACGCGAACCTGACTCTTTCTCGCGCCCGCAGCACGGTCAGCTCGTCCTCGGTCTCTCCGTCCCTCGCGATCGACACTGACATGTCGCCGACACAGGCACCTGTATCTCGACCCTCAACACGACGTGCTACGGCAGGTCGTACAAGCAGTGTGCGTCGTCGACCGCCCGTTCTTTCTCTTGCGTTCCTCGAGCTCACTCTCTCGCGCGCAGACGACGAGGTCGTCGACTACTTCGAGCGTGCTGTCGAGCTGTTCCAGACCCTGCCGACCCACAAGTGGCTCGCCGCCGAGGGCATCGTCCCGAGCCGGACCAAGACGTACACGGCCGCCGAGCTCGAGGCCGCCGTTAAAAAGCACTACGGGCACGAGGTCTACTTTGGCTGCACGTCGTCCGGTGAGCTCGACGAGGTGTGGTACTATTATCTCACGAAAGGCCCGGTCGCCGGTGGCAAGTACCTTCCGGTCGAGGTGGTCGGTTCCAAGGGCTCGTGCCCTGCGTACGTCCTCTCTTGCTCTCTCGCTCTCTTCTCTGGAGGCGTCAACATTGACGCCTCGCCCGGCGTGCGCAGCACCGGCATCAAGTACATCCCGAAGGACGGCGCTCTCGCAGGAGGCTCGAGCCCGTCGGGCAACTACACGTCGGCGTTCCTCAACGGTGCGTCTCTCGTTCCACTCAACCTCTTCCTTATCTTTCTCTGCCCTCACTGTACTGACGTCGAGCTGCCTCTCGCATCTCTCCACTCTTTCCGACCTCTCTCGACGACCTTCCCAAATCGCCGGGTGCGCTCGCGCCGCTCCCTCGTCGCGCAGTCGAGTACGAATCGGCCCAGGACGGCTGCCTCATCTCGTCCGGCAACTGGTACACGTGCGTGGGAGCGCCTCGAAGTCCACGTCAGGCTCAAAAGCTCACGCACAGCTCTCCTCCCTCGCGCAGCACCGGCACCTGTGCTCAGTACCGCCTCTACGGCGACGGCCTGACGTCGCCGTTCGCGATGACGACCTCGAAGGGTCCGTGCACCGTGTCGGCAGGCGCTCAGCTCTCGTGCGCGGCCGGCAACGTCGGCTCGACCTTTACTCTCGTGCGGCGCTCGATCCTCTCGTCTCGCGGTCTCTTTCGCGGCCGAGCGCAGCACTGACCCGTCGCCGCCATGCAGGACGCCGACAAGTACCTCACGTACGACGGCTCGAGCAGCTTCTACGCGAGCGTCGTCGCCGAGGGCTCGACGCAGGCGAGCGTGCTTACGAGCTCGTCCGAGGCGACCGTGCCGATCAAGGTGCGCTACGGCGCGCCGCAGTAGAGGCGGGTCCGTAGCGAGACGTCGAAGTTGCTGAGCGCGTGTGTGCAAAGAAAAGGGTTCGTGCTGTCGAGGCGGTCCGAGCGAGCGTCGACCGAGAGTCGACCGAAAGACTCTCGCTCTCGAGGCTCTCAACTCGTCGCCGGACTCGAGCTGCACTCGCTCCCTCGTATCGAGCCGTTGTGTACGACACGGCCCGAGAGTCGAGGCCCGAGCGCTCGCTCTCGCGACAGACTCTCGCTCACTCGTGATGCGAAACATGCAGCGATGTTACAGGGACAAACTCGACACTGCGGCAGCCGCCGCGCCCATGCACGAGCTCAGTACGGCGGCGTCATCGGCGGCTCGACGTCGTCGCTCCACTCGACCCTCGTCTCGACGAGCTGGTCGACCTGGATCCGCAGCTCCCTCGGCTCGGTGTGCGTGTGCGTGCTCGTGCGCCACGCGCGCTCGTCGCGCACGCCCGCCTTGCTCGTCGTCGTCGAGCCACCGCCGCCGCAGCCGCCGCAGCGCAGGCCGAACGAGCTGCGCGGCCCGCCTCCTCGTGCACCGGCCCCTCCGAGGCGCGCGCGCTCGAGGTCCACCTCGTACGGCGCCGCCGACCGGCCGCAGGGACTCGAGCCCGAGCCCGTGCACGCTGCGCGGACCCGCTCGAGGACGCTCGCGAGGCGAGCGGGCGCAGGGACGCTCAGGCGGCGAGGAGGCGGGGTGGCGCCGGTGGACGAGCGAGGGCGCTTCTCGGTCGGGACGAGGCTCGGCGGCGAGAGAAAGGTGACGGCGCCGTCGTCGGGTCGGGTCGAGGTCGGTGCAAAGGCGTCCTGGACGGCGCGGCGCGAGGCCGACGTCGTCGAGAAGAAGGCGAAGCCGTACAGCGGCGGCATTGGCGCCCAAAAGGCGACCGACAGGTTGGACCACTCGATGACGGTGTCGCGGTAGAGCGAGCCGGCGATGGCTGCGGGCGTCGAGGACGAAAAGAGTCAGTGAGGGAAGACGATTCGAGTTTGAGAAGGTCGGGCGCACCTCCTCCGACGGCGACGATGGCCGTGTACGACGCGCTGCGGACCGAGAGCCACGCGAGGCGTTTGAGGAGGCCGTCGGTGCGCGAGTTGAAGCCGGCGACGCGGCGGCGCAGGGCCCAGCCGAGCGTGCCACAGATGGCGCAGTCGGCGACGGCCGACGACCAGAGCCAGATGGCGATCGAGGTCGACCAGTTGAGCGTGTTGATAAAGTCGGGCTCCTCGACGGCCCACTGTACGTTGCGAGAGTCAGTCTGGGCATCCAGACAGAGAGAGAGAGGGCAGCGGGACGCACGATGAAGCCAATGACGGTCGCCGCGATCGAGCCGAACAAGCTTGCGCCGACGAGAGCAGCGATGAACGTGTAGAACGCCCACCGGATCTTGAGGCTGTCGATGAACTGCAGGTAGAGAGCTTCGTCAGGTCGCCATCGCGAGAAGCGAGGAAGAGAGAGAGAGAGAGGGACGCACCGCTCCAGCTCGTCTCGCAAGGGCGACCTGGGTCAACGAGCCCGTGAGGCCGCCGAACAGGGTCAAGAGGCACGACTCTGTCGGTCCCGCGATGATCTCGTCGATTGTGCGCGTCTGCGCGACGGCGAGCTTCCACAGGGCGTCGGCCGTGAGCACCGTCGTGACCGTGACGAGGCCAAACAGGACGGCGAGCGTGATGCGGTTGGCGCGCCCGGGCAGGCGCGCAAAGTCGCCCGAGATGCAGTACGACAGGAAGACGGTGCCGAACGAGCCGTAGAGGACGACCTCGAGGAGGTAGCCGGTCGCGAGCGGACCTGTTGACCGACGGCGCGAGAGGTCAGGGCGGCTCGTGGACAGGGCGACGGACCGGTCTGGACGCACCAAGGAGCTGGTTGACGAGGTTGGGCGGCGTCGTGAGCATCTCGATGTCGGCGTAGGTCGCCATGGCGCCGCTCGAGGTCGAGAGAGGGCGGGTCGAAGAGGAGGAGGCGGTTGGAAGCGGCGGCGCGGCTCGGGCCCGTCGCAGACGCTGCGCGACTGTCGGCTAGTGCGAGCGCGTGCTCGCGTCGAGTGGGCGCGAGGGGCGAGGGGCGAGGGAGGAGGACAGGGAGGAGGACGACGTCGCTGCGGAACTCCCTCGCGGCGAGGACGACCACTTCTTCCAAGCGGGGGACACATCCAAGACAAGCTTCGTCGAGGTCCGGACACGCGATCGGTAGCCGAGGACGAGCCGCAAGTGGAAGGCAATTCGACGACGAGGAAGGTCGCGCTCGAGCGCTTGCAGTCTCTCTACTCTTCCTTGCGGCCACGCTGCGACGAGGAGGCCAAGAACCGTGTATCGCGAGCCATCGTGACCCGCTCGGAGATTGACCCCGAGCGCGAGGGCCGCCGAGCGCGAGCGGGCGCACGGTACAAGTCGAGGCTCGAGAGCGACTCTGGTCGACCGGCCGGGCGGCGCGCAAGCTGCTTCCGGCGCTCTCGTCGCAGGCGCAGGCACGCGCTCTGTCTCTCGCTCTCTCCGAGTCGACGGGCAAACCGCAGCTCATGAGGGAAAGGCAACGAGCGTTTCATTGCGACGCTGCGCAACGAGGAACGCGCGAGGCCTGCTCAAGAGCAGGCTCGGCTGCGACAGGCGTCGAAGATACTCGCGTTCGCGAGGGAATAAGAGGGCGAGATCGTCGGGGCGAAGCCTGCAGAGGGAAACGAGGTCAATGCGCCGTTCTCTGCTCGTTGTCCGGGAGGGTTGATGGGGGTGCGCGCGCCTCGAGCCCCGCCTCGCTCGCGTCGAGAGCGACGAGGTGCGACGGTGCTCGAGGGATCAGAAAACAAAGGTGAATTCACCGGCCGCGGTTGGGCGCCGACGGGCGACGCGCGCGCAGCCTGAGAGCTGACGAGAGCAGGACATGCGGGCGCCGGCGGAAGGCGACCAGGTCCGCGGTCTCGAATAAGAGGTGCCAGATAAAAGTAGAGTCGACCAGACTCGTTTCTTCATGTGGGTGTGCGCGCGAAAGAGGGAGAGGGAGGGAGGGAGGACGGTGGGCTCACCTCGACGTGACCCCTGCTCTCTGCTCGCTCGTGCGCCAACCCGTCTCGTGCAAGGTGCCCTCTCCAACGCTTGTAGACCAACGAGAGCGCAGTCGAGGGGCGAGGTGGTGCAAATCTGCCTGCGAGCGAGAAAGAATGCGGGCGGGGTCGAGGTGGGCGAGGTCGTGGCGGCTGGGGCGGTGGTGGCGTGAGGCGAGGCGGGGGGTGGGTCGAGTGGTGGCTACATCGAGCCGAGCAGAGCGGTAGAGAGTGAAGGGGAAAGAGCGCGAGAGAGAGAGAGGGAGAGGTGGACGAGGTCGAGCTCGCGACGAAGGGGAAGCGCGCCCCTGTTCCTCGTCGCCCTCCCTCTCCTCCTCCAGTTGCTCCTCGCGCTCGCCGACCACTTTAACCGGCTACTCGACCCGCCCTCGCCCAGCTCTACCATGTCGACCACCAACATCATCTCCAAGCGCCGCAAGTGAGCCCCCCTCTCGCTCCCTCTCGCACCCACCGTCCGACCCAGGAAAACTGACCCGCTCCCTCTTGCCCAGGTTCGTCGCCGACGTGAGTAGCCTGCGCCACCCCCCGAGCCTCGCAACGAGCTCAACGACACCCCGACTGACCCTCCCCCTCGCCCCCGTGCCGTGTGTCGCCGTCTACAGGGTGTCTTCTAGTGAGCCCGCTCTCCTCCCTCCCCCTTCCCCTCGATCGACCGCTAACTCTCCCCTCCTCACAGCGCCGAGCTGAGCGAGTTCTTCTCGCGCACCCTCTCGTCCGAGGGTTACTCGGGCTGCGAGGTCCGCGTCACGCACGCCCGCACCGAGATCATCATCCGCGCGACCCACACCCAGGAGGTCCTCGGCGAGAAGGGCCGCCGCATCCGCGAGCTCACGTCGCTCGTCCAGAAGCGCTTCCGCTTCCCCGAGGGCTCGGTCGAGCTCTACGCCGAGAAGGTCCAGAACCGCGGCCTCGACGCCGTCGCCCAGTGCGAGTCGCTCCGCTACAAGCTCCTCGGCGGCCTTGCCGTCCGTCGGTCCGTCCCCTCTCTCTCTCTTTGTCTGTCACGGCGAGGCCAGGAGGACGCGATTGAGCGCCCTGCCTCGGCCTGGTCGCCTTAGCCGGCACAAAGACTGACCCTCGTCGGCCTTGCGCAGCGCGTGCTACGGTGTCCTCCGCTTCGTCATGGAGTCGGGCGCCAAGGGCTGCGAGGTCATCGTCTCGGGCAAGCTCCGTGCCGCCCGCGCCAAGTCGATGAAGTTCACCGACGGCTTCATGATCCACTCTGGCCAGCCGGTCCGCGACTTTGTCGACTCGGCGACCCGCCACGTCCTCATGCGCCAGGGTGTCCTCGGCATCAAGGTCAAGATCATGAAGCCCTGGGACCCGGAAGGCCGCCTCGGCCCGTCCAAGCCCCTCCCGGACGTTGTCACGAGTGCGTCCCCCCCTCTCTCTCTTTCCCACGAGGCGCTCGACCCTGACCCTCTCTCTCGCGCGCAGTCTCGGAGCCCAAGCCGGACGTCGAGTACTCGCAGCAGGTCCAGTCGGTCAACGTCGGCGCCGCCAACATCCCCGCCCCGGCCCAGGCCGCGCAGCAGGCGGCCGAGCAGGCCGGCCAGGAGCAGCCCGCCCAGGAGATCGTCACCGGCGCCGCCGAGGTCGCGACCGAGGGCTTCTAAACGCTCCCGACGCACCTTTGATGATGCGCGCGGGAACGTGAGGAAGGCTGTCGAGGGGGAGGCGGGCGAGGCGAGCAGGCTCCTTTTCTTGTTGTTCTTGCGAACCAAGGTCGTCTCCTCCCATCTTGTCTCTCTCTGCGAGCGACTCTCAGGAAAGCTCTGGCGAACGAGAGACAGAGAGTTGCACAGGCGGACGGACTGAGGAAGGGCCAAATACGAGAAGGGGGACTACAACAAGGGGAGCGCCGAGTGAGGGACCAGCCCATCGTCGCAGTGAAAGAGAGAGAGAGAGACAAGAGAGAGTTGCGCGAAGCGACGAGGCACAGGCACTTTGCGGTGAGGGTCAGATGCGGCGGACGGGGGTGCCAGCGGCTTGGTCGGGCTCGGCGGCACGGCGGCGTTGTCGCGGTAGCTCCTGCGGCCGACCGTCTTCTGCGTGCGGCGAGGGACGACAAGGGGTCAGTGACGGTGTCCTGGTGACTCGTCGGCGGCGCGAGAGCGAGAACGAGAGAGAGACAGAGAGAGGCTCGAGCGCACCCTGCAAGCCTCGCACCTGAGCGCGCCATCGTCGCCGACCCTGCACTCGCTGTCGAGCGCCCTCTTGCACTCGCGGCACACGAGGCACCGCGGGTGCCACCGCGTGTTCCTCGGGCCGACGACCGTCTCCTTGTCGGTCGAGCGCACCGAGCAACCGGCGCACACGAGCAGGCCGCCGAGCCCGGCCGGCGGGCGCTCGCGCCGCGAGAAGATGGTAGGTGCGATCGAGGTCGACGACGAAGATGGCGAGAGGGCGAGGGCGCGAGGGAACGAGGGCGAGGTCGGGAGGCGCGTCGAGCGCGACGAGGGGAGGGACTGGGCGTCGGCGGCGAAGAAGGGCGAGTTGAGGATGCGCGGCGAGGGCGACGCGGGCGGCGGGGCACACTGCGGGTCGACAAGCTGTGAGTCGAGGGCTGGAAGGAAAGGAGAAGGCAAGAGGGACGCACGCGCTGGTGGTACGGCAAGCCCTCGACCTCGACGAACCCCCTCTCGCCCTTCTCCTCGCCGAACGCCCTCGCGCACGCCGCGCACGTGAAGCACTTCTGGTGGAACGAGTGCCCGCTGCGCGGCACCGTCACGCTGCGCCCGACGCCGAGCGCGGTCCCGCACGCGTGACACGGCGCGGGCTCGCCGAGGTCGTCGGCGAGGTCGGGCTCGAGCGGGCGAGGCGAGACGGGCGACGGCGACGACGAGCCGTGTGCGACGGGCTCGGGCTCGGCGAGCGACGTGACGAGGGCGCGGTAGCGCTTGGGCGCAGGCGCACACTGCAGGTCGCGAGGAGAGGGTCAGTGCGCGGCTCGTGGAGGCCGACGAGGGAGAGAGGGAGGATGAGGACGCACCGCCTTGTGCCAGCATTTTCCCTCGGCCTCGACGTGTTTGCCCGCACCGAGAGGCTCGCCGCAGCCGCCGCAGCGGAAGCACTCGGCGTGCATGAGCGCACCCGTCTGCGGCAGCTCGACAAAGTCGCCGTACCCGAGCGGGAGCGCGCACACGGGGCACTGGTCGTCGTCCTCGACGTGCACAGCGGCAGAAGAAGGTGTTGGCGAGGACGGGAAGGACGGCTTGGTTGGGGACGAGGACGAGGACGGCTTGAGCGGCGAGTGCGGTCGGTCGAAGGACGAGGGCGCGGGTGAGACGGGTTGGACAGGGACGAGCGCAGGTCGAGGGACGTTGGAGATCGACGCCTTGGTCGGCGAGGCCGAACGAGGCGGCCATGCCGCGGCGCTCGCCTTGACGGGCGACGGCGGCCGAGGACCGCTGCTCGGGACCTGCGGCAGCGGCGGGCGCGCTGCCTTGCTCGGCGACGACGACGGCGCAGCAGCCTCTTTGGCCGGGCTGCCGGGCGCCGCCGTGTCCTTGATGCCGGCGCGCCGCAAACGGTCGCCGAGCTCGTCAAGCGAGGGCGCGATGGGCGACTTGTCGCGCTCGAACTGGAGGCGTGCGACGCCCGTCCTGCCGCCACCCGTCGACGTTGAAGACGTCGAGCTCGAGATGCTGAGCCCGCTTGACGGCGCCTTGACCTGCGGCCCCGGCCTCGAGCTCCAGGGCCCGCCGGGCTTGTGCGGCGGCGTGCTCGAGCCCGCCGCCGACGACGGGAGCGACGGCCTGCCCCACTTGCTCGGAGCGGGCGGTACCGACACATGGTGCTTGGCGAACGCGCCCTGGGGCGGCTGAGGCGAGGGCGGGATGATGCGTGTGCGGGTCGAGGCGCCGTCGAAGCAGCGCTCGCAGGAAGGCCGGCCTGCGAGGTCGATGACGGCGTCGGTCGACGGGTCCTGCAGTTGAGCGAACGTCAGTCAAGGCCTGGTTGAGACAGGGACGAGAGGTGGCGCACGTCGCAGTAGACGCAGACGAAGCAGGGCTGCAGGTGGGACAGCGTCAGTCGGCTTCTGGAGGTCTTCAAAGAGGAACAGGGAGAGGGACGCACGTTGTGCCAGACCGTCGAGCCGTGCTTGACGAAAGGAGCGTCGGTCAAGACCGCCTGCTTGCACGCCTTGCTGTTGCGGGAGGACCGAGCGAGGTCAGTCGTCGAAGAAGGGGGCGAACGCGAGGGACGGTAGGGACGCACCAGTCGCCGACACGAAAGCGCTCCGCGAAGCAGGACCGACAGAAGAACGTCTCGGCGAGTTTGTGGTCGTGCTTGGCGCCCGGGTGCGGGTAGATCGTCTCCTCCTGCGGACGAAGACTGGGTCAGATGGCGCCAAGGGGGGAGGACGAGGGAGAGACGGACGCACCTGCTTGAACGACGCGGTACAGCCTGCACAGCTCCAGTGATCTTGTGGGCTGAGAACCGAGCCAAAGACGCTGTGCAGCTCGCCGGCGTCGTGGATGAACGAGGACAGCTTTGTCGGGCTCGCCGGGCGCTTTGGCGTTGTGCGCTCGCCGAATGCACTGATGCCGCCGGTCGTGGTTGGTGTAGACGAGTTTGAGCGTGCGTTCGAGTTGCCCCTGGTCGAGCGGGTGGTGTAGCTGGCGCGGCAAGAGAGGGTGAGCACCGCCTCGTGACGCGATTCGAGAGAGGAAGAGCGAGGGCGAGAGTGGGCGCACCTGTTGGTCCACCGGTCGCTGCCCTTGCCGTCAAGAAGTGCCTGCGTGGCCGACTCTGCGTGTCCAGGGGCATGGTGAGCGTCTGGTGGGCGAGGTTGAGCGAGGGGGTTGAGCGGAGACGGACCTCGGGGCAGGCCACCACACCTGCAGCGGGTCGAGGCTTGTACGGGTTCGCCGCAGCGGCTGCAGAAGCCCATGGCGCGCTCGAGGCTGCCGTCGAGCGAGGCTGAGCAGGTGGTCGAGGTTCGAGCCGAACACTCGCCGACGATGAGACGTCCTCTCTCGGTCGTCCACACGCCTCGAGAACCGCCAAGGACAATGCCCGGCACGCTCGATTGGCAACGCAAAGCCGCCGACAAGCGCGCAGCCCAGCTCGCCATGATCCCGTCTGCCTGGCGCCTCCCCTCCCCGTCCGCCAACTCGCCGCCGCTCGACGTGCGCGACCGCGTCCGCACCAGCGGGATCCTGAGCGACGTCGAGCTCGACATCACCGGAGAGGTCAACGCCCAGGTCATCCTCGACAAGATGGCGCACGGCGAGTGGACCGCGACCGCCGTCGTGACCGCCTTCTGCAAACGAGCCGCGCTCGCCCACCAGCTCGTGCGTCCCTTGTCTCTCTCTCTGCGCATCCTCCTCACAGAAACCCTGACATCCGCCCGTCGCACGCAGACCAACTGCCTCACCGAGCCGCTCTTTGATCGCGCGCTCGCTCGGGCCGCACAACTCGACGCGCACTTTGCCGCGACGGGCGAGGTCGTCGGCCCGCTCCACGGTCTGCCCGTCTCGCTCAAGGAGCAGTTCGACATCGAGGGCGTCGAGTCCACCATGGGTGCGTCCGCTCGTGCGCGCCGCCGAGAAGGCCCTGCCCAGGTCGAACCATCCTGATCCTTCCTCGTCGCACAGGCTTCGTCTCTCGTATCGGCCACGTCTCGACCGACTCGGCTGCGCTCGTCAAGGTTCTCGAGTCGCTCGGCGCCGTCATCCACTGCCGCACCAACATCCCTCAAGCGCTCCTGGTCCGTCTCGCTCGCACCCCTTCTTCCTCGTCCGGCTCGAGCAATACGGGCTCACGTTGTCCCTCGCCCCACAGAGCGACGAGTCGATCAACAACGTCTTTGGCCGCGTCCTCAACCCGCACAACACGAACCTGACGGCCGGCGGCTCGTCCGGCGGCGAGGCGGCCCTCCTCGCGCTTCACGGCAGCCCGCTCGGCGTCGGCACCGACCTCGGCGGCTCGATCCGCAAGCCCGCCGCTTTCTGCGGCCTGTACGCCCTGCGCCCGACATCGCGCCGTGTCCCGTACGCCGGCGCGAGCAACGTGTTCGAGGGCGCCGAGGCGCTCGAGAGCGTGGTCGGGCCCATGGCGACGAGCCTCGAGAGCCTGCGCGTGTTCATGCGCAGCGTCGTCGGCGCCCGACCGTGGGAGTACGACGCTAAGGTCGTCGAGCGAGGGTGGGACGACGGGCTCGCGAGGGCAGAGGGCGACGACGGCAAGAAGTGCTTCGCCTTCATGTGGTCGGACGGGCTCGTGCGGCCGCAGCCACCGCTCGAGCGGGGCATGCGGGAGCTGTCGGACAAGCTGCGGGCGGCGGGGCACGAAGGTGCGCTCCCCTCTCCCTCTCTCGACCGCGCCGGCGCCCGACCGACCCTCCTTCTCCTGCAGTCGTCGACTGGGAACCGCTCGACCACGCCGGCGCGCAGGACATCGTCAGCCGTATCTTCGACGCCGACGGTGGAGAAGACGTGCGGCGCTGGATCGGCGACTCGGGCGAGGTGCGCCGCTCGCTTTCCCTCGCCTCGAGCCCTCGGCCTCGCACTCTCTGACTCGGCCCTCTCTCGCGCCGCAGCCTCTCCTACCGCAGGTCTTTGCCTCGCAGCACCCGGCCATGAGCATGTACGAGTCGTGGCAGGTCCGTCCTCGCTCTCTCTCGTTCTCTCTCAGAGCTTGGAGTGGAAGAAAAAGCCCCTGACGACTCTCGCCTCGACAGCTCAACAAGCGTCGCGACGCTTACCGCCAGCGTTTCCTCTCGACCTACCTCGCGACTCGAACTCGTCGAGGCGCCCAGACGGACCGCCCGATCGACGCCATCGTCTGCCCCATGTGCCCGCATCTCGCCGCGCCTCACCTCGACTCGCCTCGTCCCGCAGGGTGAGCCACATCTCTCTCCCTTTCTCTCTCTCTCTCTCGTACACACACTCACACCTCGGGCCTCTCGCAGCCTCATCACGTACACGACCGTCTGGTCCCTGCTCGACCTCCCCTGCTGCACGGTCCCCGTCGGCCACGTGGACCCGGTGCTCGACGCCAAGCCGCCGCCAGGAGCTCACACGCCGCAGAGCGTGACGGACCGCGACAACTGGGACAGCTGTGCGTCCTCCTCTCTCTTTCTCTTGCGCCTGCGACTCTCGCCGAGCGCTTTTTCACCTCGACTTGTGCCCGCTCGCAGACTCGCCCGAGGCGTCGGCCAACGCGCCCATCGTCCTGCAGGTCGTCTCGCCTCGGCGGTTCAGGGAGGACGAGCTGCTCGGTCTCGGCGAGGTCATCGAGCGAGCGCTCGGTCGAGCGTAGCCGGGCGAGGGAGGAGCGCGGGCTGGAACAACTTGAGAAGGTCGCGACTGAGTTCTCGTTGCAAATCAAGCGGTGCTGCACATGTTCAAGCGTCTCGTCTCCCCCTGCGTCGTCCTCCTCTGCCCGTCCCTCTCGAGAGCGCTAGCCCGGGCGCCAGCGAGCCTTCTCGCGCAAGTCCTCGGCGACGTCCGAGGCCGAGATCTGGTCGCGCTGCAGGCTCGCAAGGCGCGCACGCTCGTCGAGCGCTTTCTGCTCGTCCGTGATAAAGTCCTGCGCGCGAGAGGGAAAGGCGAATGAGAGTCAGGCACGGTGGCTGTGGCCAAAGAGAGAGAGAGAAAGGCGAGGGACGCACGTTGGGCTTCATGGCAATGAGCGTGTCGACGTCGAGCTCGTCGCTCAGGATGCGCTCGCGGTAGTCGAGGTAGCGTGCGGCCTTGACCGTGAGGAGCACGCGAAGCTTGGCCCGGTACGAGGGCGCGACCGCCGGCATGCCCTCGTCGTCGTCCTCGTCGGGAGGAAAGGCGTCCCAGGCCGCCTGCTCGATGTCGATGACCTTGCCGAGGATCGAGTCGTTGGCTGCGAGGGGAGAAGCTCGAGTCAGTCCCTGACGTGGCTGTCTCGACGCAGCCAAGCGACGCCGACACGTCGCTCGAGTGGCAGGCTGGAGAAGGTCCGGGACTCACAAGCCGTCGAGTCGCACGCCAGGGCGTCGTACAGCGCCTTGAGGCTCGCCGTGCGCGCCGCGATGCCCTTCTCGCCGAGCTCGCCGTTGGGCAAAAGCTCAAACACCTTGTCGAAGCTGACCTCGTCGTTGCGGTGCGAACGCGCCGGCTCCTTCTTGGCCGGCGGCGCGACGGCCGTGTTCTCGCCGTCGGACGCCTGGCCACTCGGCTCGCGACGGACGGCGACGACCTTGGTGAGCTTCCTCGGCGGCTCGTGCGGCTCGGGCGAGGTCGTGGCGGCGCGCTTCTTCGAGATGCGCGTGACGACGATCGTGCGGGTCGTGTCGTGAGACGTCTTGCGGCGAGGTATCGGCAGGAGAGGAGGCGACCACGACGATGAGGAGGTCGAGGTGTCCACGTCGGGCGAGAGCGAGGTCGAGGCGGCGACTGAGCCGTTCTGGTTGAGGGACGGCGGCGAGACGGGCGTAGGGAGAGAAGGCGTCGTCGAGACTGCGTACATGGAAGCAGGCTCAGTGCGGGTTCCGCTCCTTCACTCAACGCAGAGGACGCACTAGAGGCACGACGAGCGCCGTTCGAGATCTTGACGCCGACCGCCTGCTTCCACTTGTTGACGAGCGTCTTGGCGAGGTTGGCGACGTCGGGCGAGCAGGCGCCTCGGGCGACGCCGTTGACGACAGCGCCGATCTGGGTCTCCTGTAGGAGGCCGATATCAGTCAGCGCACCTCCTCGACGCGCGAGAATGTCGACGAGCGTCGCTAGAGAGGTGCGAGAGAGGCCCGGCCGACGCACCTTGAGAAACGCGTTGGTGGACTCGACCTCGGTCTCGAGGCGGATGAGGACGTCGATGCAGGTCTGCGAGTGTGGCGCAAGAGGGAGAGTCAGTCCGGCTCGCTCGCTCCGCACGCGCCGCGTCTCCCCCCCGGCTTAGATGCAGGTCGCCCTCGGGCGCGCAGACCGATGCGAGCCCGCTCCCGCGCACAGCACGCTCGATGCACCACCGCGCCAGCAATGCGCCCGGCGGGAGAGGAAGAGGCCGCTTGACCGGAAAGTGGGAGGAGGAGGAGGAAGAGAGGGGCTCACCTGGGCGTCGCCTGCCCTGTTGGCCGTCACGAGCTGGTCCTTGAGGCCACGCACAGTCTCGGTCGTGACCATCTCGAGCAGTCGAGCGAGGTCAAGCTGAAGCAAGTGGGAGGAAGGAGGGAGAGAGAGGAGCGGGCTCGGAGGCCGCCCCCAGATTCGCTCAGGCCGTCTCCCGGCAGCAGACTGTCGTCCGCAGGAGACAGTGCAGCAGCGCTAAAGCGGACTCTCCGGACTCGCAGAAGAAGCGTGCCGGTCCGTCGAGAACAAAGACGGACGGCGGCAGAGAGGAGCGCAATCGAGGAAGAGAGGGGAGCGCGACGACGACGACGAGGGGAATACTTCAGATTGTGATTTCGAGAACTTTGCGTTGCGCCTCCTTGCGACTCGCTCCCTCCCTCGCGTCGCTGCGTCTCCCTCCACCGCGCCCGACCGTCTCGCTCAGAGCTCCTCGTGGCTCGGGCGAATGACCGGCCCGTCCGTGTCGAGGTCCGGCACGACCGCCTTGACCGTGTCGACGACGCCGTCGCGCACCGAGTCCTTGACCTTGCTCCAGTCGACCCACTTGGCGCTCGGGGCGTCGGCCGGCTCGGGCTCGCGCGACGCGTCGGCCATCTCGAGCTGGTCGAGGAGGTCCTCGTTGTCGGCGGGCGAGGGAGGCGGCTCGGTCGGGGGCGGCGCAGTGTCGACGGGCGGGGCGGGCTTGACCTCGACCTCGGCCTCGGCCGACTGCGAGACGCCGAGCGACCGGCGCAGCATGACCTCGATCAGGTTGAAGTAGGCGCCCGGGTCGTCGAGCGTGTACTGGCTCTTGAGCATCGCGGTTTGCCTGCGCACGAGCGACGTCGAGTCAGTCAGGCACGTCAAGGACGTGGAGCGAGAGGGAGACGGCGAGAGGAGGACGCACCAGAGGACGGTCACGCTCTCCTTGAGCTCGTCGAGCGCCTCCTCGTCGTCGCCCGCCTCCTCGACCTTCTCGAGCAGGCGCTCGATGAGCGGGTGTTTCGGGTTGAGCTCAAAGTTCTGCGCACGGATGACCCAAGTCCATGGTCAGGGACTAGTCCGAGGGGGGAGAGAGGAGGACAAGAGGAACGGCGGCGGGCGCACCTTCTTCTGCATGCGCGCAAAGTTGAGCATAAAGTTCTCGCCGCCCTGCTGGCCGTTCTGCGCCGCGAGGAGGCGCTCCATGTTGCCCGAGTAGCCAAAGTTGGACGCCGTGACGAGGCAGGGCGAGGTCGTCAGGCGCGTCGAGATGGTGACTGCGAATCGAGAGCGACGGTCAGTGTCAGGCCTCATGACGGTGACAGAGAGGCGAGGCAGAGCGACGGACCCTTGTCGACGTATTCGGCGAGCTCCTTCTTGAGGTAGGCGGCGAGAGGCGCGAACGTCGTCTTGAGCTCCTCGGCCTCGTCCTTCTCCGAGTCATCCTCGTCGCCGAACGTGACGCCCTCCTTGGCGACGTCCTGGAAGCGCAGGCCGCCGTAGGTCGGGACCGTGCTGACGAGCTGCGCGCGAGGGAGAGAAGGGAAGGTCGGCTCGGTCGCTTCGAGGAAGCCTGGCGACGCTCGACGAGCCTCGCAATGCTCGAGAGAGGAAGAGAGACAGAGAGAAGGGACGCACCATCTCGTCGATCGGGTCGGTGAGGTACAGGACCTCGTACCCACGGGCGAGGATGCGCTCGACGAACGCGCTCTTCTGGAGCATGGCCTTCTGCTGACCGGCGCCGGCGATGAAGTAGATCTGGGTCTGGCCCTGCTTGCGGCGCTTGACGACGTCGTCGAGGTTGGTCGTCGTGCCGTTGAGCGCCGACGTCTCGAACCGGAGGAGCTTGACGATGCGGTCGCGGTTCTTGGCGTCCTCGACGGCGCCGACCTTGAGCGCCGTGCCCGCCTTCGAGTACAGCTCGGCGTACTTGGCCTCGTCCTCGGCCGCGAGGCGCGCGAACAGGTCGTAGATGCGCTTCTGCAGGTTGCGCTTGATCTGGGCGAGCGCGCGCGTCTTCTGGAGGCTGTCGCGCCCGACGTTGAGCGGCAGGTCGTCGACGTCGATAAAGACCTTGACCCAGTTCAGGTGCTTCTCGAGGTAGTCCTTGCCCAGGTCGGACGTGATAAAGACGCGGCGGACGAAGAGCTTGAGCGAGTCGAGCGAGACGTAGTCCTTCGAGTAAAAGTCGTTGGGGAGGCCCGACGGGATGTAGATGAGGGCGCGGAACGTCGTCGAGCCGGCGTCGCCCTTGAAGTGCGACCACGCGAGCGGCGGCTCGCTGTCCTTGAACGTCTTGACGTAGAAGTCCTCGTACTCGGCCTCGGTCACGTCCTTGGGCTCGCGCATCCACAGAGGCGGGCGGTCGTTGATGAGCTCCCACTCGGCCTTGGTCGTCTGCGCCGCCTCGTCGATGTCCTCGACCTTGACCTCGTCGTCCTCGCCCTCGGCGACGGCTGCGGCGGTCGAAGCTGCGGCGGCCGGGTCGAGGAGCGCGCTCGACCACAGGTAGATCGGGGCGGCGTTGTACTCGGCGTGCTTCTGGATGAGGCTGCGGAGCTTGGCGACGTCGAGGTAGTCGCCCTGGGCGTCCGGCTTGAGGTAGCTGCACGAGGACGGCAAAGGCAAGGTCAGCCTCGACGGCGCAGGAGCGACGCTCGACAAGAGAGAGAGAGCGAGACCGTGGACGCACAGCGTGATCTCGGTACCGCGACCGAGCGTGGCGCCGCGCGGGTCCTTGACGATCTTGAAGCCCTCGGCGTTGGCCTCGCTCTCGAAGACCCACTGCTCGTCCTCGTCGGCCGTCTTGCTCGCGACGGCGACACGGTCGGCAACGAGGAACGACGAGTAGAAGCCGAGGCCGAATTGGCCGATCAGGTTGCCGCCGTCGCCCTTCTCGAGGTTCTCGAGGAACTCGGACGTGCCCGAGCGCGCGATCGTGCCGAGGTTGGACGCGAGCTGCTCCTTGGTCATGCCGACGCCCGAGTCTGCGTGTGCGTGAGAGCCGTCAGGTCATGCTGCGAGAGAGAACCCAGGGGAGAGAGAGGAGGGCGCACCCCGGATGACGATGCGACCGCTCTCTGCGTCGGCGAGGACCGTGACGTTGAGGTTCTCGGCCGGCGCGAGGATCGACGGGTTGGTGAGGGCCATGAGGCGGACCTTCTCGAGCGCGTCGTTGGCGTTGGACACTGCAAGGTGGGCCGCGAGGGTCAGCGAGTGCAAGGTGGGGAGGGGGACGAGGAGAGGGAGGCGGCGACGCACAGAGCTCGCGCACAAAGACGTCGCGGTCATGGTACAGGTGAGAGACAACGACGCGCATCTGCGTGGCTCGAACAGAGTCAGCTCGGGAACTGTAGACGGCGAGGTTCGGGCGGATTCCAACGCACGAGGCGAGCGATGTCCGACTGCGACAGGGGGGAGGGTGTCAGGTCTGGCGGCACTCGTAGAGCTGAGAGGGAGAGCTGTGCGCACCTGGTAGGCATGGCTCTCAACGCCCTCTGCGGCGGCGAGCTGCTCGGGCGAGAGGAAGGCCCTCTGCGGGGCAGCGCCGTCGACGGGCGTCGTGGCGCTGGCGAGGCTGGCGCCAGAGGCTAGTGCTGCGAGGGCGGGCAAGAGCCGCGAGATGCGCATCCTGGCTGCTGTGGTCGAGACGAGCGGCGGAAGGATGACGGAGGTCAAAGGGAGGCGAGCGCTCGCTGCGACGTGGTCGGCTCGACCGCGACTTGCATGAGCTGCGCGGTCCTCTCTGTACTCTCAGAAGAGTCGACAGGGCATGCAAAGCAACGGCAAGATTGCACAAAGATCAAGCCCGCACCCGCTCTTCGTCCGACTCCTCAGTGCCGCTCCCCGCTGTCGCGGTACGCCTCGTCGAGCACCTCCTGCAGCTCGTGCGGACTGACGCCGAGCTCCTCGAGGTCGGAATACAGCTCGGCGAGCGTGCGCTGCCGCGGTTTGTCGCCCTCGGACCCTCCTGCGGCCGCCCCCACCTCGTGCGCCGGCAGGTCCCACGCCTCCTCGAGCGCGTGCCGCACCGCGTCGTCCATGGCGATGCGCACCTGGTCGTCGACGCCCGGTTTTGGCGCAGCAAGAGGGTCGCGTGCGCCGGTGGTGGGCGAGGACGAGGGCGACGAGGGACTGGACGGGGTGGAACGGCGCGACGAGGGTGGCGGCGGGGCTGGGCGGACGGCGACCGGGGGCGAGTAGTCGCTCGAGTGGGCCGAGATGCGAATGGCAGAGCTGCGCGGTGCGAGGCGAGAGCCAAGATCAGCCGATGGTCGTGGGTGGAGCTGCACGAGACGAAATGCGCTTCCTCGCTGCTCGGGAGAGAGTGGACGCACTAGAGGAGGAGCAAGATCGCCAGGACAAAGACGCCGAGTGCTGGCACGAACCACGGGCTGCTGCGGAGCGTCTTGAGGCGAGAGGGTGGCGGCAGACCCCTCGGCACGCGCGACTTGCGCGGCCGGCCGCGTTGGCCCTGCGGGGAGCGGTGACGGAGCCTGTGCTGGTTCGGGGTGGCTGGAGGGGTGCTGGGCACTTCGAGCGACGTGGACATGCGAGTCGACGGAGATGTGGGGAGCAGAGGCGCGCGAGCCGGCGGAGCGACGAGACGGCAGCCACGTCAACGCTCCTGGGCCTCTCTGTAGCAGCTAGCAGCGCACGTGGAGCTCTCTACAGCACAGGCTGCACTGCTGCCGAGCACGACACGTAGCGTCGCCGCCTCTCACGCTCTCACGCGAGTCAGACGCTCAAGAAGCGGCATTACGACGAGGAGGGTTTGCGAGCAAAGGGGGATAAAACGAGGGGAGAGATGAGAGGGAGACCGTGCGATAGAGAGGGGAAAAGAACGATGGGGATGTGGGCGAGACGGGAGAGGGGAACGACTGAGGGGGGGAAGAGGCGCGAGCTGCGGGTACGGGGCGACTGGCTCCTTTTTCGGGGCACGACCTGCGATTACTGCTCCTCGACGTACTGCGTGAAGAAGGACAGAGTCAGTTTACGTGATCGAGATGGCAAGGGAGGACACGTCGTCGCTGAGAGGGGAGTGAGAGGACCGGGACGCACCTCGCCACCCTCGACGCCCTCCTCATCGTAGTACTCGCCCTCGTCCTCGTCGATGCCAGCGTTCTCGTACTGCTGGTACTCGGCAACGAGGTCCTGCATGTTGCTGCGCGGCGATGACAAGAGAGCGTGAGTCAGGAAGGTCCGGCCGACAGGAGGCCACGACGGGTCGACGCGTGAGGGGATGCGGAACAAGGCGACGCACCTCTCTGCCTCGGTGAACTCGAGCTCGTCCATGCCCTCGCCGGTGTACCAGTGGAGGAAGGCGCGGCGGCGGAACATGCTCGAGAACTGGGTGTTGATGCGCTGGAACAGGGTCTGGATCGCCGTCGAGTTGCCGACAAAGGTGACGGCCTGCGTAACAAGAGGTGGCGCGAGGAGAAGACCGAGAGAAGAGACAGGGAGAGGGAGAGAGTCAGAGCCGGCGCGAGAGGACGAGGGACGGCGAGGTGTCGAGGACGCACCATCTTGGTGTCCTTGGGCGCGATGTCGCAGTGGGCGGTCTGGATGTTGTTCGGGATCCACTCTGTCGCACGAGGAGAGAGGGTGAGTGCCTGAGACGCGCGCGAGAGAGAGAGAGAGAAGGGGAGGGAGAGGACGCACCGACAAAGTGGTCGGCGTTCCTCGCCTGGATCTGGACCATCGTGTCGTCGACCTCGCGCAGCGACACCTTGCCGCGCCACATGGCGGCGACCGTCAGGTACCGCCCGCTGCGAGGGTCGCTCGCCGCCATCATGTTCTTGGCGTCGAACATCTGCTGCGTCAACTCGGGCACCGACACGGCCCGGAAGTTCTTGGACCCGGGCGCCGTCAACGGCGCGTAGCCGACCATGAAGAAGTGCAGGCGCGGGAACGGCACCATGTTGACCGCAAGCTTCCTCAGGTCCGAGTTGAGCTGGCCCGGGAACTGTTGCGCGAGGAGCATGGTCAGGAGGAGGTCTGAGCGTCGACCTCGTCGACGACGGCAAAGAGAGGTGGACGTACACGCAGAGAGGTCGTGACGCCGCTCATGACGACCGAGACGAGGTGGTTGAGGTCGCCGTAGGTTGGGACCGAGAGCTTGAGGGTACGGAAGCAGATGTCGTCTGCGAGCGAGCGAACGAGGCGCCGACAGGGTCAGGACGGCGCTCGATTCGTCTCGAGAGCACGATAGAGAGAGAGCGTGGGACGCACACAGGGCCTCGTTGTCGATGCAGAACGTCTCGTCCGAGTTCTCGACGAGCTGGTGGATCGAGAGGGTCGCGTTGTACGGCTCGACGACCGTGTCCGACACCTTGGGCGACGGGACGACCGAGAACGTGGCCATCATGCGGTCGGGGAACTCCTCGCGGATCTTGGAGATGAGGAGGGTGCCCATGCCCGAGCCCGTGCCGCCGCCGAGCGAGTGCGTGAGCTGGAAGCCCTGCAGCGAGTCGCAGCCCTCGGCCTCCTTGCGGACGACGTCCAGGACGCTGTCGACGAGCTCGGCGCCCTCGGTGTAGTGGCCCTTGGCCCAGTTGTTGCCGGCCGACGACTGGGCGTGAACAAAGTTGTCGGGGCGGAACAGGTTGCCCATGGACGACGCCCGGATGACCTGCACGTCAAGCGGCGGTGAGCTCGCGTACATGAGGAGGAGGAGACAGAGAGAGAGGCGGACGCACGTCCATCGTGCCGGGCTCGAGATCGACCAAGACGGCGCGCGGGACGTACTTGTTGGCGGCGGCCCTGCGAGTCGAGGAGAGGTTCAGTGCGACGCTCTCGCGACTACAGCGGGGAGAAAGCGTACGTACTCGTTGTAGTAGACACTGATGCGCTCGAGTTGGAGGTCCGAGTCGCCCTGGTACCTGCGGGAGCGAGTGCGTGAGCCTCGAGAGGGCGGCGCGGGCGAAAGGAGGTTCGAGGGCGAAGGCGCACTGTCCATCGTTCGTGATGCCTGCACGGGGAGGATTGTCAGACATGCCGCAAGCGAACGACGATGTCGAGCGAGAGGGAACGCACCGTGCTCCCCGGAAACAGTCTGCGAACGCAAGGTGCAGAGGGTCAGGCTCGAGGAGGTTGAGAGGGGTCGAGCGGGCGAGAACGCACCTCCCAGAACTTCTGGCCGCTGCAAGGTGTGACAAGGACGGTACACGGTCAGTTTCGGTGCGCCTGGCACGGGCTGCGAGCGCGCGACCGTGCGTCGACCCTCGCACCCCACCGCCGCCGCCGACAATGCAGCACGCCGCCGACAGCCACCGCGAGAAGGGAGAGAACGGGGCGCAGGACTCACATCTGGTTGCCGCACTGTGGGCAGGAGGCGAGTGTCAGCTTGTCTTGAGCTGTGCAAGGCGAGCGAGAGCTCGGCGAAGAGAGGAAGAGGAAGCGGGCGGAACCTGGCCGGTCTGGATATGCACGATCTCACTGTGTTCAACGCATGGACCGTGTCAGTGTGCAAGACGCGCATCCTGGCCAAGTTGCGGCCACTCACCGCATGATGAGGAGGAAGCTGGCGGGGTGGAGGGGCGAGCAATGGCGGCGAGGGAGAGGGGCAAGGGGAGAGGGTCAGTGCCAGTCCTGGATGTGCAGGTGGGACAGCGACGCGCTCACCTAGCAGGTAGAGCACGGGATCGGACGAGGGAGACGGACCACAGCTCCTCGTCCGACCTCGTCCAACCTGTCGTCGCGTCCTCGCTCAGCTCCACCGCGCCACTCTCTGCTGGTCCGGCGAGCACGTACAGCTAGCGCAGCTGCTGTGCTCGAGCTCGCGGGCGGCCCTCACCCGACTGCCGTGCGGCCGGCTCCTCCGTGCACCTCCTCCAGCCCGCTCTCGACGTCTCCACCCGCGCTTACGGGCACGGTTCGTCCGAGACTCGCCGTGCAGTGCGCCAAGAGCCTCGTGCTGAGCGTATGTAGCCTCGGCGAGGGCAGGCCGTTCCTCCTTCTCGCTTCTCTCCTCGCCGTCGACCGCTCGGGGGCGCTTCTCTCGCTCTAGGGGGGCGTTCCCTGATCGAGCGGCCCTGCAGCTCCGCCACAAGCTTCACGTGGACGCTGCGCGTGGCTGTGCTACGGCGCTGCGCCATGGCGCTGTCCCTTGTCCTCGCCGGCTCCCTCGCCGACGCCGTTTGTCCTCCCCTCGACCGCTTGGCCGAGCGATGTCCCCTCTCTAACAGGGTCCAGACTGCGCTACGGCTCTGGGACGACGCTAAGGGCTCGGTTGTGCGAGGACAAAGGCCGCTCGCGCCGCCTCGTCCCAGTACATCAGCGCGCATTCTCGCCTTCGCTCTCTTTCCTTCCTCCCCGCCCCTTCTCGTCTCGCCCACCATGGCCTGCTCCTGCACCGGTGTACGTCCACCAGATTCGTCCCCTCCTCGACTGTACGAGCCCGCGCTGATCTTCCCTCGGCCGCCGCAGAACGCCCAATGCGCCTGCTCCTCGTCTTGCTCGTGCAAGAAGTGAGGGCCTGATTTGCCCTGTCGAGAGCGCTCTCAGGTCCGTCCCTTTCCTCCCTCACTCTCTCCTTTCGTCGATCGCGAGCTGAACCCTCCAGCGACAGCCTCGCCCCGCCCGCCTCCTCTCCCTCCTCGCCTCGACCGCCTTTCGACCCATCTTTATCGCTCTTTCGACGACTACCTCTCGCCCGGTCTCTCAAACACCCTCGAGACGGTCTTCCACCTCGTGCCGTCGTCCTGTCCCCTCTGCAACGCGCACTTTCTCCTCTCTTTCTCTCTCGTCGCCTCGAGAGTTTCCGCGAGAGCGAAAAGAACTCGAAAGAGCGAGTTGCACGACCGAGCTGCACGCGCTACGTCGTCCAGTTGGCGGCGATGGCGCTGATCAGGAGGAACGAGTCCTCGGTTGGTGGGCCGGCGCTCCAGTTTGGCTCGCCGCTCGACCAGCTGCGGGGTGCGAGCGCTCGAGGCGGGTCAGGCTCGGCGCTGTCGGGCAGAGGAGGGAGGGAGAGGGGGACGCACGAGTTCCAGTTGAACGTCATGGGCTTCTTGGGCACGTTGACGGTGAAGGTGGCGATGACCTGGTCGTCGAGCGAGAAGATGGTCTCGCTCGCCGTCCACTCGACCGTGTACTGTGGGCGTTCCCTCATCGTCAGGGTTCGTTCTGGATGGACCGAGAGTGAAAGACGAGGAGGTTGGAGGGAGAGAGGGAGGGGAGGGACGAGAGCGAGAGAGGGAGCGGGCGCACGTCGTGAAAGGCGGCGGTCGGGTCCCAGGGATAAGGATACACCTCGTTGTACATCTCGCCGTCGGCCGTGAGCGGGTGGTTTGTGTACTGGATACCTGTACGTGCGAGGGCGAGAGTCAAAATCGAGGTAAAGGGCGACGAGAGAAGGCGACACGAGAAGGTGGGCGAGAAGGCGGCGACGACGCACCTGGCTTGACCGAGTCGCCTCGTCCCTTGGTGTAGTAGCTCGTGAGCAACTCGATGTCGACCTCGCGATTGTCCTTGTCATAGAAGAAGAAGCCGTGGCTGGAGAGAGAGGGGGAAGAGAGAGGAGGGAAGGGGTCAGTGCGGGTTCGGCGAGGGCGACTGCGCGAGAGAGGAGGGACGCACCACACGCCGGGCACGGGGCTCGCCTTGGCCCTCGTCGTCACCTTGCCGTACAGGATGCCCTGCTCGACGGTCGCCACCTCTGCGCTCTGCACCTCGCCCGTGCCCGACTGGCCCGTCACCTTGAGCGATAGCGCGCCGTCGACGATGTCGACGTTGTCCGGCGTCATCATGACGCTGATGGGCTCGAAGCCGACTGGCCAGTCGGAGATGGCGAGGCCCGCCGCCTCAAGGAAGCCCGTGACGGTGTCGGTCGACGAGAAGGTCGAAAAGTCGATGAGGAGCTGCTCGCCGTACAGGGCCGGCAGCGAGCCGCTCGATGAGGTCGAGGTCGAAAAAGTTGGCGCAGCGGAAGAGGTTTTGCTCCTTCGAGCGTCGTCGTCGGTGGCGGCAGGCGAAGATGCGGATGGCGACCGGGTCGGCGAGCTGTCGTCCTCGTCGCCCCGGCTCGACGACCTGCTCGGGCTCGCCGCCCCCTCGCCGCCTTGTCCTCCCCTCGTCGTGGCCGCCGCCGACTGTGCGCCGGTCGTGGCCGCCGCTGCCGCTGCGTCTGCGCCGCCCTCGCTCGCCGCCTCGCGGGTTTGCTGCCACACGACGACGGCGAGCAGGACGGCGACAACCACCACGAGTACGGCGATCGAGACCCAGACGATAGGGGACAGGTGTGTCGTGGTAGAGCGCGCTGGACGAGGCGCGGCGGCGTCGTCGTCGTCCGAGTCGGAGGCGTCCGAGGACAGCAGGCGCGAGTCGTCTGAGCTGGACGAGTCGGCCCTTGCGCTCCGGGCCATGGTTGCGAGGGCAGGCAAGCAGAGCAGGCGAGCCAGCTGGTGCGAGGCGAGAGGTCCGCGGGCGGACGAGAGAGCGAGCGGAGTCTCCGAGGAGGAACCGGCGAGCTCGAGGCGGAGCGTGCGGCGAGCGAGGCAGGTGGGAGGCGCCAAGCTGCGCCGTGCCCTAGGAGGGAGCAGCGAGTACTAGTGGTGGTGCGCGAGGGCCAGAGGAGCCGGAGGAAGAGAGAGCGAGGAGGAGAGTGCCGAGGGACGACGAAAACGAGGGTCTCTTGGCCTCAAGCTACCGCCTCGCTCTTCTCGCGAGCACCAGTGCAGCGCACGGCGACAGCGACAGCGACACTCGACGACCTCGCACCTCGACTGGAGCGCCCGCGACCTCTCACCGTCGAACCTCGGCCAACTTCCCCGCCTCGTCGCGCCATCTCGCCCTCGACGGCCAACCCGCCCTCTCGCCCCTCTCTGGCCCGTGGGCTGACACGCCATTAGTCGCACTCGACGACCACCACCACCCACCTTCACCCTCGCACCACCCACTCGCCCTCACCTGACGACGCTCGCTCCCTCGACCTCGCTCAACCCCCGGACGCCTCGTCCCCCGCCCGCCTACACTCACCTCGCACCGCCCGGCCCTCGACCATGGCCGACTCTGTCTGCTCGTCCGTCCCCGTCTCGACCGTCTTTTCGACCCGCACTCGCGCCGACCGCGTCGCCGTCACCGAGACGAGCCTCGTCCCTCAAGTGACCCAGGTCGTGCGTCCACTCCTCCTTCGCCCTCTCCTCAACCTGGCCTGCACTGACGACTGCCGGACCCTCGACACAGGTCTCGACTACGCTCTACACCGGCGTCGTCCGCGGCGTCACCATCACTCGCGAGCTTGAAGCCACCGAGCTCGTCACCGTGTGCGTCCCTACTCTTTCTCTTTTCTCTCGCCGAGTCGCACGCTGACCGTCCTCCTCCCATACAGTACCAGCACCGTCGCTATTCGAGGCGTCTCGACAACCCTCGTTCTCGAGTCGGAGCCCATCTCGACCGTCTTCTCGACGACCTGCATCGCGCCTTCGACCACGTCCTCGTCCGTCCTGCCCTCCTCGACTACGTCCAGCACGACCACAGCCAGTTCGAGCACGACGACGAGCACCACCTCCTCGACCACCACGACCTCGACGACGCCCAGCTCGAGCAGCACCTCGACCTCGACCAGCTCGTCGACGACCACGACGCCGCCGCCGCAGTCGACCAGCATCTCGACCGTCGTCGTTGGGCCCTCATCGTCGTCCTCTTCCTCGGCGCGCTCGAGCGCGACTGCGCTCTCGGGCTCGGGCGGCTCGGGCTCTGGCAGCTCGAGCAACGTCGGCGCCATCGCAGGCGGCGTCGTCGGCGGCGTCGTCGGCCTCATCGCGCTCGTCGCCCTCGTGTGGCTCCTCAACAAGAAGAGCCGCAACCGCAAGCTTCAGCGCGATTTCGACCCGTTCACGTCGGGCAGCGACCCGTGGGACCCGAACGGCGCAAACGGCGCCGGCGCCGGGTACGCTGCGGGTGCGGGTGCGACGGGCGCCGCGGTGGGTGCAGGTGCGGCCGCAGCGGGTGCGCGCACGTCGCGTCGCTTGACTCGAGGCGGTGGTGGGCACGGCAAGTACGCCGAGGCGGGCGAGAAGGACGGCGCGAGCGCGTTCCCGGCGTACGCCCCGCTCGCCGTCGACGGCTCGCCTCGTCGCGGCGGCAACAAGGTCGCCGCCGCCGACGAGCAGGACGCCTACTACGCCCACGTGCCGTACTCGCACGGCGGCGCGGCGCGCGACGACGGCATGTCGGCCTACGCCTACACCGAGTCGGGCGGGCTCGACCGCCAGGCGAGCTTGTACGACCGCGCCGGCGCCGCGTCGGCCGCTCCTCAGCAGCAGCACGAGTCGGCCCCCTACGCTGCACTCGGCGCGGCGGCGCTCGGCGGCGGTGCGGCGGCAGCGGCGGCCGGCCACCGCCAGTACGACCAGCAGCCGCATCACGAGCACCAGCGCACGCCGTCGGCCGGCGTCGGCGCAGGTGCCGACACGTACGGCGGCGGCGGTGGGCTCTACGGCCGCGAGGGCGGGTATGCCGCCGCCGCCTCGGCCGGCCAGCAGCAGCAGCCCAAGCAGCAGGCGGCACCGTACGGCCAGCCCGGCTCGTACATGCAGTACCCGTCGCAGTACCAGCCCTACTCGTCGGCGCAGCCGTCGTACCCTCCCTCGGCGCCGGCAGGTGCGCCCTCGCCGCCGCCGCAGCTCGCCCCGCTCCCCGGCATCTCGTACCGCGCCCCGTCGCCCTCGTCGCCGACCCGTCCGAGCGACGCTCTCCCGCTCCCGGGCCAGCAGCAGCGGTACTCGCTCTCGGATCGGCCCATGCCGCCGTCGGCGCTCCAGCCTGGCGGTGGCGGCCCGCTCAGGGTCGTCAACGAGGGCGGCGAGGACGACGAGCGCGCTCGGTTCGGCGCCAGGGCGGCCGACATGGACGCGTACGGCGGTCTCGACGACGGGCTCCCGTACACTCGGAGGTAGGTGACGCGTCGTCGTCGCCGCCGACTTTCCCTCGTTCCCCGCACGGACCTTGTCCTTGCCGTCCCCTCTTTTGGTCTAGCTCTCCCCGTCACGCTCTCTCTCTCTCTGTGTGCGCTCCCACTATCTCTCCCTTACGACCAGACACTTGTTGCGACTGTAACGATGCGCTCCTTGAACCTTCACGCGTCTCGAAAGGTCGCAAACGAGGAGCTGCTCCTGGACCTCCTCCTCGACGCAGAGTCGAGCGGGCACTACGCACTGCCAGGAAGCGTCTGCAGATTTGGCTCCATCGTCGAGTACTCGTCTCGATAAGACCATCGAGCCTTGCACAGTCGAGAAAGAACGAGGTTGCACAGCGAGAAACCGCTCTCGCCCAGGATCTCGCTCTCGAGCCGAGCTTTTGACGGAGGAGCACGACGAGAGGCGTGCAGTGTTGCATAGCTAGCTCAAGCCCGCGCGTCGCCATCGACATTGGCCACGACGGCGGCCGCCTCGTTCTGCTCCTCGTCGCGCTCGACCGCCTCGCGAGCCGCATCGACCTGCTCGACGACCATCTCGACGTCGTCCTCGTCGTCGTCCCTCGCGACGTACACGCCGTCGTCCTCGTCCTCGTCGTCCTGCTCTCCCACCTCTCCTTCCACGCCGCCGCCGGCCTTGTTGCCCGAGCGCCGCTCCTTGCGGCTGTCGGCGTTGAGCTTGCGCTCGGGCATGACGCGCCGCAGCGCCTCCCTCCACCCGTCGGCCCTCTCGCCCTCCTCGACCCAGCCGACGAGGATCTCGTACACCTGGTTGACGGTGAGCACCTTGCGCGTCTGCAGCTCGGGCAGGAACTCGCCGATCGGGAGCTGGGCGTGCGCGATCCCGAGCGCGTTGGCCTTGTCGAGGCACAGGTTCTTGTACCGGTTGTGGTCGACGATGCCGCCGAGGATGTAGGTGTGGCCGGGCGACAGCGTCGTGAGGACGTTGGGCGAGTCGCCCGTCAGGTACACGACGGTCGAGCGCGGCGCGCGCGACTGGGGCTTGCCGGCGAGGGTGCCGAGCGGGACGAGAGGGACGGGCGGTTCGACGGGCGCAGTGGAAGAAGAAGAAGAGGCGGCGACAGAAGCCGGCTCGGGCGCTGATGTCGGTGCGGCGGCCTCGGGGGCGGCCGAAGAGGGGTCGGCCGTCGACGACGAGGTTGAAGCGACTCGAGACTCGACAGGGGCGCTCCCGTCGGCTTGTGCGGGCTGCGTCTTGCCGTCGTCGACGCCCTCGTACAGCTTGTCGATGCCGTCTTCCCACCACTCGACGCCCTTCCAGCTGACGTGGTCGCCGCGCTTCTCGTACGCCTCGCGCAGGCGCCCGGTGAACGACGTGATGAGGAGCGGGAACGGGTGCGTCGCGCCGCGGTTGGCCGAGTAGCAGTAGCCGAGCTGCGACGCCATCGACTTGGCCTCCTGCGGCGGCGAGAGAGGGAAAAGGAAGGATCAGTTCGAGGCCCCCCGAGGAGCCCGAGAGCGGTCGAGAGGACGTTGCGGGCGCACCTTGTCCGACATGAGGTGGTCAAAGCCCATGTCGATGGCGATGCGGGCGCCGTGCGGGACCTGCTTGCCGTTGAGGCGGCGCTTCTTGTTGACGGGCTTGTCCATCTTGCCCTCGGCGACGAGCTTCTTGACCTCGGCCGCCTTGGCCTTGCGCTTCTCCTTCTCGTGGGCGCGACGCTGGAGCTTTTGCGCCTGGAACGCCTCCTGCTTGCGCTGGCGCTTGAGCGCCGACTTGGACAGGGGAGGGTCGGCGGGTGCGGACGAGGTCGTGCTCGCGTCGGCGGCGGGAAGTGCGGCGGCAGGCGGGTCGGCTGCGTCGATGGTTGACGAGGACGGCTGCAGGACGGGCTGCGCGTCGGCTGGGGCGGGTGCGGGTGCGGTCGACTCGAGCTGAGGGACAGAGGTGGACGAGGTGGACGAGAGCTCGACGGCATTGGGCGGGTCCATGGCGGCTGAGAAAGACCTTGGGCAGTACTTTCGTTGGACTGGACTGGACGGCGAACGCTCCTGGTGCGAGCGAGGTCGAGAGTGGACGCAAGCTGATGAGAGCGTGCGAGCTCCTCCTCGTCACCCTCCTCCCTCCGTCGATCCAGCCTGTCCACCAGCTGAGTCTGCTCTACACACGATGGGCAAGAAGTCGAACCAGGCGCGCTTCCCGCTCGTGCGTCCCCGGCCTCGACTCTCCTCCTCATCACCCCGCCCTCGCTCACCCATCCTTCCTCACTGCAGGCTCGCATCAAGAAAATGATCCAGGCCGACGAAGAGGTCGGTAAGGTCGCCGCTGCCACCCCCATCGTCGTCTGTGCGTCCCTGCTCTCTCTCTCGCGTCCTGCCCCACCTCGCCTCGCCTCCCTGACCTCGTTGCCCCACCCTCTCGCACGCAGCCAAGGCCCTCGAGCTCTTCCTCGCGAGCCTCGTCGACGCCTGCGTCAAGGACGCCGAGTCGCGCGGCAGCAAGAAGCTCACTCCGTACGGCCTGTGCGTCCACGCCCTCTCACTGCCTGCTTTCCTCCTGCGCGCGAGCTAACCCTCTCCCTCGTCCGCAGCAAGCGCGCCGTCAACACGACCGCCATGCTCGACTTCTGCGCCGACATAGTCGAGTCGATCCCGGACCCGCTCGACGGCGAGGAGGACGAGGCCGAGGGCACCAAGAAGAAGCGCAAGGCCGCCTCGTCGTCGTCGGCGGCGGCGCCCAAGAAGAAGGCGGTCAAGAAGGCCGACAGCGACGAGGACGAGGACGAGGACGACGAGGGCGACAGCGAGCAGGAGGACAAGAAGCCCAAGAAGCAGGCGACGTTCGCCGACTCGGACGACTACGAGGAGTGACGAGCCTCTGTCTCTCTCTCTCTTTGTGCAGGCCGTTGTTGTAACTCTGTCTCTCGCTTGAACTCGGTCGACTCGAGAGGCACGAGGGTTGCAGAGAGAATCCGGTTGCAAAAGGGGCAAGTACAGCGAGAAATTGCGGACGAGGAGGCCTGCGAGGAGGAAGAGCACGACGGGGGAGAAACGCGAGGGCGAGGGGGACAGCTGCACGGCGAGATACGGCGGGGTGACGGGGCGTAACCTGAAGGGACGAGAGACGCGAGAGGGAGATCTAAGCAGAGGAGAGAGAGAGGAACTCGAAGAAGAAAGGGGGAGGGAGAGGGGGCGGGAGGCGGCGGAAGCGATTGACGCTGGCGGACGGTCGTCGAGAGGCGTGGAAGGGGTATCGTCGTGTACGAGGGAGAGCGAGCGGGTTGACCGCTGCGCGCTACGCCTGCTGGAACTCCTGCGCCTGGCGCTGCGCCACGCCCTGCTGCCACGGGTCGTCGCCGCCGGCCCACCAGCCCTGCTGCTGCTGCTGCTGCTGCGAGTGCTGCTGCGGCGGCACCTGCTGCTGATGCTGCTGGTGGTGACGGTACTGTTCGTGCGGCCCAAGCGAGCGCTGAGGCTGCATCGGCGGCGAGAGCGGCTGGTGCAGCTGCGAGTGCGCGTCGAGCGGCTCGCGCTTGACCGCCCACGCGCCCGGGGCACGCTCGACGCCCTCACGCTCGAGACGGCCGTCGCGCTGCGCGCCAAACTGCTGCGACGCCGGCGGCGGGGCGGCGACGGCGCTCTGCATGCCGCGACCGTCGTACGAGCCCGTCGGCGGCGGCGCGTACGCGTGCTGCGCCGAGAGGCCGAGCCCTTCTGCGCCGGCGACGCCCTGCAGCCCGGGGCGCGGTGGCAGGCCGTAGCTCGACGGCCCGCCGCGAGGGCCGACCGACGCCGCCGAGACGATCTCGCCGTACGGCGAGACGCCGAGGCCGTGCCCGGACGCAGGGACGACCTCGTCGTTGGGGCCTGGAGCGACGAGCCCGCTCGGGTGCTGCTGCGGGGCCTGCGGCGCCGGGGCCTGGTAGCCATAGCTCCCTCGCGCCGCCGGGTCGTAGCCCGAGTAGGCGGCCGTCGTCGACGGGGCCGGCGGCGGCGCCGGGTACGCGCCGCTGTTCGCGCTGTCGCCCGTCGCGTACAGGCTGCGCAACGCCTGCTGCTGCTGCCGCTGCATGCGCGAGTCGCCGAGCGCGTCGGCCGGGCTGTGCGGCGAGACCTCGGCCATGAGGGTCGCGGCGTGCGACGCGAGCGAGCTCGTCGGCTCGACGATCGGCCCGTTGGTGCGCCCGTGCGACGACGAGTAGCCGAGGGGCGGGACGGGCGACGGCAGCGACGAGCTGCTCTGCGACGGCGGGACCGACGAGGTGTGCGACAGGTTGAGCGTGCCCGGGTGCGGCGCGCGCCCGACGTGGCCGGTCGAGGGCGGCGTCGCGAACGGCGAGTGCGTGTGTGTGCCGGTCGGCGAGAGCTGGGCGCCGTAGCTCGGCGCCGTGTTGGGCGGCGGGACGTGCGCCTGGGCGAGCGCGTGCGGTGGCTGCTGCGCCGAGTACGGGCGGTGGTACGCCGCGTAGGCGCCCGACGCCGTGTGCGGCGCGCGGTACTGCTGCGCGCCGGGACCGTGCGACCCTGCCGCAGGCGGCGGGTTGTAGGCAAAGATGCCGCCCGACGAGTTGGCGTCGCTCGTCGGCGCGAACGGGATCGAGTGTCGCGGCTGGTAGAACGAGGACGTGGACGGGACAGGGTGGTGCGCGTACTCGCCGACGGCCGAGCCCGGTGGGTACATGCCGCCGCCGCCGCCGTGCGGGCCGTGCCACCCGCCGCTCACGTGCGGCGCCGACGAGCTCGTGCCGTCGACGGGCGGCGTGCGCTCCTGGAAATACGCGCCGCCGGCCCCGTACCCGCTCTCGCTCATGGGCGTATACGCGGCACGAGGCGCGGGCTGACCTGCGCCGACGGGCGGGAACGGGTAGCCGCCGTTCGACGGCGGCGGCGCGTAGTTGTTGCTCGGCGAGAACCGAGTCGACGAGCCGTACGGGTCGAACCGGTTGTTGGTGCGAAAGTTGACGTGCGTGCTGCGCCTGGGCGAGGTCGGCGTCGCGAGAGGGTGGTCCCAGGACCCGCCGACAGGAGGAAGGCTGTGGCCGAAGTGGTGCGAGGCGTCCGAGGCGGATGGAGGGCGAGACTGTGGGAGGGTTGCGAGTCAGGAACGCTCGTTGATGCTCGAGGGGGGCACGAGAAGAGGGCGCACATGAGGACCGCCGGGTGTAGGCAGACCTTGAGACGAGCCCGAGCGCGTCAAGGGCGACATGGGCGCGTCGGCCTCGCCCTTGTACTTGAGGTGGCCGTCCGGGCCGATCTCGACGAGTGGCGGGATGCGGTACAGAGACGGCGTGAGGAAGTGCGACGAGACCTCGAGCGCGTTGAGCTCGTGATGCGACGACGGCGTGCGGAGGCGGCCGCTGACGACGTCGTCGATGCGGTAGTAGCCGATGAGGTGCAGGCCCTGGAGCGAGATCGTCTTCTTGACGAGGCCGTCGGAGCGGAACCGGTAGCTCGACGTGAGGCTGCCGACGAGGGCGCGCTCGCGAACGCGGTCGAGCGTCGCGCCTGCGAGCTCGCTCACCGACGACCGTCGCGGCCCCGACGAGCTCCCAGGCCGCGAGCCCGAGCCCGACGCGACAGGTCCTGCACCGGCCATCTCCTGCTCGTCGACCGGGTCCGCCTTGCTCGTGAGCCCGCCCATGAGCCGGCTGCGCACGCTCCCGCCGCCGCTCCCGCCGGCTGCTGCCCCGCTCGTGCCGCCGCCGCCCTCGCCGTCCTCGTCGTCTGCGCCCGCCGCCGCTCCAGCTCCACCGGGCGGCGGCTGCGCCTTCTTGTCGAGCTCGCGGTAGACGAGGAAGTTGCCGAGCGTGCGCGACGGGCTCCACGACAGGCCGTCGGTCCAGCGCTTGATGCCCGTCTCCTCCTCGTCAAACACGAAGACGGCGCCCGAGACGACGTTCTGGCGCTTCTCGAACTCTTGGAGGCGGCGGGTGATCTTGGGGAGGAAGCCGCGCCTGCAGCCCTCGAAGATGAGGAGGGCGTCGAAGGTCGACTCGACGAACCCGCGAAAGGCTGGATCGGCCATGGGGCTTGCCGATAGTGCTTGCGCGAGCTCGACAGGAGGGTCGGGGAGGTCGAGGCGGGCGAGTGAGGGTGCTGTTGTCGAAGAGAGCTGGACGCGGCCGAGAGGTGGGCAAAGGCGAGGGCGTGCCGGGGCGAGGTGCGGCAGGTCGACAGGCAAGTCGATGCGCAAAGTGGTGGTGCTGGGTGTGACCCGGGCTGCCGCAGAGGCCGAGGATGAGGTCGAACGAGGAACGCGGGGTGGGGAGGAGGGGAGACGGTCGCGCCGAGCCGATGAGGGCGCTCTGCCTTGCTCAACGACCGGCTGCTCCCGCTGAGCGCGTGCGCCTGCTGCACGATGCTCGAGACTGGTCAGCTCTGCACCTGCTCGCTCTGCCCAACCGCTCGCCCGGGACGACGGGCGCACCTGGTTCCGACTCGCCGCTGTGCGCGAGCGGTTTCTTGCCCTGCGCGGCTTAGGCGGGCGTCGAATGCGCGGTGTGGGGTGCCGAAGGGGCCGTGCGAACGCGGCACAAGCTGGCGGCAGCCGACCGAGCACGCAGGCGGCGAGGCGAGGGGCGCACACGGGGCGACGGCGGAGCGGTGCTGGGAGCGAGAGGGCGCACGCTCGAACGGCTTGGTCCTCGGCGGACGCTGCGGTGCGCCTTGTTGGAGCTCGATCCTGCGCGAGGGTCTCGACCGACGACGGGTGCGGATGCGGCCTCGGGTTCCGTCGCTGCGCTCGGCGAGATCGCCAGGTCCAAATGCGCCGCGAGGAGGACGAGTCGGAGAAGGTGCTTCGAGGAAAGGGGGGCGCACGGCTCGTTGGCGGTCGGGTGGTGGCGGAACTCGCTCGCAGGACTCGCAGCTTTGGGGACGCGCAGAGAGGAGGCAGAACGCGCTGTGCGGCGAGGCCGGCGCTGTTCCGGGTCGCGAGGCTCGGGGCTCCTCTCCCCCCTCAGGTTGCTGCTCGCCGACGTGCAGCACGCCTCGCAGGGCTCGAACCGCGCTTAGGACCACTCTTCTCTTCGCTCTCGCCTTCGGTGTCCTTCTCACGGACCGGCCCGTCGTCGCGCTCCTCGTCGTCGTCCTGCAGCTGGATCTCGAGACACGGCCAGGGACACCGTCTGCTCCTTGCGACGGCCCTCGTCGCCAGTTTCCGCTCCTCGCGGGATCGTGTCCTTGAATCCACCCGTCCGTCGCTCACACGGCCACTGAGCCGTGAGGACAAGAGGAGGGCTCCCCTCGCCAAGTCAGGAAGGTCCGCTCGGTCCTTGTCCAGCGTTCCCCCGCTCTGCGTGCCGTCGTCGGTCGCGCCTCGAGCTTTGGCATCGCGCTACGCAGAGCTGGCCCTTACCGCGAACAGTCGCAGAGTTGCTCGTCGACTCGCGGCAGGCGCGAGGGTGCTTTCGCGGCTCGCTCGTGCCGCGACGGTGCTGAAGCGGCTCTTCTCGGCCGGTCGCTCTCGGCAGCCAGGTTGCGCCGCAGATCGTCAACGTGCGTCCAGTAACCCCTTCTGCGCGTCTACACACAGCTCGAGAGACGCTGTGAGAGCAGGAGGCCGGGGCTATGTACATAACTAACTCACGGCGGCCGCTCGCGCGGTTCAAGCTCTGCTAGCGGCTTCCCCCACACGCGAGCAGCTTGAGTTGACCCGCAGCACCTCGCTTTCCGGAGCTCTTGATGCCTGTGACGACTCGCGTGCGGTCATGCGTCCGCTGTTCAAGACGCTGCTGGTCGGGAGAAGCCCGGACGAAAACGTTCAGCGGCCCACGACGATCTCCTCCTTCTCGTTACTTGCACTCCCGAGCACCGAGCTGCACAGTCTGCGCCTGCTTCCGCCGTCTAGCGAGAGACTGTCGCAGCGTACGACCGAGAGATTCGCGCTCAACGTCGCTTTGAGAAGGTCAATTGGCGCGCGAGGTCCGAGCGTGCTTTCGCGCTCCACGAGCGTCGCTTTCCTCGCAGTCGCGCCGCCTGAGAGACCTGCTCGACGATGGTCAGACGCTGTGCGACGCATAGTCTGTCGACGCGGCGAGAGAGGGCGGCTGGCTCGACCCTGCCTCGCCGACCTGTCGTTGACCTTTGCTATTTGCGCTCGCTCGCCAATCTCGATTAGCTCTCCGAACCGCTCGTTGACATCCGTAATCGACGCTGTCAAAGTCAAGCCGAGATCGAGCGAAAGCCAAACTCGAGGGGAGGTTCGAGCGAAAGCAGGGCTTCGTCTCGAGCTCGCGAGAATGGCACACGATTGAGTTGCAGTATGTACTATGCTGAGAGCCCACCTCTCGAGACCGGCAGCGACGCATGCGTACAAGATGCGCCAGGTCGCTCAGCTGCGCCATGCTCGCCGTCCCAGCTCTGGAGCGTCCTCGCCTCCACCCTTGCCGATGAAAGCCGAGAACGCGCCGCGCTAAATCTGTATTGCACCGGCTGGACGACGCTGCGGAAAGTACTGAGGCGTGGCGAGGACGAGCTGGGGCGGCGGCGCGACGAGGACGAGGAGGCGGGGGAGCAGAGTCCGACGGTGGGCGGGTGTCGAGGTGCGGCGGACCGGGCGTGACGGTGTGTCGAGAGTGAGTGAAAGGGCGAGGTGTCGCTGGCAGCGGCGGTAGCTGTGTCGAGGTCGAGCTGGCGGTCGAGGTGATGAGGCGGGCGGCAGTCTGCGAGGGCGTGGGTCGAGCAGGCGGCGCGGCGGGCAGAGGAGCTCGGGCTCGGGAGGCCACAGTGCACAAGCTGGCTGTGCAAGGGCGAGTGCACAAGGCAGAGAGCGCAAGCGGCCGTGAGCCTCGCCGAATCGGCCCACCTCACCCGGCAGAGTGTCGAGCTCGACCTCATCTCTCTCGTCGACCTGCCTCACCAAACGCCTCTCGCTCACCACCCCGAGATGGCACCCAACCCTTACGTCAAGGCCATCGCCAAGACGTCCGGCGCGCCAGCCGGCTCACCGGCATCGGCGGCCAAGAGCAAGGGCACCAAGCGCGACTCTCTCAAGTCCGGCTCCGCCTCGACCACCGCCTCGCCCGCCAAGGGCAAAGCCCGCGCCGACGACAGCGTCCTCAAGGCCGAGATCCTCGCGCTCGGCGGCGACGAGGCCGACTTTGAGCTCCTGCAAGACGTCGACAGCGACAGCGAGGTCGAGGGCGACGACGACAAGCCCAAGGAGGGCAACTCGGTGCGTCCCTCCCGCCTCGTCTACAAGAACCGAGGCACAGCGTTTACTGACTACCGCGCGCGCGACCACAGGCCGGCCTCCTCAAGGACCTCCGCTCGTTCGTCAAGGGCCTCGACTTCAAGGCCGCCGGCGCCGACGCTCCCGCCGACGAGCTCGACGACGTCGCCGACGCGGCAGACGTGGACGAGGAGGAGGCGGACGACGAGGAGGAGGAGCAGGCGGCACCGGCGCCGGCGCCTGTCGCGCCCAAGGCCGTCGTCGAGGAGAGGGCGGCCGCCGTCGAGGGCGACAAGCCCAAGAAGGAGAGCAAGGTGGAGCGCGAGGCGCGGCGCATGGCCGAGCGTGAGGCGGCCAAGCAGGCCGAGAAGGCGCTGCGAGCCGACCAGGACATCGCCAAGCTCGAGAAGAAGGCGGCGAAGCTCGAGGTCGGCGGCAAGAGCCCATGGGTGCGTCCCCTCTCCTCCTCTCTGTCTGTTCCCTCCTTCTACGTGGTGCTCATACCGTTCCCTTCTCGCAGGTCATCGACCCGACGCCGCACTGGTACGCCGTGCCGACCGTCGCCCCGTCGGCCGCCGCGCCACGGCCCAAGCCGGAGCTCGTCTCGGCGATGCTCGCTCGCGGCCAGGCGCTCCTCACCAAGGAGAACGAGCTGTACGCGTCGTCGCTCGACCCCAAGGGCTCCAAGACGTCCGCCGCGCCGCCGCCCAACGGCTTGTCCAAGGCCGACCAGGTCTTCATCCAGCAGATCCTCAACTCGGGTACCTCGTCCGACCGCATCTCGGCCCTCCTCCTCCTCGTCTCGTCGTCGCCCCTCCACACGATGTCGTACCTCGAGCAGCTCAGCGCCCTGACGCGCAAGAAGAGCCGCGACGAGAGCATGCGCGCCATCCGCGGCCTCGTCGACTGGTTCCGCAGCGAGGGCGGCGGCAGCCCCGACCGCAAGCTGCGGTACATTGCCGATCAGCCGGCGCTCGCGACCGTCGCCGCCGCGTTCGAGGTCCTCGAGAAGAAGGGCAAGTACGCCGTCTCGTCGCACGAGGGCATCGTCAAGGCCGACGTCGAGCGGTGCCTCACGCTGTGGGCGTACGAGGACTGGTTCAAGCGGTGGTTCTTCCAGGTCCTGCAGGCGCTCGAGGTGCGTCACGGCCCATCTCTCTTCCTCTCGCGTCCCCACCGCGGTCCCTGACGACCTCCATTCCCTCTCTCGCAGCAAATGTCGGTCGACCCGCTCCCGCATCCTCGCAGCCAAGCCGTCATGCATCTCTCGAACCTTCTTCGCGACAAGCCTGAGCAGGAGAGCAACATTCTGCGGCTCCTCGTCAACAAGCTCGTGCGTCGTCGCCTCGCTCCCTCTCCCGACGTCTACCTGTGCCCCGTCTGACTCTCTCTCTCCTTTGCGCAGGGCGACACGAACCGGTCGATCGCGTCCAAGACGTCGCACCACCTCCTCCAGGTCCTGCAGACGCACCCGGGCATGACGCCCATGCTCGTCCGCGAGACGTCGGCGCTCGTCCTCCGGCCTCGGTCCGCCGTCCAGGCCGCCGCACCTTCGGCCGCCTCGACGAGCCACGTCCGCTTCGGCGGCCTCGACGACGACGACGAGGGCGGCAAGAAGAAGAAGGCGCCGGCGACGATGACGGTCAAGGACGCCGCCCGCGACAACGCGCGCTACTACGGCGTGACGACGCTCAACCAGGTCATGCTCAAGAAGGACCAGGGCGAGGTCGCCGCCAAGATGGTCGACGTCTACTTCGAGGTCTTCTCGGACGTCCTCGGGCGTCTGCCGGACGAGGACGAGGACGGCGAGGGCGCGGGCAGCGACGGTGAGAAGAAGGCCAAGAAGGACGACAAGCCGCAGGGCAAGAAGCGCGCACGAGGCGGGTTCGACAAGGGCGGCAAGAAGGGCAAGGGCCAGCAGGAGCAGCCGCAGGACGCCGTCAACGACGTCGACAGCAAGCTCGTCGCCGCGGTCCTGACCGGCATCAACCGCGCCTTCCCCTTTGCCAAGCTCGAGGACGACGCGTGCGTGGCCTCTCTCTCTTTCCTCTCCCCTCCCCTCGCGTGCGCTTTGGCCCGTCCGGATTCAGCCCTGACCTCGACTTCTCCTGCAACAGGTTCAAGCGCCGCCTCGACACCCTGTTCCGCATCACGCACACGAGCACCTTCAACGTGTCGATCCAGGCCCTCATGCTCATCTTCCACGTCTCGTCGGCCAAGCGCGACGTCTCGGACCGCTTCTACCGCACCCTGTACACGTCGCTCCACGACCCTCGCCTCACGCACTCGAGCAAGCAGGCCCTGTACCTCAACCTCGTCTTCCGGGCCACCAAGGTCGACAAGGACGTCAACCGCGTCGCCGCCTTCGTCAAACGCCTCATCCAGATCCTCGCCGGCATGGACACGACTTTCGTCCTCGGCGGCCTCTTTGTCGTCGGCGAGGTGCGCCCCCTCTCCCTTTCTTCCTCGCCCGTCCTCGTCGCGCGCAATACTGATCCCGTCCCTCTTCGTTGCACAGCTTCTCTCTACGACCGCCGGGCTGCGCGCCCTTCTCACCGTCCCCGAGAAGGCCAAGATTGCCGAGGTCGCCGAGGCGACCAAGAAGCAGGGCGAGAACGCCGACGAGCATGCCGCCGACACTACGACGGCAAGAAGCGCGAGCCCAAGTACGCCCACGCCGAGAACAGCTGCCTGTGGGAGCTTGTACGTCTCCTCTTTCCCTCGCTCTCTTTCATCCTCTTTCGCCCCTTCCCGCGTCCTCTCCTCGCGCAGCCCGCTCCTCTTCCCTCGCGCGACCTGACACACCTTTCGTCTTGCAGGCTCCCCTCCTGTCGCACTGGCACCCGACCGTCTCGGCGTACGCCTCGGCGCTCCTCGACGGCGACTCGCTCTCGGCCGCGACCGACCTCGAGCAGTTCTCGCTCGCCGCCTTCCTCGACCGCTTCGTGTACCGCGAGACGAAGAAGGCGGCGGCGTCCAAGGGCAGCAGCATGATGCAGCCGGGTCTCGCCGGCCAGGACAAGAGCGGGCGGGTCACGCTCGTCAAGGGTGCGCACAAGAGCGGCAAGGACGACGTCCCGCTCAACTCGGACAAGTTCCGCAGGCGGAATGTGCACGATGTGCCCGTCGACCAGGTCCGTCCCTCTCTCTCCTCTCGTCCCTCTCTTTCCTCGTCCAACTTTCCCTCGTCGAGCTCGCCCCGACTGACCTCGCCCTCACGTTCTGCCGCAGATGTTCTTCCACAAGTTCTTCACGTCCAAGGCGGCGCTCGAGGGCGACAAGGCCAAGTCGGCGACCAAGCGCAAGGGGCGCCGTGCGGGCGACGACTCGGACGAGAGCGACGCCGAGTCGATCGCCGATGCGGGCGGAGACGCCGACGGCGCTGTCGACGCCGACGAGCTTGCCGCCGCCATGGAGGGCGACGACGACGAGGAGCAGACGGACGACGAGCTCGAGGACGCCATCTGGAAGGAGATGCAGCGCACGATGCCTCGCGCCAAGGGCGACGAGGACGTCGAGGTCGACAGCGAGCTCGGTGGCGCCGACGTCGACGACGATGACGACGACGACGACCTCGCCGCGTACGACTACTCGGACTCGGACGTCGGCGCCGACGAGGGCGAGTTCAAGTCGGCGTTCCCGGAGGAGGAGTCGGACGAGGCGCTCAGCGGCGAGGACGAGTTCCTCGAGGCCGACGACGACCTGGTCGGCTCGGACGAGGACATGCCGCTCGGGTTCGACGTCGCAGGCGGCTCGGACGACGACGACGAGGCGGCGGCCGAGGCGGCGAGCGCCAAGAAGCCCAACAAAAAGCGCAAGCTCAAGCACCTCCCGACTTTCGCCAGCGCGTCCGACTATGCGCACCTGCTCGGCGGCGACGACGAGGACGACGACATGTAGCTGGTGGTCTCCCCTTCCTTCGAGCGCGAGCACGTCGAGCCCTGTTGTCGCAACCTCTTTTCCTGAGCATCTCTCGCCCGAAAGCCCGTCCGCCCTCGAGAGCTACCGAGAGTATTCTGCCTTGTCTCTGCCTGTCGAGCACGCGCAGCGGAGCGTTACATGTGCTCCTCGAGAGCAGCGACGGCAAGGACGAGCAGGTCTGGCGCAAGTTGCCGACCTTCTCAAAACGAGCCTCCCGACGAGAGCTTGCCCTGCCACCGAGCGGTGCGACCGTGCGACTCGGTTCAACGTGAACAGCATGAGTCGCAGGAGAGCTGGTCGAGCATGCCAGCGCGAGCGTGCGTGTTAGGAAGAGAGAGCGCGCGCGAGAGGAAGAGGCTCGTGCGCCGGTTCTCGCCTTCGCAGACGCTCTCGCATGCGGCTCACAGGCGAGACTGATTGACTACGAGCGATCGTGAGGGTCGTACAGCTTCATTGCGCCGCCCGAAACAACTCCAAGTCAAGTACATGGCCGACCCGCATCTCTCGGCCCGCAAGAACACTCGACGGCGCCCGCTCAGGCGAGCACGACCGCCCTCCCTCTGACGACAATCTCGCCACCGAGGTCCTCGCCCGTCTCGACCTGCAGGACGCCGTTGGCGCCGCGACCCTGCGCCTGCGCCGTGAGGTCGGCGATGGCGAAATTGAGCCGGTCGTCCTCGCTGAGGAGGCCCCCACCGCCCGAGCGCGACGAGAGGCCCTCGACGAAGCCGAGGTCTTGCACTGCAGGAGGGAGCCGAGTCAATACGAGCGTGACGGGCGAGGACAGAGAGAAAGAGAGAGAGAGAGAGAGAGGGCCGACTCACCGATCGTCCTGCCCGGCACGTGCGCCTCGTCCGTCACGGCAAAGTCGAGCTCGCCCGCACCGAACGCGCCGGGCATGCCGCCCATGCCTCCCGGTCCGCCGACGTCGTCGAGGAGGCCGCCGCCAAAGAGCGGCGGGTCGATCATGCCCCTCTCGTGGAGGTTCAGGTCGTCGAGCGCGCCGAGGTCGCCGACCCCGCCGCCGTACCCGCCGCCGTACCCGCCGACGCGAGGCGACACGTTGAACGTGTTGTAGTTGACGACGTTGGGCGAGGGCGTGCGGGCGAGGAGGCGTGGCGACATGCCGAGACGGGCGGGAGAAGGGGTGCGAGCGCGCAGAGGGACGCCGCCGCCGTGGAGGCCGTGCAGGTGCGGCTGCTGGACGGGGACGGGGTAGGGGACGGGGACGACACGAGGCGACGCATGGTGGTGGTGGTGGTGCCCGCCGAGACCGCCGCTGACGCCGAGGTAAGGCGAGCCGTATCCGGCGCCCGGGACGCCGCCGCTCCACGAGTGCGTGCGGCGCAGCATCTGGCCGCCGGCACCGACGCCGCCGTAGGGCAGGAGCGCAGGCGACATGCGCGGCGAGGCGAGGATGGCCTGGTTGGCGGCGGCGAGGGCGGCGCGTTCGTGGCGCATCTACGATGCTGTGCGTTGCTGCGAGAGCGACGAGTCAGTCCGCGTTTCTCGACGTCCACAGAATGAGAAGGGAGACAAGAACGTACTCTCCTCATCGCCTCGGCTTCGAGCTGGCTGCGCTGCGCCCTGATCCTCGCGAGCTCCGTTTCCCTCCTCCTCGCCTCGTCGAGCGCCAACCTCTCGGCACCGACGAGAGCCCGGTCTCTCGAGCGCGACCGCGAGCGCAAGAGCGCTCCTCCTCCCGGGCTGCCGAGGAGCCCGCCGGCCGTGGCCGGGCTGCCGAGGAGGCCGACAGGGCGCGCGCCGTACGAGCCGAAGGACGAGGCGCGAAGACGTGGCGACGGCGCAACGAGCCCGCCGGCGAGGAGCTGCCCGCCTTGAACGCCGTGCTCGATGCCGACAGCGTGTCGGTTGGCGCGTGCGGCCTGTGGAAGAAGCGGTGTCAGCTCGCTTGAGAGGAACGAGGACGAGGAAGGGAGGGGTCCGGGCGCACCTCGAGCTGGAGCTCACGCTGCTTGCGGATGTGGCGCTCCTCGTGCTTGATCTCCTGCTCGGTCAAGAGGTCAGCGCTGCACATCGAGCGCGGAACAAAGAGAGGAGGAGGGGACGCACGTGGATTTTGCGCCGCTCGCCCTCGCGCACGAGGCGGTCCTGCGCCTCCCTCAGCCGCTCCCCCTCGGTCGGAGCACGGTACGTCTTGGCTCCGAGCGACCATCTGCCCCCCGACGAGGCGGAACCGCCGTACATGGTCGGCGACGAGGTGCGGCGAGGCGGGGTCGAGGAGGAGCGGGCGGAACGGGGTCGAGTGGTGGGTGCTGGACGGCGTGGACGAAGCTGTTGGCACGAGCGAGAGATCGAGCAGTACTGAGTCGCTAGCAGCAGGGGCAGCGATGTCGAGGGAGAGAGAAGCGAAGACGCTGCTCGGTGTACGAAGGTCCGGCGGCGGGCTCGGCCGAAGAGCTGCCCGAGCGAGCGAGAGGCGAGAGCTGCAGAGTGCAGCAGGGGCAGAAGAGCGCAAAGCAGGCAACGCCGACAGAGCGACAGAGACTCGAGCTGGAATCTCGAGCGAGACGAGCGAGGAGGCGAGCAAGACGGCGACGGCGGCGGCGAGGACGCAGCATCTCTCGACGGGGCGCGACAGGTGTTTCTACAAGCGACAAGAGTCAGGTCTACCAAGATAAAGAGAGGTACGAGGGGCGAGGAGAAGAGAACGCAGCCGCGACTAACTCTTGCGCAGCCGCACGGCCCTCCCGACGCCCGTGAGTCCTCCTCCCGCACCCTCCCACGCCTTGGTCTGCACGCCCAGGACGGCATGCGCCCCTCGTCGCACGCCCTCGACCCGCAAGAGCGTCTTGATGGCCGCCAGGTCGGTCAAGTTCGGCGTCGCGACCTGGATCAGGCCGAGCTCCTCGACGACGAAGAAGTCGGGGATGGCGAGGCGCGACGTGACGACGCAGTGGTGCGAGGGGAACGAGGCGAGGGAGGGGAGCGGGTCGGAGAGGGGCGTCGAGCTTGAGAGGGGCGCGGCGACCATCGAGACGGGCCGTGCGCGCAGGACGGGCGAGGGAGGGCGGGACGAGGAAGGGGTCGAGGTGGAGAAGGATGCGCGAGAGAAGGAGAGGCGAGTCGGGCGTCGAGCTGGTGCGGCGACAGGTGAGCCGTTCGGCGAGGGGGTGCGGCTGTTGAACGGCGAGCGGTAGGGTGGCGGCGGGTCGGCGGGGACGAGGGAGGACGCCGTGTCGCGGCCTCGCGCCGGCTCGTCCAAGTCGACGTCGTCGCAGCCGTGTACCGGCGGTCCTGTCGCCAGAGAAGAGTGTCAGAGTGCGCTAGATTAGAGAGAAAGAGAGAACGAGCCGAGGGCGCACCTTGCATGGTCGGCGACGAGAGCGCGTACTTGGCGAGCTCCTCGTGCATCTTGGCCTCGCGCCTGCGCCGCTCCGCCTCGTTGAGCTTGACGCGCAGGCTCAGGTTGTCGGGTTCTTGCGCGACGGCCGTGCGGAGCGAGGCGACCTCGCCGGCGCAGCGGCGCGAGTGGCGCCAAGCCTCCTGGACGGCGAGCAGGCGGTCCTCGCGCTCGGAGCTGTAGGCCTGCATCGAGTCGGTGATGGTGCGGGTGCGGTCGGCGAGGCGGTAGGCGGGCGAGAGCGGGGCGGCAGTGGCGGACGTCGTCGAGAGGGACCGTTGGCGACAGGGTAGGCGAGGGAGGGGAGGAGGCGGGAGCTTGCGGTCGCGCGACATCTCGAGGGTGCCGGTGGACGACGTGCGTGGCAGAGGCAAGAGCCAAGAGGGAGCATGCTGTCGAGAGGCAAGCAGGAGAGGGCGACCGAGAAACGGACTCTGGCTGGACCAGGAGCGGACGCCGTTGAAGGCCGCCCGGCGCCTCCGACACGATGACCGCGCCCCTGCGTCACCTCGACCGTCCGTACGGGCGAACGCCGTGCGAGAGACAGCTGCGCGGCGAGCCGACGCGAAAAGCCCTCGGGCTCGGCAGGTGTCGGGGGCGTGCGGGAGCTGTGCGGCCGCTGCAGCAGGTGCAGCTTGGCAGCGTGTGCACAAGCGTGCAAGAGTCTGCTGGCCCGAGTCGACACGGGGCGAGCTGTGGGAGGTCAAGCCGAAGCGAGCTGATGACCATTCTCCTCCTTGTCCCTCTCGACCATGGCCGCCAAAGCTGCAGCGGCCGAGCTCTGGGCACAGGCAGGCCTGCCTCCATCCGCCCTCGCGCACCTCAGCCTCCCGCCCTCGCCCTCGCCTCCTCCCTCGTCCTTCGACGTGGACGCCGCCGCGCAAGCCGTCGTCGGCGTCGCAGCGCTCGCAGCCGCACACCTCCATGCTCTGCGCACGCGTGACGACCTCTCCGCCGTGACCGTGCTCGCGCGAGATGCGGCAGCCGAGTTCCGGTCGCAGGACCTTGCGCTCCTCGGCGGCGAATCGGCTTTCGAGTGGGACGCGCTCGCCGGCGCCTACAAGGCCAAGCTCGGCGGCTGGATTCGCCCGCACACCAACTGGCGGCACCACAAGGTCGGCCTGCTCGACCTGCTCGACCTCCCGCACGACGCGAGCAAGGCGCAGCTCGCCGAAGCTTTCGCCTCGCGCGACGCCGACGAGGTCGCAGAAGCCGCTATGGACCGCGGTCTTGTCTGTACAGCTCTACGCTCGTTCGAAGAATGGTGAGCAGTCGCTCTCGCTGTCCTCGCTTGGACCCTGCTCATCCGCCGCTTCCTCAGGGACGCCCATCCTCAAGGCCGCGCCGCTCTCGAACGCGCTCGTCACGGGCCCGTGCGCTTCTCGACGTCCGCGCCTCGACCACCTCGAGCTTTGCCTGCGTCTACGTCGCGTCGCCCACTCGACAGCGTGCGCGTCCTCGACCTGACCAGGGTTATCGCCGGACCGGTCGCAGGGCGCGTGCTCGCAGGTGTGTCGCAGCGAGCCTTTCCTCTCAGCCGGCACACAGAAGCCTGACACTGTACCTCGCGCGCAGGATACGGCGCCGATGTGCTCTGGGGTGCGTCCTCGGCCCCCTTTCCATGCTGAAAAGCCTCCCTCGCTCACGCTCCTTCGCCCACAGTCACTTCTCCATCCCTTCCCTCCTTGCCCGGCCTCGACTTTGACACGTCTCGCGGCAAGCGCACCCTGCAACTCGACCTGCGCTCCTCGCCCGCCGACCGCGCCGCCTTCGAGCGGCTCGTGCGCGACGCCGACGTCCTCCTCGAGTCGTACCGACCCGGCGGCCTCGCCTCGCTCGGGTTCGGGCCCGAACGCCTCCGCGAACTCAACCCGGACATCGTGCTCGCCGACTTGACGGCGTGGGGCAGCGTGCACGGCGATGCGGCGCGCGAGGGCGGGCCGTGGAGCAGGAGGAAAGGGTTCGACTCGCTCGTGCAGTTTGCGAGCGGGTTCGGCGAGGCTGAGGGGCGGGCTTGGAGCGAGTGGAGGAGCGGTCGAGCGGATGAGGAGGACGGGACGGGCGAGTGGGCGCCGCGAGCGCTGCCGTGCCAGGTCCTCGACCACGCGACGGGCTACCTCACAGCGTGCGTCCCTCTCTCTCTCTCCCTCTCTCCGTCTCTGCCTCTTTCCGGTCCTCACGTCTCGGCGGTCTCTCTCTCTGCAGCTTCGGCATCCTCGCCGCCCTGTACCACCGCTCGACCTCGGGCGGCGCGCACCTCGTCACGACGACCCTGCTCGACACGGCGACCTGGCTGCGCTCGCTCGGCCGCACCGACGCCTCGACCTCGACCGAGCCGTTCTCGGTCCATCTCGAGACGCAGGAGGAGCTGAGGGCGCGAGGAGGGACGGCGAGGCTCAGAGGGTGGGAGGGCAAGGAGGTCGAGTACGTCGAGCACGCGGCGAGGTTCGAGGGGGACGTCGAGGTGGGCTGGAGGACGGCGCCACAGGCCTATGCGGACGGTGCGGCAGAGTGGCTGGCGCGAGGAGAGTAGAGCACGAGCTGCAACGTCGCCGCATCTCGCTCTGCGCAACTCGGTCCCACTCTCGGCGAGCGCTCTCAAGCCCTCGTCTCTGGCCGGCTCCAGGAGGACAAAGTCGTGACGATGCAGAGATACAGCTACTTTGGACAGGTCGACGAGCTCAGAGCTTGGCCGACGCCTTCTTGCGCCCGTCCGGAACGGGGCCCTTGTACTCCTTTCCGAGCCAGAACGCCATGGCCTCGAAGCGGTCTGCGGCGAGGGAGGGAGGAAGTATCGTCAGTACGTATATCCTCGACCGTCGCCAACCCTCGTCGGCTCAGGGGTCGCCGACTGAGAGACGGAAGGAGAAAGAGCGGCACGACCAACGCACCCGAGCCGAAGAAGGAGCGCTTCTCGCCGCTGTCGCGCTCGAGGACGATCCAGGGCTGCAGACGACGCGAGTTTCTGTCAGTATCGCGCGCTCTCGAAGGAGCAGTTGAGGAAAGGAGAGGAGAGCGCCGACTCACGAATCCGAACGCGCCCTCGTCGACGAGCTTCTGGCTGTCGGTCTTGAGCAGGGCCTTGACCTCGTCCGAGGTGGACGCCGCGATGACCTTGTCGATCTCGCTCTGCGAGAAGAGGTTGTCCTGGGCGAGCATGGCCGGGAAGTTGGCCGGCACGACGGCGTCCTCGGCCGTCTTGCCCGAGGTCGGCTGCCAGATGGCGGCCTGCGCGTGGGAGGGACGTGGTCAGTGATCATGTACTTCGAGACGAGCGAGGCGTCCTCGCCATCTGGGGCGGCCGGACGCCTCGCGCAGAGAGAAGAGCGGACCGCCGACGCACAAAGAAGAGGTCGGTCGCCTTCTCGAGCTTGTCGGGCGTGTGCTCCTCGATGGCGCGCAGGAGGCGCATGCAGTGGATCGTGTTGATCGGGAACTTGGCCGGGAACGTGTAGGGCACCTCGAAGAACTCGGCCGCGAGGGGCATGTCCTGCAGAGCGCGGGTGGGGCGCACAAGGTCAGCTCGTCCGGCCGTCGCCCGGCCTCCGGGCAGAGACACACAGATAGAGAGTGTGGGACGCACGACGCGGTTCATCCACTTGCCCTTGTTGGGGATCTTGAGCGGCGGCTGGTTGCCGGACGCGGCCATGACGCCGCCGAGGAAGACGGGCTTGAGGACGAGGTCCATGTTCCAGTGCTTGCGGTAACGCTTGAGGACTGCGACATGGGAGCGCAGATTGCGGCGGCAGGGAGGGGGGCGAGGTGACGAGAGCGAGTCGCGCGAGTGGAGGTGGGGACGGGGAGGGGGAGGAGGAGAAGAGCGAGGTCAGTTCGCGTCGCGGTGGCCCACGAGCAGGTCGATCCGATAGTGTAAGCTGACCACGCACCGGCATAGGCAAAGACGCTCCAGGGCGAGACGACGTCGTAGTACAGGGTGCCGCGGACCATGGCGGAGCTGATGAGGCGGGGGTCGGGGTGAGCTGAGGTCGGCGAGGGCGTGGAGCGGTGGGCGGGTCGATGCGGGTGGGCACAAGTGGCTGTAGGAGCGAGTGCGGTTGCAGGCGAGGTCGGGCGAGCGCTGTCGAAGGAGACAAGGCCAGCGAACCGGCAACGTCGGCCGGGCCTGACGGCTCTCTCTCGCCGGACGCCTCGACGACCGCCGCAGAGCGCTCGAGAGGGAGACGGCAAATGGGTGTGTGTTGCAGAGAGACAGAGAGACAGCGTGCAAGGTATAACAAGGCGGGAGCGCACAACGATTCGACCTTTCCTTTCCTCCTCCTCCTCCTCCTCCTCCTTCTCCTTCGCCTCGGCAGTCCTCGAGCGCGCCCTTACTCCGAGTACTCGTGTTTGACGTCCTCCGGCTTCTCGATCTGCAGGAGGTACGACGAGCGTTAGTCGATGCGCCAGGGGGGGGAGAAGAGGATAGAGAGAGGGGGACGCACGAAACGCTTGATGCGCTCGTACACGGTAAAGACGACGGCCTGCCCGGGTGCGACACGGGCGACACGCGGCGTGATGCCCTTGTAGAAGGCCGACGGGCCCTCTTCCCGGAACATCTGCGCCGACACGGTCGAGAACCGGGTCCATGCCGTCTCGCCGGCGAGCTTGGTCGCGCGCTGGATGCGGGTCCTGCGACGAGGGGAGAGGACGAGAGGAGAAGAGGGGAGAGGAGGGAGGTGGGCGAGAGGAGAGAGTCAGGGACCGCGACAAGGAGAGAAAGAGAGAGGGGAGGACGCACTTGATCGTGTCGATGGGCGCGTTGGTGAACGGCCCGACGGCGCCCGAGATGAGGCCGATGATGGACGTCTGCCACGCCGGGAGGCCGCCGTCCGGGTACTCGGGCTGGTACCGCTGCAGGATGCTCTTGAGCTCCGTGTAGGCCGTAAAGTTGGCGGCTGCGCGGGTGCGAGCGTCGTGAGCTCACGCTCGCTCGACCGGGCGACCGACAGAGGAAGGGAGAGAGAGAGGACGGACCCTGGTTGGTCGCCTGACGCAGTGCCGTGAGCGCGACGCCGCGGTACAGGGTGCCGAAGCCCTCCTCGCGCAGGATGAGGTACAGGGCGTGAGCCGCGTTGCGGTACTTGGGGATGTCGAGCGGGTCCGTCATCGAGTGCACCTGGGCCTGCAGGCGGATCTTGACGACCTCCATCGGGCACACGACGAGCACGGCCTCGGTGACACCGGCTCCGAGACCAGCTGCAGGCGCGGCAAACGACGGGGGTGAGCTCGCTGTGCGCGCAAAGCACAACAGGGGGAGGAGGACGGACCGAAGAAGATGGCCGTGCCGCTCGTCTTGCCCGTCTCCTTGTTGGCGAGGAGCGCCTTGTACTGCTCAAACGAGGCGAAGCGGATGGCCATCTTGGGCACGATGCCCGTCACGACGGCGCCGAGGCCCTTGTACAGGCCGAGCGGCGACTCCTTCTTGACGATGTGCATCGCGGTCGCGACGAACCCACGCGCCTTGGTCTGCGGGAGGGAGCGGGAGCGCGACGAGGTCAGGGCCGGTCGTGCGCGAGGGGGACAGAGCGGCGCGAGAGGGAGGGACGCACGCCGCTGGCCTTGCCGCTCCTGCTCAGCTGCATGCGGACCTGTGCATCGAGTAAAAGGTGCCGGGGAGGGGAGGCAAGAGTCAACAGCTGTGCGCGGCAAGTCGAGCCGGGCAGGACGACGAGGAGAGACGAGAGGACGGACCTTGACCGTGTCGAGCCAGTGGCAGCACAAGGCCTCGGCCATGCCTGCGCCGCCTCCTGCGACGAGGTGGACGCCGATGGGGGTCTTCTTCTTGGGCTCGGCGCGGGCGGACATGGTTGCGGGTTCGAGGTGGGGGCGAGACGAGGAGGAGGGTCGAGTCGAGAGAGAGAGGGAGCTGGTGCGGCGGTGGTGGTGCGGCGGTAAGGGGTAGGTGAGAGGTGTACGGCGGTGCGAGTGCAACCTGCGGATGTCGCGGAGCGAGGACGAGGTCGAGGGAAGTCGCCGGACGAGACGCTGATGCCGCGGTCAACGGCGCGGGGACGAACGGGCGGCTCTGGTCAGTTCGGGTCGCGTGTACGAGGTACGAGAGCTGCGTCGCAGGACGTACAGGTGAGCACGAGGCTGGCGCAGCGAGGTGAGGAGACGAACCGAGCCGGATCGCCTTGCTCGTGAACTTGGCCTCGCCCCCGCCTCCGGGTCGAACCGGTCTCTCTCACCGTCGCGCATTTTCCAGGGCTTGTCTCTTCTCGAGCGCCATGTGCACAGCGGGACACGCAGCTGTGAATTCCAGTCAAGCCTCCCCGCAGTCCGCTCAGTACTCGAGCTCGTCGTCCGGGATGGGTGCCGCGGCCGCCGCCGCCGCAGCAGCAGGCGCAGCCTCGTCCACCGTCTCTGCTGCCGCACCGTTCATGCCCTCAGTCGCCGGCTCGACGACCCCTGCCGGAGCGTCGCCCGCCTCGCCAGCCGCCGGCTCCTGCCCGTCCATCGCGACGTCCTCGCCGCTCGCCGGCGCCGACGCCTTGACCTCGTCCTGCGCGCCGTCCACCTTGTCCGCCGCCGCGCCGTTCACCTTGAGTGACGTCGGGGCGGACCCGCCGTCGGCCTTGACGTCCTCCTCCATGCGGTCGCCGTCCGTCGCCGCCGCCGCAGGAGGGCTCGTGCTGCGCCGGTCCGCCTTCTCACCGTCGCCCTCCCGCGCCTTCTGCGCCTCAGCCGCCGCCGCCCGCTCCTTATCCTCGCGCTCCTCGACCTCCCTCCTGCGCCTCTCGCGCTCGGCGCGCGCGGCCCGCTCAATCTCGTCGTCGCGCTCCTGCCGGCGGCGCCGCACGTCGTCGAGCTCGCGCACCTTGTCGCGGCGCGCGGCGTCGTACGCGTCCTGCTCCTGGTCGCGCGCTTTGCGCACGGCGTCGAGCTGGTCGTCGAGGCGGTCCTCTTGCGAGGGGAGGAGGCGGTAGGGGAGGTAGTAGATCGGGCGCGGCGCGCGAGGGTCCGACACCTTGAGGGCGTGCGGCAGGCGCGGGTTGCTCGGCGGCGGGACGAGGTCGGAGGAGGAAGAGGACGAGGGAGGCGGAGGTGGGGGCGTAAAGGTCGTGCACAGGAACCGGGCCGACGAGAGCTTGGCCGCCTGGCGCGTGCGGAACTGCGAGCGCGAGAACGTGTCAGGAGGTCCGCGCCAGGGGAACCATCGCCCGATACGCGCTTCGCGAGGAGCGTGTGCGGGACGAGGGCCTCTGAGAGAGAATCGCGAGGGACGCACGATGCTGTCGGCGTGGGCGAGCTCTTGCTCGCGGCGGAGGATGTCGAGCTTGAGGTCCTTTGCCTCGCGCTCGCGGTGCTCCTTGTCCATGGCCTCCCTGCGCTCTGCGTCGAGCTTGTCGCGGAGGCGGCCCTGGAGCTGTGCGCGCTTGCGGCCGGCGTCGGTCTGCTCGACCTGGTTGACCTCGCGCTTGGCCCGCTGGAGGGTGCCCATCATGACGCCAAACATGCGGGCGCCGCGCCGGCGCGACTCGTTCTGGAGGACCTCGAGCTTGCGCTTCTTGTCGGCGCGCTGCTCGTCCGTCTCGCGGGGCGGCGAGGCTGATGCTGGGCGGCGGGAGGTGGTGCTCGACATGCCGGCGGTGGCCGGGTCGCCGGCTGGAGGAGCGGGTGATGGGTCTCGAGGTGCGGGCGAGGGGTCGTCGGTCTGCATGCCGTCTGTGGCGGGTTCTTTTGGCGGTGCTGGCGGAGGAGGCGAGGGCGACTCGGTGGTGGACGGACGAGGGGGAGTGGGCGCGGCGCTCGTCGAGGGTGCGCTGCACGGGGAAGCGAGCCGGGTCAGGTGTGAATAGACTGAGAGGTGGCAATAGTGCTCACACGTCGAGTTCAGCCATGGCTGCGAGTCGGGTCGCGGTGTGGACGAGAGCAACGACGAGGCAACCTCGGGGCGGACCTTGACCTCCTTCGCTACTCTCCCCGCTCGAGCTGCTTGACCATGGAGTGCGTCCCTCGTCTCGTTCGACATCAACCCTCGCGAGACTGCCCCGCCAGTCCCGCCTCGCGAGCCAGCCGTTGACCGCCTCCCTCCCTCCCCATCGCAACAGCGCTTCGCTCGCCGTCACCAACAAGTCCGAGATGGACGAGGCCCAGATCAGGGCCCTCGAGGAGCACCAGATCAGCCAAGGGTGCGTCTCACTCCTCTCTTCCTCCCCTCCCCCCTCCTCGTCCTCGTCCTCACCTCGTACCGCACCCTCGTCCACAGCCCGCTCTCGGTCCTCCAGACGGCCGTCCGCGCAGGCTCGCAGGTCCTCATTGCCCTGCGAAACAACCGCAAGCTCCTCGGCAAAGTCAAGGCCTTTGACCGGCATTCCAACATGGTGCGCCCCCTCTCTCCCTCTCGCCCTGCCAGAACCCACCCCTTGCGCGGTCTGTTCGAGGAGCGCTCCGAATAGCCCTCTGACAGGCTTCCTTCCCGGCCCACAGGTCCTGGAGAACGTCAAGGAGATGTGGTGCGTCCCCCTCTCCCTCCGTGCTGCGGCACTCGCGCCGCCGTTCTTCGTACTCACCCTCTCTTGACGCTGCGCAGGACCGAGGCACCGAAGGGCAAGGGCAAGAAGCCCGTCAACAAGGACCGGTTCGTGTCCAAGATGTGTGCGTCCGCCTCGTCCCTCGTCCCGCCGGCTCGTAGCTGCGCTTGCTCGGCACGCGCAGCGTACTGCTCCCCGACCCGGTCGCTCACCTTTCTCTCTTGATTGCGCACAGTCTTGCGGGGAGACTCTGTCGTGCTCGGTGCGTCCCCTCTCGCGCTCTCTCTCCCCTCCCTCGAACCAGCTCACTGACCCTCTCCTCCCGCCCGCAGTGCTCAGGAATACCTAAAAGCGCCCCTCCCCCCTCGTCGTCCTTCGTCCATCCGTCGTTGCCGTCGTCAGCGCATTGTCTACCTCCCACTCCCACTCGTCGCTTTCGGTGCTCTCGCTCTTCCTGTAACAAGACGGGCTTCGTGCCCCTGTTTCTCCCGGCGTCTGTGCGCGAGAGCGCCCGTGTCGCTTCGAGAGGCATGCTCGAGGGCGTGCGAGAGTGTCGGGGTTGGGCGTCGAGAGTTCAAGGATCTGAGCCGGCGAGAGCACGACGAGCCTCTCGCGCCTCTCGGTCAGTCGCTCTCGCTCGCACCTCTCGCTCTCGCTCTCGCTCTCACGCCTCTCCCGACCCGACCGCAGCTCGCGACAGCTTTTTCAGTCCCTCGCTCCTCGTTGCGCTGCTCTTCTCTACTTGAGCGGCGTCGCGCCCTCGTCGCCAATGACGTCGGCGAGGTTGGTCGACCCCGAGCCACGCTTTGCCGGCTTGGGCTGCGACGGGTCGGGCTTCCAGCCGATCTGCCGGCGGGGTGGCGCGAGGAAAGGGCGGACGTGAGTGCGTGCGCGGGCGAGAGGAGAGGCGGGGAGAGGAAGAGAGAGAGAGGGAGGGAGGACGGACCATGTGCATGATCTGGAACGTGGCCGGGATCGAGCCGTCCTCGAGGCCGTGCAGCTCTGCGCACAAGCCGCAGATCACACCGTCAATGACTCGAGCCCAGCAAGTGCTCGAGAGAGAGGGAGGGAGGGAGAGCGGTCTTTGCGCACCCTTGTAGATCTCGCCCGCGGCGAGCAGCGTCTCGGGGCTCAGGGTCCGCCGGCGGTTCACGACGGCGTTGCCCTCGCCCATCCACTTGAGGTCGTCGACGAGCTCGTGGATCGACGGGTACGCGATCTGCACCTCGTCGACGTCGACCGTCGAGAGGGCGAACCCGGCGCGGTTCAGGAGCGACGTGACGGATTGAGAGTCTGCGGGAATGCGAGAAGGGGCGTGGAGGTGATGGGAGGATGAGGATCGAGGTGATGGGGCGAGAGGAGGAGGACGGGAGGGGAGAGAAAGTGAGCGAGACGCTGAGGGCGACGAGGGAGGGTGACGGGGCTCGCGCACGCACCGGTCATGGGCGAGATCCGGGGCGAGATACCGCCTTCTCGCTCGAGCTCGGCGAGCTGCAGCGATGTTCTGCGGGCACGAAATCGGCAGTGTCAGGACGCTGGCTGGCTCACGCACGGTCCGTGCGGGCAGAGAGGAACGAAGGGACGAACCGCAGCTCAAAGAGGGTGTCGCCGCCGAGCATGGACCCGATGAAGACGCCGTCTGGTCGGAGCGTGCGCTTGATCTGCACGAGCGTCCCTGCGAGGGCGCGGCGAGGGCGAGTCAGCGACCAGCCCCAGGGACTCAGCAGCTCCTGCTCGCCGGCTGGGGCGAGCGAGAGCCGCACGAGCGAGGACCGGCAGACGAGAATGGCGAGAGGGGGGCGCACCTGGCAAGTCGTTGATCCAGTGCATCGAGAGGCACGACATGATGCAGTCGTGCGAGTTCTCCTCAAAGTGCGACGCGAGCTCCTCCTCGTCGAGGTGCACGCGCTCGACCGGCACTGCGGGAACGAGAGATCGAGTCAGACCAGCACACTCTTGTAGCCCTGCACGCCGTCACACAACGATGACTTGTGCGGGGCAGGGGGGAGCGAGAATCGAGGCGGGCTCACCCTCGGTCTCGACGTCCTCGTCGCGGTACAGCATTTGCCCTGTGTGCGCCGACATGTTCGCCTCGTCAGTACCTCGCCGTGCTTGTTCTCGACGTGTGCGAGGAGGAAAGGAGGGAACGTACGGGCGCCGTCGACCATGACGACCTTCTGCGTGATTTCCGGGTCGAGGTGCTTTGCGAGGAAGCCGGGGCCCGAGCCGACGTCGAGGACAAGAGGGTACCGCCGCTTGATGTCCTGCACGGCAAGGTCGACGCAAGGGTCAGTAGGGTGCGGCGGTGCGGGCGATGGGGAGGGCGAGAGAGAGAGAGAGAGGCGGTGCAAGAGGGAAAGAGGTGGCGCACGAGGAGGCGGTCGACCATGGACTGGGCGACGTCGTCCTTGACATAGTCGGTGAGCCTGGAGCGCTGTACGTGGCGAGCTGCACGGTTGCGCTGGTTGCGCTTGAGGTCGCGATCGAAGACGGCGAAGGGAGATGCGCTCGAGGGGGCGAACGAGGGGACGGCGTAGCGGCGCACGGGTTGGCGCAGGGCGGTGCGGGCGAGAGTGCTGCTCGACATGGTGGCAGTGCGTGTGCTGCTCAGGCGGGTTAGAGCGGTGGGCGGAGAAGGGAGCCTGCTCGCCTCGCCTCCCCACCTCGACCTCGCCTCCGCTCCGCTCGCTGTCGCTCCCTGCTACCCGCCTGCAACTGTCGACATGGTCGCAGGACCACTCCGCACCCGCCTCGAGGCCCCAACACGCCCGCACCCTCGCAGACGCGCCACACCGCCCTCGGACCCGTCTCATCTCCTCGAACACGCTCGCAAGGTCGCAACTCGCCAGAACAACCCCGACGACGGTCCGTTCACCTCTCCCTGCCTTCTCACCCACCTAAAGAGAGCTGACAGCCCCTCTCCTTCCCGCCCGCAGACATGAGCGCCGCCAACTTCTTCATCCCCTCGCTCCCGGGCCAGCCAGACGACGTCCAGGTCACAATGTACGGCGGCCACATCCCCTCGGCCCCGCCCAAACTCGGCGTCAAGGACACGCACTCGGACGCCCACCTCTTCTTCTTCATGGTCCGCAACAAGCACATTGCCGACACGGAGCGCACCCTCCTCTGGTCCGCCTCCCTCTCTCTCTCTCTCCCGGCCGCTCTCTCTTTGTCCCAGTCTATTGCGGCCTGCACGACCGACTCACTCTCTCCACCCGCCGACAGGTTCAACGGCGGGCCCGGCTGCTCATCGTTCGACGGCGGCCTCATGGAGGTCGGCCCGTTCCGCCTCGTGCCCAACGGCGACGGCAAGCTCGTCGAGGCAGAAGGCGCCTGGAACGAGTACGCCAACGTCATCTTCAGTGCGTCGTCGCCTCCCCTTGCCTGTTCCCGTCGAGTCACGCGTCGTAGCGAGCCTGACGGGTCCCTCTTGCGCGATCTGGTACAGTTGATCAGCCTGTCGGGACGGGTTACGCCTACATGGCGACCGGATCGTACGTCCACGAGCTCAAGGAGGTGCGCCCACTCTTCCTCTCGAACCGGCGTCTCCTCAGCGACGCCGTCGCTAACCTTGCGACTCTAACCCGGCGCAGGTCGGTGCGCACATGATCGAGTTCCTCGCCAACTTCTACAAGGTCTTCCCCGAGTTCGTCAACCACGACGTGCGTCCTACCTCTCTCTCTCTCGTTCGTCCACGAAGGACGACGGCGGCTGATCTCGCTCGCCTCGCGCAGACCTACCTCGCCGGCGAGTCGTACGCCGGGCAGTACATCCCCTACATTGCCGACGCCATCCTGTCGTCCAAGCGCGTGCCGACCAACCTCAAGGGCCTCCTCATCGGCAACGGGTGGATCGACCCGGCGAACCAGTACCCGGCCTACCTCGACTTCGCGCTCCAGTCGGGCATCGTCAAGAAGGGCTCGGCGGCCGAGACGGCCGTGCGCAAGGCCGTCGACGAGTGCGAGCAGCACTTGAAGCGCCAGAAGGTCGAGCGCATTCACGAGGGCGTGTGCGAGAGGATCTTGGGCGCCATCACCGACTCGACGATCCAGAAGTGCGTCGCCTTCCTCGCTCTCCTCCTTCCCCTGTCTCTTTGCCTCGACGGGCATAGTCACTGACCGATGTCTTCTATCTTCTCCCACTTCGACCTTTTCACCCTCACCCGCCGGCTCCACTCCTCGCGCCCTTGCCCGTCGCCGCTCGCTCCCGCCCTCGTGGACCTCCCTGTCGCCTACCCGCCACCCTCGCGCTCGCGCTCGCAGCGTCAACGGCCAGAGCATGTGCGTCAACAACTACGACGTGCGCCTCACCGACACGCACCCGGCGTGCGGCATGAACTGGCCGCCCGACCTCGTCGACATGCACCCGTACCTCTCTGTGCGTCGGCCGTTTCCCTCCTCTCTCCTCCCTCCCACCTACTGATCCTCGTCGCCCCGTCACACAGCGCCAGGACGTCAAGTCGGCCTTCCACGCGACGCGCAAGAGCGGGCCCTGGCTCGAGTGCGACGGCCAGGTCGGCGCCCAGTTCTACACGCCGAGGAGCCGCCCCGCCGTCAGGCTCCTGCCCGGCCTCCTCGAGCAGGTGCCCGTGCTCATGTTTGCCGGCGCCGAGGACCTGATCTGCGTGAGTCGGGCTTGCTCTCTCGGTCGGTCGGGGAGGTCCGGGCGGCGGTCGTCCGCTCGGCTCTCGCCTACTCAGGCCCGAAGGCGGCTTGACGCGTACTTCTCACACAGAACCACGTCGGCATCGAGCGCATGATCGACAACCTCGAGTGGAACGGCGAGACTGGGTTCGGCGTGCGTCCTCGTCGTCCCTCGTCCTCGGCGCCTCGAGGCGTCCCTCACTGACCCTCGCTCTCGTCGCACGCTGCAGAACGCGACGCAGGAAGAGTGGCACGTCGATGGACGGCAAGCTGGCACCTGGACGACGGCGAGGAACCTGACCTACGTCAAGATCAACGACGCGTCGCACATGGTGCGCCCCTCGCATCTCTCTCTCTCGCTCTCCTCCTCCTCTTTAAAATACCCTCACTGACTCTCGCTACGCCCGCACAGGTCCCGTACGACCAGCCCGTCGCGGCACACGACATGCTCCTGCGCTTCGTCGGCGTCTCGCTCCTCTCGGCGGCCGGCCCCGCCGCCCAGGTCCCGTCCCGCATCGGCAACGAGATCCCGGCCGTCCTCGGCTCGACGCACCCGAATGGGACCGCGCTCAGCGACGGCGAGACGTACGCCTCGGGCAGCGAGCTCGACGCGCTCCCCGCCGCCGGCGCCGAGGACGGCTCGTCGTCGTCGAGCGGCGGCGGCAAGAGCACCGGCGGCCTCCTGTCGGGCAGCAGCGACGCAGCGCTCGAAGGACTCGTCAACGCGTCGAGCGCACTCGTCCTCGTCGCCCTCATGGGCGCCGCGTTCGCCCTCTTCCTGTGCGTGCGACGCCGCGTGCGCAACGGCGCCGGCGGGAGCAGGCTCGCGCGCGTCGCGGGCGGCGACGGGTGGGCCGCGATCGGGTCGTCGGCGCTCGGCATGGGCGGCGGCGGCGGCGGCGCGAGAGCGGGCAAGCACGAGCGGGTGGGCAGCAGGGCGTCGGCGAGGGGCGAGCGCGGCGGGGTGCGCGACGGCGTGGGCGTCGGCGAAGGCGGCGACGAGGACCCGCACGAGCTCGACGAGCTCATGAGCCGGAGAGGAGGCGGTGCGCCGGGCTACCGCGACGAGACGACCGAGGAGGAGGGCGACGTCGACGGGAGGAGAACCGGTTCGAGGGGCGCGCTCGGGCGGCGAGACGAGGAGGAGAAGGTGTTTGGGCTTGGCGACGACGACGACGACGACGATGTCGACCTCGACGAGCCGAGGCTGGGCGGAGCGGGCGCGCCGAGGCGGCATCACTGAGCGTCGAGCGCTGCGTCGAGGAGGAGCGGGTTCCCAACGTCGTCCTTTTCTCTCCCTTTGGCTGTACGACTCTTGGGTTTGGGTGTGGCATTGCATAGTCTGTTGGCGCTGTCGCTCTGCGCGATGTAGAGAGCGAGTCTCGGAGTTCTCGCCTCTTCGCGGGGAGAAGCAAGCTCGTGAGCGAGGACCTCTCGCCGACCACCGCTCAGCGCAGCTCGCCCGCACTGAGCAGCCCAGCAGGCCATGCCAGGCATCACTACCGGCTCGCCCAAGAGCCCGTCGCCCTCGAAGAAGGGCAAGGGCAAGCAGCGTGCCACTTCGTCGCCTTCCGCCTCATCGCCCAAGGCCGCCTCGTCGCCCGCCCAGCAGCCCGCCATGGCCTCGCCCAAGCACAAGCAGAGCTCGCCGACCAAGCAGCAGCAGCAGCAGCAGCCCACACCCGCGACCACCGGCGACGCCGACGACAACGAGCTCCTCGCGCTCGCGCAGAGCATCGCCGACAACGCGCACCTCCTCGTGCGCGGCAAGGGCAGCGACGAGCTCGCCGAGCGTGCTCGGTCGGTCCTCAAGCGCTCGTTCGACCTCGGTGAGCACCTCTCTCCTCCCTCACTCGGGGTCCGCACTCGCCGCCCTGCACTGCCTCGTCGGTTAGGCGACAGGCTCCGCCCTGACGACGGTTCGGGGCTGGAACGTTACTGACAGCTCTCTCGTTGTCGATGCAGCCCTCGCCTCCGAGTCGACCGCCTTCCCTCACCTCGGCACCCTCCTCGACCAGCTCGCCCCCTCTGCCGGCCCTTCCACCCGTTCGCGCTCGGCAGCCGCCGCCGCCGCCTCGCTCGACGACAACGACGACGACGAAGAGCCGTTCGTGCTCGCGCCGACGCCCATCCCCGAGTTGACGACCGAGGGCATGGACGCCGAGATGGTGTGGGAGCAGATGGAGCTGCGCGGCCGCACCGTCGACGGCCTCATGGGGGAGATGTTCGGACAGGGCGACGAGGACGAGGACGACGAGTTCGACTTTGACGAGGGCGAGGACGACGAGGACGAGCGGTACGGCGCGCGAGGAGGAGAGGGCGAGGACGACGACAAGTCGACCGAGGGCGAGGACCTCGACGACGACGGCGAGGACCTGCCGCAGGTGGCGGCCGAGGAGTACTACCGCCGTCTCGGTGAGGGCAAGGAGGAGGGCCTCGACAGCGAGGACCTGTCGTTCGTCGACACGGGCGAGGACGAGGACCTCGAGCTCGAGGAGGAGGAGGAGGAGGAGCCGGCGCCCGCACCTGCGCCGACCAAGAAGGCCAAGGGCGCCAAGAAGGGCAAGGCGGCGGCCGTCGACGCCGACGCCGACGCCGAACCGGCGAGCACGCTCACGCTCGACAACTTTGACGGCGAGTCCGGGTCCAAGGGTCGGGCAGCTCGTCGGTGCGTCCCTCTTTTCTCGCTCTTCCGTTCTCGCCCGCCCCTGTCACCGGTCACTGACCTCTCGCACCACTCCCGCAGCACGCCGTCGGGTCCTCCTTCCGCCGTCGACGATCAGTTCTTCTCGCTCGCCGACTTCCACCGCGACGCCGACGAGGGCGAGTACCAGATGGCCAAGCGCCTGCGCGGCGAGGCCCTGTCGGACGACGACGACGACCTCGACGACCTCGACGACGAGAGCGGCGAGGGCGGCATCGACCTGTTCGCGCCCGTCGGCGGCATGGGCGGTGGAAACGGCGACAGCGACGACGAGGAGGAGGAGGGCGATCTCGACGCGGCGGGCGTCATGTTCCGCGACTTCTTCGACGCGCCGTCCGGCGGGCGAGGGCGCAAGCCGCCGCCCAAGGGCAAGGGCAAGGCGACCGGCGAGGGCAAGGGCAACAAGCCCGCCGCCGCGCCCGCCGCCGCCGACGACGCCGACGACCTCGTCGACGACGACGGCGAGCCGCCCAAGAAGAAGCGCGGCGTGCGCTTTAACGACGCCGTCAAGGTCAAGGAGATCCCGCACAGACTCGCGGGCAAGAAGCGCGCGGCGGCAGCCGCCGGCGACGAGGACGACGACGAGGATGCCGAGGGCATCGAGCGCCTCGAGGACCTCGTCGCGGGCAGCGATGACGAGGAGGAGATGGGCGAGGGAGGGTCGGACGAGGAAGAGGACGAGGACGAGGAGATGGAGGGGCTCGAGGGCGACGAGGAGATGGACGTCGATGGAGAGGAGGAGGAGGAGGAGGAGGGCAGCGTCGAGGACGACGAGGACGAGCTCGCCGGCGACCAGAAGGCGATCGAGCGGTTCAGCAGCGACCTGTTCGGCGACGAGGAGGACGAGGAGGAGGACAAGCGTGCGTCCCCCCCCCTCTCTCTCTCTCGCCGGCTCCTTTTCGCGACCGTACCCTGACCCTCTCTCTCTCGTCACAGACAAGAACCTGTCGCGGCACGAGCGGCGCCTGCTCCAACTCTCGTCGCAGATCGCGACGCTCGAGCAGGAGAACGTCGGACCCAAGGAGTGGGCGACCAAGGGCGAGGCGCGCACCAAGGACCGGCCGATCAACTCGCTCCTCGAGGAGGACCTCGAGTTTGAGCGCATGGGCAAGGTCGCGCCCGTCATCACCGAGGAGACGACGGCGTCGCTCGAGGACCTGATCAAGAAGCGCATCCTCGACAACCAGTTCGACGACGTCGAGCGCCGCGTCGCCGTCGACCCGAACCAGTTCCTCCCGAGCCGGTACCTCGAGCTGCAGGACACCAAGTCGCAGAAGGGCCTCGCCGAGGTGTACGCCGACGAGTTCCGCGACTCGCGCGAGCGCGAGGAGGGCCGCGAGGTGACGCACGAGCTCGACGCCGACCTCCAGAAGCGCCACGACGACATCGAGGCCCTGTTCGAGGACCTCGCGAGCCGACTCGACGCTCTGAGCAACGCCCACTTCACGCCCAAGGCGGTGCGTCCCCCTCTTCCTTTCTCTCTCTTGCCCGGCCTCCTCACTGACACTCTCCCCTCCCTTTCCCCTCTCTCGCTCTCCCACAGCCCAAGGCGACCATCACGACCATGTCGAACCTGCCGTCGGTCTCGCTCGAGTCGGCGCTCCCGACGTCGCAGTCGACGACGACGCTCCTCGCGCCCGAGGAGGTCTACACGGCGTCGGGCCCTGACAGCGCGCTCGCGATCGACAAGGCCGACCTGACGCCGCAGCAGAAGAAGGCGCTGCGGCAAAAGCAGCGCCAGGGCCGCAAGCAGACGGCCGAGCGGGCCGAGCGCATCCTCGCGAGCCAGGAGCGGCGCAAGGGCGTCCGGGGCGAGAAGGAGGCGGCCGAGCGGCAGCTCATTGGTGCGAGGGGCGTCACGGTGCTCGGCAAGGGCGGCAAGGAGAAGAAGGCCGAGGGCAAGAAGCGCAAGCGCGGCGACGCCGACGGCATGGGCGCGGGCACGCCGACCAGCGTCGGGCTCAAGCTGTAGCGGTCTGTGCATCGCGACCGTCCTTTCACCGAGCCTTTCCCTCTTTGTCGAGCGCTCGAGAGCGAACTTGAGAGACGCTGCGGGCCTGATACTGAGCGTGACGAAGGTGGCCTTCTCAAAAAGCTCGCTCGAGCCCTCGCGAGGCTCTCTTTCTCTCTCGCAAGTGGTCGGGCCGCGAAAAGGGCATCGATGCAGGATGCTACATGCGCAAGAGGATGGGCTCGCCCTTGCCGTCCTTGGGGTGCATGAGGACGACGTCGGGCGCGACGCGGACGCCAATCCGGAGCATGCCGCGGTCGTCGGTGAACGGCACGAGGCCGTTCTCCTTTGCCGTCTTGCGCAACTCGTGCGTCGACGGGATGTCGAGGCCGTTGACCTGGCCTGCGCCGTCGGGCAAGCCGCTGATGCGGTTGAGCGGGCCCGTCGCGCCCGGCCGGATCTTGCCCTGGCGCAACATTTCGCCGACGAGCTGCGCCGCCTCGATCTGCTCCGGCCCCGCCGTGACGCCGCGCGTGTCGAGAGGCGCCTCGCCCGGCAGCGCGAACGCGTCGTGCAGCGGTGCGCCTGCTCGTGCTGCGCCGCTCGCACCCGCCGCCGACGCCCCGACCGAGCCCACCGCGCCGCCCGCTGCACTTGCTCCTGCCGCCCCTGGTACCGCACCGCCACCTCGTCCTCCCGCCGCTGCTGCCGCGGCAGCGAGCTCGCGCGCCTTGTCCTCGCGCTGGCGCTTGAGGCCGCCGATGCGCTCGAGGTAGCTCAAGTCGTCGTCGGCCTCTGGCGCCGGTGCGCCGACATCGTCGTCGTCCGGCTCGCGCTCGTCGTCGTCGTCGCCGTCACCGGCCTCGCTGCCGGGCGCGGTGGTGCTCTGGCGCTTGTGCCTCTGGGCCGACTTCTTCTTCTGCTGGCGCTTTTTGCGGTTGCGGGCGGTGCGGGCGTCTTCTGCGGCGGGCGCGCTCGTGCTCGATGGTGGAGAGGACGAGCGAGGGGCGGACGCAGGTGGGGGAGAGGGTGCGGCGAGGTCGGTCGAGGGGGAGGGGTCGCGAGGAGGAAGAGGCGGCGAGGCGCGAGATGGCGCGTCGACGGGGTCGAGGTGGGTTGTCGGTGCCGAACGCCGGAGCCAGGAGAACATGGCTGCGGCGGAGCGGGGTGGTGGAGCCGAGGCGGGCGAGAGAGGGACGAGTGTCCGGCTCGAGGACGAGTGAGGTGGCTCGCGGACGGGGGAGGGCCGGCGGTCGTTGCAGGAGGGGGGTGGGATCGACGGTTTGAGGCGAGTCGTGCTCTGCTCGGCGTGTAGGCGTGCGAGTCGAGGTGGTTGCAAGAGCGAGACGAGCACCTCCTCCTCGCCCCGACCCTCTGGCTCCATCTCACGAGCACGACACGAGCATGGCCACTACCCAGGCCATCCAGCACCTCCGCAAACAGCTCATCGCCGCAACCGGCGACAAGGCAAAGCACCACGTCCGTCTCCCCTCGTCGTCTCTCGTCCTCATCAGTTGCCGCCCAGTCCTCGTCACCCCGCCCCTCGACAGTGCCGCCAGCGAGCTCCACGTCATCGCCGTCCTCCTCACGAGCGACCGAGCCCGCGAGCGCGCGACGACCGGTGGCAGCCGCCGACTCGCCTTCGAGGTGGAGCACCCCCGACCCGCCAGCTCGCACACCTCGCTCACCTCGCCCTCTTTGTCCTGCACAGGAGGCCGTCTCGATCCTCAAGCAGCTCAAGGCCGAGGTCGTCGCCACCGACGAGCTCCTGCGGGTCCGTCCCCCTCTCTCCCTCTTGGCCCCCTCTCCCTCCGCCCCGCCCCGGCTCACCCTGTGCGCCTCGCCCCGCTCGACAGGAAACCAAGATCGGCGTCACCGTCAACAAGCTGCGCAACAACGACGTCAAGGAGGTCGCCGACCTCGCAAAGGAGCTCGTCCGCAAGTGGAAAGGCGACGTCGGCCAGTCGGGCTCGAAGAAGAGTACGCTCCGCTCTCTCCCTCTCGAGGCGCCCTCCCTTGCTCACGCTTCCCAACCCCTTTGACAGCTACGACCGCCGCCGCCGGCTCGACCTCGACCTCGACTGCGCCCTCTCCTTCGCCCGCCGCCACGCCCGCTTCTCCCGCCCCGAAAGCCTCGCCCGCCCCTTCCACCTCGTCCGCCACCACCGCCGCCGCCGCCCCAGCAGCGCCCGTCATCACGACCACGACAACGATCGCGCCCGGGCCCGACCCCGTCGCGCCCTCGGCCTCGTCCACCGCGCAACCGCCGCCACCGCCGCCCGCCGTGCGGCGCCAGTCGTCGGGCGGGCCGCCGCGGACGCACAAGAGCGACGGCGTCGCGTTCCACGACGGGAGCAAGGGCGACACGGGCGACAAGACGCGGGAAAAGTGCTGCGAGTTGATCTACGATGCGCTCGCACAGGACTCGGGGGCCCGTGCGTCGCCTCGTTCCTCCTCTCCCTCTCTCTCTTCCCTCCCTCTATCCCTTCCTTCTCCTCTCCTCTCGCCCCTCGTGACCCCCACGCATGCCCTGACGCCTTGTCTCGTCCCCGTGCCACAGCGTCGGAGCTCATCTTTCAGCGCGCGCGCGCGCTCGAGAAGCACGTATGGACCCAGAACCCGCCGCCCGGCGGCACGGCGACGTACCGCAACCGCATGCGGTCCTTCTACCTCAACCTCAAGGCGGCCAACAACCCGTCGCTGCGCGAGGACGTCGTCAGCGGCGAGATCAGCATCGTCGCCCTGTACGACATGGACCCCAAGGTGCGCCCTCTGTCCTCCTCCTCTTCGCCCCTCTCGAGCACGAGCACGAGTACGAGCACGAGGACTGAGCCGAGACCGCCGCACGCAGGACATGGCGTCTGACGAGCGCAAGGCTGAGAACCGCAAGCTCGTCGCCGAGAACCTGTTCAAGGCGCAGGCGGCCGCGCCGCAGCAGGCCGAGACGGACGCGTTCCAGTGCGGCAAGTGCAAGCAGCGCAGGTGCATGTACTACCAGGTGCGTCGTCGCTCTCCTCGCCCGAGCCCGCGTTGGCGTCGCCCGTCCCTCCCTCCCTCTCGCCGCCTCGCCCTCTCGCCGCCCTCCCTCGCACTCCCGCCGCCCTCGAGACGCCCCAACTGACTCTCTCTTCGGTCCAGATGCAAACCCGGTCTGCCGACGAGCCCATGACGGTGCGTCGAGCCCTCTCTCTCTGTGCCACGTCGGTCCCGAACAGCCACTGACCTCTCTCGACGTCCTCGGGCACCGTTCGAACAGACTTTTGTCACCTGCCTTGCGTGCACGAACCGCTGGAAGTTCTCGTGACGAACGACGGCGGAACGGCGGGAGGAGAGGGAGGAAGAGGAGGACTTGGTCGTTTTTCGCCGGCCAGCTTCGTTCTGCAGCAGCTTTGTCGATGCACTCGCTCTCTCTCGGACGCAAAGAGACCAAGACGAGTACAACAGTGTCTTTGCGAGAGATGCAGAGCTACGAGAGCGCGAGAATGCTATAACAAGTGCGAGTGCAGGGGGCCCGAGGGGCTCAGAGCATGCCTTCTATCCTCGTCGCCGCCACCTTGACCAACCAGGGCACCTTCCTGTCGTCGCGCTCAAACAGCTCGTGCGTCACCTCGCCGCCCTTGCACCACTCGCGGATGCGGCGCACCTCGGCCTCGAGCTGCCACCTCAGCTTTGTGCTGTGGGTCGTGACGAGCACGCCGGCCTCGAGGTCCCTCGTGGCCGAGCGCGCGCCAAAGTTGGAGCTCCCGACGAGCGAGAGAAAGGGCGGCGAAGGGTGCGACAGGCGCAGGGCGAGGTCGTGCGTCTGGGCGTCGTGCGACGAGCCGAGGAGGGTCGTCGACAGCGAGGTGGGCGTCGCGGGCGAGAACGGGTTCGAGACCGAGGGCGCGAGCCAGATGCCTGCATCAGGAGCGTGCTCGTCAGGTTTCGGTCACCGAGAGAGAGAGAGAGAGAGAGAGAGAGAGAGAGAGAGAGGGAGCGCACCCTTGGCGTGGTAAGTCCACCCGTCCCGCCGCCACTCGCTCATCTCGACCCTCGGCTCGTCGCGCCTCTTGCGCCGCGTGTACTCGACGACCTGGTCGTAGAAGCGCTGCGAGAAGTAGGTGTACGCCGGCGGGATGAAGCGCGACACGCCGCGCGAGTTGTGGAACCCGTTGGCCTGCGAGCGCACGAGCCCGCGTGTCAGTCAGGCTCAGGCTCAGGCGCAGGCGCAGGACAAGAGAGAGAGGGCGAGGGACGCACCTCGGGCGCCGCACTGACGATCCGGACCCTCGCGTCGCACTCGATCGCGAGCCGGCGGTAGTCGTCGCGCAGGCCAAAGTAGCCGCTCGTCCAGTCGAGCGTCGTCCCTTGGCCGCCGGGCGCCGTCGCGAGCGCGTTGGCGGCGCGAAACACGCCGGGCACGACCTTGTCCGTCTCGTGCGAGACGGCAAAGGGCGCCATCTGGAGGACCGGGCGCAGGAGCGTGTCGAACGCCGGGTGGAGGTGCGCCGCGCCGGGCGCCGACGGCCGCTGCGTGCGGCGGGAAAAGGGGCGCTCGGTCGACAGGAGCGAGGGCGAGAGGGACGCGGCGCGGGACGAGGGCGACAGGGCGTGCCACGTGCGCAGGAGGGTCGACAGGGCGTCGTGCGCGTGCGAGCGCAGGTCGGCGAGGGCGGCGCCGGGCCGTCGCGCCGCGAACGGGTCGTCCGACACGGCGTTGGTCGTCGGCCACGCAATGGTCGGCGTCGGCGTCGGCGACACCGTGTCCGAGGCGGTCGCGCGGAACGAGTACGAGCCGATGGTCGACACGAGCGAGTCGAAGAAGTTGGCGAGCGGGGCGTGCTCCTCGAACGCGATGTAGCGGTCGGCGCGGTTCGTGAAGTAGTCGTGCGACAGGTTGGCGCTGTAGGTCGGGCGCAAGAGTCGGTCAGTCGACGCCCGTGAAGAGAGGAGAGGGAGGAAAGGGCGAGACGGACCCGGACATGATGACGTCGTCGTCAAAGCCGTACACCTTCATGTGCTGGAGCCCCCAGCCCTCGTTGAACCGTTTGGGGACCCACCGCTTCTGCCAGCCGTACAGCGCCGGCGTGTGGAACAGGCGCAAGTCGACCTGGTGCGGGTACGCGGCGGCGAGGCTCGCGAGGAGCGCGGCCGACGACGCGCCTGGGTGCTCGCGCGTCGAGCGCAGGTAGTCGACGACGAGGGTGAGGCGCAGGGTAGGGTTGGCGCGCAGGGCTGCGTGGAGCGCGCCGACCTGCGGAGCGGTGCGTTCCGAGAGTGTGGGGGTCAGCGGTCGGGCGACGGCCGGCGACAGGAGAGAGAGACGGACAAGTTCTGTCTCCTCCTTGCCGACATAGAGGCTCGCGATGAAGATGCGCCGCTTTGCCGTCCCAATCTTGCGCTGCAGGCGACGGACGAGGGTCAGCTGGTGTGTCGAGAGAGAGAGGAAGAGGGAGCCGATGACGCACCAGCAGCGCCTGGTAGAAGTCTCTTGGCTCGTGCAGGACCGATACGCACGACTCGCCGTGTGCAGCAAACGCGGGCAGGCCTGCCGAGTCGAGTTCGGACGACAGGTCGAGGAAGGCCGGGTGCCGCTCGAACTCGGCGTGGAGCGGCGGCGCCGAGCTGTAGTACGGCGAGGCGTGCGCAGGGGCTCGTGGCCGTGGTCGAGGCGGGCGCGGTACCCGCCGCAGCCGGTGCAGCATGGCAGGGGGGACGGCACAAGAGCGACGAGGTGATGAGAACCGCCGGCACCCCGGAGGCGGCCGCGGCTCGCTCCTCGCTCGTCTCGTACTCGCTCTGCTGCAGCTCTGCAACCACACAAAGCAGCACAGCAAGTCTCTCTCGCAAAGGCGTCTCGCCAAAGGGCCCGCAAACTCGCTCGTCGCACTGCAGCCTCGGACCCTCACTTCCTCCCCTTCTTCTTCTTCCCTCCTCCTCCTCCTCCGCCGCCACCAGCTCCACCCGCCTTGCCCTGCCCCTGCCCCGCCGCCCCAGCCCCAGCCCCAGCCGCAGCGTCCCCCTGCGTCCCACTCTCCCTCGCGACCCGCTCGCGCTTCTTGCCCCTCGCGCGCTCCTTTGCCTGCAGGAGCGCGTCGCGCATCGACGGCCGCTCGCGCTTGGGCACCCACCGGTCGCTCGCGAGCGCCGAAGCGGGGCGCGCCGCGTCGTACGACGAGGGGAGCGCGTTCTTGCCCTTGGCCGTGCGCGCGCGGGTGGGCGCCGTCGCCGTCGCCGTGGTGCCCGAGGTCGAGGCGACGGGTGCCGGTGCGGCAGACGAGCGGAGAGGCGCAGTCGATGCCGAGGTCGAGGCGGTCGGGAGGACGTCGGCGAGCGGGCGCGCCTCGAGGTCGTCGGTCGACGCGAGGCGGTGCGCCGTTGCGAGGTGCGCGAGGACCGACGGGACCGAGGCGGCAAAGTCGAGGTGGGCGGTCGCGGCCGCCGAGTTGGTGTGCAGGTCGGCGAGCTCGGGCGAGTCCTGGCGAGGGGCGGGAGGGGGTCAGTCTCGGGGCGCGAGGGAGAGAGGGAGAGGGGAAGCGGACGCACGGGCTCTGCGGTGGCGGCGAGGTCGTCAAAGAGGTCGCGGGCCGCGTCGTACTCGCCGAGGCGGTAGTGCTGCCAGAGGGAGCAAGCTCGAGTCAGGACGGGGTAAGGGGAGAGAGAGAAGGAGAAGAGAGGAACGCACGAGCTGGGCCTGGAGGACGTCGGCGGCACGGTCGTCTGCGGTGTGGCGTGCTGCGGCGAGGGTGTCGTGTGCGTCGTGGGTGCGGGCGAGTTTGTACAGGCAGTAGGCGCGGTGGAGCGAGGGCTGGGTCGACTCGAGTTGGAGCGAGTCCGAGTAGCGGTCGAGGGCGACGAGGAGCTGGGCGCGGGTGCGGATGGCGAGGTCGTCGTTGGGATCGATGGCGAGGACTGTGAGGGGCGTGAGGTGTGGTCAGATGGGTCGGGTCGACAGGTGAGGGTCGACGAGCTGATGAAGATGAGGGAGGAGGGGAGGAGGAGCTCACGCTTTGCGGTGGTTTTGAGGGCTGCCGAGTAGTGACCCTGGTCGAGGTGGTGGTGGAGGAGGGTGTAGAGCTTGGGCGTGTCCATCTTGGCGGCCATGGTGAGGGAGTGAGGCGAGGGAGCGACGACGAGCGTGGAGGCGGAGCGGAAGCAAGTCGATCTCGCTCTCGCCTCGTCCTCCTCACCCTGCGAGTGCTTGCACCAGCCCAGCACCTGCTACACTACCCTCCAGCACCCACCGCGAGCCACCTCGAACCGCTACCCCCCTCGCCCCGACTCGCCCTCACCTCCGTCTTCCCTCTCTCCCCCCACCATCCAGCTCACAACCCTCCCGCAGCACCGACGTCTACAAGAAATGGCGCTCGACCATTGACCAGCACGAGGGCGGCCTCGACAAGTTCTCGCGCGGCTACGACCACTTTGGCCTCCACCAGCTCAACAACGGCGACATCCGCTACCGCGAGTGGGCCCCGAACGCCACCTCGGCCGCGCTCACGGGCGACTTCAGTCCGTCTCGCGCTCGCTCTCGTCTTCGTCGACGCCCGCCTGACCCTGTGTCTCCTCGCACCCGCAGACGGCTGGAACCGCGAGGCGAACCAGATGACCAAGGACTCGTTCGGCGTGTGGGAGTGCGTCGTGCCCGCCGTCGCCGGCAAGCCCGCCATCCCGCACAACTCCAAGATCAAGGTGCGCCTCTCCTGCCGTCCTTGTCCCTCCCCAACTCGTCCTGATCGTACTCCTCGTGGCGCAGATCTCGATGACGACCCCGAGCGGCGAGCGCATCGAGCGCCTCCCCGCCTGGGCCAAGTGCGTCCCCTCTCCCTCCCTCTCCCTCTCTCTCTCCCTCTCGCCACGCTCGACTGACTCGCCTCGCGCGCACCCCTCGCAGGCGCGTCGTCCAGGACGTCAAGGTGTCGCCCATCTACGACGCCGTCTTCTGGAACCCGCCCAAGGCCGACAAGTACACGTTCAAGAACCGCAAGCCCAAGGCGCCAAAGGCGGTCAAGGTCTACGAGGCGCACGGTGCGTCCTGCCCTCCCTCTGGCTCTCTCTCTTGCCGCCGCCTGACCTGACGAGGTACGGTGCGCACCCGCAGTCGGCATCTCTACGCCCGAGCCCAAGATCGGCTCGTACCGCGAGTTCACGCGCGACGTCCTGCCGCGCATCGCCGACCTCGGGTACAACACGATCCAGCTCATGTGCGTCCCGCCCCCTTTTCCCCCCTCTCGCCGTCCCTCGTCCTGGTCGAATGGCGCCGGAACGAGCGCAGCTGATCCTTGTCGTTGCTCGCGCGCAGGGCCATCATGGAGCACGCCTACTACGCCTCGTTCGGGTACCAGATCACGAGCTTCTTTGCCATCAGCAGTCGCTACGGTGCGTCCCCCGAGTCCTCCTTCTTCTTCTCGGCGCACGGCGCACGGGCCCTCCCTGACCTCGTCCGCTCCCTCTCCCTCTCTCGCCCTGCCTCCTCTCCCTGCCTCCCTCCCTCTCTTTCCCCCATCCTCCCTATCCACGACGCGACGAAACAGGCACGCCCGAGGAGCTCAAGGAGCTGATCGACACGGCGCACGGCCTCGGCCTCACGGTCCTCCTCGACGTCGTCCACTCGCACGCGAGCAAGAACGTCGCCGACGGCCTGAACCAGTTTGACGGCAGCGACCACCAGTACTTCCACGGCGGCGCAAAGGGCCAGCACGAGCTGTGGGACTCGTGCGTCCTCGCCTTTCCTCTTCTCCTCTCTCCCTCTCTCTCGTCGTCGTCGTCGTCGTCGCCGCCAGCCTCGACCGAGAGACTGACTAGCCCTCGATCGTGCAGGCGCCTGTTCAACTACGGCCACCACGAGGTCCTGCGGTTCCTCCTGTCCAACCTGCGCTTCTACCTCGAGGAGTACCAGTTCGACGGCTTCCGGTTCGACGGCGTCACGAGCATGCTGTACACGCACCACGGCATCGGCACCGGCTTCTCGGGCGGCTACCACGAGTACTTTGGCGCCAACGTCGACGAGGAGGCCGTCGTCTACCTCATGCTTGTGCGTCCCCTCCTCTCTCCCCTCAGCCCTCTTCCTCCTCCTCGTCGAGCCCGATCTTGACGCGCGCCCGTCGCCCACCGCAGGCCAACACGATGCTGCACGAGCTGTACCCCGAGTGCATCTCGATCGCCGAGGATGTGTCGGGCATGCCGGCCCTGTGCCGCACCGTCGCCGACGGCGGCCTCGGGTTCGACTACCGCCTCGCCATGGCCATCCCCGACATGTGGATCAAGCTTCTCAAGGACGGGCCGGGCGACGAGGCGTGGGACCTCGGCAACATCTGCTTTACGTTGACGAACCGGCGCTGGCGCGAAAAGACGATCGCGTACGCCGAGAGCCACGACCAGGCGCTCGTCGGCGACAAGACGCTCGCGTTCTGGCTCATGGACAAGGAGATGTACACCAACATGAGCGACCTCACCGAGCGCACGCCCGTCATCGACCGCGGCCTCGCCCTCCACAAGATGATCCGGTCCGTCCATTGCCTCTTCTCTCTCTTTCTCTCGGTCCCGATCCTGACGAGCTCTCGACCTCGCCCGCAGCCTCATCACGCACGCGCTCGGCGGCGAGGGCTACCTCAACTTTGAGGGCAAGTGCGTCGTGCCCGTTCCTCTCCCTCCCTCTCTTGCCTGCGCTCGAGCCTCGAGGCACTGACCCTCGCCCCCCTCCTGCCCCGCCCCGCAGCGAGTTTGGCCACCCCGAGTGGCTCGACTTCCCGCGTGTCGGCAACGGCGAGTCGTACCAGTACGCGCGGCGCCAGTTCAACCTCATCGGCGACGACCTGCTGCGGTACAAGTACCTGTACGCGTTCGACCGCGCCATGAACCGCACCGAGACCGAGTACGGGTGGCTCAGCGCCGACCAGGCCTACATCAGCCTCAAGAACGAGGTGCGTCCCGCTCTCTCTCTCTCTCTCTCTCCCTCGCCGTCGTCGTCCTGGCACGAGAAGGGTCCCTGACTCGCTCCCCCCTTCTCTCGCAGTCGGACAAGGTCGTCGTGTTTGAGCGCGGCAACCTCCTGTGGGTGTTTAACTTCCACCCGACGCAGTCGTTTACCGACTACCGCGTCGGGACCGACTGGGCGGGCGAGTACCGCGTCGTGCTCTCGAGCGACGACAAGGAGTTTGGCGGTCACGCCAACATCGACAAGGCCGTCAAGCACTTTACGACCCCGATGGAGTGGAACGGGCGCAAGAACTTTATGCAGGTGCGTCCCCCTCTGTGTCCTCGTTGCACGTCTTGGCCGTTTAGAGGAGGAGCCTGACCTTGTCGCCGCCTGCGCGCAGCTCTACCTCCCGAGCCGCACGGTCCAGGTCCTCGCCCACTGAGAGGCCTCTCTCTCTCGTTCTCTCCCTCTCTCGCAACCCCTCTCTGTACCCTAGAAACTCTCTCTCGCTCGCCCTCTCCTCTCTGTGCCGCAAAAAAAAGTCAGTTTCAACCCCTCCCTCCTTCGTCTCTCCTCGCACACTCGTAGTCGAGGCCTGCAACACTCTCTTTCGCAGCACGTGTGCCCCGAGAGAGAGAGAGAGAGCGCGCGCGCAGGAAACGTGAGACGGCCCCTCGTGCTCGACGCGTCTCGTTCGATGGAGAGGTCGCGCCTCGTCCTCCTCCTCCGTCCAACCGCTCTCGTGCCCGTGCCCAGTGCCTCCAGCCCACCCACCGTCGCTCCTTGCACCCACCCAGCACCACCGCATCGCCTCACCACCCGCCCCTCGCCCCTCACTTCGCCCCTCGACAACCATGGTCGCTCAACTCGCTTCGGCCACGACGGCCCTCTTCGCCCTCTCGTTCGCGGCGCACCTCGCCCGCGCCGACGTTGTCCCGACCGCCCCTGGACCGGGAGAGGTCTTCCGCGTGAGTTGTGCGCGCTCGTTGGGCTCAGGGGGAGCGAGGAGGGAGCGAGGGGCGCGAGGAGGGCGCGAGCGGAATGTCCGAGGGGGCGCGTGGGGGCTCGGCGGGCGCGGCGAGCGCTCGAAGGGATATGGCAGGGCGTGCAGGGCGGGGTTGGGAGGGTCTCGCTGCGCGGCGGGCGAGGCTGCAGCGGCGAGCGAGGACTGTGTGTGGTGGAGCCGCGGGGGAGGACGGGCGAGGTCGAGCGGGGCTTGCCGCGTCGCGCAGCGCCAGAAGCATCTCGAACAGTCGCAGGGCATCCTCACTGACACGGTCCTCCCCACCGTGCAGGTCGGCGAGAAGTGCAACATCGAGTGGAACCTCGACACGACCGGCAACTGGTGCGTCTCGCTCTCTCGCCTCGAGCGCAAGGGTGCTGCGCCGCCTGCTCGTGCTCGCACGCACGGGTGTCGGTGGTGCTGCGGGAGTTCCGCCACGCGGGCGAGGCCGCTCACGCACAGTGACCTGACGGCCCTCGCGCCCGCAGGACCGACTTCTCGATTACGCTCATGACGGGCTCGAACTTTGCCATGGTGCGCCCCCTCTCGCTCTCTGTGTATCCTCTCGTACGACCAGGAAAGTCCTGACGATGCTCGTCGTCCTACAGGAGCCGGTCCAGACGGTCGCGACCGGCCTCGACGGCACGTCCGGCGCCCAGACGATCGACTACACGTGCCCGAACGTGTCGCCCAACTCGGCCATCTACTTCTACCAGTTCAGCCAGGACGGCGCCGACACGGCGTGGACGACGCGCTTCACGATCGCCGCCGCCGACGGCTCGACGGTGCGCTCGAACCCCTTCTTCTCCCTCCTTTCCTTTGCCGACGAGCTCTCGTACTGATGAACGCTCTACCCTGCAGACCAAGCCCACCGAGTCGACTGCCGGTATCGCGTGGGGCACTGGCTCGCTCGTGAGCGCCGGTGGCTCGGCGAGCAGCGCCGCCGCCTCGGGCTCCGCCGCCGCCTCGTCCGCCGCAGGCAGCGCCTCGTCCGCCGCCTCGTCCGCCGTCGCCGCCTCGTCGAGTGCCGCCGCGTCCTCGACGACCGTCGAGTCGAGCAGCTCGTCGGCCGACGACGCGTCGTCGTCGACCTCGACCGAGGCGCCCTCGTCGGCCTCGTCGTCGGCCTCGTCGGGCCCGGCGCGCTCGAGCATGACCATGTCGGCGCCGTCGGCTTCGGTGTCGGCGCCCGCATCTGCGGCGGCCAACGCGGACAACGCGGCCGGCCGGGCGGCGGCGAGCGTCGTTGCCGTCCTCGGCGCGGCGGTCGCGCTCGTGTTCGCGTGAGACGGGCGCAGGTCGCTCTTCTTCCTCTCTCTGCCATAAATGCAGCATCGTGTCCCCCTTGTCACCCTGTCCTCCCCCTCTCTTCTCAGCCTAGTGCCCCTCCTCTCGCTTTCGCACGCCCGCACGCCCAGTTGTGGGCCACATCCTCGTAGACACTCGCTCTTTCCTCCTTCCTCGTCCCCCTCACTGGCTTTATCACGACCCTGCAACGATCGAGATATCACTCTTCGCGAGCGTGTGCCAGACGGAGCGAGACGACGAGGAGAGGTCCGAGAGCTCCCCGCCCGACCTTGCGCGTCCTCTGCTCTCTCTTTCTCTTGCTTTAGGGCGCTCGCTCTCGCTCCGGACGCACTCGAATGCGCTCAGAGAAAGACCTCGCACAGGAGAGAGCCAGCAGAAAGAGTCTCTGGCGGCTCGCCGGTCGACCGACTTGGGAAGGCGAACGAGCTGCTCAACTCGCGCTCTACACGACAAAGTAGCTCAGGAAACGCGCTCAATTGCACCGCAGACACCTCCTCGTTCGAACTGGCGCGCGGACGAGGCCGTAACCCTGCTAGATCAAGAGCTAGCGTTTGAGCGAGGGTGCGCAGGATCCCCCAGTCTTTTGTAGGTGGCCGGGCGCACGGGCGCTCCGCAGGGGTGCGCGCCGTGCGAGCGGCTCACCACAGTGCGCCCGCTGCCCTCAGGGGCACGTGAGGGCGGGCGCGGCCTCGTAAAGACCCGTCCGCGACGGCTCGACTCGCTGAGCCGTCGGGACGAGTGCGACGACGAACATGAACTCTCTGCGGTCTGGAAACGCTCGACAGAGACGAGGAGAGCTTTCGGAGAGGAAAGGGCGCCGTCGCGCGGCGCAGCTGGGGCGCGAGGAAGCTTTCGAGGCCGAGAAGGGGGAGGTGGCATCGAGGGCGCGACTAACCTGCGGCGCGAGGTCAAGGGGGTCAGTGCGCGGCTCGACGAGGAGCACAGACCCACACGAAGGTCCTGCAGGGAAGAAAGAGAGTGCGCGGGACGTACAAAGGACAAGGTGAGACGCCTCGAGGTTGAGAGCCAGCCTCGCGCCGCTCAGAAGACCGTCCTGCTCGCCCTGCGCAGCCGTTCCGCCTGCAAAGTGACAAGGTCAGTCCATCAAGACCCCTGCACCGCATCGCGAGGTAGCAGAGTGGGCGAGGGGAGAGGGAGAGGGGGGCCAAACACGGGGAGGCGCGGAGGAGGTAGACGCACCAGTCGTACACAGCCCGCGCAGCGCGGCCGCCTGGCCCAGTAGTCTCCTTGATGCTGAGATAGTCCTCGACGACGATGCCCACCGGCCCATGAGCCGTTGCCACCAGTTGAGAGAGGTCGGACGACGCGAGTCGCTGATGAAGATGCGACGCGCCCTGCGCCCTCGGCGGCCGCTCGCGGTGGCGCGGGAGCAGGCCCCATAGATAGGTGATGCGATGCAGAAGGGCTGGACACGCGCCGGCAAGGCACAGCAGCGGTGCGGCCGAGTTGCGCGTGGAGAACGAGGTGGGGGGCGCGAGTCGTCCAGATTACGACCTCGCGCTTGACTTTTGTATTCGGTAATAGCTCTGAGGTCCAGCCGTTAGCGAGATTATGAGCCCGAGCTAGTCTCGCATCGCTTTCGGCTCGCTCGAGGGGAGGGTTGTGACTAGGGCTCGAGCGCTTTCTGCGAGTCTGCAGCTCGACGCAGCCAGGCCACTTGAATATCGCCCGCTCTAGAGACGGAGCGCGTGTGCAGGCTCGAGGAGAATGTCGAGAAGGAGGAGGAGGAGTGTCGAAGAGGAGAAGCTTCGCGCTGCAGTCGAGGGCCGACCTGCTCCCGCTCGCCGAGCACGCACGGTCGAATGACGTGGTTCATCGTTGCACGTTGTCCAAGTATCTATCGCCCTCGAACCGAACCGCCGTCGAGCTAGCACACCTTCTTGGCCGCGTCGCGCAGGGTCCCGTCCGTGTTTTGCGTGAGCGCCGCGTACAGGCTGCAGCCCATGAGCCCGCCTTCTCCGGCGACCGCGCCCTTGACTGCGAACGAGTCGACGTCGTCGTCTGCGAGAAGAGGCAGGCGCTGTGAGCAGATCGTCGAGCTCGAGAGGGAGAGAGGCGACGGACACGTAATGAGCAGCTGCGACGACGACGAGTAGAGGAACGGCGTCTTGCTGCAGTCGTCGAACGTGTAGTCCATGTCCTTTTTGAACTGGGTGGCGGTCGAGGTACGTCAGGATCCGCCTCGCGAAGAAAGAGGAAGTCGACGAAGGTGGACGCACGTCCGAGATGATCTTGTCGTACGGCTTGGACCCGTCAGACGCACTCAAGGTGCCACTCGCCTTCTGGTAGATGCTCGACGTCGCGCCGTCGACGCCGCCGCCGTCCTTGAAGTCGTCGACCTGCAGGTGGACGAGCCCATGAGGACGAGTGTCAGCGAGTCGAGCTCGGCTCGAGTCTCACAGGGAAGCATGATGCGCGCGAGAACGAGCGTGGGGGGACGGAGAGAGAGAGAGAAAGGTAGAGCTGAGCGCACCTTCCAGGCGTAACCGTACGAGGCGAGGCCGAGCATGATCTGCGAGAAGGCGACTTGAGAAGGTCAATTTCGACGACACGTTGCTGGCGACCACGGCGTGGCGCGCCCCCCTGCACTCGCCCAGACACAAGGAGAGAAGTATGGGCGCACCTTGTTGGCAGGGAACTTGGCCGCCGTCCAGCTCTTGACCGCCGCCGGGTAGCTAAACTGCTGCGTCGACGGCGCGCACGACGAGTCTAGGGCCTGCACGACGAGCGCTTTCAGTACACGCACAGTGTCGACAGGATCGAGTGAGAGAGTTCGGGACGTACAAAGTTCGGGCCCGTCGCGGCCGCCGAGTAGGTCACGGCGTCGTAGGTCTGTGCGCAGCGAGCAAGTCAGTTCTGCTCGACGACGTCGAGGACGAGGGACACGAGCCAGACCATGATCGTGATGAAGTCGAGGACGTCGCCGAACTGCCGGCACAGAGCTAGTCAGTGAGGGTGTCCGCGAGGAGAAAGGAAGGGAGAGCCGAACGTACCTCGCTCAGATCCGTCGACGCCGAGCCGTCTGCGCCGACCCAAGGTCCCGACGACGTGTCGGACGAGATGAGCTTGTCGCTCCCGATCTTGGTGCGCAACGTCTTGAAGAACTCGAGGTAGTTCTTGAGGTCGTTGGCCGTGTCGAACTGCGCGCTCGAGAGGGTTCAGTTCGTTGACGCCTCACGACGAGGACGAAGCCGCACGCACGTCCTCTGTTGCGCCCGCGCGCGAAGGGTATTCCCAGTCGGCGTCGACGCCGTCGAAGCCGTAGTCGGTCAAGGCCGTGTCGAGGGTGGCGACAAAGTCGGCTCGAGAGGTGTCGGTCGCGACGAGGCCCGAGAACGTGTTGCTGCCCGACCAGCCGCCAATCTGCAGACGTACAAGTCAGTCGTCGGCGTGTAGGAGAGGGACGAGGCGACGTCGTGAAGGAGGGGCACGCCTGACCGAGAGCATCTGCGGGAACGAGGACAAGGTCAGTCTCGGTGCGAGCACGAGGACGAAGGACGAGAGGAGAGCACAGACGCACAGCCTTGCACCCTGCAGCTTGAGCAGCTTTGACCCAGTCCTTGGCGACGCCGTCGCTCGCCTCGCCCATCGCGAGCTTGCCCTTTTCCGCCGCCGTCCCGGGCACGGCGCAAAACCTGTAGACGCACGGCTCAGCGACGCCGCTCTCACCGTCGCGAGAGGCAGAGAGGAAGCCGGGCGCACCAGAAACAGTAGTCGTAGCCCGAGAAGTCGGTGTCGGCGACAGAAAGACCGGCTGCGCGAAGGGAAGCAACTTGGGAAAGTCAGTCCGGGCTCACGAGTCGAGCGAAACGAGGCAGGGGACGCACTCCAGTTCTCCCAGAAAGCCTGCAGGGATACAGCGCCGAGAGGGGGTCAGTATGCTGTGCGGAGAAGAGACAGAGAAAGGAGGGACGCACCGCGACCTTCCCAGATCCGCCGCTCCCTCCTCCAGTTGCGCCGCCCGTCGACGAGTTGCCCGACGACGACGAGCCGCTCGGTGCCGCCGACGCACTTGAACCCCCTGCTGACGCCGTCTTGCTCGAGCCCCCTGCTGACCCTCCTCCGCCGCTCGCGCTCGAGCCCTTCGGCGCGCCTCCTCCTGCCGCGCCGTCGCCGCTGCCAGCTGCGCCGCTCCCAGTCGTCCCACCACCGCCTGCTCCTCCCGTACCACCCGCCGCTCCTCCTGCCACACCCGACGATGAGCCGTCGCTCGTCGCCGCCGAAGAAGAGCCGACCGAGTCGCGGTTGAACCACCACCATGCGGCGCCGCCGCCGAGGGCGAGCAAGAGGACGATGATGACGCCGCCGATGAGCAGCTTGTTGTTGCTGCCGGAAGGCTGAGGCGCGCCGACGGCCGCTCGTCGCCGTCGTCTGTCGCGGTGATGGTGCGCCTGCCAAGGGAACGAGCGGGTCAGTGCGGGTCGCTCTGCTTCGACGGCATCGTGGACGGGGGACGTACGGCAATGAGCGCCTCCTCGTCGCTGCTGTCGTCGCTGCTGTCGCGCCGCCTCCTTCTCCTCGCCCCACCGCCGTGGGAATGCCGTCGTCGTCGCCGCCGGACGTCTTCTCCCTCGCTCGAACCGGTGCTGGCGTCCTCGTCGCTGCTGCTGCCGTCGTCGACGTGTCGCCTCGATGCTCGTGGACGTCGTGAGCCGATATCGCTGTCGGTCGAGGCTGGTGTGTCGTCGTCGCTGGCGGACGGGTCGCTCGAGCTCGAGGGCGAGTCGCTCAGGTCGTGGTGTCGGCTCCTCCTGCCCATCTGAAGCAGCGGCAGGGCAGTAGAGGCGAGTAGAGCGTCGAAGCGAACGAGCGAGAAAGGCGAAAGCTGGCCGAGCCCGACAGAAACGAGCCGCGGAGACTCCGGCGGACGCGCACGAGCCTCGAGACGGACGGGAGACAGAGCGCGAGCCTCTCGAGCTGCTCCTTGCGCCGGCCGTGGCTCAGAATATACTGCAGCTCTTGACCGCAAAGAGGAATGGTCAGTCTACTTGGCCTCGCCTTCGTACGCCTTTGCGCCCTGCCCCCACCTGCCCGCCTTCTTGCCCCACTCGCGCACGCCCCACACGTGCTCCTCCCTCAGGACCGGTCGCTCCCTTCGCACGTCGACCTCCTTGCCCTCGCGAGGCGTGCCGTCGGGCCACTTGGCGCGCAGGTCGGCCGGGTCGAGCACGCCGTTCAGGCGGTCGTCGCCGAGGGGCGCCTTGTCGCCGACAGCGTGTCGAGGTGGTGCGGCGGCGGCCGCGGCATCGGCGACAGCGCTCGACGAGGCGAAAGGCGTCTCCCACGAACGCACGTGTGACGGCATGGGCGAGTGCTCGGCCGTGACGAGGTACTCGGCGGACGACATCTCGTGGACGCGAGAGACGGCGCGCTTGAACGAGAAGCGCTCGTCCTCACCTGCGGGCAGGGAGTACGGTCAGAGGTCTGCAAAGAGAGGGAAAGGGTACGCGAGAGGCTCGAGAGACGCACCGGTAAAGATGGACAGGTTCTGGAAGCTCGGCGTGGCCGCGCTCGGGTGGATGGGCGCCCTCGCCTCCTGCTCGCGCCGCCGTCGCAGCTGCCGATCGAGCTGCTCCTCGACCGCCTGCGTCTCGATCTTGCGCGCCGCGTCACGCTCGTAGGCGGCGACGTTGGCGCTCTCGTCGTACGCCGAGATGTTGGGGCGGTACGGCGCGTCGAGGTCCTGCTGGACGTCGCCGAGCATCTCCTCGACGAGCGAGTCGGTCACCTCGCCCGCCGCGTCCTGCGCGTCGTACCGCGACGAGCCCTTGGCCGAGATCGAGTCGTTGAGCGGGAGGGAAAAGGTCGAGTTGTCGAGGACGTGGACGGGGCCCGAGTCGCCGGGGGCGTGCGAGCCCGACGACTCGGCGAACGAGGTAGGGAGGTCGTCGAGGATAGCGTCGACGGGCGAAGGAGGCGCCTCGGGCGTGACGGCGTCGGGGAAGAAGAGCGAGTCGATCGGGGCAGAGGCGAAGGCGAGAAGGCGAGTCTTAGTCTCGTCTGCGAGCGAGAGAAGGCGTCAGGGTGGCGAAGAAGACGAGAGGAAAGGGGGCGAGACGTACAGAGAGCGTCGAGGAGGGTGATGAGCCGCCGGGCCTCGTTCTTGGCGTTGAGCGGGAGAACAGGAACGTCGTCGAGGACGAGCGTGTGCTGCGGCCAGGTTCACCTCAAGGTCAGTCTCGAGGCCGTCGAGAAGAGATCGAGAGAGGATGGGGAACGAGTCGACGCACAAACTCGCTGCCGAGCGTGATGTAGTCGGCGGGCCCGAGCGGCTTCTCGCACAGCTCCTTGAACGAGAACCTCGCGACCCCGCCCGACGCCCAGGGCACCGTCACCTTGCGCCCGTACACGCTCAGGACCTTCTGCGCACCCTCGGCGTCGCCGACGACCCACCGCAGCGCGTCCTGCCACGCCGCGTCGTCCTCGCCCTTGACGAACCACCCTCGCGAGCGCGTGCCCCAGCGCGTCCACGCCTCGGTCGAGCCAAAGTCGCCCGGCGTGACGGCGTCCGTCTCGGGCGAGAGCGAGATCTGGGAGCGCGCGATGAGGCGGTAGTCGGTCGGCGACGAGAGGTTGATGACGGGCGAGCGGACGGCGAGGGCGCCGAGGAAGGGCGAGAGGGTGGCGCGCTGGATGCCCTGCTTGTAGAGGTCTGTCGAGCAGGCAGAATGTCAGAGGATGAGACTCGGTGGGAGAGTGGGAGAAGAAGGAGGAGGAGGACGCACCTTCAGGAACGCGGTTGGACGTGCCGACGACGACGCCGCCGAGGCGCCAGTACCAGCTCATGACCCGGCTGACGAGGCCTGCGCCTGCGATGTCGACAAGCTGCACCTCGTCGAACGCGAGCAGCCAACCGTGCGTCTTGATGAGGTCGAGCGCGACCTGCGCGAGGACGAACTCGCGCGTGTTGAGCGCCGGGTCACTCGCCGAGCGTCCTCCTGTGCGGGCAGCAGGGTTAACGCCCGTTGATGGGAGTCGAGGAGGCACGGAGAGGGGGAGGAAGTCGAGAGACGCACCGGCAAAGACGGTTTGCCACCCTTGGCTGATCGCCCGCGCCTTCATCTCCTCCTTGCGGCTCCACGGGTACCCGCCCTTGTCGCCGCGCTTGTACAGCTCGTTGGCCGCTCGCTCCTCCTCCTCGTTCTGCAGTCGTTGCCGCTCGAGCGCGCGGTGGATCTGGTCGGGGGCAGGTGCGAGGTCAGCGGGGCTCGAGCGCGCGAGGCATGGCGAGAAAGAGGAAGGAGGAGACGCACAGCCTGGTAGAGCGACAGGAGGAAGGCGTGGTAGTGGTACCGGACCTTGTGCGGCACTGGCAGGCTCTGGAAGAAGAGGTCCATGAGGAGGCTAAGAAGGGAGGGAGGGAAAGATCGTGATCAGGAAACGGTCGGCTTGACGTCTGAGTTAGAGAGAGAGGGAGACGCACCTTTTGCCCGTACCCGGCGGACCCGTCAACAGGAAGCCCTTGGGCGTGTCGAGCTCCTCGAGGCCCTCGTGCGCCTTGAGGACCTTGACGAGCTCCGTCGTCTTCTGCTTCTCGCTCAGGAGCGACAGCGACTGGCGGTCGGCCTCCTCCTCGGACGACAGGTCCATGCCGAGGTTCGACAGGGGCGAGCGCTTGAACGGCCATGCGGGGAGGGACGAGGTGGTCGTGACGGCCGAGGTGGACGAGGAGGGCGGCGAGCTGATGGCGCGGATCGACTCGAGGAGGGTGAGGAGGTGGACTGGTGGCTGGTAGTCGATGAGCTCGGTGTGGAGCTTGCGGAGCTGCATCGCGAGGAGGTGGATCAGCGGGAGGGAGGCGGTGCAGCCTCCTTGAGGACGGCGGGAGAGGAGGGCGCACCTGAACGAGCGCCCGCAGCTGTTCCTCGTCCTTCTTAACCTTGCCCTGGGCGACTGTTTGAGCGCGGGCGTGCGAGTGGGCGAAAGTGCGAGCAGTTCGGCGAGGTTGGTGGGGGAGGGCAGGTGCGAGGGTCAGCACTCGTGGCCCCTGGGCGGGCGCGACTTGGCGAAGAGGGACGTACCGAGGCTGTAGTAGAGCAAGAGTGGGTCGGCAACCTCGAGCGCGGCTTGAGACGAGGGCGATGCCGACGTCGACCAAGGTCGGGAGATCAAGACGGAGCTGGATCGAGGTGGTGCAGGGCGGGCCAGCCGAGCCAGCGGCACATTCTTGAGGCGCAGCATGCTGCTCGGCAAGTCGGGAGATGCGCAGGAGCGAGTGCTGGAGGTGGTTCGACAGCGAGAGTTGGTCTCTCGGCGAAGCTGCCAGCTTTCGGGCGCGACGTTCGTCAAAGGCCCACTGACAGCTCGCACGCAGCAGTCGTACCTCGTGAAGAACAAAGGCATGACACTGCAAGTACTACACGGAAGAAAGAGAGTGGCCGCGAGCAGGGAGGACGAGTGCCGCCCGCGACGCCGCGGCTCCTCGACGAACAAGACGGCGGCCCGCACCGTCCCTGCCACCCTCACCTCCTCCTCGCCATCGCCCACTGCCGTGAGGTCCGCCTGACGACCCGAGCCAAGCCCCTCTATTTGCCGTCGCCCTCGAACGCGGCAATCCTCGCCGACACCTGGCTCGGCGGCCTGGGCGCCCTCGCGCCCCTCAGCCGGCCCGTGCCCGACGCACGCTTGAGCGACGACGAGCTCGAAAGAGGCTCGTCGGCGGCCGCGGCGGTCGAGCCCGACACGGACGCGGCCGGCGCAGAGCCGAGCGCCGGGACGGCCGGCTCGTCCTGCGAGTCGCCGGCGGTCGCGGCCGAGGCAGGAGCCGCGTCGACAGCCGGAGCCGACGAGGAGGGAGGCGTGAAGGCCTCCTCGGTCGGGCCGTCCGAGGGAGGGACGAAAGCCTCCTCGGTCGGGCCGGTGCTGTCGCCGCCGCCGGCGGCGAGGGTCGACGACGACGAGCCGAGGTGCGCCTCGTGCGCCTCGGACGCCTGCTTGGCCGCGCGCTCGTCTTCTGCGGCGGCCTGATCGGCGTCCGAGGCCGAGACGACGGCGGGCGGCAGCAGCTCGTCGTCCGTGGCCGCCATCGGGCTCGCCGCGAACGCGCCCTCGTGCTCTGGGTGCGCCGCCGGCACGCCGAGCACGCTCGCCTGGGTCTGGACACTGAGCCCGGCTGCGGCGGCGTCGACGGCGCCCTCCTTGTGCCGCTGCTGCAGCTTGAGGACCTCCTCGGCCCGGCCGAGGTCGACGCTCTCCTGCGCGCCGAGGCCGAGCGCGCTGCGGCGCACGCGTTGGTCGATCGGCTTGGTGCGCTGCCTGCGCGGGCGGTAGCGCTCGTCGCGGTGCTTCTTGGCGATGTCGGCGGCGGCGGCGAAGAGGTCGGACGAGGACGAGAGGAGCGTCGAGAGGAAGACGGCGGGGAAGCGGTCGTCGAGGGTGAGGGCCGTCTCGACGCTGGGGCGGAGGAGGGGACGCGAGAGCGACAAGGAGAGTTTGTGGATGTAGGTTGGGAGGGGCTCGGGCGTCGAGGTGGTCGAGATGAGGCGCGTGAGGTGGTCGACGAGGGCATGGAGGACCTGCAACGAGAAGCGGGTCAGTATGGGCTGCAGCAGCAAGAATCTTCCACCCCCCGTGATACGAGTGGGTGAGGGAAATGATGCTGAAGGAGCCTGCTCACCTCGAAGTGCACCTTGGGCAACTTGCCGACCACGTCGGCGACCTTGCCCGCCTCGACCTCGCCCTCGCCGGCCGTCCGACGCGGGTACAGGGCACGCAGCTCGTCGTACGCCGAGTAGGTGACGACCGGGATCTCGAGCTCGAGCAGCCACAGCTTGACGGTCGCGCACAGGACGGGGAGGTCGAACGGCGCGAGGAGAGCGGCGAGGTCCGAGTCGTCGAGGGCGAGCATTGACGGTTTGCTGTGGGTGCGTGAGAGATGGTCAGGGTGTGCCCGAGAGAGACGAGAAAGGCGAGGAGGGACGCACTTGAGGATCGAGCGGAGCGCGTGCTGAGCACCGAGCGGCACCTCGTACAGCCACGCCTTGCGCCGTTCTGCGTGGGCGATCAAGACCGATGAGCATCGTCGTCCTCATAATGAGGAAGAGGACAGTCGAGTAGGCGAGACGCTCGACGCACCAGCGTCCTCGGCGCCCTCGCCCTTCTTCTCGATCTCGCGCAGCAGGATCTCGAGCACAGGCGGTACAGGCCTCGTCTCACGCTCCGAGTTGGTCTCGTCAAACTTGCGCAGGTCGATGCCGAACGTCGCGAGGGCGGGCTCCGAGTAGTGCGACGTGTACAGGACGGGCGACGGCTGGAAAGGGCCGGTGCTGCGGGCGCGAGGGGGCCGAGTGAGCGGCATTCTCTGGGTCCAGCAGCGTCGAGAGGCTGGAGGAAGAGAGAGAGAGAGAGACGTGGACGTACCGCCTGCGCTCGATGAGGCCCTTGAGGTCGTTCTCGGGCCGGGCGAGCTCGAGCGTCTGGCCGACGCGCTCGAGGCTGCCGTCGATGAGCTTGGGGAGCGCCGCGATCGACGCGTGGAATTGCTTGAGGACCGACGCGGCGGCCCGCAGGCGGTCCGACTCGAGGCGCTGGACGTAGCTGAAGTTGGCCGCGAGCGTCTCCTCGAGCGAGAGGCGCAGCGCGTCGAGCTCGGCGACGCCGACCTTGTACTTGTCCTCGGCGGCGGCCACCTCGCGCAGGGCCTTGTCGAGGCGCTCCTCGAGGTTCTGCGGGCCGACGACGGTAGACAGGAGGTTGTTGAGGCGGCGCTTGACCTCGGGCGCACGCTCCTCCCACACCTTGCGCGCCTTGTCGCGTGCCTCCTTGAGCGCCGCCGAGCCCTCGTTCTCGTCGTCGTCGTCGAAGACGCCCTGCCCGGCGCCGACCTTGTCCTCGTCCTCCTCGCGCAGCTTGTCGTCGTCGTCGTCACCGCTCTCCGACTCGTCGCCCTTGGGCACTCGGCGGCGACCGTGCCCGCGCGGCGCCGCGACCGGACGGCGCGTCGAGAAGGCCCTCCCGAGCGCCGAGATGACGCCGGTCGCGCCCTGCGTCGCGGCGGCGGCGGCGGCGGCGGCCGACGCCGGGGCGCCCGTGTCGTCGACCTCGTCGGGGCGAGGCGGCAGCTTTGCCCTCTGGCTGCCGAGCTCGCCTTGGGCGCGCGAGAAGCTCAACTCGTCTTCGAGCTGGGCCGAGACGCGGCACGCGTCGTCGTAGGTCGCCTTGGCCTGCTCGACGGCGGCGCGCTTGCGCTCCCAGGCGGTGAGGGCCGTGTCGACCTGGGCGCGCGACGAGCGCACGCGGCCTGCGTGAGAGGTCGACCAGGTGCTGAAGGGCGTGAGGATGGAGCGCTGCGTCGGGGCGAGACTGCGTCAGCTGCGAGGTCCCGGCGGAGGAGGCGCGAGGGGGGAGGAGGCATGGGCGCACCTGGAGGTCGTCGGCGAGGGCTTGACGAGCCCGCCCTTCGTTGACGCTCTGCGTGAGGAGCGCCTCGAAGCCGATGCGGAGCGAGCCGCCGTCGTCTGGGAGGTGCGGGCAAGTCGGGATGTCCGGGAAGAGGGAGCGAGGTGGGGGAGGAGGAGGACCAGGTGTCAGTGCGCGTGCGCCACGAGGGAGCTGAGAAAGGGCGACTCACCGGCCGCAAAGCCGTCTCTCCTGAGCGCGGGCGGGAACAGGCTGTCGGCAAACGACTCCTCGGCGTCCTTGCGGCGGCGGACCTGGGCGAGGAGCTCGTCCGACTGGATGAGGGAGGCGTCGAGGGCGTCGTACAGGCTAGTGAAGCCGGTGCGGTAGTCGGCGGACCAGAACTGCGGGCGGGAGAGGTGCGTGGGTCAGCTGCGGGGGCTCGAGACGAGGCGGTGCGGGCGGGGAGGAGGAAGAGGAGGAGGAGGGGAGCGCACCGAGTTGCTGAACGTGGGCGGCAGGGTAGGACGGGCGGCCGGCTGCTGCTCTGCAGCAGTCACCTGCGAGTCTGCCATCGCTGCGAGAGGGCGGTAGTGGGTGCAGGAGGAGGAGCGAGCCGTCGTCGTCGTCGTCGTCGCCGGGACAGTCAGTCGGCACCGCCTCGTCGCCTCGGGGAAATTCGTGCGGTGGGCTGTGAGGGCGTGCGAGCTCTCTGTGAGGTGGTCTGGGTCCTTGGAGAGAGGCTACGAGGGCGGAGCTGCTCTGTTGACTCTGCCCTTGCTCCCCCTCGTTTTCATCTCGGCGAACCGAAGGCACCTCTTCTATCGTGCAATCAGACGCACCCTGCAGCTCGAGCACGCTCGCCAGCCGCACCACTCAAGCCCACGCACCAGCAGTGCATGCCCGCCCGCTGCCCGCCCTCTGTCGCCGCCGCCGTCGCCGCGCCCTCGTCCCGCCTGCCCCAGCCTCGCCCTCGCCCTCCTCTCTCTCCCTCTTCCTCGCTCCGACCAGCTCCCGCCTACCAGCGCACCCTCTCCAGCTCGTCCTCGACCACCTCCGCCACCGCCCGCAAGCCCTCGCACCTCGGCCACCTCCGCTCGTCGCCCTCGCTTTTCCCCCACAGATCCTTCTCGTCCTCCCGCGCCATGGCCTCTTGCACCCAGCTCCTCCAGGTGCGCCCCCACCCCTTCCACCAGTCCCTCATCTCGCCCCCGGAGCTGACCAGCCGCACCCACAGGGCATCCTCGACGCCAACGAGACGTACGCCGCCGCGTTCGCCCAGGCCGACCCGGCCCTCCTCAAGAAGCTCGCCGCTGGCCAGAGCCCGAGGATCTTCTGGCTCGGTTGCTCCGACTCGCGCGTCTCGGCAGAGCTGTGCGTCCCCCCTCTCCCTCGAACCTGGGCTCGATACGACCAAGATCGCTTACCCTCTCTCGCACCCCTCCTCCTCGATCGCCCTTGTTCTTCACCTTGATCGTCTCGCTCCTCGACCTCGACAGCGCCACCGGTGTCGCCCCTGGGTCCATCTTTGTTCACGTACGTCGCCGGATCCCTGATCGCCCGCCGTTCGGCACGCGCTGACCTCGTCGCACCGCCTCCTCGCAGCGCAACATCGCCCAGTGCTTCCACAAGGGCGACCTGTCGGCCTCTGCCGCCCTCGCCTACGCCGTGCACGTCCTCAAGGTCGAGGCCATCATCGTCTGCGGTCCGTCAGCACGCCCTCTCGGTCCTCCAGCTCGTCGGCAGCATCAGCTCGCGGACGAGCCGGTGCTTCGACAGGAACAAGTTGACTGACTCGTTCCCTCTCCACAGGCCACACCGGCTGCGGCGGCGTCAGGGCTGGCATGCAGGCGGCCGTCGACTCGTCGGACAAGGCGGCCAAGGGCGAGGAGGAGCCTGCGCCCGAGCCGGGCTCTGTGGCCGACACCATCTCCAAGTGGATCGCGCCCGTCCGTCCGCCTTTCTCTACCTCACCCTGCGCGATCACGGCCGACTGACGGCCCCGACGCCCGCAGATCAAGTCGCTCGCCTCGTCGCAGCTCCCGGCCTGCTCGGCCGCGTCGCGCTCGCCGCTCGACACGCTGTCGCTCGCCGAGCTGACGGACCAGCACGTGCGCGACACGGTCCAGGCCGTGTCCGAGTCGGACATTGTGCGCGCCGCGTGGGACGAGGGGCGCGAGCTGAGCGTTCACGGGTGGGTCTACCACGTCGCGACGGCCAAGCTGAGGGACCTCGACTGCGGGTACAAGGGCGGTGCGTCCCTCGTCCTCTCCTTCTCTCTTCGGCAAGCGAGCGATCTCTGACGAGGCTCCTCTCTTGCACCCGCAGTGGGCGTCCGCGCCGAGTCGCTCTCGCGCCCGGCGACTTACGCCGACAGCGAGCCGCGCGACGACTAGACGCTCGCGCCGCGTCCTTCCTCTTCCTCGCGCTCTCAAGGTCTGTGTAGATAGAAAGGAGGGCGCAGCCGGCTGGCTCTCTGCGAGAGCTCGTCGGCCTGCGCGCGGGCTCCTGCGCCGGTGGGTCTCTCGAGCCGGAATCTCTGCAATATTCGTGCCCCTCTCTCTGAGTCGAGTCCTGTGAGAGCTGTGCACGTCGTCTCGCTCCGTTCTGAGTCCTGCAGCGAGAGAGAAGCGGCGAAGCGATGAGGTCGTCGGCGCGTCCTCGTCGCGGTCCGTCGTCGCCTCGGTTGCCTCTCCTCCTCATGGCCGATCCGCCGGCTGGATCAGTGCCGGCAGCAGCCGGGTCTGTGCAGTCACCACCGCAACCACCGCCCCTGTTCAGCATCTTCGCCCCGCGCCCTCCCTCGACCGCGTCCGTCTCCGCCGGCTCCACCACCTCGCGCCCCGCGCCAGCTCCAGCCGCCGCCGCCGCCGCCGAGCCCAGCGCCAGCTCGATGGCCCGCGGTGCAGCAACGCAGCAGCGCGCCGTGTCGGCCTCGGCGCACAGCGCGACGGGCACCGAGACGCTCAGCCTCGTCGAGGACAGTGGGGCGAGCGATGACGGGCTTTCGGGGCCAGAGGGCGGCGCGAAGCGTGGGAGGAGCGGCAAGGAGAAGGGCAAGGGCAAGGACGGGGCCAAGAAGGCGCGCAGGCCGAGGCGCGCGCAGGACGAGGGCGAGGACGAGGACGACGTCGTCGTGGTCGGCTCGTCGTCCAGGGCGCACAAGAACGGCAAGGGCAAGGCGGCGAGCACGTCGAGCAAGGCCAAGGGCAAGAAGCGCGCTGCGTCGCCGGCCGCCTCCGACTCGGACGACGACGCCGCCGGCAGCTCTGCACCCTCGACGCCTCGCACGCCGGTCAAGCGTCGCTCGACGACCCGCCGCAGCGCCGCCGCCTCGAAACACGACGCCGTCGTCGACCTCACCGAGTCGCCGCCGCGCAAAAAGAAGAAGAAGAAGGGCGACAAGGGCAAGGACAAGCCGGTCGGCGGCGCGAGCGGCATCATTACGGCCGGCCACGCCTTCTCGGACGAGCGTCGCGCCGCGCGCGACAAGGCCAAGAAGCGCGAGGCGCCCGAGGCGAGGTGGCCGACGCAGGAGGAGCACGAGGGCTGCGCGGCGGGCGCTGTCGCGGTCAGTCGCGGCGGCGAGTCGAGCGGCGCGGCGCAAGGTGCGTCGGACGCGAGGTGGGCGCGCCGCGAGGCCAAGGGCAAAGGGCGCGCCATGGACGTCGACGACGAGGACGAGCCTGGCGGCACGTTCCTCGACGACCTGCACGCGGCGCTCGCGGGCCCGCTCGAGCCCAGCACGAGCGCCGCCGCCCCGCTCGCGCCCGTCTACTCGCGCCGCGCCCTCAGCCTCATTCCCGACCTCCTTCCACCTTTTTCCCCTCACTCGCTCCTCGACCGCCTCGCCGCACCCATGCGCAACGCGTCGTCATCGACTTCGAGCCCGTCGACGTTCGTCCGCCCGACCGACCGCGACTACGAGCCGGGCGAGGACGACGTCAAGCTGTGGACGGCCAAGTACGGGCCGCAGAGCGCCGACGAGGTGCTCGGCGACGTGAGCGGGCAAAGCGCGAGGTGGCTCCGAGACTGGCTCGAGGAGCTGAAAGTGCAAGGAGCTGGTGCGTCCTCTCTCTTTCTCTCTTTCCTCCTCCCCCTCTACCGTGTGCCGGCTCTCTCAAGGTAGATGTACTGACGAGCCGTTCGTCGCACCTGCAGCCGGCGATGCCGACGCGGCCAGGCGTCGTCGTCCAATCGCGCGCGGGCTCATCAAGCCCAAGAAGAAGGCCAAGAAGCGCAAGCCGTTCAACGACTTTATCGCCTTGTCCGACGATGAAGACGACGACGCACCCGCCACCTACCCGTCCTCGTCCTACGACGCTCGCGCGTCCGACTTTGGCGACGACGACGACGACGACGACGACCTCCTCCTCCTCCCGTCCTCCTCAGCCTCTCGCCGCGCCGGCTCCGTCTTCCCCAACCTCACCAACCTCATCCTCCTCCACGGCCCACATGGCACGGGCAAGAGCGCCGCCGTTCACGCTGTCGCGAGCGAGCTCAACTTCGAGGTGTTCGAGGTCTTTCCCGGCATGGGTCGGCGCAGCGCTAAGGACCTCGAGCGCTACGTCGGCGACGTCGGCCGCAACCACGTCGTGCTCGGCGGGAGCCCGAGGAAGGGCGGGCAGGGAGGGGCAGCGGGAGGGAGTGTCGCGGCCATGTTCAAGCGGCTGCAGGCCAAGGTCGAGGCCGGGCCTGTCGCGAGTGGGAGCGCGCACGGGGCCAAGGGCAAGGAGAAGGAGAAGGAGACGGGCGCCGAGGTGCGCGACAAGGGCCCGACGCAGTCGCTCATCCTCGTCGACGAGGTCGACGTGCTCTTTCGAGGCGACGAGGACTTTTGGCAAGGTGCGTCGAGCGGTCCTCTTCCTCCTCTTCCTGTCACTACTCGCCGACACTGACCTCTCTCGCAATCTTTGCGCGCAGGCCTCATCTCGCTCGCCCAGCAGTCGCGTCGCCCGATCGTCATGACCTGCACCAGTGCGCTCGGCCCTTTCCCTCGCCTTGTCTCGCTCTCGGGCACTTACACTGTCTCTCGAGCAGACTTCTCCAACGTTCCCTTCGACGAGCTCGGCCTGCAACAGGTCGTCACGTCCGCGACGACCTCTCCCGCCAACTTCCTCTCGTTCGCCGCACCTTCGCCCGATGTCGCCGTCCCCTACCTCCAGCTCGTCGGCCTGCGCGAGGGTCACATCCTCCCCTCCTCGACCGTCGACTCGCTCTACTCGGCCTTCTCGCGCTCGCGCCCGTACCCGGCGTGGCTCACGCAGCAGGAGCCCGGCGAGCGACCCCTCCCGCATCCGCTGTCGAGCATGCCGCTCCCGAGCGACGACCTGCGCAAGGCGCTCATGCAGCTCCAGTTCGAGTGCGCGTGGGGCGTGCCGGGAGCCACGAGCGGCGAGGAGTCGGACGGCGCGCTCGTCGAGGACGAGACCGCGTGGTGCGAGGGGGCGCTGCGCGTGCCAATCAGCGCCGAGGGCGACGACGGCCGGTCGGGCACGCAGGCTGTCTTGAATGGCACGACGGGGGAGTCGGACGGGGCTGGTGGACGGGACGGCAAGGCGCTCGAGCGTGCGGCGCTGGCCGCCGACGCACTTTCTTTCGCCGACGCCCACGTCGCTCGGCGCATCTCGGCACTCATCGAGGTACGTCCCTTGACCTCTCTTCGTATCTGTCTATCGACAAGGCCTGACTGTCGTACCTCGTCGCCGTGCAGGACGAGGAGACGGGCCGCTTCATCACGCCGGGCGACGCCGAGGCGTCCTTCCCGGTGCTCGAGTACGTCCTGCGCGAGGACACGCAGCGCATTCCTTTCGTCGGCGCCGAGCCGGACATGGTGCAGGCGATCGACTCGCTCGCGTTCGGCCTGTGGGAGGGCGTGACTCGCTTCGGTCCTCTCGAGGACGAGGAGCTCGAGTCGAAGCGGTGCGCCCCCACTCTCTCATTATCTCTCGTATCCGTGCGAGTAGAAACGTTGACTGACATGTTCTCGAGCCTGCAGGTCCGACTTTACCTTCCGCCTCGGCCAACTCGTCCACTCGGGCGGCGACAACGCCCTCCTACAGCCGCCCGACCCGATCCTCCCCAGCTCCTCCGTCACGACCGACTACCGCCCCTACCTGCGCAGCATCACCCTCGCCGACGACGACCGCCTCGCCGCCTCGGCGTTCGCGAGCGCTAGCGCCGCCGACGATGGCGGCCCGAGCGAGGTGCACGCGCTCGGCATGGCGGCCTCGCTCGCCGCCGCGGCCGGGCCCGGCGGCGCCGGCGCGCGCAAGCAGCGCAAGTCGGCGCGGCAGAAGGCGCAGAAGGGCGAGCCAATGTACGAGCGCGTGCTTGGGTGGGCGAGCGAGGTCGAGGCCGACTGGCTTCGCGCGAGCGGGTTTGAGTAGCTGAGTGGGGCGCTTGATCTAGCAGACGCAATGGGCTTGTCGACGGTGACTCGCTCTGCCCGCAAGAGACAGAAAGAGAGCTGCAGCGTTGCTTTGCGAGAGCCAGCAACCGGCGGCTCGAGGGGAGGCTGTGATCAGCCCCGGACTGATGAAAGACGCGCCTTCTTCGCCGTCTCTCGTTCGCGCATCTCCACCATGCGCTGTGTCCTGCAGCGAGTCAAGTCTGCGAGCGTCTCTGTCGACGGCGAGGTCATCTCGAGCATCGGGCGAGGTGCGCACCCTCTCCTCTGCTGCTCCCCCCACCTCCTCCTCTTTCCAATCCCTCGAGTCCACCCAGGTCGCCCGATCCAGCCAAGCTTACCTGCCACAAGCCTCACAGGTATCCTCTGCCTGGTTGGCATCGGCGCAGACGACTCGAAGCACGAGGCCGACTGGCTCGCCGGCAAGCTGCTCGCGCTCAAGGTGTTTCCCGAGGACCGCGAGGGCGAGGTGTGGGGCTGGAAGAAGAGCGTCGTCGAGGCAGACTACGAGGTCCTGTGCGGTGCGTCCTCTGGCTCTCTCTCTCTCGTTGTCCCACGTTCGCACCGCCGTCCTGACCTTGCTCTCGCGCGCGCGCAGTCTCGCAGTTCACGCTCCAGGCCAACCTGCGCAAGGGCGCCAAGCCCGACTTTCACGGCGCGTGTCCGCCCGACGTCGCGCGGCAGATGTACGACGACCTGCTCGCCGATTTGCGGCGGCGGTACAAGCCCGAGCGGATCCAGGACGGCCGGTTCCAGGCCATGATGGACGTGCAGCTCGTCAACGACGTGAGCCCTGCCTTCCTCTCTCTCTCTTTCTCGTCCCTCGCACATGCGCATACAGTCGACCTGACGCTCTCGAGCGCGTCACCGCAGGGCCCCGTCACGCTCGTGCTCGACTCGGCGACCGACGCTCCCGCACGACCTGTCGCAAAGGCGCCGCTCACCGAGGAGCAGAAGCGCAAGGCCAAGGACAAGCTCGCTGCGCGGCAGAAGCATCGCGAGCAGCATTCGGCGGCGGCCTCGTCGGCGGCGACGAGCGGCGCGGCGACGCCGGCGAGTGCGGGCGAGGCGAGCGAGGCCAGTGCGGCGTCGAGCACGCCTGCGCTATCGGCCGAGCCGGCGACGTACCTCGAGCAGGACTCGAAGAGCGCGCCGGCGCAAGCGGCGACGGACAGGAGCGAGTCGGAGCTCATCCACGAGGCCTCGGAAAAGTCGCGAGAGCTCGCCGAGCGGTTCAAGGTCGCCATGCTCGAGCCTTTTCCTTAGCTGCTGCGCTCGAGAGACTCGCACTGCAACGACGATAGATCTCTTGCACGAACGTCTACAGAAGAGAGAGACGAGCGGGTCTATGCAAGAAAGTCCTCGACGACGTCGAGCCAGGGCTGGGTCGCATCGACCATGGGCAAGTGGCCTGCGCCCTGGATCTGCTCGAACCTGGCGTCGACGCCGTCGGCCTTGAGCTTGTCGGCGAGGCCCTTGAGCACGCCGGGGAGCGCGCCGTCGCGCTCGCCCGCAACGAGGAGCACCTTCTTGCCGTCGCCGCCCTTGAGCTTGTCGGCGAGCCCGGGCAGGACGTCGTAACCCTGGAGCGCGGCCGCGCCCGCCGCAAAGCCCTCGATCGGCGTCGTCGCGACCATGTCGTGGATGAAGTGGGCCCGGCGCCCGCCGACGTTGAACTCGCTAGTCGCGCCGCTCGGGAACCAGCGCGGGACCGTCACGTCGGCGAGCGGCACCATCGAGCCCTCGTTGCGGGCGAGCGCGATGCGCTCGTTCCATGCGGCGGCGTTGGCGGCGGGCGACGTGGCCTGCGTGTCGCATGCGACGAGGCGGTCGAAGAGGTCCGGGTGGTGCTGCGCGAGGGCGAGCGTCGTGGCGCCGCCTTGCGAGACGCCGATGACGGCGTGGATGGGCGTCGGGATCGAGAGCTTGGCAAGGATGGTGGCGATGTCGCCGGCGAGCACCTCGAGCGTGCAGGGCTTTGGCGGGACCGACGACTGCGGGAACGAGCGGAGTGTCAATACTTTGCGACACCGAGAGAGGGCAGAGCAGAGAGAGCGAGAGGGGGCGCACCTTGCCGTGACCACGTTGATCGTACGTGACGAGGTTGTACTTCTTGCTGAGGCGCGGCAAGGCGCCCTCCCACATCTTCTGGTTGGTCATGAGCGAGTTGACGAACACGAGCCACGGGCTCGCGTCGTCGCGCTTGGCGACGCGGACGTGCAGCGTCACGCCGTCGTCGACCTCGACGTCGTGCTCAGTCTGCTCGGTCTCGGGGAGCGGGACACTGATGGCGCCCATGTCGCCGACGTCGAGCGTGACGAGGAGGCGCGAGACCATGTTGTACGTCGCGGCGACGGCCGTCGCCTCGAGGAGCTGCTGGTCGTCCTTGAGGTGCTCCTTGAGCTCGTCGAGGATCGACTGGGGCACGTTGACACTGAATGTCGATGCGTCGGCGAAGCGCAGGGCGGCGGCCTGGAACGGCGAGAGGACGCCCGGGGCGGCAGGGGTCGGCAGCGGCGTGTACAGGTCGCGGATGATGGTGAGCTGCTGGTTGGTGAGGCCGGCGTCGGTGCCGACATGGGCGTGGTCTGCGAGGCCGAGAGAGCGTCAGGTCCGTGCGGCCGGTGGGCGGTCGGGTGAGCGAGAGGGGACGCACGGATCCACTCGAAGCAGGCCGAATTGCGGGCGGCGACACGAAGGATCTGGGAGGGCGAGGGACGGTCAGTGGCGCGTCCTGCTGCGTATGAAGAGAGGTCGAGGCGCACCATAAGCTCGCGGATGTCGTCGGGGAGCGAGTTGCGGTTGCGCACGGCGCCGAGGAGCGTGTTCCAGCCGTTCTGCGGGAGGACAAGAGGGTCAGTTTGGCCTGCACGGAGACAGAAGAGAGCTGGCGCAGGACGGACGGCGATTTCGGGAGCGTTGAGGAGGGTCTGGTCGAGCGGGGTGAGGCCTCGAGGGCCACGGCGGTCGCGCATGGCGTCGCCGACGACCGAGGTGCCCTTTGCCGGGTTCTTGTACGGGATGCGAGGCATGCTGCGCGGGGCAGGCGGCGGGGTCAGCTTGATGGCGCAAAGGTGGCCGAGTGGGGGCGAGGAAGGCGGCGGGTGGGTGACGACTGGCTGTGGCGCTGTGGGGCGCAGCTCGTCGTGCAGCAGGACTGCCCGCGAGTCTGCCGAGCACCTCGACGGGCACACCAGAGCTGTGGTGGCCGAGGCGACGTCGAGCCGCGGCGGGGAAGGTCGAGAGACGGCGCGAGCGAGGCTGCGCCCAATTCGAGGCGAGAGGCGGAGGGCAAGGGCGGTGTGCTCACCTGATAGAAGGACAGGGAGCTCAGTCGGGAGCAACGGTGGTGGAGCGAGGCGAGAGAGGACGGCGGATCACAGCCGACTTGGCCGCGGCTCGCTTGCTCTCGTCCCGCTACTTCAGCAGAGCACCCAAGCTAGCCTGTGAGCCCGTCTGCTTCCTTTACAGGCCCCCGTCGACCACCTACGCACCTCGCCCGCCGCCTCCTCGCTTACCCTCCCTCCTCGCCCCCACCTCGTCCTTCGTCCTCGTCCTTCTCCCGGCACACCTCGCCCTCGTCCTGCACCATCCCGACCACCTGCAGCACTTCCTCCACCTCGACCATGTCCGCCCCGTCCCCATCTGCACCCGGCTACCTCTGGGTCCTCAGCGAGCCAGGCTCCCAGGCCACCGTCCAAGAGTTCCAGGGTGCGCCCTCGCTCGTTCCACCCGACCGTCCCGTCAGTGATCAATGGCTTAAGACGTGCGATGCCCCCGCAGACTGGTACGACAACGAGCACGTCCCGCTCCGCATGGCCAAGTACGTCGACCTCTTCCCTCTCCCTCGCTCGCGGCTTCCATGGCGCACGACTCACAGTCTCTCTCCCCTCGCACAGCATCGCCGAGTTCGAGACGGGCGCACGGTACGAGGCCGCCGACGACCTCAAACCCGGCTGGTCCGCCGCATACGACATCTCGTCCGTCGCTCTCTTCTCCGACGACAAGTACACGCGCCTGCGCGCCAACCGCTCGCCGCGCGAGGGCGCCCTCGTCGCCCGCCTCGAGACGCTCGACCGCCGCACGGCCGAGAAGCTCGCCGAGACGAGCGCGCCGCCTGCAGCCGCCCACGCGCCCCGGTTCGTCCTCACGGCGGCGGGCGACGACGCGCCGCGCGACGACGAGCTGCGCGCGTTCGAGGGCGTCGAGGGCTGGAGGAGGAGCCATGCGCACCGCGTGTACGACTCGCTCGTGATCGGGCACGGCAAGGAGCCGAGGACCAACGTCGCGCCCAAGTTTGTCGTCATTCACGGTGCGCTCACCTCTCGCTCCGGCCCTCTCGTCCTCTCCCTCTCTCCCTCGATGAACGACGTAGACGGTGACTGACCGACCTGCCCCCCCTCTCTCTCCCCTGCACCCTCTCGTCTGCCTGGTCCGCCCACTTGCGCCTCCTCCCTTCCCGCGCCTCCTCCCACGCGCAGAGTTCGACACCGAGGCGTACGTCTCGTCGCCCGCCTACGCCAAGGCGACCGACGGCAAGGCCGAGGTGCGCCGGTGGAAGCTGTACCGCGCGACGCCCAACACGGCGGCAAAGGCGTGATCAGGCGGCGAGCAGGGGCCTGAGCGGGCAGGAGGAGGAGATGCTCGAGTCGTCGTGCGAGGAGATGCAGTGCAGCGATTACCAGGAGCCGAGCAAGCGACTGAGAGCATCGGTGCGGCAGCAGAGGAAGCTTGACCAAGCTCGAGGACCGTGCGAGCGCTTTGAGCCGATTCTCTCTCTCTCATGCTCCAGGCACTCTCTCTCTCGCGCGTCGAGGTCGACAGCTGCGACAGCTCCATTACGCACTCAGTCTATGAAGACCCACAATCTAGCTCAGCCACACGGCATGACTCGCGCCCGTGCCCCGCTCGTCCTCGTCGACCTCGCCCGCGCCGTCGCCCTCTCGCGGCGCATCGACGCCGAGCCGCACGCTCGCCACCTCGCGCAGCTCGTCCCACTCGTCGCGCCACTCGAGCACCGACACGAACCCTTGCTCGTCGTCCGTCAGGACGACCCAGTCGTGGCCCTCGCCGCTCGCGCTGCCGCCGCCAAAGGGAAACACCTCGATCGCGTTGGCCTTGCCGCCGCTGTTGCGCGTCTCGAACCTGCTCCTTGCGCCGTAGCCCGGCTCGACCGCTCCCTCGCCTCGTGCTCCCGCTCCACGCTCGCGTTCGCGCACACTCCCGTCACGCGCGAGGTCAAACACGGCGACCCACCCTCGCTCGCTCGACGTCTTGCCACGTGTCGTAACGTAGATGCGGCGGCGGTCGGCCGAGAGGCGCAACGTGTCGCCGCGGTACTGCGCGCGGGTCGGGTGCTGGTGGGGCGGGATGATGGACAGGCGCTGCGAGTGCGAGAGGAAGGGGGACGAGGGGAGGACGTCGTACACGTCGAGGTACGAGGCTGCGGGACCGAGCGAGGAGGTCAGTGTTGGTGCTTCGGGTGAACCACGCGCCGCACCGGCGTTGAGCTGGCGAGTACGGGCTCGGCGACGGTACGAGGGCAGAGAGGACCGCTCGACGCACTGTGCTCGGTCACGACGTAGAGCTTGTTGCCGTCCGGGCTCGGGACACTGTGTCTCGGTCCCTCGTGGCCCTTCTCGCCGTGCGACGGCACCTCGCCGAGGTGCTCGAGCGTGCCGTCCGACTTGAGCGAGTAGACGAATACCGAGTCGCGGCCGCTGCGAGCGCGACGAGGGACAGATCAGTGCTCGCGCTCGACGCTCGACTGGCTCAAGGGACACGAAGGAAAGGAGGGACGCACACATGAGGGACGTAGGCCCGTCGGTGAACCGGGTCGAGGTCGACGGCGTGGCTGCCGTACCGCAGCGCGACCCTCGTCTTGTCCGTCTTGGGGTCGCGCAGCTCGTCCTCGCCGCCGTCCAAGTAGATGACCTCCTGCAGCTGTTCGCCGAACGCGCCCGTCGCCGGGTCGGCCGCGAACGTCTGCGCGACGGGCCCGCCGGCCTGGTAGATGCGAGGAGGGGTGAAGCCGAGGGATGCGGGCGAGACGGCGAGGTAGGAGCCGGTGGCGGCTGTCGAAGGGAGGGAGCAGGACGTATGCGGCGCAGCGCGAGGTCAGTCCATGGCACGAGACGAGGAGAAAGAGCGAGCCGCGGCAACGCACAGATCGGGACCGTGTTGAGCTTGCGCACGCCGTCCTTGCCGCCGCCGAGGACCTGCCAGCTGCTCAAAGTCGGCGGTTGTGCCCAGGTCGTCGCGTACGCCGTCGTGCGGTCCTCGCTCAGGGCGAGGAACTGGTGCGGGCCCTCGGCGCGGTACTTGCGGTGGACGGCGAGGGTGGGCCCGCCCGGCGCGTAGGGCGAGAAGGCGAGGAGGTACAGGAACAAGGTGTTGAACGTGCCGCTCAGGAGGTAGTGCAGCCGCGGGCAGAGCGAGTCGGCTGCGTTCACGGCCGCGAGCAGCGATGAGGTCGGTGGTGGAGTCTGCGCGAGGGCGGGACGAGGTCAGCGGGCTCGCGCCAGGGTGGAGACGGGGACGACTGCGACTCACGCAAAGACCAGCCATGGCGGCAGGAGCGGTGAGACGAGGAAGAGCGAGCCGCGAAGTTCGAGGAGGAGAAGTGGGGGGCGACTCTCTTCTCTGCTCGCTCTGTGGACTGTGCGGGACTTTCAGGCTGTTCTCTTGCAGTCTCTGTGTGTCCCAAGACTGCAGGCGGGCCTTGTACTGCGTGAGCGAGCGAGGGAGCGGACATTTCGAGGCTCGTCCGCCTCGCCGCCCATACGAGCCGAGGTCGACTTTCACCGCTTTACCGAGCCCACAACGAAGCTGCAAGAAGCCTGTGCTGGGCGCGGCCGTCGTAGAGAGCGACCGCGGGAAGCGCGGCTGAACCTTTCGACGAGCCAATCGGCAGCCTTCGAGGTGAAACCGGCCGCGGCTCGCACCGACCGCGGCCTGGCGACGCCGACGAACGGCCGCAGCCCCGCTCTCTCGCTCTTCCTCCCCTTCACACGCTTCGCTTGGCTGTACTCGCACCACTTCTTGCCGCCCGCCGACCATGCGCGCCTTCACCACCGTCCTCGCCGCCGCCGCCCTCGCCTCGAGCGCACTCGGTCCGTCCTCTCCTCCTCGTCCTCCCCTGCGAGCCCTCGGCAGGCCGGCAGCGCCTCGCACCTGCCTCTGCCGTGCGAGCCGCATGAGTGCAGGACCCGACCTGACCTGTAGCGACCCCTCGCAGCCCACAACGATGCGCCCAAGAGCCCCGACGAGATCAAGTACATCCAGTCGATCGAGGAGAAGATGTACGCCTGCGGCCCCAAGATCGAGAAGTACCGGGCTCTGCGCAAGCGTGCCGTGAGTCCCTCTCTCTGGAGCGGTCAGCCCCGTCGACGTTCCGACGCGACGCCATGTCGCCGCCGTCCCTGCTCCTCCTCGAGGTTGCCTCGCCCAGCTCGGTACCGCACGTCGCTAACCAGTTCCCACGTTCGCAACAGGCCGCACAACAATTCCTCGGAGCCGGGCAGGCCCCGACCAACGCGCAGGACCTGTTCATCGACGGCGAGGGGGACGACGACGACACGCTCATTGCGAGGACTTTGCTCGCGCCGTTGACCGAGGAGCCGCGCATCCGCAACCACTCTTGTATCTGTGCGTCGACATGTTCCTCCTCGCAAGGTCCCTGCCGCAGACCGGCGGTTTCAGGACAGCCCTGACCTCGCCTTCGTACCCTTTTCCCTTCGTCGCCTCGCAGTGCACCCTCAACTCACCGAGGGCCCGTACTACCACACGGAGGGTCACCCGATCCGCCAGAACATGGCCGAGGACCAGCTCGGGCTTCCTTTCGTACGTCCACATTCCCTCCTTACACCCTCTCTTCACGAGGACGACGCGACTGACCCGCTCTCGTCGACGCAGTTCATGGACGTCGGCATCATCGACGTCAACACGTGCGAGCCGATGGAGAACGTCCTCGTCGACCTGTGGCACGCCAACACGACGGGCCACTACGCCGGCCACCCGGAACAGGAGCCTCACCTCAAGTGGGAGGGCCCGGCGCACGAGGGCCCGCGCAAGGGCCTCCTCAGCAAGTTCCCGCGCACCAACGACCACGAGACGTTCCTGCGCGGCGCGTGGCCGACCAACAAGCACGGCCTTGCCCAGTTCTCTTGTACGTCCCTCGCCTCACCTCGCTCGGACCCTCTCGCGGTCGATCGCCATCGTGCCCATCCCTCCCTCGACCCAGGTCCTGACTCGGCTCGTTTCTCCTCGCAGCCATCTTCCCCGGCTACTACACCGGCCGTGCGACCCACGTCCACGTGCGCGTCCACACCGAGTGGACCCCTCTCGCGAACGGCACCTTCACGTCGCACCGCATGCTCCACACGGGCCAGTTCTTCGTCCCCGACTCGATCAACATGCAGGTCGACAAGGTGTGGCCCTACAACACGAACCCGATCGCCGACAAGTGGGGTCGCACGCGCAACTGGGCCGACTCGCTCCACATCTACCAGGACGCGCACGGCAACGGCGCCAACCCCGAGTTCGAGGTCCTCAAGGTCGGCAGCGTCCTGCAGCAGGGCATGATCGGCTACATCACGGTCGGCGTCGACTCGAAGGCCAACTACGACGTCAACGCGCCGTGGCAGCCCATCCCGCCGTCCGCCATGAAGGACTAGCGCGCTCGTTCCCGACGGGTGCTCGTCGACAGCTCTGCACGAGCTGGTCGAGGCTCTCGACGAGAGTGAGCGGCGGACGGCGGCGGTCATTTATCTCGACCTCGGGGAGGAGCAGGACCTGTAGTCTTTGTCGTCGTCTGAGCAATTCTCTCTTGCAGTATCTTTCTCTCTCTGCGACGAGATTCTCTCTGAGGGTCGCAAGAGAGTGTCTCGACACATCAGGCTCGCTATCGAGCGCACTCTCACGCTTTCTCTCGCTCTGACTCGCTCTCGCCGTCCCGCTCGGACCTCGACTCGACTCGGCTCGAATGCGAAACGTTTCTGTACATTGCGTCGTCCAGCTCGTCGGCTAGAAGCCCTTGCCGGCGATGAGGTGCTCGAGCGCGCTCTTGGTGTCGTCCTTGGCCTCTTTGACGAGGCCGGCGAGAGAGCGGAAGGCCGGGTGGGCGGCATCGTCTGCGAACGGGCGAGAAGGTGTCAGTACGCTGTGCTCGAGAGCGAGGACATTGTCGACATGTCGCACGCCGACATCTGAGCCGGCGAGAGCTGCTTGAGAGCCGCCGATGCCGCACGCGACGCAAAAGAAGGGCGAGGGGAGGTGGTTTGAGAAGGCCGCATCGGTGAGGGCGGTCACCGAGCCCGAGGGCGCGCTCACGACGTGCGAGCGAGGCGGAAAGAGGAGAAAGAGGAGAACGAGACGCACCGATCAGCTGAAAGAGGATCGACTCGGACGTCGTGACGAGCGCGCCGGCGTCGCGCATGCGCTGGTGGGCGTCGTCGGATAAAGAGTCAGTGGCCGTATCGACATGCCCCGCCGTGTCGGCCGGACGTCATGATGCGGGCCAGGAGGGGGGAAGAGGGTGGAAGACCTGCGAGACGCACCTTGAGCGCGATGCCGACCTCATCCTGGTTGCAGCTCGAGACGCCGTCGGCCAAGACGTGCACGTCGATCCCTCGCTCGAGGAGGTCGAGCGTCGTCTGAAGCACGCACACGTGGCTCTGTGTGCACACGCCAGTCCGGCAAACTCAGTCTCGGCCGCAAGGAGCGAAAGAGACGGACGGCGAAAGGCGACGAGCGCACCTCGATGCCGAACAGGACGACCGACTTGGTCCCCCACTCCTCGAGCTGCTTCTCGATCTTGGGCACGACCATCGAGAACTTGGTCTTGGCGAGCGGGACCCAGTCTGGTCGCAGGTGGGAGGGGAGGTCGAGGAGGGGGAGCGGGACGGTCGCGCCGAGGGCTACGAGCGCAGTAGGGGGCACGTGCGGATTCGGTTTCGGCGGCGAGACTGGTACGAGTGTCAGTGTCTCGTCGACCGCACGGGAAGGAACCGGGGAGAGGTCGAGCCGTGCGCAGGAAGGGAGGGAGGGAGAGAACGAGGGGCGCACATTTCGGGTTCTGCTCGGTCGCGATGACGGGCACGTCGAGGAGCTTGGCGGCCTTGAGCATCTTCTCGGCGGTCTGGATGACGGACGGGTAGGCATGGATGACGAGGCGGAAGCGCTCTTGCTGTCGACGACAGAGAGGGTTGTCAGCTCGACCGCCCGCGCTCTTCTCGACGATGGAGAACTGCACACGCACGATGTCGCAAAGGAAGAAGGCAGTCTGCGGGCCAACGAGCGATGGTGAGCTTCTCGATGCGCGGAAGTGGGGAGAGGAGAGGAAAGGTGAGCCGCACCTTGCCGGGGACGACCTTTGCGACGCGGCGAGCTGGAGCGGCCATGGCTGGAACAGAGCTGCAGATGGTGCGAGAGCGAACGGTGGTCGGCGCGGCGAGGAGAGAGCGAGAGGCGAGAGCGAGTTTGGGCGAAGCAGACGACGGTCGAGCGGTCGACGCGTTACGAGTGCGGGGGTCGGAACGAGCGCGGGCGAGATCTGCCGCCAAGCGGAAGCGCTCGCAAGCCAGGTGGTCCGACAGGGGGAACTGATGAAGCTCGAGCGAAGGAGATTCCTCCGTCGAGAGGAACCCTCGCCTCGCACGCTCTCACCTCGCTGTGCACGCTCAAGCTGGACGCCCGACTACTCGTCAAGACTGCTCGTGTCTCGCTGCGCCCTTGTGTGAGTCGGCCGTCCCCGTCTCCCCTCGCCGAACCTCGCTCCCGTCCTCCTCGACCTGTTCGCCTCGATCTCTCGACGGCGGGGCACTCGACGAGCGTGAGCAGAGGCGCACGATGCGGCGAGCTGGGTACCTTCGGCGACTGACCCGGCTCGCGCCCGCCTCGCAGACTCGGCCTCTCCTCAGCGTCCCCCTCCTTCAGCGCCGCCTCTCCTCGAGCCGACCTTTCGCCATGTCCGCCCCTGCCGCCGCCGCCGCGACCAAGCCCAAGCCTCCAGCAGACCCGACCGCGATCAACTGCGTCACCGTCCTCGGTGAGCACATCGCCAAGCCGTTCCGGCAAGAGCTCGTCCGCGTGACGGACCAGCTGTCGCCCAAACCCAAGCTCGTCGGCATCCTCGCCAACAGCGGCGCCCCGTCGCGCGCCTACGCCAACTGGACCGCCAAGGCGTGCGAGGCGGTCGGCATCGACTACGAGCTGCGCGAGGTCGGCATCGTCGCGAGCGGCGCGACCGAGGGTACCGCAGAGCAGGGCGAGGTCGAGGAGGCGATCCTGCTCGCAAACCAGGACGTCAACGTCAACGGCATCATGGTCTACTACCCCATCTTTGGGCCTCGCCAAGACGGCTACCTTCAGCAGGCCGTCAGTCCGCTCAAGGACGTCGAGGGCCTGAACTTTACCTGGTGCGCCTCGCTCTCCCTGCCTCTCTCTCTCTTCGTCCCTGTCGGTCCGAGCCGCCGCTCACCTTTGAACAAACGCACGCAGGCTCTTCTCCCTGTACCACAACACCCGCTTCATCGACCCGCGCAAGCTCGCGCTCGCCGCCCAGGTCCTCACGCCGGAACCTTTCGTCCAGAGCGAGTCGCAGGCCGTCCCCTCGACCTCGAGTGCACCTGTCGTGTCGCCCCCGAACGAGGACGGCCTCGTCAAGGCGATCCTGCCGTGCACGCCGCTCGCCATCGTCAAGACGCTCGAGCACTGCCAGGTGTACAACCCGTTGCGCCCGTACGGCTCGCGCGCGTTCGGCCGCACCATCACGGTCGTCAACCGGTCCGAGGTTGTCGGTCGTCCTCTCGCGGCGCTCCTCTCGAACGATGGCGCGCGCGTCTTCTCGGTCGACCTGGACGGCATCCAGGAGTTCACGCGCCGCAAGGTCGACGCCGAGTCGGGCGAGAGCGGCAGCAAGGCGAGCTTCCACCCGTGCCACGTCGTCAAGAAGTGCGAGCTCAGCTACGAGGAGTGCCTCGCGGCGAGCGATGTCGTTATCGGCGGTGTGCGTCCACCTTTCCTCGTCTCCCTCGGCCTTGTTTCGCAGCTACTGACTCGAGCTCTCCTCTTCTCGTGCAGGTTCCGTCCAAGAGCTACAAGATCCCGACGGCTCACCTCAAGGAGGGCGTCATCGCCGTCAACTTCTCCGAGTCGAAGAACTTCGAGGACGACATCAAGGAGAAGGCGTCGCTCTACTGCCCGGGCATCGGCAAGGCGACCATCGTTCTCCTTCAGCGCAACCTCCTGCGCCTTCGCGAGTACCAGGCGGCGCTGCGTGGCCCGGCCGCACAGAAATAGGCGGCGCGCGACGTCCTCCCCGATCGTCCTCCCTCTTCCCTCCCGTCCGACATAGACTCGCACCCACTTTCGTCCCTGTATCGCACCCGGTCGTGCAACTGGTATCCTTCGCCCAACTTCTGGACGCCCGCCGAGGTCGAGCCGAGCCGCCGCTCGTCGAGTTTCGCAGGTCGTTTCGCCGCTCGGGCCTCGCGCCGTCGATTCGCGCCTCGCTTTCTTGCGCTTCTCGCCCCTCGCCCAAGACCGGCGCAATCACGGTCCGCGTCAATGCGCGCTGTGCGCGTGAGAAGCTTGCTGCGCTTCGCCTTCCCGTCCGGGAATCGCAATCAGAGAGTCTGGCCCCGCATCGTCGACTTGCTCGGCGGCCTCTCTCTCGCTTGCTCGCTGCGCAGCTGCAGCCTCTCTTTCAGCTCGTCTTCAGCTTCTCGCCACTTGCGGCTCGCCCTCGTCCACCTTCCGACGCTTCGGACGTGCTGCCGCCCTCGCCGTTTGACATCTCTCGCCTCGCCTTCTCCGCCTTCATCTCGCCTCGCCTCGGCTTGGCGACACCTCCCTGCGACATGGCGGATACTGGGACGAGCCCGTTACCGTCGCAGGCCGACGTGCCGCAGGACGAGCTGCTCCCGACGCTGCCGCAATGGCTCGCGACCGCCCTCATCGGTGAGCCCTACGTCGCCGGGTCTCTCCGAGCACGAGTCGAACCTGACCTCGCCCGTCCCCTCCTTTCTAGGTCCATGCATGGCCGGCTACCAGGTCGCCCAGATCCTTTTCGGCATGTACGCTCAGGCCATGCTGCGGTACGTCGTCTCGGGCGACATCAAGCAGCACGGCCGCCTCGCCCTGTGGACGCTCTACACCATGCTCCTCCTCCAGCTCATCTACGTCGCTCTCACCTTCGTCGAGGTCTACACTAGCGGCGGTGCGTCACGAGTCACTTCTCCCTCTCGTCGACGCAGCAGCCTGACTGAGAGGGTTCTTGTCGTCCCGCTCGCAGTGAGCAACGACCGTACGTTCAACACCGTGTACGTGGGCACCCTGCAGTGGCAGTTCCTCCCCTGGGTCAACGGCATCATCGGCGCGCTTGCCGAGACGTTCTTGGCGGTCCGAGCGGCGTCGGTACGCCCGCCTTCTCTTTCCTCCTCGGCTCGTCGAGCCTCCCTGACTCAAGCTTCCGCGGCAGTTCTTCGCAGGTCGGACGACAAAGAACCTCTTCTACGGGTGGATGGGCGCGCTCGTCACGCTCGTCCTCTTTGGCTCGACCATGACCTTCGCGACCGGCGTTCTCGTGCGTGATCTCGCCTCGCTCCTTTGCGTGCCTGGGCCAGACACTCACGCTCTTCCCTACCCTCGCGCGCAGCTGTACAACGGTATGGACGATGGCGACTTGCCGATGCAGTGGAATACTGCCGTCGCCGTACGTCAACTCTCCCCTCCTCTCGTTCGTCCTCCTGCGCGCACTCTCCTGACCCTGCGCCTCTCTCTTGCAGGTCTGGCTCTGGGCGTCGACTGCCGCCGATGTGTCAATCACGGCGGCCCTCACGTTCAACCTGCGCAAGCGCATCGCCGGCTTCAACCGAGGGACCGACGACCTCTTGCGCAACCTCGTCTGGCTCGGCGTGCGCTCAGCCTCGTACACCGCCCTCCTCTCCCTCCTCGGCGGTGAGTCTCTTTCTTCCTCTCGGCTCGCTGTACCTTTCTGGATCGCCTGGCTCAAGTACTGACGAACCTTGCCTTCCCAGCCCTCGTCGCGACCATCTGGGGCGACGCCGAGTTGCGCACGACCGAGATTCAGATCGCCTTCTGGTTCCCCATCGCGCCCCTGTACGGCCTCAGCCTCCTCACGACGACCTCGTCCGGCCGCAAGATGATCAACGCCCGCGTCGGCAGCGTCTCGCTCGGACCTCGCCCGCCGCCCGAGCTGAGCGGCGTCTTTGCTCGCGACGCGCGCTCGTTCGGCCCTCGAGGCGGCACCTTGCCTGAGCCTGCTGCAGGCTCGGGCATGGGCTCGGCGGCATCGTTCGAGAGCGGCCGTCGAGGCGGGAACGGCCGTCCTGTCGGCGCGCCAGCACTGCAGATCAAGGTCGAGCGTGAGGTCGTGCATGCCGTCGACGACCTCGACGAGGACTTGAGCACGTCGACGAGCACGTCTGGGCCCAGAGCCGACTCGGGCTTTTCTCGCGGCGGAGGAGAGAAGAGCAGGACGAGGTTCGAGGTTTGAGGGTCGATTCGCGCTCGTGCCGGTCGAGCTTTCTGTAGAGCCTCTCGTCGTTCGCGCACGCGGTGTTGTTGTAGAGTTATATAGTTTGCAGTGCGCTTCGAGCGCTCTAAACAAGAGAGGAGAGAGGGCGAACGTCGACAGCTAGATCTCAAACCTCCTCGCCCACCAGTCGACGACCTCGGTGCAGCTCTGCGCCGGGTGCTTCGGGTTGCGGCAGATGATGGCGCCGTGCGCCCAGATCGTGTCGATGAGGTGGACGTAGTGCTTGTGCAGGTTGGGCAGCGAGTTGAGGGACTTGACCTGGAAGAGCTGCGACGCCGAGAGCGCCGGGTCGGTCGACGCGGTAGCCGAGTCGGGCGCTGCCGTCGATGAGGCCGAGTCTTGAGCGTCGCCGTCTCCCTCATCGACGAGTAAGGCTGCGCTCGAGCTGGCCGAGCTGGACGTGGTTGGCGCCTTGTCGCAGCGCCCGGTGACGAGGTGCGCCTCGTCTTGAGCCGTCGCCTGCAGGAGCTCGACCATCTCCTCAGCGTTGATACCGGCGCGAGCCAGCCACCCGTCGCGGCCGCCGTCGACCTTGAGCCTCGCTCGCCTGATCCGCCGGCCGGACTGCGGGATCTGGAGCAGGGACCGGCTGATGAGGGCGATGAGGGCGATGGGGTAGACAAGCGGGAGGGTCGCGATAAAGACGAGGGCGAGCGGTCTGGGCAGAGGGAAGGTGGAAGGGCGAAGGATGAAGGGAAGTCGAACGCGAGGTAACCGTCGACGACCCGCTTTGGTCGACGGCGACGACGATGGTACAGGCACGGCTCGTCGGGCCCGCACGATAGGCACGTCGGTATCGAGCTCACTGTGACGCACACGAGAAAGTATGAGTCCTGATGATGGCGGCGAGGTGGCCCGAGAAGGAGAAAGCGGACGCACAGCTCAAGACCGCCTTCTCGCAGGTCGAGCGCCGCATCAGGGTCGTCGTCGCGTTCTTGAGCGAGCACCTTGACCTTGTGGAGCGCCTTGGCGAACTGTGTAGCCGCGACGAGTCAGGGGAAGCCCTGGCTGAGCGCGAGATTGGCGAGAAAAAGGACGGACCGGGTCGTGCGCCTCAATCCCTCCTGTCGGGAACGGCACGGTGCGGTCGTTGACGCTGTATCGATCGACATGTCAGGAGTCTGTCTCGTCGAGGAGGGCGGCACGAGGAGAGAGGAGGAAAGGGGAGGACGCACGTGTTGGCGAACAGGTCAAAGCGCTCAAACTTGGCGAGGGCGCGGTAGAACGAGAATCTCGGGTCGGCCATGACCTTGAGAAGCGGGTCACCTCGACGCTTCTGCTCGTCGTCTCGCCGCCGGCCGGCCCGCTCGTCCTCGACCTCGCCGTCGCAAAGAGCCGCCGGCAAATAGACGTCCCGCTCGTACAGCTGCCTGCCCGTGCGGCTGAGCAAGCTTGAGCCGACCGCCCGAGCGAAACGCGAGAAGCGCGAATCGGGATAGACGGGCACGCCAATTGCGGGCGAGGCGAACGTCGTGAAAGAGGTCGGGACGGCCGAGTCGAAGAAGGACGGGGTGCGGGAGTCGAGGATGCCGAGGGCGTAGCGGGCGACAAGGCCGCCGAGAGAGTAGCTGCAGGTGTCGAGAGAGGACGTTAGGTAGGCTCTGGTCGACGAGGGGCTCGTTGACAAGGATGAGAGGATGGGGGAACGAGAGACGCACCCGACCATGCTGAACCGCTCGACTCGTCCGCCCTGCCGCTCGATGCGCTCGACCTCGGCGTCGACCTCCTCGACGACCCTCGCGGCGCACACGTCGATGCCGTCGTACAGGTGGGCCGACGAGAGCCCGTTGCTCTGCACAACGAGAACGACGAGCTTGCGACCGTCCTCGTCGTCGCCCCGGGCTTTGAGCTGGGCGGCCGCCTCGCGCTCTAGGGCGCTGGCGAGGTACGCGACGTGCTTGGGCGAGCCAAAGAGGCCGTGCAGGATGACGACGAGGTGGACCGCCGCCGAATGCGGGGAGGGCGAGCTGGTGCCGTGGTGCTCTGTGCAGCAGCTGCTGCTGCTGCTGGCGAGCATGATGCAAGGCGCACTGTAGCGGTAGGCGAGGAGAGCGAAGAGTGCAGCGAGGCGGGCGAGCGAGAGAGCTGAACGAGGGACGACAATCGAGCGCCCGAAAGCCGCGACCGGCCGACCCTCGGGTCGGAGACGGGCGGACGATGGGAGCGCTCGGCCTAGTTACGTACCGGCCTCGGGGCGTAGCAAGTCGATGCGCGCGCGAGATGAAGCCCGGGGAGCGAGGAGGCTCGAGCGGGACGCGATTCTCTCTCGAGGCGCTCTCGCTCGCACTGCCGCTCTCTCGCTCTCGTACAAGGCTCGTACGAGGTGGGCGTGAAGGGTATATTACCGGTGGAGAGACGCGGGAGGACATGAACGTGGGAGGAGGAGGGGAGAGAAGCGTGTAGACAAGGCGGTGTGCAAGGGGGAGGGAGAGGGGCGAAAGTCCATCGACAACGAGGCGCGCGAGAGGGAGAGAGAGGGCGATGCGAGTGAGAAGTGTAAGGGATGAGGAGGCGAGAACGAGGGACGAGAGCGTCGATAGGAGGGCGGGAAAAGAAGAGGGGAGGAAGGTGCAGGCAGTGTCCTTGATGCGAGCCCGCAGGGTGAAGGGGAGGTAGTCAAACAGAACGGCGAAAGGAGCGAGAGAGAGAAAGAGGGAGGAGAGGTAAGGCGAGGGTGGTAAAGCTCGGCGGCTCGAGGTAAATCGAGTTGACGAGGTCGACCTCGCGGTCTAATATGGCGAAACGACGGGCGACCTCCTGCCCGTCCGGTACCTCGTCGACATGGTCCGGACGAGCTCGCTGCGGCCCTCCTCGAGCAGGCAACTCGGCCCGAGCGACGACCCGCTCAGAGGGTGCGCATGACGGTCCACGCGCCGACGGCGCCGGCGGCGACCATGATGCCGAGCTCGGCCCACTCGGCGCGCTGCGTGCCGTCGCTCGTGTAGCCGAACAGGCTCGGGAACGTCGTCGGGCGCGGGCGCGTCGTCGCCGTGATGGCCTGGATGACGCTCGAGCCGGCCGAGTTGGTGGCCGCAGGCGCGCCGGCCGACGAGATGGACGTCGGCGGCGCACGCGACTGGGCCCACGTGAAGCGGTCGCTGAGCGAGGCGATGTCGGCGATGAACTCGTTGCGGACCTCGGTCACGTTGAGGATGCGGTAGTCGCGCAGGTCCTTGGTGCCGCTGTTCGAGTCCTCGACCTTCTCGTACTCGAACTGCATGTAGAGCTTGATGCGCGGGAAGCGGTCGAGCATGGTCTGCGACGTGACGCAGTCTTTGAGCCTGTAGGCGCCGGGGCAAGGTGGTCAGTAATGACCGACGAGGAGGGGGGACTGTCGCGGCGAGGGGGACGCACCAAGCCTGCTGGAGCTGAGTCTGCGACGCAGGGCCGTCGTCGTTGACGTGGAAGGCGGCACCGGCCTCGGCAAACTGTAGGAGGACAAGAGTCAGGTTTGGGAAGGCGGGGCAGGAGTTGACGAGGCAGACTGAGGACGGACCATGCACGCCTTGGACGGCTTGCTCGCGCAGTACGCCTGGTAAAACTCGGTGATGGCGCTGTTGTCGGCAGGGTCGGTGCCCGTGATGATGGACGCGCAGTAGCCGTCGGGCTGAACGTTGTTCTGAATGTCGGAGGGAACGCCCTTGTAGTCTGCGGGCGAGCACCATGGTCAACTCGGGCTCGTCGAGAGCGGACAAAGGAAAGAGATGAGGGAACGCACAGATCGAGAGACCGATCCAGTCGACAAGGTCGTCGCCCGGGTAGTACGGCGAGAAGGCGTCGTCGCCGGCGTCGAGCTCGCCGTTGCCGTTCGTGTCGAGGAGCGCCTGGTTGGCGGCGCTGAGCGCGCCATATGCCGTGTACTGCTGGCCGTACGGGTAGCCCTGGGGCGTGTTGGGCGCCCACACCATGATCGTCTCGGGCGCGATGGCCTTGATGATGGTGTACATGTTGGTCCACGACTGGAGGAAGCCGGCCGGGTCAAAGCCGTAGGTCATCCAGGTACCCTGCATCTCGGGCGCATAGCGGAGGAAGACCGTGCGGTTGAGGTTGGCCTGGTCTGCGAGGGAGAACAGGGCGAGGCGAGGTCAGGCTTGCGTGCGCGACAAGGGCACGAGGACGGGCTTGAGGACGCACAGTCGTAGATCTGCTTGGCGAGGTTGGTAAAGTCGTCGTCGGTGATGGCGTCGAACGTGGTCGGGTAGATGGTGAGGAAGACGGCGGCGTCGGTCGCCGACCGCTCGATGAGCTGCGGCGGAAGGGGGTCAATCGTGCTGCTCGCGCGCTCGAGGGGGCCATGGAGGGGAACGAGGACGCACGCTCTCGGGTGCGGCACCACCTGCGCCGGTCGTGTAGTTGAACGCCGGGAGCGGGATCTGCTGCGACAGCTGGAAGACGGGCACGTTGTTGCCGAGCTTCTGGTTGATCGTGTCGGGCGTGTCGTAGTAGGCTGCGGGGCGTCGACAGAGAGGTCAGTACGAGACTCGACGAGAGGCAGAGAGTGAATGCTTGGCGTCGCCGCCGTCGGACGAGGAGAGCGGAGCCCCCGGTACGAGGCTCGCCGCTGCATCGAGCGCCGCCTGCGCCGCTCGTCGCCCGAGTCGCACACAGTCCCACGGTCCCTCTTGCGCCCCTGCGCCCACACTAGAGCGGCGGCGTGACCACCTCGTCGCGGCCGCAACGCGCGATCGCTCCCCGCGTCTGCTCGCGCTAACCCACAGACCGCCGCCGCCGCCCTCGACGCACGAGAGAGAGAGAGAGAGAGGAGTGGGACGCACGATCTGCCGAGTCGTACCAGAAGCCGAGCATGACCTGGTTCGCAGGCGGCTCAAACATGGCCTGGGCGCTGGCGGAGGTGACGGAGGCGAGCGCGACGCAGGCGGCGACGCAGGCCCCTGCGAGGCGGGCGCGGCGGCTGCGGGTGCGTGGCCGCGGGATGGCGACCTTGGAAGTCGACGCGGTGCAGGCCATGGTGGACGGCGGGCGAGTGAAGGAGGGCGAGAGAGGGGGAGTTGGCAGAGGGAGCGGGCGCGCGACTGGGTCGGCGAGAGGCGGAGGACGAGGGGATCGCGAGGGGCGCAGAGGACGGCTGGTGGCCTGGTGCGCGCTCTGGACGGTCGCCTGGAGCGAGGGCGAGGCGATGGAAGGGAGGAGGGAGGGCTGCGGGCGGCGGACACACACCGAGGCGCCGCGACTGAGGGCGGGGGGGAGGGTCGAGTGGCGAGGGGCGTGAGGGCTGGGGCGGCTGCAGCGAGCTGGCGAGACGGGCTGGCGTGCGACACACGAGGCTCGACGGGGCTGGACAGAGCAGGACGAGGCTCGGGTCACCCAGAATCGGGGGCGAGCGCGGCGAGCTTCGTCGTTTCCCTCGCGTGCGGTTTCTGCCCTGTCTCGCCTTTCCGCTCGCGGCCAAACACGCCTCAAACGAGCTCGACAAGATGACCGCAAAGCTGCAGGATGCGACTACAAAAGGACACAGAAGAGAGAGAGGGGGACTAAGCACAGCTGCATGTGGGAGGGGGAAATCGACGGTCGAGAGCACAGCCTCCTCGGCCCTCACGGCTCGCGCTTGATCGACTCGATGGCGCCGCTGCAGGGACGAGCGACACGGTCAGGCCGACGCTGGGGACAGAGGGCTGGAAGGAGAGGGCGGGCGAGGGAGGAAAGAGGGCGAGACGCACCTGCAGTCCCGGCGAACGTAGGAGAGGAAGTAGGCGTTCGTGTCGCCGGCTGTGTGGTGCAACGACGCCAGTCCGTCAGTTCATCCGTTCGAGAACGACTCGATGGAGGGGGAGGACGTACTAGTCTCCTTGAAGACCTCGTCCTTGCTGACCTCGGACACGACGCTGTCGTTGTCTGCGCGCTCAGAGACGGCGGTCAGGCCTTCGGGAACGACGAGGACAGGCAGAAGGACGTCGACGCACAGCGAAGCCAGCGCTCGGGGTTGCGGTGGTCGCGTTGGAAGATGTAGTAGTGCCCGCTGAGGGCCGTTCCTGCGAGGGAGGGCAAGTGCGTCAGGACGTGCTCCTGATTCACTCGGCGTCGAGACGAGTCACGCTCGGTGGACGGGAGGTGCTGAGGAAAGAGAGATAGGCGTGCGCCGACGCACCGCGGTGGATGAACACGGCCGTCAAGTCGTACCGCATCTCGTCCTTCTCGCCCTCGACGTCGCCGTACAGGAGCTCCATCTCGCGACGCACGTCGCCAATGCGCTTCTTGAGCGCGCTCATCTCGTCGTCGATGGCGTCGGCCTCGGCCTCGGTCTCGGCGACGAGCTGCTTCATCTCGTCGACCCGGGTGCTGATCGAGTCGTGGATGCGGTACCGCGTGTCGGGCTCGCGACGCGTCATGCGGTTGAGGTGCGAGGCGCTCGAGCGCAGCGCAGTGGCGGTGTTGGCGCTCTGTGGGAAAGGAACAGGAGGCTCAGCCTTGCGGGCTCGCCGACGACGAGTCGCTCGACAACGAGGGGAGGAAGGAGGGAGGGAGCCGACGCACCTGCGTCGCCTTGGTGAGCTGGGCGAGCCTCTCCCGCTTCTTCTCGAGGACGCGGCGCAGCTCGTTGATCTTGAGTGCGCGCACGCGGCCCGCCTCGTCGCCCTCGGCGACCTCGACGTATCGGGCGACGCCGATCTCCTGGTAGAACTGGAGGTGCGCGTTGCTCTTGTACACGCTCTGCTTCTCGCGGTCGTACTGGACCCGCTGGAGCTGGATCTGGAGGACGGGCGGCGGCGGCCACACGAGGGCGACGCGTCGCTCGGCGGCGTGGCCCTCGAGCTCGATCGGCGACGGCGCAAAGACGGCGTCGAGGCCGTCGTAGATGTCGCGCGCGAGAGGGACGCCGCCCCACGTGGGCGGAGGCGACACGTCGACGAGGAGGGACGAGAACGGCTCGTCCTGGGTGCGGACCGGGTCGGGGACGGACGACGGGTCGTTGAAGACGAGCTGCTGGCGCATCATGCCGTAGAACGTCCTGCAGTACAGGCAAGACTAAGTCAGAGATCGGCGTCGAGAGAGTAGAGGGAGGGAGAGGAGAGAGCGAGGACGCACCTGCGCAACAAGCTCGCGGTCGCGTGCTCCTGCCCACCCGGCGCGTTGGCGAGCAGCGCCACCTCGACCTGGAACATGACGTTGTCCATGCACTCGGTCACGTCGTTCTGGCGGCCGAACGCCATGTAGCTCGACACCTGGCGCTCGAGCTCCTTCTGCTTGTCGTCGGTCGGCCCGCCGTTGACGAGCGGCGGCATGGGCAGCTCGGGCTGCGGCTCAGGCGACGGTGCGTCGGTGCGACGAGGCGGGAGCGGCGGCGGCCCCTGCGCGGGCCCGCCCTCGGCCGCCGGCAGGTCGAGCGACATGGGCTCCTCCGTCTCGCCGTCGATCGGCGACTCGCCCTGCCGCTCGGTGACGCTCGACGCGCCCGACCGCTCCTCCTCGCTCTTGCCGCGTTTGCTGCGGCGCAGCTCCACCTCGGCCGGCGCGAGTGCGTCGGCCATGTCGGCGTCCTCGGCCGCGCCGGCCGTTGTCGGGAGCGACAGGCCCGCCATGGCCGCGCCGCTGCCCGCGAGCGGCGGGCTCGACAGCGGCGACTGCTGCGAGTCGAGCTGCATGCCGCTCATCGAGGGCGGCGAGGCGGCGCCCTCCTCGCCGACCTTGCGCTTGCCGAGGACGGACGACGACGGCGAGCGCACGCCGGTGCTCGCGCTCGGCTCGGCGGGCTTGTCGCTGTCGGCGAGGACGAGAGGCTCGGGCTCCTCGGTGAGGGTGGCGGTGGCGGCGGGCGCGGTCGCTGCCTCGGCCTCCTCGCGAGAGGGCACGAGCGCAAGGTAGGCGAGCTCGGTCTCGGGCGTGACGGCGCTGATGGACGAGTGGATGAGCTGCTGGTACAGGTTCTGGAGGAGGGCGACGACTGTTGGACGGCAGTCGAGTCAGCAGGCGCGCGAGGAAAGGAGGAGGAGAGGAGGAGGAGGAACGAGGGGACGCACAGCGTTTCGAGCGCTTGACCTCGGCGAGCGAGACGAGTCGGCCGCCAACTCGAAGCTGACCTTGCTGCGACGGCGGTGTTGGCGTGTCGTGGAAGGCGAGGATCGCGTCGCGGACCTCGCGCACCGTGAAGAAGTACTGTCGGCGGCGGTCAAAGCGCTGCGTCAGGGTTCGTTCTCGACGACGCCGAAAAGGGAGAAGAGAGCGAGTGTGAGCGCACCTGGAGCAGCGAGTTGAGGTAGCACGTGTTGGCGATGTTGGTCAAGCCGACAGGGAGGTTCACGTCGGCCGCAGGACCGGCCTGCCAGCCCGCCGAGCTGTCGTCGGGGCGCTTGCCCGTCTGGGCGAGCGTGTACAGCTCGTTGCTCTTCTTGTCGGCGGCGATGACCTCGAGCGCCTCGCGCATCTTGGCCTTTTCCGTGTCGCTTGAGGCGTCTTCAAGCTGCACGAGGGGGAGGAAGGAGGATGGTCAGTCAGTGTCAGCGGCGAGAGATCGTGACTCGAGGGGCGAGCGTGGGACGCACCCGGATCGTGTAGACAATCGAGATGTTGCCCTCGTCGACGCTGACGGCCGGATCGAGACCGAGAGCGCGATACGCCGCGTCGAGGTCCATCCTCGGCTTGTGGACGACGTGGCCCGACGCCGCCGCGACTTGAGCGATCTCGTCGCCCATGCTCTCGAGCATCGCCTTGAGGATCTCGCACTGGCTGAAGTTGGCGACGATGTGGGCCGCCTCGAACAGGACTCGGCGCCGCTCTGGATGCTCAACGGCCGAGTTGCGCGCGTCGAACGCGGCGGAGATCTGGTCGTCGCCGACGTAGTTGTGGAACGGGTTGGCGAGCTGGAGCTCCTTGTAGGCGGTGACGACCTCGCTCGCCGGGAAGCGGTCGAGCGAGCGCTCGATGGCGACCTTTTCCTCGAGCGCGCTCGAGCCTCGGCTCTTGGCGATGCGGATGAGCGCCTCGAGCATGATGGCGACGCGGCCCGGGTTGAGCTGCACCTGCTGGTTATAAACGCGCGACACGACGTGGTCCGACAGGTTGGGCGTGACGCCGAGCTGGTCGTAGTCGCCGGCGAGGGCGTCCTTGTCGGTCGGGGCCGAGGTCGTGCGCGTGAAGCTGACGCCCGACATGGCGCCGGTCATAGGAGCTCGAGGAACTGTGGGTGGATGTGCGAGTCAGGGTTGGGGTCGCTGAGGTGCGGGAGGGAGAGAACGAGAGCTGTCGACGCACGGTCGTCGCCGCCCATCGCCGCCGCCATCGCCAGCTTCGACGGCTTGATGGTGATCCTCGTGCCCAACGGCTTGATGCCCTTGTCCGCTGTACACCGACGATGTCGAGCTCGTCAGTCGCCGAGACGAGGGGGAAGAGGAAGGCGAGCGGGACGCACAGTTCGCCTTGATGAACTCCTCGAGCCAGATACCGACCTCGAGCCAGCACCGCAGGAGACGCATGCGGTTCTCGCGACCGCGCTCGTCGGCCTCGTCGAGGTGCGGGATCAAGATGTGGCCGTCGCGGTAGCCGAAGCCGAGGGTCGCGACAAAGATGTCGTTGCTGCACGGCGAGAACAGGGTGGGCGCGACCGAGGGAAAGAGGCAAGGCAACGAGTCAGACCGAAGGCGCAGGAAGGCGTAGGTGAAAGGAGGGACGCACGTCGTCGCGTCGAACGGCATGAACTTGGCCATGTGCTTGCCCTGCGTCGGCAGCGGGCGCTTCTCGCCGGCGAACAGGAGGTTGTTGATCGTCCTGAACGTACGAAGGACATCGAGACGAGTCAGTCCTGTTTTGACGAGGGCGAGGGACCGAGGACAGGGAGAGAAAGAGCGAGGGGAAAGTGGCACGGACCTCCAGAAGACCCTCGCCGCCTCGTACCTCGCCTCGTCGGCCGTCTTGCCCACCGCCGGCGCGTCGCCCCTCTCGCGCATCATGCGCTCCCACAGCGCGCGCGGGATCACGGCCGGGTAGAACGCCGTCCCGCCGATGGCGACCCTGCCCTCGCCGCTCGCCGAGTGCACCTCGATGAGCCCTCGTCCCGCCGTGCACGCCTCGGCGAACGTGCGCCCGTTGGCCTCGGTACGCGGGTCGTGCTGCGCCGAGAACGAGTCCGGGCACGCCGGCGGGACCGGAGGATGCGGGTGCGCGAGGCCGCCCTCGCCGACGAGGCGCTCGGCAAAGTAGCGCTCGAGCATGACCGGCGTGCACTCGTCGACGCGGTGCCACAGGATGGGCGCGGCGGAGCTGTCGAGGCTGATCGGCGGGGGAGGACGCCGGATCGGGGCGAACAGCGCCCAGGAGAAGGTGCGCGGGCAGAAGTAGAGGTTGGGGTGGGGGCGAGCGTGCTCGAGGTCGGCGAGCGTGGGGGTGTGGAAGCCGCGACGAGGCTTGGGAGGGAGCTCGGGTGGCGGTGAGGAGGAGGAGGCGAGGTCGACGGGCGGGAGAGGTTTGTCGGCGGTCGAGGTCGTAGCCGGGGCGGCGTCGTTGTCGCCCACCGTCATGGCTGTGTCCTCGCTCGCGCCGTTCGACGACGACGATGGCTCGTCTGCCACCGAGGCGCCGGCCGACGCGTCGGGCTCCTCCCGCTCCACCGCGAGCGACACCCACTCGCCCATGGCCAAGTACCGCAGCCCGCCGTTGACGACCTCGCCTGCGGGCGTCGCCGCGACGTCAAAGTCCCACACCTCGTCGCCCCACACGCCCGCCTTGCCGCCGCCCATCTCGCCCGGCGCGGCGAGCACCCTCGGCGTCGTCCACCACGTGGCGAACGTGATGGGCAGGTCGGGCCCGCTCGGCGCGCCGGGACCGTCGAGGAGGAGCTGCTGCGGGCGCGAGGCGGGCGATGGCAGGAGCGGCGGCGAGGGCGAGGCGTCGACGATGCGCACGTCGCCCGGGTCGGTGTCGGTGTCGGCGTCGACCCTCGTAGCGAGCTGCTGCCAGGTCGCACCGCCCCATGTCGCCGGACCGCCGATGTCGCCGCCCGCCGGGCCTCGAGCCGGCGTCTGCCATGCACTCGGTGGAGCAGGACGAGCGGGAGGTCCAGGAGCCGGGGCCGCAGCCTCGGGCGGCGGCTGGTCCCACTTGCCGGCCCACGGCATGCGCGACCCGGACCCGCTGCTCCCGTCGCGCTGCATCGCCGAGCTCCTCCTGCCGCCGCTGCCGTACGTCTTGGTGACCGTCGGCGACGTCTGAGCGCCCGAGGTGCGCTTCTTGAGCGTGCTGGGCCCGGCAGGCGAGGTCCTCGAGACGAGGTCGTTGTTGTCGTCGGCGCTGGCGGCGGCGGCGGCGCTGTCGGGCACGAGTGGCTGCTGCGGATACGACGGCTGGCGAGGCTTGACTGGGCGTGCAGGTGCAGGAGCGCCGTGCGAGGGCGACGAGGTCGAGGCGGACGCGGCCTGCGCGGGGGACGCGTTGAAGAAGTTGGCGGGCGCGACGGGCGAGGGCTGGAGGTTGGCGGGCTTGGGCGGGACACGAGGAGGGACAGCGGCCTGCTTTGAGGCAGGCGAGCTCGAGGCGGCGGCGTACGATGGCTTGGGCGGCCGAGGAGGAGGCGATGGACCGGGTGGACCTGGGGGTGGGGAGCGAGGGGGAGCTCAGTAGGGCTCTCTAGTACATCAAGGGAAGCGAGCGCACCGGCTGGAGGGTCCATACTTGGTCGAGGAAGGGTGGGGGAGGAGACTCGACCTCGGTCGACGACGACGACTCACGAGCTGATGAAGACGAAACTCTCTCGCTTTCGGCTCTGAAGCTGGTCGAGGCGGTCCTGCAGCTTCTCTGGCACCACGGTGAGCCTGCACGAGGGTACAAGCCGGCGCAAGAGCCGAATGGCGACACCTCTCCTCGAGCCCGCTCAAGCCGCACGACGACGTGAGAACGGTGTGGTGCAAGAGATGGGGGGTTTCGCTGCCAGGGGTACAACATGCGTCGACAGCAAGGGCGAGATACTACAACAGGCCATGCACTCGGGGACCGCGCCTTCCTCGCACCGCTCACAACCGCCCTTCGCCCTCGTCCTCGCCGTCCTCGTCCTCCTCGACGCGCTCGTCGTCGTCGTCCTCGTCCTCGTCCTCCTCTGTCCGTGCTCCTCGCGCCCACCACGCGTCGACCCACTCCCTCGCGCACTCGCACGCCTCGCGCATGACGCCCTCGCGGCGTCCCCAGCACACCTGGCGCTCGATGTCGTCCCAGCCGTGAATCCACCTGCGGTGCCGCTCGCCCGACTCGGGCCAGGTCGGCGCGAGGTACGCGGCCGAATAGGCGTCGAGGACAGGCGAGAGGTGGGCCGGGAGAGGGGACGGCGGCGGATGCGAGGTCGGCGAGGGGGCCGACGAGGCCGGTGGGGACGACGCCGCCGACGAGGGCACGGACGACGGCGTCGAGGGGATGGCGAGGGACGCTGTCGGCGGTGCCGAGTCGTGAGCCGCGACGTCGGCGGCGGCGAGTGCGCCGAGAGCAGGTGCGGGCGACGAGGCCGAGCCCGTCGCGGGCACGGGCGGCGCGGTTGCTGCGCCGGTCGAGGGTGGCGCCTGGAGGACGAAGAGCTCGAACGAGTACTCGCAGCTGGCGACGAACGAGGGCGAGTGCGGGTCACGCGAGGGCGAGAGGATGTGCGGGCTCGGGTCGGCGAGGGTCAAGAGGTGGGTGAGGTGGGTCGCGGTGCCCTGAATGAGGCCGGCTGCGGTGCGTGGGGAGTAGACAGGGTCAGTGAGAGTGCAGGCGAGGGGGCCGAGAGAAGGGGGAGAGAGGGTGGGCGGACCTTCCTCCCACGATTCGCGGTGGGCGGCCTGCTGGGGCGACTCGCCGTGTTCGATGCCGCCTTTGGGGAAGACGTACAGGTGCTGCTTCTTGCGCGAGCACACGACGAGGCACGAGGGTTGAGGCGCCGGTGCGGGGCCGTCCGAGGGCGACGAGGGCGGAGGAGCGAGGACGAGGACGAGGGCGACGGCCACTCGGCGGGGGGACGCCAGGTTGGACAGCGGGGGGTGCCTCGGGCACGCGCTGTGTGGGTTGCTGGGCAGCACGGAGAGGATCGAGGCGACAAGGGAGGAGGAGGAGGACGAGAGCGAGAGCTGCCGCCGAGCTTCCCCTCGTCGTCTTGAACCAGCTCGCCCGACTGCGACCTTGAGCAGCTCAGGAGGCCACCAGCATGCTCCACCTCGGCAGCTACTGCACCCAGCTCGACCACGCCGTCAAGCACCACGACGGGCCTCAACTCGCTCACCTCGTCGCCCTCGACGGCAAGCACGCCCACCAGCTCCTCGACTGGCTCCACACCCTGACCGTGGCCCTGCCAGGGCAGACCGCACCCTCGACCAGGT